TGACAACCTTCAAAGTCTGCAGCGCCAATTCACGCGACGGGGACATGATCAGACCGCGCGCGCCAAACTTGGTGCTGTGGCTCTTCAATTTCTCAATCATGGGAATGACAAAAGCAGCAGTTTTTCCGGAACCAGTTCGAGCCATACCGACTACATCCTTGTCGTCCATAATGACTGGGATTGTCTTTCTCTGAATGGGCGTTGGGACCGAAAAACCTTTGCGAGCGATGGCCTTGAGTAGACCACCGCTGAGACCCATGGCTTGGAAGCCACCACCCTTCTTCACGGTACGACCTTTCAGGTTGGATCCTTTTCGGTTTGCCGAGGCCTGTCGGTTTGCGATAAAGGCAGCGTCGCCATCGTCGACCTCCATGCCGAGAAAGTCGAGATCCTGGGACTGGGGGGGCTTCGGCTTGCCCTTGGTTTGGGGGACATCACCGGTGTCGGAATCATTGTCGTGGTTGAAGAGAGCGCCTGTAATGTCGAATTCGGTCTCCGACATGGCGGGAGATGAGGCGCGGTGAGGCATATTTGCGGTTGGAAGAGAAAGTCTCACTCAGTTTGATAGCGCCAATAAAGGCGGAAACGTTGGTGAGAGCGGTTCAGCAGCTCACTCAGTCTCAGGACAACAGGTTGTCCAAGGAAAGGAGTAGGGACTGATCGAACTGTGAATGTCAGATACAAGTCCAACCGTTTTTCAAACTTGAATCTCCACTTCAAGCAAAGAGGATCTTCTGCGTCGATCCGTTCTTGTTCCTAAGGTCTTGTTCCTAAGGTAGTTTTTTTTTTTTGCAAGGAACAACGCAGGCGGTGAGCAATGGTTGGCCGATGATCACGTGGATAAAAGAAGGACGGTAGTGCAAACAGAACAAACACGGCAAAAAGAACAAACCCGCCCCCCGCGACGCGTCCGACAGACACGCTTTCCCAGCCTAATTGAGTAAAATGATTCGATTCCTTTGCTCAACTCACGCACATTACAACCTCACATCATGGGTATGAAACCAAGCTCTAGAACCCCAGCTCCTTACACCATTGCTTCATTTACGCTAACACTATGCCTCAGACGGCGGCTACAATTCCTACGGCGGTGGTGGTGGCGGCGGCGGCGGCTTCATGTCCGGAGAAACGAGCTCTCCATCTGGCGGAAGGGTATGTATGATCCAGGCGTGCAATTCGTGGTTTTTTATGGAAAGCTAACATTGAAGATATCATAGTCTGAAAACCGGGACAACAAGACCCTTCGTCCTGTGACTGTCAAGCAAATTGCCGATGCCACGCAACCCTACCCCGAGGCACCCTTCCTGATCGATAACGCTGAGGTGAACCACGTTCTTTTCGTTGGACAGGTCCGCAACATCAGTTCGCAGAGCACAAATATCACATACAAGATCGATGACGGTACCGGCGAGATCGAGGTCAAGAAGTGGGTGGACTCGGCAACCCGCGATAGCATGGACACCGACGAGAAGGGACCTGGTGATGGAAAGTCCGAGGTCGTGCTGAATGGATACGCTCGCGTCTTTGGCGCTATCAAAACTTTCTCCAATAAGCGGTATGTCGGTGCTCATAGCGTGCGGCCCCTCTCGAACCTCGACGAGCTGCATGCCCACCTCCTCGAATCTACTGCCGTGCACTTGTTCTTCACTCAAGGGCCCCCTGGTGGTGCTGGTGCTGGTGGTAATGCTGCCGGTGGTGATGCAGTTATGGGTGGAGCGGATGACTACGGTGGTGCTGGTCCGAACAAGGCTCTGATGGGTGTTTCGCCGCTGGCGAGGAAGATCTACAACCTCCTCAAGTCGGAGACGCAGGATGATGCGGGTATGGAGATGCAGCACATCGCATCTCAGACTCTCTTTGCCGACTATGGATGTGGCGCGGGCTGGAGAGGAGCTTCTGAACGCGGGTATCATTTTCACGACCATGAACGAACACACATGGGCTATTCTTGAGTATTAAACTAGCTATTCAGTTATGGGTGTAAAAGCTCGAATGATATCATGATTCATTGCATATTTGGCTCATGGCGGCTCTTCATAATCATTCTGCAATCTAGTCTACTTTTTTTTGCCCTCGAGCGATGATGGTATATAAAATAATATTGTAGGTATCGAGAAAGGAGATGCCGTGTAATACCGTGACAGCAACGTCTTTTTTCTTCCTTTTCTGCAAGCCTAAGGCCAAGTGATGCCTGGCTAGAGGGTTTCATTTCGCGCTATCGCTTCTTCAACCGACCGTTCCCAACTGATGTATCTAATAAAGATACACTCAATCGCGGAAACTAGTAGCAGAGCCAGAGCGACACCAGTCCAGAGACCCATCACACCCCAGCCCAAGCTAAAGGTCGTCCCCATGCTGATAGGCATGGCGATGGCATAGTAACAGAACAGTTGAATGTAACCGCCTATTTCTTGACGGCCGAGTCCACGAAGAATTCCATTCGTCACAGCTGCGATCGCATCGAATAGCTGGAATGCTGCGCACAGCGGAAGAACCTCGGCAACAATTTCAATGACATCGGCATCGGAGCTGAATAGCCTTGGGATATATGACCGCAGAGACGAGAGCAAGACCATGTTGAACACCCCGACAATGATAGCTCCGCAGAAGGTGACTTTGGCCGAGATCTTTGCAGCTCCTGGCAACGTGGCACCGATCAAGTTTGCAACACGAGTAGATCCTGCGATCGAAAGTGGGAAGGGAATCTGCCAAGTGATACTTGAAATGGTGGATAGGATGGATTGCGCAGCAAGCTCAGATGTTCCAAGGTAGCTAGAAGCCAGGGTGAGTACTTCAAAGGCCAGACATTCCGCCTCGACCATGATCAGTCCTGGCAAGGCTAGACGTATCATTGGGCCCCAGTTGTCGAAGGCCCGTCTCGTAAATCCGCACCAGCATTCAGATCCTACTTTGAAATAGATATATGCGAACAGACAGATTGGCATAAGATTCTCGGTGATGGCGACGGCGATAGGAGCTCCGATAAAGCCCCATCCGAGTTTCTGTGGACATCAAATTAGTACTATATCAAGCAAAATGAGAGGGTTGTATGTAACAATCTTACCCAAACGAAGAACCAATTCATAAAGGCATTCAGTGGGGCACAAACAAGCAGCACCCACAACGAAGCAGAGAAGACACCTTGTGCCTGTAGGTAGCGTTTCCCACTTTCAAAGCATGCAAATCCCGGCGCTCCTAGAAGAGCAACTTTCAAGTACAGACCAGCCATCTCGGCCACTCTCTTCTCCGGAACGATCTTAGCCAGGATATACTCGGAATAATACCAGAGCACGGCAATTGGGACGGTCACTACCCATAGGAAGTAGACCATGCGCAACATCTGCAGGCCGACCAGCTTTCTCTTGCCGGAGCCGTAAGCTTGAGCGCAGAGGGTATCCAAACTCGTTGCAAGACCCGAGTACACGGCATTGCCGGTGATACTGACTGTCATACTGGCTAGACTGACTGCACCCAATTCCTCCTTGCCCAGGTGGCCGATTGTGAAGATACTGGCCACCGTCAAGGAGTATTGAAGCAGGAAAGTCACCATTAACGGCAAGGAGTACCGACCAATCACTTGGGCCTCACGTCTCCATGTAGTATTGATTAATCCTGCCGTTACGGCCTCTTCCCATTTCCGATCAATTTCCTCCGCATTCATTTCATGGTGGTCACCTCCCGGGGATCCCAGCAAAGCCGTTGTTTCCGAAGTTTCCGTGGTGTCTGCGACTTCTGGGCTTCGCCAGTCAGCGCTATGGAAGGAGTCATGTCGTTTCCACGAGCTTCCTTGACCTGGCGAGGTCGAGAATAGACTGCTCAATTTATGCTGCAGGCCGTGGGGCTTGCCATGTCCATGGGTATGGGCATGCTCCGGAGCGATCAACCGGTTATCACTGAGTAAATGCCTTTCATCCTCAATGGCCTGTTCTCGTTCGCTTTGTGTCAAGGGTTGGTAGTCACCAGGCGAGGGGACCACGGTGCCGTGATTTCCTGAGGTGAAGAAGCTTGGGCGCCGGTAGGAACCGGCGAGGGAGTGCGGGTTGGTGGCGACATGACTGCTGGCAGCGCGGACCGTCGACGATTCGGAGGTGTTTTCGGTGCTGGAGATCGCGGAGTCATCATGATCATCGTCATCATACTGGGCCAGATCGCGGGCAATGGCGGCCTCGGCAAGCGGCGAACTGGATTGAAAAGACCGACTGAATGGGCTATGATGCTCAGCGGATTCCGCGGAGAGAGTATTGCGCGGTGCCATGGATGGAGGTTGAGGCTGCTACAGCACCAGTAGCATTGTTGACCTGCAACGGAGGTGTTTGGAAGAGGTAGGTGGAAGCAGCAGCAAAGACAAGAACGGGCCAAAAAGGTTTGGAAGTGGGGATGGGATGGCAGCGTGGAGTCGCCGGTCCAAACTAGTGACGGCGGTACGGAGTAGATGGTCGAAATTTATAACAAGGAAATGAGGCAGCAGGTGGACCCGCGATGGTTGACAAAGGAGAGAAGAATATTCAATTAAATGCTAAAAATCAAAATCCACCCCGTCGCTTTGGCCACTCTGCCTCGGAGGAGATACGGAGTATACCCCCCACTGAAGCTAGTCGTGAGTCAAGGCGTGACCTCCAGTGGGACTCCACCAAGAGACCCACGACCGTGCGACGCGCGCGTATCAGGTCGTGGTGATTTGACTGGAGCCCTGGTCGAGAGATCTTTCGAGTCTGTATAAAGTACTCCGGCATGAAAGCATATAATTGAACTGTTCCGATAGAAATCCCAATATACTAGAAGTAGACAGTAGTCTCCGTTGAAAAAGCAAAGAGATGCATGACATCAGCTTGCATCGCATCACATGACACTCCCACGCGGAAGCACCTGCGCTTGGACTTCATCGCAGTCTCGCTTCCACTTCTTGGAGATCTCCATGCAGAGAGGCAAGGAGATGCACTCAACATCTGCACTCTGCACCTACTCTCACTCTCACTCTCACTCTCACTCTCACTCTCGTCATGTCGCGAACCACTTCGGCAGACACCTCTCTCGGTCGCTATAACCCCCTAGTGAACCCAGTCCACTCCAAACCAGCTCTGGTCGAAGAGTAAGTCAACAAAGACAAGACCCCTAGTGAAAGACCCGATGGGCTGTGCACCACCAAGCAATCCGTTCTATCGATCTAACTCGACAATAGACACATCGAGGACCAACAGCATATCCTCTTCTCACGACCTCTCTTCGGAGCCTTGCTCTTCGAGAATACGACCTCAGATGCGCGTGATCACTGCGCCAACGAGCGTACCTTTCTCTCATGGCTCCGTCTCTCCATGTACCTAGCCATTGTTTCGCTAGCCATCATCATCTCGTTCCACTTCCGTGAGCAGCCCTCGGGTTTGGAGCGACGGATGGCTCTCCCGCTCGGCATCATCTTCTGGCTGCTCAGTATAACCTGTCTGATTAACGGGTTTGCGAATTACTCCCGCACCGTCATGAAGTATAGTCGCAAGGCGGCTCTGGTCCAGAGTGGTTGGAAGACTCAGGTCGTTTTTACCGTGGTTGGGACCGTCATCTTGGGCAGTTGTATCCTCTTTTTATCAACGGACAAGTCAGGATAGATTTGAATTTGGTGAACTTGACCATTCATTTCATGTTGGGCGTTTTCCTTTTCAGGGGGTTGGGAGTGGTCGCATAGCGTCGGTGCATTTTACTCATGTCTCAGCTTATACCTTCGGGAATGTCTTTATTGATAGTAAATTGACATATTTTTGACAAAACTGCCTATATCCAAGTGCTTCTGAAAATTTTGTTGTGCCTTGGCTAAATACCAAGTTGGCAAGGATCTAAATCAACAGACAAGGGGGCAAAGCTCTTATACTTCCGAAAGTTTGACAAAGAAGCTCCAGATTATATGCAAAAACAAGGTGAGGTATCGGGGATATGCATCGAGGGGAACAAAACGAAAAGGGGGTTTCAATGGTCAAAGGAGAGGACAAAAGCATCTCACATCCGACGGATCTGAGTTTCACCCTTATACTTGTCAAGTGCGGAGGTACCCAAGTGACTCCACCACTCAAACAACATCGAGTTGCAGATGAGCTTGAACCAGGGAGTGAATTTCAAGCCGGGCTTCTCAAACATGGCCTTCAGCTCATCGGCAGACACGTAGCAGGTATCCCGCACTTCATTGGCGCTTGGCTCCAGGTCGACATCGGCCTGGATGAAAAGAATATAGTCCACTGCCCGTAAATGTTAGCAAATAATTATACAATCAAATATCCAAGCTGGTGATCACATACCCTCGTGCTCTCCCCATTTCCCGTCGCTCGGGGCCTTATAGTGAATACGAGTGAAGAACTCGAACTTATCCAGCGGCACTTGCTCGGCCTTGATTCCCAGCTCGTGGTTCAGCTTGCGCTGAGCGGCGCGCTTCACACCTAGGACCGCGGCATCCAGCTCAGCACCAGTCTCACCGGGGATACCCAGGGGGTGCGAGCAGCAGGTGTTTGTCCACATGTCGGGGAAGGTGATCTTCTCGGTGGCGCGCTGTTGGAGCAGGAGGCGGTTGTTGGAATCAAACAGGAAGACAGAGAATGCGCGGTGAAGGAGACCCTTATCAATGTTGGTCATCAAGTGGCCTATTGTAGAGCGAAAAAGTTAAACACAGGGATCTTAAAAATTGAAGGGGGTGCCCCTCTACCCCTCCAACAACAGGAATCCGGGGTCGGGATTAGGGTTGGGATGGAACCGTACAGGTCTTCTTGCTAGCACTACCAATAGGCTTGTCGTCGTTATCCAAAACAATACAGACCTCCTCCATCAGGCGGACTTGCTCGTCGTCGTAACCATCGAGCTCGGTACCCTCGCGCGCGGAGTTGTCAATGGCGGTGGGGAGAACATCGCGGGCAAGGGAAGTGTCGACGTCGGGGAAAAGGGTGGCGACATTGTCAGCCGTGATCTCCGGAGGAGCAGTAACTGTCATGGTAGCGGACATGTTGGACAATTGGTCTCTGAAATTAGGGGAATAAACAGAGGGAAGCTCTGGGGAAGGGGAGTCAAAAAGAACCTTGAGATTGCCCGCGGGTGTTACTAAATGAGCCCAAGGCGGTAACGATCCGCAGTCGGTCCCATGGCCACGGGGTAGTTTGGGGTACGGCAGACTCTATTCTATAGATACTCCTAATATCTCTACTCTCGATACATTGACATTGTTCTGGACGAATCTGCTTATATTTGTGAATTTGAATTTGAACGTGTTTTCTGAAGCCCTGAAGACAGGCTTGGAAATTATGTACTAGTATACTCGTACCTAACTCCCTAGCACAACTCACCCGCATACAAGGTAACACAAGAAGGTGATATCAGTACCCAGTTGGGCAGCATGTAGTACAATTTACTTGAGGCTGAGTTCCTTCAACGAGACAAGCTCGTCAATTTCTTCCTGTCCCAAGAGCCCCAGTTTTTCCCGTCTGGTCGGTGCATTCAGATCAAATACGGGTTTCTCCGCGAGTGAAGTCACCCGGGTTCCATGTCTTGGCTGTGAGCCTTCATAGTCCCAGCTTGCATTATGGATCGTGATTCTATTGACGGTTAGTACCACAGGGATATTACCATTCGTAGCGATGATTATGTAGGACTGTCCATCTGGTGTAAAAACTAACCTGTTATCCCACAGCGCACTGGTCCGTGGACTCCACTTGAATCGAACTTGAATGTCCGGATTCTTCTCATACACGTCAAATAAATATCCAAGGACCACATCACTCTCGGCCTTATCCAAACCAACAATTCGGGAGGTCATGGCTCGGTTGACCCAAAGTGCCTTCCACCCTGTAGCAGGATGAACCCGAACGATCGGGTGCTCACGTTCCACATACTTTGGACCGGCTTCGGGGTTCTTGCGGTCTAAATAAGGATGGGCAGATCGGTAGATGGCCGTCTTGCCATCGATGAACTGGCGGAATAGAGGCGAGAGCTTCTCATACGCTGAATACCCACTCGCCCAGAGCGTGTCTCCTCCAACTGTGGGTACAGTATCATTATGGAGGTGGGTCACTCCGGCCGGTTGTCTTTCGTGGACAAGATCTGTATGCCATCGAGAAGATCCCCCCGGTCGACGAAAGCTGGCCGGGTTCTCTGTGGCTTGAAGCTCGGGCCAGATCACCGAGACCCCGGCGACACCAGGAACTTGCGGAACTTGAGGCTAATGAATGAATGAAGTAGTCAGCACGTGGACTATTGTGCGAAATAGACATTGGATTCTCCGGTGTTGATTTTCTTACGTGAACCTCAATTTCCCCGAACCACTCCCCTAATTCCTTCTGCTGCTGTGGGGAGATATCTTGGTCTCGGAAAAAGACCACACTGCGCTCGGCAATCAACAGACCCAATTCATCCTTTTGCTGGCCCGTCAAGTCTTTCAGCTGCAACCCAACGATTTCGGTCCCAATATGCCGTGTTAAATGAATAATTTCTTTGGCGGCAGATAGCAGGGCCTTTTTCTCCGGATCGGCTCGCGTGCCGGGGTCTACATGCGCTCGGTCAAAGTTTCGAATATTATACACATCGTCGATATAGAGCGGGCGTGATGGTCGATAAGGATATCCAGAACTGAGATCAATCCCGGCCTTCTCCAAGCGCTCTCTTGTTGGTCCTGGAAGACCGAGACTGTCTTTTCTTGGGGGCGCAACATCTACGATGCGGGGATCAATGGGAGCAGGAGCCATTATGATGGTGACGAGTTAAAATAATTTATTATTGGTGTATGCTTTTATGCTAAACAGTATGCACTTATATACCTTTAGTACATATATTATTTTCTGCTTGGTTATTGCGATGTCCTCAATGGACTGACTGTACTACGTACGCAACCACATGTCTGGCGGGTTGCATCTCGGGGTGAACCGCCAAGCGAGCACCTCATCGCCGCATTTCATGGCGCCTTCCGTGGGTCTCTCGACCTCTCAATGCACCCACAATAGAGATCCAGGCCTTTTAATTGATCTGTTATCGACGATGCGGGGAAACCATCCATTCATAATCTGCGACGCAAATCACGACGATCGCATCGAAGTGATTTCTAATCCAAGCAATTGCATGCTAATGACTGCCGTGCCATCCGATATCAAGATACCAGTGGGCATTGATTATGGATTGCCTGATCTGCCTTAAGTGGTGGCTGGGATGACGAAATAATGGGTCCAAATAGTGCCTGCGGAACAACATTCGAGATCTATTTTGACATCCGGTGCTTTTAATAGGAAGGGCTCCCATGCATCCTATCAAAGTGAAAGTCTCCGTCAAAGACAAAAAAATGTCCGAACGCACTTTGAAGCGGGTGGCAGTCATTGGTGCTGGAATAAGTGGTGTCGTGAGCGCTGGCCATCTCCTTGCCGCTGGGCTAGATGTGACTGTATTTGAGCGAAGGGAAGCTGCCGGTGGAGTTTGGTGAGCGTCTGGAAATTTTCGTACAGAGGAATCAAAACTGACACATTCGATCAAGGCTCTATGACAAGCGAGTGCCGATCGAAGCTCAGTATCCATCTACCAAGCCATCGGAACTAGGAAAGTTCAGCCGAGACGATAGAGACAAGACTGAGAGACAACGCCTGATACATGCACCGCCAGGGTAAGTGATGGTATCAACGCTTTCTCATTCATTAAAAAGCTAATCAATGAACATCAGACCCTGCTATGAGAGTTTGACCAACAATGTGTCAACACCCTTGCTACGTACAAAGCTCAATGCGTGGCCTGAGGGAACACTCCCCTACGTTAATCACCATGTACTGAAAGAGTATATTCAAGATACAGCCAAAAAAGCTGGGGTGGAGACCGCGACTATATACGGTGCTCTTGTGACGAGTGTTTATAAAAAAAGAGCAGAAATGGCATGTCACCTGGAAGGCACTGCATGAAGATGCACAGACCGGCAAGTTAGCTGAGCGAGAAGAGTCTGATGTATGCGTAACCACCAAGAGTTCACGACAAGCATGTTTCTGATGCGTAACAGATTTTTGATGCCGTCGTTGTGGCGTCTGGGCACTACCATACCCCTCTAATCCCCGATATTCCGGGGTTAGCTGAGGCGAAATCACAATGGCCTGTGAAAATCACACATTCGAAGTCATTCCGCAATGCGGAAGGTTTTGAAGGAAAGGTAAATTTCTCTGGGGGAATTCATACCAGAATAGCGACGCTAATGATTCTAGAATGTTCTTTTGATTGGAGGAGGTGTATCCTCAGTTGATATTGCTCGAGAGATCAGCCCAGCCGCCAAGAAGGTATTCCAGAGTACCCGCAATGGGGCTTTTGATATCCCAGCCACTGCGCTTCCAGAAAATTCCTCGCGGGTGGAAGAAGTTGTCAGGTTTGAGCTTCTATCGCCCGATGAGGCGAATGTAACCCATTTACCTGTTGTTGCGCGTCTTAAGTCCGGGTCGACCCTGCATGAAATCGACAGGATAATACTATGCACAGGATACCAGATGGTTCTGCCTTTCCTCCCACAGTATAACGACAACAGCAGTTCTTTTGCAGATGACTCGGCTATAGTAACGGATGGCACCCAGATACATAACCTACACCATGATATCTTTTATATTCCTGATCCCACATTGGCATTCGTGGGAATACCCTTCTATACGGCAACTTTCACTTTGTTTGAGTTCCAAGCCATTGCGGTTGCAGCACTGTTTACCAAAACCGCAAAACTACCGTCTGAAAAGGTCATGAGGTCAATTTACCAAGACCGTGTTGCTACCAAAGGCACGGGGCGAAGCTTCCACTCACTCAAGGGAGAGGAAGAAGCCTACGTGAGGACCATCATGGAATGGGTGAACGCCGACAGGGCTTCCCAGGGGTTATCGCCAATCGAGGGCCATACTAATTCTTGGCTGGAAGAAAAGAAGGTTCAGGTTGAACGCTTATCCCTTATTTTCCAAGGTGCCATTCCCTACGGATTTACTAGCAACTTGAAGGCACCAGTAGAGGTAGAGGTTGCAGCATGAGGCTCAAGCTCGGCTTTATACAAGAATACAATTATAAGCAAGGCTAGAGAATAGCATATCAATAAGTAATTCAACGAAATCAGACATATCAAGCAAATAATACGGTAGTTTGAGCACCTCACAAGCCTAGGGGCGACCCTAGTGCTTGCTGAGCAGTGCATCGTCTGCTTATCAGATTTTTGCTAAATTGTGGGCTTATTTACTCCGCGTCAATTCTTTCGATCATCATGTCTCTTTAACGGAGGGTTTCTGCCAGTATCAGGATTCTAAAAGGTCCGAGGCACACAATTGTTGTGACGGATGACGAGACCAATGCTTGTGATGGTGATATTCTAGCGTGTTATGGCAACAACAACCAGTACAAGTACAAAATAAATCGGCGAATCTCCGGACCTTGGGAAGGAGCCTGGCTTGAACCGCGTGTTGCAAGTGGTATTGACCATTCTCGCAGATATTGCGTGAACGTTGCCTGCGATAATTCGACCTTCCCCAGCAACTTGGCCCTCCCATTGGGCCCAGGCAGAGTCTCAAGAGCTTATAGCTTAGTTCAACCCCACTTTTTTATACATTGGGGCTTAAGATAGTACGGTGACGTGATTTGAACCCGTTGATGTCGATTCCAAGCATTATACACGGCGTACATCACTGGGTTCAAATGCCGTCTCGGACGAGGAACCTTCTTAGGACGTGGAAGAAGTGAGAGCCGATCATGCAGCTTATTTATATTTAAACTTTAAGATACCTGCGATTTTAATCGGTCGCGAAATATTTGCGACCGTATACGAGTCCACCGTGACCATGTCAACAACCCGTACCGAGGAGGCAGCTGTCGAGTCAACTCCAGTTGTTGAGAAGAATGTCAAGCGGAGATGGGTCAGCTATATTTGGGACACATTCGATAAGTCGCCAGAAGAGCGACGGCTTCTTTTCAAATTGGACTCTGCAATTCTGACATTTGCGTCATTGGGTATGTGTGTGCTCATCTCTTTGTCTCATCCTCATACTAATGAGAACTCTCTTGGCTAGGATACTTCATCAAATATTTGGATCAAATCAACATAAACAATGCTTTCGTGTCAGGGATGAAGGAAGATCTAGGGATGTATGGGAATGAACTCAACTACATGCAGACATGCTGGACTGTCGGATATGTGCTTGGGGAAATTCCGAGCAACATTCTCCTGACTCGAGTCAGACCACGATATTGGATACCAGCAGCTGAGGTAGGTAGATCCTTTCAAGCATTACGGAAAAGTTTGTGTTTACTGACGCAACTCAGCTTCTATGGACTGTTTTGACTTTCAGTCTCTCAAGATGCAACACACCTACTCAGTTTTACGTCCTTCGATTTTTCATCGGTATGAAGCTCTCCTTACAGCCTTCATCGACCTGGGAGGAAAAAAACTAACCTGGTCATTTCAGGTCTGGCAGAGAGTACCTTCTATCCCGGGATGCAGTATATAATTGGATCATGGTATCGGAAAGATGAGTTGGCAAAACGATCATGTATATTCCATACAAGCAGCGGTATTGCCAGTATGTTCTCTGGTTACCTGATGGATGCCGTCTTTAAGCTGGGAGGTCGAGGAGGATTCAAGGGCTGGCAATGGTATGAAACCAAGAAACTCCTCTACTTTCGGACTCTGACTTTCGAATAGGCTGTTCTTGATTGACGGAGTCATATCTCTACCGGTGGCAATAAGTGGCTTTTTCGTGCTTCCGGATGTGCCTGAAATTTCAAACCCATGGTATCTCAACAAAGATGTATGTGGCCTTACTGCCCCCACCTCAAGTAATTAATGCACCAGATACAATTTGCTAATCTTGATGGCCAAAAAGGAAGTTGAATTGGCACAGAAACGAATGAAGTTGGAGGGTCGGAAGGAGCGGGGACCCTTTACGAAATCAAAATTGAAGAAGATCTTTTCTTCTTGGCACATTTACCTCTTGACATTGTTGTATATTCTTTTCAACAATGGCGCTGCGGGATCCCAGCCTGTTTTCCAACAGTGAGTTGAAATTTTCATTCATTTGAAAGTTTACTAATGTTCATTGACAGGTTTCTCAAAAACTCGACCGATCCCGTTTATTCTGTGGGCCAGATCAATTCGTATCCTACAACCACCTATGCAGTACAAGTCGTGACAACACTTGCCTATGCTTGTAAGCCTTTCTCAAAACTAGCGGATGGCGCCGAAGCTAATCTCAGATAGGGTCCTCGGACACGTTTCTTAACGGGAAACGTTGGCCGCCGATTGTGTTTGGCGCTGTAAGTGTATAGTTACCATGAAACAATTGGAAAGACGCTAATAAACCTCGCAGTGTGTAAATATTATAAGTTACGTGTCACTATCGGTTTGGGATATCCCAACTGGATGGAAGTGGACTTGTTACATCATCTCAGGCGCTGGGTTTGGGTTGAGTGGACTTCTCATGGCGTAAGTCGCCCAATTTCCCACGCAGAATTTGTTAAAAGCTTCCGGACTAACAATTATATGACAGATGGGCCCATGAAATCTGCTCCGAAGACAACGAGGAGCGTTCTCTGGTCATTGGAAGCATGAATGAAATGGCCTATGTGTTCCAGGCCTGGCTGCCCCTTCTGGTCTGGCAACAGGTTGATGGACCCGAATACCAGAAAGGTTTTATCACAGTGTCATGCATTTCGTTTGCTCTCATTGTTACTACCTTCGTTGTTCGACATCTTGATCTCAAGGAAAAAAGTAAAAAGGCGTAAGTTGACAATAATGCCGCTTTATCACTTCGCATCTAACAGTCCATCACAGAGAAGATAATGCCCTGGCTGGGGGAACAGATGATGGACTTTCGGAATCATCTATTGCCACGCCAGTGGACACAAAACCTCCCAAGGTTCAAATCACATAAAGGAAATTACCTTCATCAATAATTTCTGTTTGAACGCTTCGTGGGACCGGGCTCACTGACTCGTCTTCAGTACGCCTGAAAGTACTACTAGTAGTGGCATGCCAATACAAAAGATTCATTATACCAAAATTAATGTTCTGCGTACACGATATCTCGTTCAATTCTCAATCAATGCAGATCCATGAATTCACGAGTACTATGTACCTTTCGACATTTTTTCAATACTCAAGGGTAATATATCGGTATTTACTATCACATAATTGGCAGAAGCGACACGATCTCGCTAGCCTTGACTAACGAAGGAACAGCATGGTGACGTTAACGGAGAGTGCGTCCGCAAAAGAGTCTTAAGAGTTTGCATCGGCTCCTTTAGCCCGTTATCCTCCGGATCGAAAATCTAAGCCACTAGCTGCCCAACTTGTCGACTCGCATCATTTGAGGGTCTTTCTTCTAGGCCTTAGCTCAACCTCTTGGTGGGGCTGCTCGGATAGCGATGTTGCTGGGTACGATCGTTTTGTAACCGATATCTCCGGACAGGGCTATCTAGAAGGAGTCCATCGACAGGGTTGACCTATTTTATTGATTGTCCTAAAAGAATCAGTACTCTGCTTACTATTCCGTAATGAGTTCAAAAAAGGAGCTTGGTGTTGATATCGATCCCCTTCCCAATCTTTGGACATCCTCCGTCGGACGACTTCGCAGGGGGGGAACATATTCTTAGGTTTCCTTTGCCCCGATTCTAGTAGTGCGAGCTAGTGCGTGATGGAAAAAAGAAACAGGATTCTCAGTGGCCCCTGAGATGAGACAATGTGATAACGGTGTCCGCCAGACAGGGATATTTGATATTGTTGACTATCTCCTGGTTGGCCGTACCAGACTTTGGCTTCTGGAGGATTTCGGTTAATCGGTCCATATCGGACCAGGCTCTCTAATAGGACAGGGAACTTGCGCGTCAAACAAACTTGAAAATAGAGAAGCGTTTTCCTTCAATACCCCGCTGGAATCAATAGCCTTCTCCGCCTCGCCGATCTGAGAAGCCCCTTTTTGTGAGTGGTGCGGTCAAATCGAGATCTAGGGGGGCTGCCTCGAGTAGCTAATTTTTACGTCGATCACGGTAAGCTAATGCTCGTCATTTCAACACACATAACAAATAAGATTTAATTTGTACGAGTAACCTTGAGGGTGTTTTTTTTGTCACTCGCCCAGACGGCAAAATGAACAGGGATGAGGAACCAGATCCTACTCCGTACATTTGCCCCTCTTGTCCTAGCCCCTAGCCCCTTTTTCTTTGTTACTGAAATGAACGTTAGCTGTGGATACCCACAGCCTATTGTTTAGTGAAGTCATAAGAATATGCAGAGTACGAGCACGGAGTAGCCGCTGGTAAAATTGACTGGCGAGATGGAACTGGGACAAATCAAAATTGAAGGCTTTGAGTTAGCAAATAATCCGATCTAAAGTCGCAGATTGAGTCAATATACCCCGTAAATGTATATCTTTTTCTCAAACTGCGAGCATTGAATTGGGGAGTATTAACGCACCACTGCACAGGCCGAGGCTTTGGTTACGGCCTTTTCCCCTCCAAACAAATCGGAGAGAATCATCATCAAAGTCGGCTTGTAGCATGATCCTTGACTCTTTCGCCTGAAAAATTGCCGTGTCTCTGCAGCAATACTCAAATGAATGTATGACTGCAGAATTGTGCGTGGTATAAGGCAAACCACATGTACGGAAAGCTTGGGCCGATGCTTCGAGACATCATCCGTAATAGAAGGCGCCAAATTTTGCTGCGCGGAGTACGGAGTAGAGTCCTGGTTTTCGAATGGCGTCGTGTCTAATTGCGACGATCACCAGCCGGACTGTCTCGACGATCCTTCGCCCCATCTTAGCGTGTGATTCGGCGTTCGCTAAGTGGAGTGCGGCAAGAGTCTCGACTCTGGCTAGACGATCTCAAGGGGAGAAATACGGCTCTTTTTTGTCCTGAGAATCTCCAGGGGAAAAATCGGAAGGGCTCAGGCTAAACGCTTATCACTCCCTGCACAGGCATCATGGCGGCTATTGACAGGTTATTCGCCCAAATCTGCTGGAACAACATGCATCAGCAAATCCCGACCGTCAGGAAGAATCGCTTTTTAGAAAACCTCGACGATCTCAGCCAACAATTAAAACTTTTTTCATGATCGATCAGATTGGATGGAATAAGAGTGGGATTTGGATGTGGAACCCCGCCCCGAATTGGAGAGATCAGGTTTACCGCGCGCCAGCGTATCATGTGAATGCATGATATCACACCAGAATATCAGAGTGATCACCATATGGATAAGAATAATAGGTACATGTTGACATCGCAAATAGAACATACCGTCAATTCAAAAAAACAAAAAACAAAAAAAACCTCCAATAAGATACAGCGCAGTCCACCAAAATGCATCGAAGTATACCACCGGGAGCTATAAAATCAAAAAAGGACAAAGGCAAAGGCAATTACAGTTGACCAGGGATAACGCCAAAGAAATATGGGACCCGCCCGGATGCAATACTCAACTCCAATCATCTCGTGATGAGATTGTGTGTAATGCTGGGACTGGAAGAACGAGAACGACGATCTCGGTCCAGTTCTGCTCAGCAGATCCACCACAGGCAAAGCGATCGAGATGCCCTCACACTCAGCGCCGAGAGTTGGAATTTTCGCACTTCGAATTTTGCTTCTGCAATTTCAAAGAATTGTGATAATCCTGGCCTTTCATTATAGAATAAGAAATCGTGTTGTGTGACACTTCTGAACATCTTTTAACATGGCTAGGCAACACGAGTAAGTTAGTACACGTAATTTGAAGAGTAGCTAGTTCGGATTCTCTCACTTCAAGAGGTCCTCTGCTCGAGCAAAGCCTTTCCCGCACCGCTCACAGTGATGTTCGCGAATATGAAGATGTTTCTGAATTAGGGTAAGCGTTTGTCAAGGCAGCTGGGCCAATTTTCCTCACGTTGTTAAAATGACGCCTCAAGTCTCCCTTTCTTCCAAAGGTCTTCGAGCATTCGGAACAGCTAACGCGGGAAATCTTCCTGCTTTCGGGATCGTGCTGCTTTTCATGCTGCCTGAGGTTCGACTTCCTCGTGAAGGTATTCCCACACTTCGGACAGACAAACCTATTTCCCGAAGCTACCTTGATTTCATTGCAAGCAGTGCGAGCTATACCAGCACTTTCGCTAGAGTTGTTTATGAACATGTAGGGTCTTGCGGGCACAGTCGCGTTGACAGAAAGAGCCTCCAGGGGAGTCGTCGGTCCTGGGCATGGCATGGGGGCCCAATATCCTGGCATTTGATAAAATACCTCCTGTCCAGACTGAATTTCCAAATTTGACCCGTAACTTGGCGATGCGCTCATTTCTTGAGTACCACCCCAGTCCTGAAAGCCGTTGTATGCGGAGAAGCATACTTTATTAGAGGTGTCTTGAGGTTGGAAGGGAGAGCCATGAAAAGCGGTCGTCTGTAATAGCGAGTTCGGCGAATGGCTAAGAGGAGACATCGGGTAAGGCATCGGACGTTGATAACCAGCGGTATGGTCGAAGGTAGGGTCCAATCCGCAATTCATTATACCCAAGCCAATAGGTTGAGAAAGCGCTGCTTGAGGTGCCGTAGCAGAAACTGGAGAGGAGTAGGCAGATGATGTCTCCCGAGAATATGCATCCATCGTCAATGAAGGCGCTATGGATGATGAGCACTCTGCTATCTGATCCATGGTGGCTTGCATCCTGAAGTATAACAGTCCAACGAGCAAAGCAAAATGCACAAATGAGAAGATCTAAAACCAAACCAGCTGAAGAAAGTCTATATCGCGGGATCAAAGAGCCCTGAGGTAGTGACGGTGCTGAGTATAAATAACGAACGATGACCATCTAGGGCTGTCGGTGACATGCAGCCACATTGCATAAATGGTGGCTGAGGGAAGTAGAGAGCACAAGGTTGGTGCAGAATCTGCCTGCCGGCACGGTGAAGAGTCGATGACTGACACCTCGAGCGACGAGGCAGATTTTCAAGCGGAAGGGAGGGGGTGTTATGCAAATGCGGTGGGAAAATGAGTGGGGGGAGGGGAACTAACGGACGGGGGATGCTCGGGACCAGTTCGATCAATCCGGAGTCTACAAATCTGTGCAATCCCTGCTCCAGAGATTTAGCGCCGAAGGAGGTCAATCAAATGCCCAGGGCTTTGGAGTCGGATGAATGTCATGATCTCCTTTTCAAGCCTGGACTCGTGGCCGGTAAGAAAAATGCCGGCTTATACTACATCTGAAAACGAGGGTGGAAAAAGGGGGGAAGAAGTTTGGCAGGATGTTGGCATCCATAGGGTATCATGTCAAAAATTACCAGATCCCCTGGAAATAACCGCACAGCGGCGGCTGTAAACTGTGGTGCTGGAAAAGGCTAACCATCTCTTCGATCACCGCGGGGCTGGTCTGTCCAACAGCGTTGCGTCCCATCCAACACGAACAACCAAACAAAAGTCTGGAGTGAGCCCATGGGTTTGGAATTGACTGGTGAGGCGCATCGTAGTTGGCGACTGGGAGCCAGTGGTGTACACAGCCGCATATGCCGGGGGAAGCAAACAACCCTTGCAATAGACTTCATCTTGAGGCGTATTCGGGAAACGATCATCTCATGCCCGAATAAATAAAACTTTTTGGGCATCATGACTCTCACGGGTTGCGGGTCCGCCCTTCCGAACCGTTCGATTTCATGTATACCATCGGCAGATACTCCACCCAAACCCCACAGTCTGTTCCTTTCGCAGGTCGTTGCCGTTGAGAATATATTCTCATCTCTTTAATGAAGATTGATATTTGGGTGGGGATTGTTTTGGTCACTGCCAGTACTTTGCAGAAGCAAATTCCCTGGTTCGAGCACCGTTCTGCGTGATCTCTTGGTCGCACCCTTGTTGACGCTGGAACACGAGATGTCAGAGTGGTCCCCACTTACCCACATCTGCAGCAGACTACTCCTTAGAGCGAGACCGAGACGTGCAGGGGGGGACGTGCGTGGCTCTAAGCGCCAGGCAAGTGGCCCTCTTACGCGAATTGCCAGTGCATTGCCCCTTTTTCTTCATCCCTCATTGTGGAGATAGTACGGAGTACATATACTACAGTGGCGTTGCAAAATTTTGAAACCCCATATTGCCTACCATTATTGACCGAATTCTAATCGCAAGCTGGTAGCTCCCTGAGATGGAAGAGATAGGCCAATGTATTCCATCTTAGGTAGCCACTAGAGAACGGTCAACAAGAAGCTTCAAACTTTTGCAACGCCACTGTATTGGTGAGGAATCAGTGTGGGAAAAAAAGAAAGTCCAAAAATTGAAGGAAAAAGAAAAAAAAGATTCATGATTCGAGCGTTTAGTTGTTGCCCTGCTGCGCTTCTAGGTTTGCTGTGACGCGCTCCACTTGAACTCGAAGCCGTTCTATGGATGAGATCATCTCCGTGATATGAGCAGCCTGTGCCTGTGTCTGTGCCTGTGCCTGTCCGGGCCGCGCGGGGTCTAGTTCCTGCCCGTCGTGCCGATCCACATGCTGTTGCTCATTTCCCAGACCAAGGCGATATGTTTCGACTACAGAAGGGTGCAGTGGGTCCAGGCATCTAGACACACCGGGCTCGACAGCAGAAGTACCATGTTCTTGTGACGATATCGGCGGTAAGCGACCGGTTGATGGCGATAAGAGATGTCGACGACTTGACTCGTAGATCCAGATAAGCATCACAAATGGCAAATGGGTTGCTCGCAGTAGAATAATTCGAACCCGACGAACCGCCCCCGCAGATAAAAACAACCGCATGGGGCGAATACAGAGCAGCGGAATAAGATTCTGTCACAGGTGAGCGGGATGGACCCAAGGACTTTTCTGGAACAAGTCTTTTGCATCGGCGTAAGGCGGCGCTAACTTACCAGGGGCGGCATGAAATATGTCAAACGTCGGGAATTACTGCTTTCCAACACATAGATGGATAGTCTGAAAAATCCGTCAACACGTCTCTCAGCCCGCAGTGGCACAGCCATTATTCAGACTGTTTGAAATACTAACTGAAAAAGGTATTCCTCTCTGGCATGCAACATCACCTAGAGGCATATATTCATTAGCCTCGGGCGCTATGTAAAGCGTAAAGCCAATTGTCGAGAAGCTTACTCCTTCAAGACTCATACTCATCAAACTAATCAATGAAGAGAGAAGCAAGATGTTGGTCATCGAAACGAAAATCAACCTGTAGTCATCGCTATGGTCAGTCTGGTTGAAATGCAAGTGCCCTGCAGGATATGTGGCAGTTATTGCGGGGTTTTCGGAACTACTGCAGCCCATCCTCTTCGTATGTATAACGTGACCAAACAGGAATGCAACAGCTGCATGTGCAGTCTTTGTTTTCTTTTTGCCTTTTCCTTTCGGGTTGCGCAACAAAATCATAGGGAACCCACATCAAGCCATAGCCGAAGATCGGGGAGATCTGAACATTAGCGCGTTAGCCAACTTGTTCCGATGGCCAACCATTTTGCCAAGAGACAGGGATTGGGGATTCGGCCTGCAGAATTGCTGCATAGTCCAGAGACATACCTCAAACGCGCTGTCCTGTGAACGAATCGATTCAGCCACCGTTAGTCCAGGTCAAATAATTGTTATGACACCCACTAGTCCAAGTGAACCCGATCTGCCTCGCGCAGTTAGCAGCCAGAAACGGTCGAGAACAAAGGATCTTCACCGCCATACCCAAAGAAAACCTTCACAAGCATCTCTGACATTTCCTTAAGTGACAGGCGGTCACGGGCGAGCATGGTAAATGTCGTCAAGAACCCTGTAGTCATCAGCCCACATCTGTCAGAGGATGTCTCAGTCTACAGAAGGGGTTGTGTCTGCGCCACTCTTACCGATATACAAGACCATCACCACCGGCATAAATCTAAAAAATGCTTTCGTCTACGGTCAAGTCAGCCTTGAGCTTTCCGGCGGGTTTCGGGGTACGCAGGACCATTTCCTTGAGTACGGGAATCTAATCGAAACCGGTTAGCTGGAGCAATTCAAGGGGCGAGGGATTTTAGAGCATGTCTCCACTCACTAAGCTGCCGAAGTATGAATTCAGGCTCACGAGCGAGCAGATCCTGTGCCTGCGTCAAAACTAGTTGTTCATGCACACCAGTGATGCAGAAGATCATACCTTGGCACAAGAAAAAGTGCCTCGAGAGAAAGGATGTCAAATGAGAAGTTCAGAATGTAGTTGTCACCTCTGCCTAGCCCGATGGCCCCTTGATGGTCTATTTTCAGCTTCTTACCCTGCAAATCCCTCATGACTCCTCACGAGGCAGACTGGATGACGCGACTCACTGGCAATAATGAAAGCAAAGCCTACCCCGATAATACCCAGATTCCAAAGGCTCCAGAAGTCCATTTGATAGAACAACACCCCTGCATCGACGAGCCCGCTGAGTTCATCGTAAGCAAAAGCAGCAATCCAAACATCCATCAGCGCTTCAAAAAATCCCACGCTCGTCTGGTTTCGTTCCACGAGCACTGAATAGTAAAGAACTAAAAATGAGAGGAAGAACGCAGCTTCGAACATCTTGCGATAAACAGGGACTCTCAGACGAGAATACGGATCGGCTGTTCTTCATGAGCAAGTTAGCATTTTGCTCTTTCTTTGCTCACCTCCCGTAGCCACTTACTTCCTATTAAAAAGCTGGGGCTTCTTCTTCGAATGCACCGTGAGAGAATCCCAAAAGACTATCCGCCCGTTCCAGATGTCATTTACAACACGCTGAACCACCCGCTGGCTAAGAAACCTCTTTGCTTGAGCAATTGCGGCAATCTCCAATGCATTCAAACCAAAGAATTGCGAGTATGGTGAAATATCGATACGCCCTGGTTCGGTGGTCTGTGTGCCTGCGTAGGGTTCTCCATTCTCATCGAGCTCTCGGGGCTGCTTCCCAGGTGTAGTGCGTTTGAGAGATGTTAAGGGGTCCGAGAGTAGTGGTGTCGTCTCCAAATCACCCGCCGGGACGAACCCCGAATTTCCACGTTCGACTTCGAAAAGATTTGTTGAATTCCGGCGAGGAAGAGGTAATTCCTCGAGTAAAAATTCAATTGTCTCCCGCTGATTGAGATGACACAGGAATTGCCAGGCCACAAACTCACAAGCCGATCCTCGACTTTCATTTAGACCCCAGTCATCATCGGTAGCGTTACTGAAGTTCCATTTCAAAATCCTTGAGTGGTGTTTTGCTTAGCAATCCGATCGTCCACAGCGAGAAAGAAGGACAGGCCTTACATCAAAGCGACTATGATAAATGGGTTGTGGCTATCTTGGGCGAGGGCATGAATTAACTGCCTCAGGCGATGACCTCGGGCACCAAATCTCATCTGCTCGAAGGAATATTCCATATCTCCGACGGCCATGGAAATGAAGCTGTGGCAGGCATTAGCCAAAAGCTGGATCGCTTTGGGGAGGAAATCTTTACCTGGATAACTTTGGAATAACTTCAAAAAGTGACTCTTCCGTCTCGATGACGGGGATCTCAATGTGATCCATCATGTCGGGATATTCCATCATCGACATGGCAGCTGAGTGCTACCTAGCTGGTAAAGAAGCCCATGTTAGAAACATTCCCCACAAGTCTGTAGCCAGGCAATCTGAGGATCATATACCAAATATCTAGGTAGTTTCTGAATGGAACAGAGATTATGCCAAGCACCTGTGAGATTGTGGGATGTCTTCGTGGTTGTGGCTTATATCCCCTTTTAACGTCCCTTGCGCACGTCTCGCGCCACGTAGAGAAATTAACGTTAGTTGCGAGCGGACATTATATGTAATAAGATAATCTCGAATGATCAAAAGCTGAAAAATGGCGATAGAAACAATATTCACAGTCTTGTCGTATTGTTGATCTGTGGTCTAGATAATCATGTAAAGGCAAGCCTCAGCCAAGACGCGCCTGACCGCCCAACCCAAACATTACGTCACGTGGCCCCACCGCCCAGATAGACCGACGTTATCAACAATCACCAGCCTCCCACCTAACCTTAGCTGCCACTTCCACTATCTCCGGCCTAGGGAGATGCGGTCCATACATCATGGGTCAAGGCTACTCCATCACAACCCTGTCCGCGGGGTCGGCAGGGATCGATGTTCCCGAACTTTCGGACCTGGTGTATGAGAGATCCATGGGCGGTGGCCGGTTTATGAAGAGCATCCGCGCCAGGCAGCAAAATGGCCTTGTGTTCGTCAAGGTCATCATGAAGCCGTATCCGACAATGGAGCTGGAAAAATATGTGAAAGCTATCGCTCGTGCGTCATGATGTCTTTGAAAGTCTTTTGATCGGAACTAATCACCGTCATCCGCAGGGGAACGCAAGCTCTTGACTGATGTGCCAAACGCATTGAGCTATGAGCGAATCCTAGAAACTGGTAATGGTGGCTATCTGGTGCGCCAATATATCCACAGCTCTCTCTACGATCGTATGAGGTACGGCTAATCTCGTCTACCACCATCTCAAAAAGACCCATGCTTACAGGTCTCCAGCACCCGGCCATTTCTCGAAGATATCGAAAAGAAATGGATCGCATTTCAACTTTTATGCGCCTTGCGTGATTGCCATTCCTTGGACGTGTTCCACGGTGATATCAAAACTGAGAACATCTTAGTTACTTCATGGAATTGGCTCTACCTTTCTGATTTTTCTTCGTCGTTCAAGCCAACTTTCCTTCCCGAAGATAATCCTGCCGACTTTTCGTTCTTCTTTGACATATCAGGTCGAAGAACTTGCTATCTGGCCCCTGAAAGGTTTCTTGAGGCCGGAGAAGAGGAAGGCAGCCGCAACGTTAACTGGGCAATGGACATATTCAGTGCCGGTTGCGTGATTGCAGAGCTCTTCCTTGAGTCACCCATCTTTACTCTCAGCCAAATGTACAAATACCGCAAGGGTGAATACAGCCCAGAGCTGAGCCAGCTGGTGAAGATTGAAGATCCGGACATTCGAGAACTCATTCTACATATGATTCAACTAGATCCAGAGTCTCGATATTCCGCCGATGAATACCTAAACTTCTGGAAGAATAAGGCCTTCCCCGAATACTTTTACAGCTTCCTTCACCAATACATGTCCCACATGACCGACCCTTCATCGGGAAAAAACAAGGTGGATGCAGAATCGACCAATCGGGGGGAAACCGACTACCGTATAGAGACAGTTTGTCTTGACTTTGACAAAATATCATATTTTCTTGGTACCGCAGCCCGGCCTCCCCAAGATGTTTCCAATGAGAACATATCTCGGTTGACAGGAGATGTACTCCCAGTCAAGCTCGATCTCCCAAATGGTGATACCACGACGTCCAACCCGCAATCGCAATCGCAATCAGATGAAGGGGTTTTGATATTTTTGACCCTTGTTGTCTCCAATTTACGGACCACGGCCAAGGCTTCTGCTCGGGTCAAAGCCTGTGATATACTTCTAGCCTTTGCAGAAAGGTTGTCGGATGAGGCCAAACTCGATCGTGTCCTTCCCTATATCATGCTTCTTCTCAATGACAAGACCGATTCGGTGAAGGTTGCAGCGATTCGAACCCTGACACAGCTTCTGGAAATGGTCCACGAAGTCTCTCCCGTGAATGCCTACCTGTTTTCTGAGTATATTTTCCCAAGGTTGCAACCTCTTGTTGTAACTTCCAAACACAACCCGAGTCCAGTGGTTCGCTCCACGTATGCCTCTTGTATTGCGTCCTTGGCGCATTCTTCGTTGAAGCTCTTGGATATTATCCAAGCATTGCGCTCGGATACTCGTCTTACCGCACTTATCCCCGTTGGTTTCGAACCTCGGTGGACCGAGGACGCGACGTTCCATAACCTCTATGATGTCGCTCGCAATGACCTTCTAGAATATTTTGAGTTTCATACGAAAGCGCTATTGACGGACGCAGATCCATCCGTTCGCCGGGCTTTTCTAGGGTCCGTGTCCAGTCTCTGCGTGTTTTTCGGGAACTTGAAATCGAGTGAGGTTATACTGAGCCATTTGAATACTTACTTGAACGACCGCGACTGGATTTTGAAATGCGCTTTCTTTGAGACGGTTGTTGGTGTCGCCGCATATGTGGGGACTATCAGCTTAGAGCAATACATTTTACCTCTGATGGTACAGTCTATGACTGAGCCAGAAGAACTTGTCGTGGAGAAGGTAATCCGGTCACTTGCAGCCATGGCTGAATTGGGATTGTTCCAGAAAACGACGACATGGGAACTTCTCCATGTTACTGTCGGGTTCCTAGTTCATCCTAGTGTCTGGATCCGTGAGGCTGCTGTGCAACTGATCGTCAAGTCTGCCAAGCATTTCACCATTGCGGATATTCATTCCATTCTGACACCGCTCGTTCGCCCTTTCCTCAAGGTGAAGGTCGTCGAATTCTCCGAGGCGGAGTTTATTGGTGCTCTCAAGCGTCCGATCTCAAGAAATATCTACGAGGTTGCCTTTCATTGGGCATCCAAAACTGATAGAGGAGTCTTCTGGAAGTCAGCTAGCCCATTTGGTCTGTCGGATGGGCATAGCCCTCGCATAGGACGAAGTTCTACGTTTAGCTTCAGCTCACAAAATAAGAACGACGAAGATGAACAATGGCTGTCCCGACTAAGAAACCTTGGGATGGGCTCGGAGGATGAGCTCAAACTCATTGCACTCAAGGATTATATCTGGAGAGTATCCTTACGACAAAGCAGAGAAGCTGAGGCCGATCCTCCGTCGTTAGGCGAAATTATCAGCTTGTCACAGAATGATGTCGCCCCTCAGACAGTCTTCTTCGACAAGCAACTCAATGAAAAGCCGAGAAATGTCTCCGTGGACAGAAGTGAAACCCCTACTCCAGAGGACACGAAACCGCGAACCATCGCCGACGCTCTACTTGACGCTTCAACGACAATTGAGCGATCCCCCTAGTGCTAATCGCAGACACATTCGGGCCAGGAGCAATCTCCATAGGGAAGTCCAGCGCCCGCACCCTGAGACGCTCAGATCAAGCCGGTACAGAGTCGTCGGCATCATCGCCCGTGGCATCGTCTCCTGCTGCAGGTCCCGGGTCTCGTCCACTGTCTCCGCCAAGCTCAGACGTTGATCGAAATGGCGCCGATCGCCGACTCAGCTCTGGCCAGGAGAGCACCTCGACCGCTCCTACTCATACGGACACTCTTCCATTGCGGGGTGTCTCGGACCGAGTTCAGAAAAAGTCCAGTGCCATCAATCTTCTTGGTCGCCATGAGACCTCCAAGGCGTATGCCGAAACCAGTACAAGTTCAGCAAACGCATTTGGAAAAGTCGATGCTCCAATCCAGAGAGCAGATACCCCGCAACAACAACAATCAGCCCTCGCACAAGCTTATGAGCAAAAAGGAACACCAACCCCGTCTCGGCAATATCGTGCCAATCATTCTTATACGGGCGATGACCCGGCCGTCTTGCAACTACTGAACAATGTGTTTGCCGAGAATTATCCAACTGATCTGTTTGATCTGGGGCCGTATGTCAAGGAATTGGACCCTCGACTACCAATTCGCAAGCCCGGCACACAAGACCCTGGAAGCATCTGGAGACCCGAAGGGAACCTTGTAGCAACTTTTGGCGAACATAGTGGACCAGTTAACCGCATCGCAATCCCCCCCTGATCACTCCTTTTTTGTCACTGCGTCCGACGACAGTACAGTCAAAATCTGGGACACCACTCGGCTGGAGAGGAACCTGACGCCAAGATCGCGTCAAACATACCGTCATGCTCCGGGGTCTCGTGTTAAAGCGCTGACTTTTGTTGAGAATACCTACACATTTATCAGTGCTGCGACTGATGGTAGTATTCACGCTGTCAAGGTGGACTACCAAAAGGTCCATGAATCTGCTCGATATGGAAAACTCCAGCTGGTCCGCGAATACCAACTTCCATTGGCGGACAATGGAACACCGGAATATGCGGTTTGGATAGAACATTTCCGGGATGAAGGCCAATCAACTTTGCTTGTTGCAACAAACACTTGTCGGATCTTGGCAATCGACATGAAAACTATGCTACCAATATTCACTCTGGAAAACCCCGTCCATCACGGAACGCCTACGACTTTTTGTTGCGACAGGCGGCACACCTGGCTTCTAGTGGGCACAACTCATGGAATTCTAGATTTATGGGACCTTCGGTTTCGCGTACGCCTGAAGGCCTGGGGACTACCAGGCTGGGGATCCATTCAGCGGATCCAGCTTCACCCAACGAGACCTCGCGGACGCTGGGTCTGTGTATCCAGCAGCGGCAGCCACGGCAACGAAATCACTACCTGGGATATCGAAAAGTTCTGTTGTCGTGAAGTCTTCCAGTCGACTCCGCTCAACACCAATGAAAGCAACTCGAACGGGACTGGTCAGCGTAGCTCTCGAGGTACCAGCTCTCGCCCCGCCGGTTCAATCTCAGAGGCGTTGAACCATGGCCTGTCGATGAAGACCGACCGGAGGGTATGCTCAGCCGCTTCGCGACGAGTCAGCCTGGCCCGGTAGGCCCGGAGAGTGGGAAAGACCCTACAGTTCCATCAAACAATCCCCCTGGAGATCGACTGGGCACCTGGATCTTCACGTCTGGTCTGAACGTCCCCGAAAACGACAAGGGGTCCAGTAAGTGTGGATTCATCGTCTCCGCGGGTGTGACCGAAAGATCCGCTTCTGGGATCTGGCACGTATCGAGCACTCAATGATTGTCAGCGGCCTGGACAATGTGTCCGAAGGAAATGGGGCTAGCAGTAGACCTCGATATGAGGTGTCTCAGCCTATACCCAACCTCGTGGTGACGACGGAGCAAATCCCTTCCACTTCTAGTGGTAGCGGGGCGAGTGCGGCAGGCAAGAAGGGGGCTGGTCCGCGACCCCCACGCAGTACGGTGATTAGTTTGCAGCAGCAAATGCTTCTCAAGAGTCATCTTGATATCATTCAGGATGTGGCTGTGTTGCGACAGCCGTATGGGATGATCGTGAGTGTGGACCGGGCGGGAATGATTTATGTTTTTAGATGAAGGGGGCCCGGTGGGATATTTGTATGAATATAAGTTGATTAGTAGGACGTCACATTACTACAAAGTACAATACCCAAAGTTATTGTGTACCTAGCATTCCAGCCCTGGAGGGTTCCAAGATACGTTGGCATACTACTAGTAGTACTCCGAGTCCAGGGCTACTCAGACTTCAAGTTCTACCCGCCAGCCCTGGAGTAGTACTATATATTCCAACTTGAAGGATGGAAACTTGAATGAGGTCGGGCACCTTCCAAGGAACTTGAACTTGAACCTGTACTAGTAGACCCCATACGTTTAAGTTTGAGTACCTAGGTAGGTATATATACTTTGAGAGACTGGGCGCAATTGGAATCGGAACACGTTCGACAGGGCTAGGCAAATATCCATTTGAATGCAATACGTACAGCTCAGACTAGTAATTCCAAGTAATCATGTTAACCAATCCTCCGAGTCCAAATTCGATTCATCTCATCTTCAACATGTCTAAACCACCTGGTACCTCAGGTGGCAAACGAAATGATGCACTCTACAGAGTCAGCTCTGCTACCTTGATCTATCTCGCGCTGCAGTGGGGACTCGCAGCGGAGTACATAGTCACGAGTCACCGGTACATTTATCAACGGGGGGAAACATCAATATCCGACGTACCGGTTACACTGCTGCAGGTACACAGAAAGTGGAGGTTAGTCAAGGAACGGAGGAAGCTGGGCAGTGGGTCAGCGTCCACACAGGCGAAACACTGGACCATAAATGGGGTTGGTGATCGGCAGCATTGACGGCCAGAACGAGCATAGCTCCAGAGCAAGGAAGACTGGGGGAGATTTTACGGATCCTACCTACACCCGCTAGGTGCGCTCCGGCACGGTGCATGGATGACCGGATTTCTACCGATGCATCAATGCGTTCGCTCTCTCCTGCAGCTACGAGAGGAGGCGGGAACTGCATCGCCCTAGCACCGTCGAGAAGCGCGGTACGCTACCGGGGTGGCCCCTGCGGAACGAACTGGTGCGATCATCGTGCTCCAGCCCCGATCCCTGTTGGAGCATCTGGGATGACTGGGTCTGGATCCAAGATCGGTATGGGTTCGGTGGTGGGTAGCCCAAGCTGGTACGAAGGCCACTCGAGATTAGTTGGGAGGGATTCTTCGCAGGTCAGGATTTTCTTCCTTCTCGCGCGTCACACGCGAATGACAGAAGGCAAAAATGAGACAAGGTTGGCTAGCACCACGAATGAGGGGATTGGGCCGATGGATGGAAGTGGGATCTCCGTTGCGAACTTCCTGAGTTGGTTCGGTAGATTTTGACACCGGTGGAGTCCGCGGGAGGTGACGGGCAGCAGAGTGGAAGCAGAACAGAAAGAAAGCTACGAGGACGGAGTACGGAGGAAGAAAGCTACGGAAGATAACAGAGGCGCGCGGGGCTCTTCTCGGAGCTTTCGGGCTTGCCGTTTGGAAGCACCGCGAAAGATGAAACATGGAGAAGGAAAGGTAAGATGAGACCCCCGAACCCTTCCCCCCCCGGCATTGAGCAGGTCGAGACGCACTAAAAGATGCAAGAGTGCGCCCGGTAAGTCATATTTGCAGTGCATCCCATCCCATGCCATCCCAAGGGGGGGCCAGGGCCCGGCACAGACCACCGTAACCAACGATCGAAGCAGGTCGAAGGTAAAATCTCGGACTTGTGGGTCCGGATGTTTTGGGGCCAGGGGTAAGCACCAGTCATGGCGCAGCTGAGGCTCGACACGGGAAGAGAAAGCAGAGAAACAGAGCCATGGGAGAAGCTTCGGCCCCAGGAACCAAGGAACTGCCTGGAACCGTGGACGGCTGGGTGCGCTGACAGGTTCGCTTCCAAATCATCGAATGGATCTCGATCGGCTCTGCAGATACTCCGATCGGGCGAATTGGGCCAGTTGGGCCTCGGCCGTGTTTGAGTATTGAAGATGGACGATTGCAGAGCAGGGCCGACCCGAAGATTGGCGCAAGATTGAGATGCGACTATTGATTATTGTTCTTGATTTGATTTCCCTGTTCTGGGTGGGTGGACGGGAATGGATAGGGCTGGGGGCCTCACAATGAGCATTGAGCATTGCGCATTGTGCATTGTGCATTGTGTAGTATTTGCTGCTTATTGCCGGCCTCCTCACTGCTGGCAGGCGAGACACGAGAGAGGTTGTATGGCATAGGCATGGGCATGAGCATGAGCATGCCCGTCGGCAGTGCGGACGCAGGGTGGCACCACGGCTTGCCACTCGAGAACGAGGCCTCGACGGTTGGACGATCAGTGGCGAGGAGCGGTTTTCCAACAGTTGAAACTGCACGATGTGTCTAGAACTCTGTTGGGAACGATATGACCTGTCGCGGGAGGGAGTGGTAGGAGCGAGAGTTGGCTGTGGGGGAACGGCGGTGAGTATACTCCGTACTGAGTCTACGAAGTACAAGTATCAGATTCACTACAGTACAACTACAGTATACAGCAGAGTATGAGTACGAGTACGATATGAATAACTAGCAGTGTGAAGTGCGCCCCTGATCGTGAACTCATAATCGCTCTCATGCAGGTTAATTCAAATCTCCGCTTTAATCCTTCTTATTATAATTATAATAATAATACAAATAAAAACCCAAAAGGATCTTAAATTAACCGGAGCCAAGTGGAGTCACTAAGAAAGATTGAAGTGATTCGACTGGTGCGTTCCCCTCCGACGAACCCCCTTTGGTAGAGTGACCCGCCAACTTTCTCCTATTCCTCTTCCTCTTCCCCCCCTGATACGAGCACTCGCTCTTTACTTTGCTGGAATTACTCCGTACTCGAACTTTACTCCTCTTTCCCTCTCTCCTCTCTCCTCTCTCTCCTCTCTTTCAACCCTCTCGCCCAACCTATATCCCACCCCCAATTCGTGGTTAACCTCTGGTTTCCATGGCCTCGGGTGCCCACTAAATCGTTCAATTGGAGTCTTACGCGGCGTCTCTCCTTATACACTCATCTGTATACGGTATATCTCTCATTCTTTACCCGCCTACCTCCGAGGCTTCAGCTTCAGCTTCAGCTCTGGTTCCAGCTCCAGCTTGAGCTCTAGCTCCGTCGACTACTTCGATCAATATACAAGTACACAACATATATAACTTGAACACCACCATACACAATCCGCCATCATGGGACATTCTCTGAGAGATCATTCGTCCTTTGTCCGCCCGGCTACCAGGGATCGCCCGGCGACTCGCGGCGAGGGGGAAAATTCGCTGGTCGTCCCCAGTCGCACGTCGTCGTTGCACTCTCGCATCACCCAACCCATTCCTTCAACTCTCAACATCAAACCCGCTCAGCGGACCCCAAAAACTCTCACCCATGCCTACATGGTATGCGGTGTTGGCCGTGAGCCCTCTCAATGGGTCAAGGCTCCCGCCCCGGCCCAGGGTAAGATTGGCCACATGAAGGGCGCGGTCGGTCAATTCTGGCTGCCAGAGATTCTGGGCAGCAGCCCTCGATTGGAGCAGGATAACGAGATTGCTCGAGCCCTGCACGCGGCGATGAGGGTGAGCAAACAATCTGATCACCCAGGTTCGAGGAGGTATGGGATGAATTTAAGGTTAACTGACTGGAATGTTAGGCATGCTTCCCCCACGATGTCGAAATCTGCACGGGCAAGAGCCAGCCTCACTGTGCCCACCACGCTTTCGTCCTCCAGCAAGACTCTTCTCACACTCTGTACGGTATCGCGCTGCGCGTCTGGTCCCGTGCCGATGAGAAGCGCGCCGAGACAATTCGCGAACTGCGCAAGAAGACGGAGCCGGACTTCTACGACAACCCCGACGAGACCTACTGGATTCCTTACTGTTTGAGTTTCCTCTCTCGCTACCCTCTGTACGACCTGCTAGGTGATTACCTTCGTGGTATGTGGATTCACTGGAACAAGGCCACCAACCTCTTCCACGCCGAGGAGGTTTCTCGCATTCTGAGCTTCCCGGCTCCCCGCCTGAATGATCTGGTCCGTATCGACATGAAGGATTACGCTCTCTGCTACCAATTCCCCTCGTCCCCAACCGGCTTCCAGAACTTCGCCATGTGGCCCCTATTCAACTGCCTGTCAATTCCCAACATTGTCGGTGTAATTGAGGCTGCCGTGTCGCCTACTCGCCGTGTCATCTTCGTCTCTCACTACGCGGCCATGTTGACTGCCGCCGCCGAGACCATTCGCTACTGCGTTCGCGTCTATGAGTGGAGCGGTCTGTATGTTCCCGTGGTGCACGCCCGCCACGTGAAGGAGCTCGTCCAGGAGCCCGGTCCTTACATTCTGGGTATCACTGCCGAGTGCCGCACTCTTTTCAACGCACCTTCTGATGCTCTCGTCGTCGACCTCGACCGTAACTTCGTTCTGACCTCCAGCCCGCCCAATGTTCTCAACCAGGGCCAGCGCACCAAGTTCATCAACCGACTGACACAGGCCCTGAACGGAGATGTTTCCCCCTCGGGCGTCCCCACTCACCTGCGTTCGGCTTACGCTGGCGGCAAGCTGATCCCTGCCGGTCAAATCATCGTCATGCGCGGTGAGGTGGAAAGTGTCCAGGAGCCCAACTGGTGGAACCAGGATGCCGTTATGAGTGTTATGGACCACGTTTGCGAGAAGCTGGGCCGTAACACCGGTATGAAGGCCATCTTTGGCGGATCCGTCAAGAAGCCTCTCATGACCAAGGTCTCGATGCGCCACCTCAACGAGATTGTCCGTGAGCGCAACCAGTACTCCCGTGACGCGATGGAGGCCTGGCAGGACTTCATCAACCTCAAGGGTAGAATGGACACCGAGCTCAGCAAGGTTACCAAGCGCAACAACTTCCTCGTCGAGGAACTCGAGACCTGGAAGCAGCAGTTCCTCAAGTTCCAGGCCTTCGCCGAGCAGCTCACCAAGGAGACTTCCGAGCTCAAGGTTAAGATCGAGAACCACAAGCGCGAGAACCGCCGTCTCACCGGTCTCATTGATCAGCAGAAGGATGATGTCGCTCGTCTCACTCTTCGTCTGTCTGGCACTGAGAAGCAGCGTGATGATGCCCTCGAGGCCCTCGTCCTCCAGCAGGAGATTGCCGAGGAGCTCGAGCGTGAGCGCAAGCGCAACCAAAAGGAGATCTCTGCTCTCACCCACACTAACTCCACCCTCTCCCGTGAGCGTGAAGACGCCCAGCGTGTGGTCCTGCACCTGCGCAGCCTCATCAATGGCAAGAGCCACCACATGGAGCACATTGTTCGCTCCATTGGTAGCAGCTCTGAGATTACTGAGATGGTCGAACAGGGTTACGAAGACGCTCCTGAGGAGCGCACCGAAGAGCGTGCTAGTGCAGAGTCTGTGAAGGAGTCAAGCAAGGAGAACAAGGTCTCAAATAAGCCATCGGTAAATCAAATGAACCCCGAGCTCGAGCAGCACTTGCTGAACCTCGGCAAGGACCACAAAACCCTTGCTCGTCTGAGCGTCACCGACGTTGCAGACCGTTACCTACGCGATAAGACGGACGCTATTGCAGACATCATCCGTAGCATTAGTGAACAGTGCGCCGCCGCCGTCGAGGGCCTCCACCTGGCCCAGGATGCCGAAGATGAGGAGTCTGCCGAGGCTTCCTCATCCAAGGTCCACCAGAACGGTTCCCCCAGTCTGGGTTCAGAGTATGAGGACGGCCGTACCACCCGCGCCACCAGCGAAGTGAGCGACATCGACAACAACTCGCTCCACCCGGACAACCGCCACTCCAGCATTCCTCCCACCCCGGACCTGGTTCACAATCGCTCCAGCACCTCCATGTCCATGGTCAGCAGCTCGACTTTCCCCGAGCGATCCAGCCAGCAATATGGACCGGGTGAGATCCCCACTCGCATCGTGGAAGATGACGATGAGCACGCCCATGAGACCGAAAGCATGGACGACCAACAAACCGAGACCGGCACTCTGTCCAAGCAGGCTAGTGAAGATCTCATGCGGCCTCAGACTGCCCGTGTGATCTCCTAGGTTCTTTGAAACTTTTTGACATATATTTTTTTTGCCTCCATCAGCTATAGATGATGTGCAACGCTTGACTGAGACGACCCTTGTTTGTTTCCTGCCTTTCTGATTCTACTTTTGGCGTGGTTCTATCCTTCTTGCTGACTCGTGCCGTGAATACCTCACGCGTGCACATGTTCTGGTTGTCCGGCGTAGCCTGGTGCCTTTTCTTTTTTTCCATCTCTTCATTTCGTCGTGTCGCTTTTGATACTCCCTTATATCCATCTGCCCGCAACCCATCCATCCATCCTTCTTGTCAATTGTTCTTCAGGGCCATTATGTTTCCTACGGGGTCTTGCAACTCCCACTTTCCCCTTTTACTTTTTTTCTTGTGCTACTGCCCCCAAGGAATCTGTCACTATTTTGTCTTCGTCGTACCTTCTGGTATGGAACGGCTTTTTTGCTATCCGCTTATCTTGCGCCCTTCCAGCCTTGAGTTGGCTCGAAGGAGCGCATCCCACTCTGCACCCATCTGCAATTCTTTATTGCGGTTTCCTACTGTGTCCCTAGTTTGCCACGCATTCTCCTTATTTCCTTTTGTCCGCAATCGTTGAACTGGACTCTCGATTGTCATGGATCATTCCATCCTGTTGTATTTAAAAATGGATCTCTAATCACCATATTTGCTTCAATCCGGTTGCTTTTAGTAAGTAAGGAGAGTACAAGTAGAAGGGCTCCTCGACTTTACATGTCATTTCACTTAGATACTTCATAACTATGTACACGGAAGTCTATCTGAGAAATCATGCCAGTTTTCCAGGGACGACAGGGTGTCCAGCACTCAATCCACCGCACACAGCCCACGCCTGGCCATTGACATAGCTGCTCTCATCACTACCCAGGAACAATGCCACCCGAGCGACCTCGTCCGGGATGGCACCACGCTGCAGAGGGTTCAACTGGCCAATCTTGCGAGTGGTGCCGCGCTTCTTAGCGTGATCAAAGACAGACTGTGTCATGCCGGTCTCGATCAGACCGGGACAGATCGCATTGATACGAATACCAGTCCCGGCCAACTGGTACGAGCAGGTCTGAGCAATAGAGACCACTGCTGCCTTGGAGGCGGAGTAGTCGGTTGAGCCAGCGTTGGACCGAAGTCCGGCTACCGAGGCTGTGCAGATGATTGAGCCGCTGGGGTATGGTTTGGATTCGGAGGTGACCTTCATAGCAGGGGCAGCGTGCTTAGCCGCCAGGAAGACTCTGCAGAAAGTTAGCTCCAGTTCTAAAGTAGAAGGGAATCTTCCTCGAGATGAACCCTTACCCAAGAGCGTTCGTTTTCATAGTGTTCATGAAACCATCTCCATCAATCTCCGTGAACATCTTCGGTTGTCCTACGATTCCAGCATTGGCGAAGAAAATATCCAAACGTCCGTACTTGGCGATCGCCTCGTCGATGACGCCGGACACGGCTTTCTCGTCCCCGGCGTCAAATTGGCGCACATGGACATCTACACCGGGGTAGAGAGACTCCATCTCCCGCTTATGAGTTGCGAGATGGGAGTCGCTGAAGTCGCAGATATAGACCGCCTTCGCGCCATTATTGGCGAATTGGTGAGCGGTGGCACGACCAATACCATTGGGAGAGTTGGCGCCTGTGAGTGATGGTGGTGCATGCGTTAGTGTGATGGATCTTTGTACGACTTGATATTTGACGTACCAGTGACAATGACGACCTTATCTTTCGTTCGACTGCGGAGAAAGGGAGGTGTTAATCACTGCCAATTCTAGTGATCTGGATGATTCCACTTTTCTTTTTCGCTTCTTTCTTTCCAGGAGTCGTGCAGTATATATATGTGACACTTACGGGCCTGCAGAGTCCTGAGCTATGTGCCGGATTTTGGGGATATCCTCGAAACTTCCCTCCTCGGGGATGCCTTCAACAAGCTGCTTGCTGAGAGCTTGGAGGCGCTGTTTGGCGGCGGAAGAAGAAGACATGGTGGATATAGATGGTGTTGGGGGTGGATGAGAAAAGTAGGAGGTAAAGAACTTGAAGGATAATCGTCCAACTCCTCTTCGGCAGTCACTCAAATACTAAAATACTTACGAGTAATCCAAATAGGGAGGAGCTTGCCCGCATCGCACCTTCCCCACTCCGCGGTTATGCGGAGTGCCTCGGTACAAATCACATGACCAGGAGGGAGCTCTGGTCACCTGACACGTTGGTCTCTCCTCACGTGATTCAACATGTGTCGTCATGTGCCCAGTGCTTGTTTTGGGCTTCCAAACCGTCGGAGTTGTCGATGAGCCTGCTAAGTTTCACAATTTGGATATTCCTACCTCTCTACAGCTGAACCTGTCGAGGTATTTCGCGATATCGGTTTTCCCTCCTTCACCAACTGCAAAGTGCGTCGATCTCCCTTCATTCCCACAAAGATCCACTCCAAATCGGCTAGGATCGACCAACACAACCACGAAAGGGCACATAACACGAAAGGTGGAGGGACCGATAACTGACAGACAGCCCTTACAGCATTCTCCTACTATTGCACCTTGTTTCCTCCGCCAGAGCTTCTCTTCCTTTTTTTCGTCCAACTCTCTGTCCAGCATTCATGAGGTCCGCAACCACCCCGTTCGACATCTACGCCCTTCACCAGTCGTTGAGTCATGGCGGAGCAGCCCGACCCTCACCCACAACGGAGGTCCTCATCTCAGACATCGTCGGCTTCCAACCGCAGTGCAAAGGCTAGGACATTACGATCGAAGGCTCAGAAGCGCCATTCGGGTTCAAATACACGCACCGATCTGACTTCGTTCCCTTCTCTGCCCCCGAGTTCGCCGCCCGACAACACCCCCACCTTGACACGAGGCCTGACAACTACGTTGCTGACGGGAGATACTGGAGATGGCCCCAATGAGACAGGTCGCGGACGCAAGGCTACCCTTGCCCGGCTGACGACTGGGGTATCTCTCATGCCTCCGGCCGCGCCGCCCTATTCGATGATTCGGTTCCGGCTCGTGATATTCCAGGCGCTCTGCACCTCGCAGACGATGCGCATATCGAACGTATGATATCTACTACTGGTCCTGTCAAGATCGTTAGGCAGTTTGCCCGTGATTTGGCCCAGCGGGATGCCGAGATTTCCGCACTGCGGCAACGGGCCGATGCGCGGGAGCGGGAACTGAAGAAAATGCTTCGAGAAGTGTCGGTGTCTAATCAAGATATTGAACGCCGGTTGTACCAAATGGAGAATAACCCTGAAGACCGCACTTCCGATGGAGACAGTACCCACAGCCTTGGTCAGGCCTCTCAGAGCTCCGGGCTGGATGGTCTCATGTCTCAGGCCATGACGGACGCTGTTGGATCGAACGATGGTGATACTTCTGAGCACAACTCTGATCTTCAGGCGACTCTTCGACCTCAACGAACCGATGAGCTGCGTGATGCTGAAGGCAATCGCAAACGACAAGGCTCCCTTCGTGGCTGGCAAGAGTATATCTTTGGATCAACGAACCCCAGTCGCAAGACCAGCCGTGCCAGCAGTATCATGAGTGACATGCAGGAAGTCGAAGAAGAGGATACTCAGCGAACCCGAGTCCCAAGCAATCCTTCTGTCCGGCGGAAAGCTCTCGACGAGCAGCTCTTCCATCCCCCCTAATGGAAAACCTGGCTCTATTTCAAGTGATACGTTGGGAAGACGCATTGCAAGTGGATCTACCAATGGGGATGACGCTAGTGTTCATTCACGCAAGTCATCTCGCTCCCTTGGCTCATGGACTGTCAAATTATTTGCCGGGAATTCGCCAGGACCAAAAGATTCTAGTGACTCGGAAAGCAGTCGCAAGATCTCCAATAGCCAGGACAAAAACACCGACTCCAAAAGCTCGTTGAGCGCAATTGCGGCATTGAAACGAATCAATAGCAACACCAACATACCTGGCTCCCTAGGACGCTCCGCCAGTAGCAACTCGGGCACGGTCAGAATTAACCCGGCTACACGAAGAACCCCGATATCCAACATCTCGCAAGTTACAGCGGCGGCTGAGAACTCGGACCGAATCTCGACTAATCTTGGACCCGTCGAGATGGATGCCATTTTGCCTATGGAGTCTCGCCCACCGACCCTCGCCCCTATCTATAATAATTCCCAGTCTGGCGAATTCCTGACCGATCGATTTGGGTTCATTTATGATCAACGTCGGAAAAAGCGTCAAAGGGAAGCAAATGCTAGCAAGACTAGCAAACACCGGCTGAGCATCACAGAAACCCTGGGCAACCTCCGCAGTGACTCGGATGTCGAGGATGAAAACCAAAACCTTCCCTCAGCCACTCCAGAAACCCCCAGCTCTCCCCCTGACTCTCCAGTTGATCCCGAGAGTGGTACTGCTGGACTCCGCCGCTGGCAAGACTATCTCAGAATGCCAACTCGTCCAACCGAGCTTTTATCCCACACACCCTCCACTGCACCTATAGTCTCCTTGACTACTGCAGAGCAGAGTCGCTTCCATAGCTCGTCCGTATCGGTGGATAAAGATGGAACCTTGTCGCTCAATTCAGGCCAACCTTCCGCCAGTACGTCGGCAATCACGGCAGATCGCCCGGAGTTTGCTGGGATATCCTCGGAGGAGCAACCTGCCATTCGAATCAATGCTTCTGAAACCGAACCTGTCAAACTTCTACTTGAACAGCTCACCGATCTTCACGATACGCTGCAGCGTGATCGAACAGTGAGGTGGAATGAGTTCCTTCGCAAAGTACGAGCAGAGCGCCGCAAAGAAGGCGAAGCAGCGGCGGCCGCCGCGTCGTCCTCTGATAAATCTGTTACTGCGGTAGACACCCCGGAAGCAATTCTTGCTGATGGCGAGGTCATTGGGATTTCCGGCCTTGGAAACAAAGGAAAGGTCGGCCGCGCCAAGTGGCGAGAGTTCCGAGCCCTCGTCCTCGGTGGTATTCCAGTTGCTCTTCGGGCCAAGGTCTGGTCTGAATGCAGTGGTGCCTCGGGGATGCGGATCCCAGGATATTACGAGGACCTTGTGCGAGGAGTCGGTGGCACCGAGCCGGATCCTTCAGTCATTGCTCAAATTGAAATGGATATTCGTCGTACTCTGACGGACAATGTGTTCTTCCGCAAAGGGCCAGGTGTTGCTAAGCTAAAAGAGGTTCTTCTGGCATATTCTCGCCGCAACTCGGAAGTGGGCTATTGCCAGGGCATGAATCTCATTGCCGCATCACTTCTTCTCATCATGCCGACTGCCGAAGATGCCTTCTGGATTCTCACCTCAATGATTGAAATTATTCTTCCCCAGCATTACTATGATCACGGTCTTATGGCGTCACGCGCGGATCAGGCTGTCCTCCGACAATACATCACTGAACTGCTGCCTAAACTGTCTGTGCACTTGGAGGAATTAGGCATCGAGTTGGAGGCCCTTACTTTCCAATGGTTTCTGTCTCTCTTCACCGACTGTCTCTCTGCAGAGGCACTCTACCGTGTTTGGGATGTGGTTCTCTGCCTCAACGTTACCAGCACAGCGCAGAATGGTGCCACTCCAAGTGCATCCGCTGCCTCCAGCATCAAAGAAGGCGATAAAGCCACACCAACCTTGGAAGATCCTACCTCTGGCGGTGGAGGTGGAAGCACGTTCCTTTTCCAGGTTGCTTTGGCACTATTGAAGCTTAACGAGCCGCAACTGTTGACAACCTGCTCCACGCCAGCCGCTCTTTATACGTACATCAACCACCAAATGACCAACCATGCCATCAGCATTGATGGTCTGATTCAAGCTAGCGAAGCTCTTCGCAACATGGTACGCCGGGAAGACGTTGTTTCCCGCCGAGCCGTTGCTTTGCGAGAAATGCGCGAGTTTGGTTAGGATACCCCTCAGCACTTTCGTATCTCCTTTTTCACCCTTTCATTACTACTGGCGGATATTGTCGTTCTTTTTTGTTTCACATTAGACTTGACGATGCCAACGACATAAGCATGGCTCGGAGTTTTGGCATTTTTTATCTTCTACCCTTTTTCATCTTTTTACTTCTTCATTGATATCCCACTAGCTTCATTCCCTGGCGCTTTCTTTTTCCTTTTTCCATTCCAGCGAAACAGATCTTGGTCCTGGTATTCAACCTGTCCCCTATTTTCCTGCGAATGCATTCGAGATACCCCTAGCTCTTTACACATGGGTTCATATTAGATTCAATAAACGTTTGTGGTTGGGTTCTATTTACCTCCATCCGTACTCTAGGGCCCTTCTTCTAAGTCTTTCTAATGTCTATCTATAGATCTATTCTACCGTAACTCTAGTATACTAAGTCTATCTCTAGCTACTATCCATCTAAATTCCGCCCACGGAAAACCGACTCCAGCTTCGGATCCGAGCTCCATGGATCCTAAAAATGATCGGCGAGGCCATAATGCATGCGGATAGACAAGCCAGCAGTGTAGCCGACCAGTTTATGTGCAATGTCTCATACATCGGGCCTTCAAATAAAGGGAAGGACGCAGAAACCAGACTTCGCACCATCACATGAATACTAATAGCCGACACGGTGTTCAACAGGTAAACGTCAACAATATATGCGATACCCGTGATAAAAATGAGCTGTAAAGACAGTCCGATGAAGAAGCAGGCAATCACCTGCGCAACCCAATGCGTATCCCCACTCCAGCCAAACCAAAGCAGACTCGGTGGAAGCAATACTGCCCCTAATATCATCGGCGGTAGTCTATCTTCAGGAGGCACGCGGGCTGGGACGTCATCTACCGCTGTCTTTTGTGCCCGTACCCATTGCCGTTTGTACCAGGTCATTGTGAAGAGAGAGAAAACCCCCAAAGCAGACAGCACGCCCAAACCAACAGCGGCAAATGGGAGAGTGGCAGTAGGCACGCTCCAACCACGCATTCGAAATGCCCGTGGGAATAGCTGGTAGGAGAGGTACAGCGTGCCGTAGACTAGGGTCAGATAAGTTGTCATCACGATGAGAATGGGCTCTTGGCAAAACATGCGAATAGGCTTTGTGCAGTATTTTCGAAGCAGTACTTGCGGGTTCAGGGAAGCCATTTCCGCTCGTGCTCGGTAGTTCGGGTTGCCTGTTTCGCGGCGCAGATGGGCTGCCCGACGCATGAGAAGGCGATTATGCGAGGATTCTCGCAATAGTACGATGCAAAGGAGTCCGACGACCCCGCAAAGAATCAGAGATGTCCATGTAGTCCAGCGCCAGTTGTATCTGTCGACGATGTATGCTCCGACAATTGGACTAATGGTTGAACCCAGGTTCATGATTGAAGCAGATGTCCCGACAGCTATGCCCCGCGTGATCGGGCCGAAGATATCGGCCAACAATCCTGATCCAACGGCGAGACCGCCACTTCCTAGCATTCCTGCCAGGAATCGAGATACTAGGATCGTGGTGACGTTGCGGGCTAGTGCAAGTGGGATTTGGAAGAACCCACACCCGGCTAAAGCAACTACCATGACGGGCAAGTTACCTACTACCTCTGCCATAGGTGCGAATATAAGTGGACCGACTGCATATCCAGCCATGAAGAGCGCAACGCCTAGACTCATTACTTCCTCCGATACGCCATATTGGTGAGCTGTGACGCTGGTGGCAGACCCGAAGATGCTCGAGCAGAATGAGATGGAGAATATGACGACTAGTGGTGCGAAAGATCGAAGCAGTTTCTTATGCCGTGGCCAATTCTGCGGGTTTTCGGGGTCTTTAGGTCCATTCCAGGTGACTAGGTCGAACTTTGACTCTGGCTCGTTCGGCGGAGAAGCAGTTCCTGGCGTGGAGGCGCCGTCGGGCACTGCAACAAGATTGATCTGGACGCGTTCGCCCTGTTTGGGCCTCTTTACGGGAAATATGCCTGGTGAATCCATGGTGAAAGGAGATGGAGAATAGTGGAATTGCGACCATCAAGACTCCATGAAAATCCTTTTGGGCCTTTTTCAACGTTGGTGATCGGCAATTGATGCAGGAGTTGCGTCGTTCGGATCCACCTAGAGTATCTCCGATTTAGAACTGCGAGGTGTTTGCCATGTGGTGAGGGTGGTTATTGGCCTAGGAAGAGAAAATGAAAATGATCAATCAATTGAATAAGTGAGTTCCGGCTCTTATCAGTAAATTGGTCTCTGGGAAATGCACTGGTGTAGTTCGTGACGAGGAGAGTTCGGAGAGATGGCCGATCTCCGAAATCTTTTCAGATTAGGGCAAACTCGGGATCGGCGGACGAGCGAGGACGGGAGGGGGGGGGGCTTGATTAATAGAATCAGATACCGATGGTTACCAGATGTCGAGAGTGACTTGTTATGTCCAGAAGAAATTATCTGAGTTGCTATTTTAGAGATAATACATGACGTTCTATACTATAGTTACATTCTAACCCACTTGGCCCTCTGTATGAACACTCGGGAAATTATACTATCTACACCAGCCTGATATCACACCTGGGCAGCAGGTAAGCCACCAAATCCCCCATTATGCCCTTTCTCTGAAGTCGCCTCATTCCGGGCGCCACCCACTCAAGCTATGAGCACACAGTGCAATCGATACATCGTTGCCCATCACTGCGTTTCCTTCCGCGCAAGGTACTTCGGAATCTTTTGAGCCCAAACTCCCACATGCGACAACCCCGGACTACCGCGGACCCGCACATACCAGTATATAATCAATGTAGCAATGACATTAAAAGCCACATAAGCCCAAATCAAGCCAAAGTTCCTCCAGCGCTTGTCGTAGGATGACGCAACCGATTGCAAAAACACATTGGAGCTAGTGATGGCGCAGAATTGACAATCAGAGGTGGCATCCGGATTATATACCGCACCTCCAGTCATCTTCGAGTATGCCGCGAGATAGCTCCAACAGTTCTCCCCGCTGGGTGGCTGGACCAAAATGGTCTCTATGTCCGAACATTGCACATCGAGATTGGCGAGTCCCGTGGACATCATCCCGCTAATGATGTAGGTCAGGGGAGACGTGCGGTACATGAAGATCCAGAAACCAGGTAGGTTCGCTGGAGTTGCCATGACTCCACAAAATATCAGAGAAAACACAAACAAAAGTAGTGCCAGGATTGCCCCGATCTCTGCTGTGGCTGCACTTGCGACTACCATCGTCGTAAATGTACCGCAGTGCATCAAGAAGCCCCATATAAGTAAGAACATCAGCCCGCCCCTCTCTGTGGTTTGATGAGCTGACGCAGCATTGTAATTCATGCCGATCAGGTAATAAAATGGAACAAAGGTAATCAATGCAGCCAGCGAATTCCACGGTATCTCGACGATGATCTGGGCCAGCATGAACGTCATCCAAGAATATGCCTTTGATGGACGCTCGCGGACTTCATAAAGGTCGCGCTGGAGGATGTAGTTCGGCATCTGCTGATATGCTAGGAACGGAAATATGACGAGTAGCATGAAGATTGCGAACATTTGGTGCTGTAGTCCGAGCTCGGTGATCTTTGTCTGTAGAAAGGAAAGTCCAATAAATAAAGCCTGGGGCAAAGCGAGGCAAATTAGCGTCCTAAACTTTATTCAAATTGTATGCGTTCAACTCACAGTGACAAAACACATGATCAATTTCGAAAAAAGGTAAGAAGGCGTTCTCCAATACTGCTCGAAAATCCGCTTTGTGCAAACCCACAACTGAACATGGAATGGACTGGCAAACTGGAGGGAGGGTTCGGCATGGGAAGTATTCTCCGAATCTGGCTTTTGCTCTAAGGAGATCAGTTCCTCGTTGACATTGGAGTATTCCTGACTACTGAGCCAAGTGGCTGGCCAGTCAATCTTTGTCGTACTCCCTGGAGCGGCACCAATCACACGGAGCATCCATTCTGCTGGGTTATCACTTTCGTCACAATTATCTGCTCCGTGGCGCTCAAAATACTCCGTCATGGTCTTTGAGCTCTCACCAATATCGCCAAAATAAACCGTGCGGCCACCAGCTGCTAGAAGCAGGAGGCGATCAAATTGTTGAAAGAGCATTGCTGAGGGCTGATGGATAGTGCAGAGAATGGCCTGACCATGGTCTGTGAGCTTTCGTAGGAGAAGCAAGATTGACCATGCTGTCTGACTGTCTAGCCCAGACGTCGGTTCGTCAAGAAAGAACAAAAGATCAGGCTTCGCTGCTAGCTCCACACCAATTGTCAATCGCTTCCTCTGCTCAACATTCAAACCTTCACCGGGAACGCCAACAATAGCGTCAGCGTAACTCCTCATTTCAAGAAGTTCTAAAATTTCCTCGACACTTTGCAATTTGTCAGCTCTACTAATATGAGCAGGCTGTCTCAAGAAAGCACTAAATTCCAATGCCTCTCTAACAGTAGCTGTTTCCAAATGAAGGTCTTGCTGCTGAACATAGCCGATTCGGCGCTGGAAAGTGGCATCCCGGGGAAGACCATTGTTGAAGACGCCACCCGTCACAACTCCCATGGTCACTCGATTGGCTAGCACATCTAGTAATGTGGTTTTGCCTGCTCCGGACGCGCCCTGGAGTGCATTAGCATCTCTTCCATTAGGCTGCTACTCAAATAAGACGGTGATGCTTACCATCAGAGCCGTTAGTTTTCCTGGCTTGACCCAGCCGTTGGCGTGATCGGTAATTCTTCTCGTTCGACCCTTGATCGTGATATCATAGCAAAGATCCCGCCAGTGAAAAACGTTTCTTTGTGCTGTAATGCCACTGGATACTGGTTGGTTGACTTCTTCTTGCTTGTATTTCTCACTCGACGTTGGAGATCCGGATTCCTCATCCCCCACTCTCTTCTCTTTCACGGCTGAAAGATGACTGCGTTGGAAAATGAGAACTTCCCCCTTCCCAATGTCAGAGCTGATGTACTCGGCTGACAATAGATAAACAGTCATGAAGAATATTATGAAGGCAATAAGGATGCCGAAGTTTCTGTAGATCTCATGTCAGAAAGGAAGCAAGTAGTTCACAGTAGTAGATAACGCACCTCCACACATGTGAGTAGGAATACCCATAGCTCATGGCAATATAGCGGTCTCCGCTGACCACAGATGACCCAGCCGAAGCACCAACCACTGAACATGTGCGCTCCGCGCTGGTTATGTTTTGATAAACAGGTCCAGCTGGTACAAAACTGGCACATTCGAAGTTGCGGCCATGGAATTCGTTCGCAATCAACGCCTCATAGGAATATGCAAGAGGGTTGAGATAATTGATCCATCGCAACCAACCTTGCATGTTGCGGATGGGCAAAATGAAGCCTGTGTACAGAACCATGGCAATGACCATCAAGGCCGCTGGTGTCAATGCTTCCGCAATTGTTCGAGTCGTTTGGCCGATGGTTCGAAATATCATTGACATGACGAGGGTTGAGGAAAATGCAAATAACAGGTATATCAAGACGTGACTCGATTCGTTCCGCAAATTGGCCATGTAGTACAGTGGGATATTGAATGCGACTGTTGATAGCATTTTGGAGGGAAGGTCACAGATCATAGATGCCATAGCCTCAGAGAATGGATGGTAGAAAGCATAGGTCGCATGCTTTTCGACGATTGGGCGTTGGGCATAAAGGGACAAAATCTTTCAAGGTGTCAGGTGTCCTCCCCGATTCTTACTTCACTTGAGTATGACTTACCTCCAAAGAACTGTTGAGAGCATTGAACAAAAGGGCAAAAAACAAAACAATGCAACGGTCATTGAAACTAGCGCTTGTATCCTGGAGACTGTAGAAGACGCTGCCTAGAAGCAATGAAATCACAAAATTTCCCCCGACCGTGATGACAAAAAAGGTCATGTCGCCTTGGATTCGACTGAGTCCCCTCTGAATGCAGAGAAGGACTTGCAATGGGACTGAAATCGTATATGGCGAGTTCGGTGTCCTGAAGAAGTCAGTTTCTTGGTGCTCAATAATTGGGAGAAGGACGTACATCCAAGAAGCTTTCTCAGCTTGCCGAGACTCCTTGAAACTTTCAATAGCCGGGCGTCCCACTGGGTATTTGCTTTCAAATTCTGCAATATCCTGCATCAATTCCTTGTGAAGTGCACTCTCTTTCCACGCCTTTGCGAATTCCTCCGGAGTCCGGGGCACTTTGGATTCAAATCCAGATCTGACCACTCGTTCAACCGGATTAGTGAGGGAAGTCAGGAAATCAGGGGTCGTCTGTCGGTCTGGGCAGTGGTAGCCAAGATTCACAAAGTAATTTTTGGCTACATCAACAGGCCCATAGTATATTTGTCGACCCTCGTATAGCACAGCAACCTTATCAAAAGCCTGCCAGAATGGAGTTAGCGCAAATTTGCTTTAGTGATAGAGCAAGTTGGATTAGGCCATACCTCATAAGCTTGTTGGGAAGCTTGGTATAAGGCTACAACTGTTGCGATACTTGTGATGTCCACTGACAAACGTAGAGTCTGGACAAACTTTAGCGCGGTGGCACTGTCCAATCCTCGTGTGCTATTATCCCAGCATTGGATTGGGCTTTGAGCCAAGCAAACCTCGGCGATGCTGACTCTCTTGCGCTCACCACCACTGGCACCACGGACAAACTCATTACCAACTTTCGTGTCCATTGTGTGTGTCAAACCAAAGACGGCCATCGTAACATCCCGGATGTGTCTGGCATATTCATCACGAGAGACGCCGGGAAGTCGGTTCTCAGGAGTCTTCGCCAAGGCTGCATACAGAAGTGTTTGGCCAACGGTCAAATGCGGGAAATGGGTGTCAGTCTCGGCCTGATAAATAACATCGCCACGGAACTCTCCTCGAATCTTTTTGCGAGGAATGCCTTGAAGAGATGTAAGCATCGATCGTGACTGCGGAAGTGACATACAAACCTTGGTAGTTGAAATTCGAGGCTTCGTCCAGGTGAAGTCCTTTGGTTTGACCTGCGATCGTCTTGAGGAATGTTGAAACTCCACTGGAACAGGTTCAAAGTCAGCGAACCTTTTCATGTCGAAATTTTCATTGAGCCTTAAAAGTCTTACCTGCCTGGCCGACCCAAGACAAGGAGCATCTCGCCACTTCGGAGTAGACCATTGTGGCTTTGCAAAATTTGAATCTTTTGGTCCCTACGGTTGATGAGGCCAGAAACAAGATCCTTCACTTGTAGAAAAACGTTGAGGAAGTTCTTTTGATAGCTGATGGGGCTACCAAATCCGTGAACACTGAGATCACAGAAAGAAAATCCCGCCTTTCGAGGTAAATAATGCTCAGAATTCTGAGAATTCAGACACAGAACTGTTTCTGCCCATTTCTTGGGGCTGAATTCCTTGGAAAACGGGTCAAGCCCAGGGTCATTAGAGCCCTTGAAAGGGTTGGCCATTACTCCTTGAACCTCCGTTTTGGTTGAAGCATCCGTTAGCCGCCTAGCGAGCTTCGTGATCTGCGCCCTGTCTCTCTCCGAAATATTCCTAGAGTCTTTGTCACCGAGTCCTTTTGTTACGCCTGACCGTCCTTGTTCAAGTTCTTCCTGCGCAGATGCCATGGTTCTGGCCTCGTCGCTGATACTTTCGGATTGAGACGACATTGGAGGTTGAGATTGACGAAACGACCATGAGATCTATCGGGGGCTGGAAAGAAGTGTCGGGGGAAATTAGTGCAAATTGCAGTAAAGTCTGGTTAAGATATTGAAGTTCTGGCAAAGAAAAAGCTCAAGTATCTACCCAGCTGGATACTATGGGCATGAATGAAAAACGTCACTACGGTCCCTCGGCGGGCTTTATATATTAGCACTACCAGTAGTATATACTAGTAGTATTAATAGTATCTTCTACCAAGTCGTTTCTACTATTAATAATTCATCAGCGCATAAAACCAATATGTCATTTGGCGCAAAAACTTGAAATCTACCCTGCAGAATCTCTAATCTGTGTTGTATTCAGTTTTATTTCGGCGCCGATGTGGGTCAACCGTTATCCATCCTCGAGTGATGTTTCTATTTCTGTGGTGGGGTTCTCCTTTGCGGCGCCGAAGATGCGCCTCCTTTTTCGGCCCATGTGGGCCCCGTTGAGTCAGAAGAGACAATGATTGGACATGTCCTTCGGCGTCGGAGACTTGGAAGGACAGCTTTAAAGAACGATTTCGGCGCCCCTTCTGCCACTTTTCCAGCAGCTTTAACCCTTTGACGTAGCTAACGGTCATGTCGGAAGCACTACATCAGGCCTGTGATGCATGCCGTATCCGCAAGCACCGGTGCAGTAAGTTCCGCCTTATAGTTTTCAATTTCCGTGCCGCTGATATCGGAAACAGAGATGAGCACTGCCGATAGGTGTGAATTTTGCTTGGTAGGCACTTCCTTTTATCTCTGAATTGGGGCTGTACGTTAATGATGACCGAAATGTGCAGTCCCGCAATAAAGATTGCTGCTTCAGCTTCATCAAAAAGCGTCGAAAACGCAAGCTGAGCCAGTCCGGTATAGTGCTCGAAATAAACAATAGACCCATAATTCCACTCATTGAATATTCAGAAGATCCGTCGGCACAGCTCAGACTCGGACCTAAAGGGCATAAGCATGGGGGAGACTTGCTAGAGCACAGCAACATTTCTCCAACTACACTTTATATCGACTCGTTATTAGCCGATCGGCCGGCTTCGCGCATTTCCGGCAGCGCCAAACGCCCAGATCAAGTTAGTATACCTGGGCGCTTTCCAAATTCTATTGCATTCGAACTGATCATGCCGATTTATTTGGGTTTAGTTGACGGCTATATTTGGCCCGAACCACAATATCTCTTTCTTCCCGGCAAAAAGAGTTCGCTCTATCAGCGAAAGGCTCGGGCATAACAGGTTAGAACAGCTGCTCGCAGATATTCGAGATATTGTTGCTGCCAAGGTGCAGACAAGTTATTCGATATCTCACTCCAGAGATCTCAAAGATTTCAATTCACACCATCCTCACGACTTTCCTCATCCCGAGTCCCTCGGCGCGCACATACTCGGTACGTCTAGACCATCGACCCACTTTCCGTGACTATATAGAGTTCCCTTATGGGTCCAGTAACTAATCCACTTATTGAACAGTTTATTTTGAAGCAGTGCATCCCATATATCCTTTCCTTTGCGCTGCCGAATTCCAACGACAGGCAGCTTCCCCAGATCTATCAAACTTTCTTTCCACTGACAAAGCCTTTGCGGCGCTGTATTATGCAATTGTTGCGATTGGTTGCCAACATAATGAAGGAGGTAGCTACGAAGCGGGCATTGGCGACGCATGGTCATACTTTCGAAGATCGCTGTCCCACTTCCAGGATCTCATTTTAGCTCGTGGTTCGCTCACAGCAGTCCAGGTCTATCTCCCCTTATCATGATGTGTTTTTTTTCCGAGACTAAATACGTTGTCCGCGTTATAGGCTCTCATTGCTATGGTATAACGCGAATATTCCTTTCCTTCAAACCATAAGAACTCCGCTGAAGTACTATACCAGGCTATATTCTCCTCGACTGCGTGCGCCTTTCAATTTGACTCCTTGATTATCTCGCAAGCTGCAATTATGGCGCAGGACTTGGGCTATAATCGGTCTAATGGTGCACATGAAGTTTCGCAAAGGCGCACCTTTTGGGTGTTGTACTTCATGGAAAAGGTCTCTTGTTTTACAACAGGAAAGGTCTCGGTATGCCTCTGACATTACTTTTGACCCAGAAAGCTGCTAAAGCGAAGATTTCCAGGTCCTGCAAGACTCAAATATCAGTTGCGCTATTCCAGATGTACAAGAATCTACCTTTGATGACTATGATTGGTTTTTCGGCTTTCTGCGATACGCCCGCCTGGTGTCCAAGATTCGCAATGACTTCTTACAAATAACTTCACTAAGCCAATCAGCTTCTGAATATATTACCAAGGGACAAGGCCTTCTAAAAGAGTTGGAATCTTGGCGTCTTTCTATCCCGGAGCGCTTTCGTGCCGGAGTGTCGCTCAAAACTCGTCTATTGCGAGAACCACTCGCTCAGCGAGTCGCCCTCATGACACATTACATGTACTTTCACGCACTGCTCACTTTATCTTGGAGCCTTTTGCATTCCAGTGCAATCAAGGTGGGCCCCATGCAAGAGCAGCTTGATCTGAAACGCAGTATGATGCGAACTGCACGCTCTGTTTTGGAACTTACTAAGTTCATTGAGGTTGCTCCCTCAACTCCAGTCTGGTGAGTCCATAAAAGAAAACATCTGGCCTTGTCAATTATACAATGGAACAAACGTCCGATGAGACAGACAGGAAATTCACTGACAGCCCCTATCCAGGATTCTGGCAGTTTTGCCATTGTCATGTCTGATGATTCTCTTTGATCTGGTGGTTCATAACCCGGATCACCCTGAGGTCAGCCTCAGTCTTGCACTCCTCGATATTGCCGGTGGGCATTTCAGCCGACTAGAATTCGCCAGCAATGGCACTTTGCCTGGCTCATTAGTCGCCCAGTTCGCACACCTCGCACGCCAGTATATCTCTGAGAAGAGGGTGTGCAAACAGAAATTTATCAGCTTAAGCATTCCTGATTCCTCAAATCCTGTGCAATTCGAGGTTCTTGGTGGACCAACAGACTCGGAAATGCTGCCATCCTCTTCACGTTTATCTGCGATTGATGTAACAACATCGAATCAGCCAGCCGAGGCGCTGTCCGGTCTACATGAGCAGCTGCCGCTCAATTCCACAGCGACATCAACGTGGAATTCAAATTTTCTGAGTGAAAGTGATGCATTGTTCATTCCTTTCATCGATGATCCAAGCTATCGTAATGAGGATCTGGAATTGCTAGGAACCGACCTGAAGGATTTGTTTGATTATTCATGTGCAAGATGGTAAAGAAGCCTCTTGCGATATAGACTAAGCTACTACTAGTAGTAGTATTGTACAGTACTTTGGGTTGCTTTCAAGTTCTAGCAAGCATTGCTGCAAAAGAATATAGTAGTGCTAAACGCCTATGAATTCTAGCCAGAGACTAGTATCACGTACTAGTATTGTATCCTAACATATAAAGATTATACTGTTGTTGTAACGACCTGGTGTTGTTACCATTCGTGGATGCCTTACACCTGCGGCCTCCCACTTAGGCATCCATGCCTACATGTATACTATTTCCATTTCAGCTTCCTCCTTCTCTCTCTCCAAGCTATTACTTTCGCTCGAACCGCTACTACTTCATTGCATCGTATGCTACGCCATACGTTATTCTGTGAGTATCTGAGCATCCTCACGGTGGTCACCTGGGAATGAAGGCATGAAGGCAAAAACCACATCGCAACTACTCGTAGCTAATTTAAAGCCTGTTCTCTACGAACGGTACCTAACTAATACTAGTACTAGTAGTCACTAGACACTAGACACGGAGTAGATGGTAATGAAATGTGGGTGCGGAGTTGTGAAATTGCAGCTGTATACTAGTATATTATTATAAGAGCCAGTTATATTACGAAAAGCCAAGATGCCATGTATCTCGTAGCCAGAGTCAACTCTAACCAAGTGGGTCAGAGCATAGACCCTGCCTGCCGGAGAAGAGAACCTTATTCTCCTATTCGCCAAAATTACTACTCTCCAACTCAATGGCAGTCCCAGTCCGAGTCCTCGCCCAATGATCGAGAACTCAGAATCCCATTGTCGCGGACGCCGGGTCCATGAAGCCACTAAAAGCATATATAAGGCCACATGATCGCCTTCGAGACAATTTCCGACGGGCCAGGGCAGACCGAGCTAGGCCCTGCAAACTCGTATGCAGGAGAATGGGCATATAGGCGGTGAATAATCCCCGTATTCAACGACGGGGAATCGGTGGAGCCATATAAAAGGGGGGTTTGGTCCCCGAGTATAAGCTGGGGGTAAACCGGGAGGGTTCCTGGCCCCCAATTCCCCGCGCCAGAATCCCACTCTTATATCGGACCAGAAACCCCAACTTCAGGCAGCTTTTGCTATCTTCTTTATTACAAGACTGAATGCACATCATTTCCCATTCAGCTCGGTCCATCCTGGACCCAAAATCGGCCAGCATCGAGATATGACGTAAGATCTAGCGGGTCTATGCTAGGCCGAACACCAAGCTCCAGCACATCGCGCGCGACAGCTTTAATCTGTCGCATGATGGATTGGGAGATGGCCCAGGTACGAGCCAATGATCGGAAAACACCGATGGTCAGACCGATTCGATCGCGACTGGGGTCAGGCATCTGGCCTGCCTTGACGGAGCAGGCGGCCAGCTGAACGATGGAACTGAGCGTGAGTGCGCAAATAAAGAAAGGCGTGTGTCGCTCCACGGGCAGACGCATGGCCGCCAGCGTAGACAGCTCGCTGGCTGCCTTGACGGCCTTCATGGCATGGGCGTGGTGGGAGAAGGCGGGAACACTGATCGGACCGTGGTGACCACAGATTACTTCCGAGGCGACTGCTGGGGATGACAAGAGATCGGAACGAGGGAAGTTCAGGTAGATGGAGGCTCCATTTACTATCATGGTCGCTTGAAACATGATCTCATCTACCGAACCATCCGGTCGCATGAGTTCTGCCTTGGATTCCGGCAGGTGGTGGAACCAACTAGCGATACGGGCATCGATGGCCTCGACGTTATCCTGCTGGCCCTCGGTCATTTCTTGCGTGGCCACCACACGACCAAGAATCCGCACCGCTTCAATTCGGTAGGAATAGGAAGAGAAATCACGCTCCTCATCGGCAAAGACACGCTCATCGAACTGGGCAATTGTCGGTGCAGGTGGCGGGGTCAGACCGTCCTGGTATATTCGCTCCTCGCAGGGAAGTGGGACTTCGGGTAACACCAGGTTAGTGCGGTACACGCTTTGCACGCCGAGGGCCGTCAGCATTCCCTCGATCACAAACAACTCCCACCAGGTCCGTCGCAGACACTCGGCGCGGATTGGATCGCCGTTGCTCGCAACCTCGGCATAGTTGGCTTGGTTGAGACCAATGTCAAGTGCTAGATCTACGGCACTAGCCAAACATTGCCCAGCCTCCATCCGCTCATTTCGTGAATGCAACACAATCGCTAGTAAGGAGGAGAGCCTGGATCTTCTCGATGCTGGTGACTTGCTCGTGAACCGCCGCGACAACCATTGGGCGATAGATCTCACTTGAGGTGGCCGGGGTGAAGTGAGCGCCAATAAACTTCATCACTTGTTCCAGATATGGAGGGAAATTGGAGCGGTATAGGAATCGTAAGGGTGGGAGAATAGGATGCGCGGCGTGAAAGTAGGTATAGTAAATATCGAGTAGGTATCCGTCGCTGCCGACAGAAGAAGAAGAATCCGGGGTCAACGGGCCCGGGATCGGACGGGTTGGAGGCATTGTGATAGGAAATTCGTGCAATCCGGGGCTTGCAGACCCAGAGGAAAGCAATGGCATTGTAGGTGTATATTGATGATGATAGCCTGGAAGTCCCCCATCCCCACCTCCACCAGTTGATAGATGATTCCAGTCGACGGAAACATCGGCCTTACCGACGAAAGGGTCCATGGGCAGCTGGTGCTCTGGCGATTCATCATTAGCGCGACGCTTCTTCGATGGACCTTTGTAACCTCGGCGTGATTTGGTGTAGTTGCACTCGGAACCGGTCAAAGCACAACGGCCGCAGATTGGAGATCGACCATCACATTTCAGATGTTTCTGACGACACAGTAGACAAGCGAGTAGTGATGGACCGGGGGGTTTAGGGCCGGAAGGAAGAGGATCGGCCATGGTGAATGAGTTGAGGAGGGGGAGTTGTGGGAGGGAAGAGGAAGAAGAGGAGGAGGAGGAGGAGAAGAGGGGAATCTCATTGAGTGCAGCCAGGAAGAACCCCGTCACTTTCACTCTCACTCTTTCCCTTCCCGCCGATGCCACTTGTTCCTCTTCCACCTACACCTCACCACCACCACTCCTACACTCACCACTCACACTCATACTTGTCATTTACTACAATTACACTACTCTACTCTACACTATACCACTCACTTGAGCTCTCCTCCAGCTCTTCTGCCTATCAATCGCCCTCCGCGCTCCCGCTCCCGCTCCCTCCATCTCCACCTCCACCTCCGCCTTCACCATGATCTCCGACGGTGACCTCTATCGTCTCGCCATCTTCCTGGGCTCTTGCGCCATGATGATGATTGTCCTTTACCACTTCCTCGATGTCAATGCCTCTGACGAGGAGCCTACCGATACCACCACCACAAAGTCCTCCTCCAAGCCTATCGAGTCTACAACCGCGTCGTCATCCGGGCCCACAGCCACGTCGCCAGAGTCAGGGAAAGCGAAATAAACCCCAGGAGTTGATATTCAATTGTCTTCAGAAGCTAGGGGATGGGCAGGAATCCACATCCTCAAGCTTGGTTTGGCGTTTTGAGTGTGGCTATGAGAGGACTGCAAGTGCATGTACAATAAATACCAGTCCAGTCCAGTCCAGTCCAATTCAGTTCAGCGTGATAGCCACGTCTCCTCGATTTACTCCTTTTGTTTTGTGAATTTTCTTTCTGGCACGATTTCTACCAACCAAGGTTATCTACTCGACTTTTTGCGTCTGAATTGGAGCTTACACTGTCTCATGGACACATGATCTTTTGGGCATCTCTACCCCGTATGGGGGATGCAATTCATTCGATTAAGGTACTCTGGTACCCAGATGCAAAGACGCTTGTGTATCACAAGATAGTGTAGCACGTAAATGGGACAAAAGGGGCGGCCATCCGCGCCCATCCTCGCTCAACATGCTTCTAAAACCACAAACAATTTGTCCGTGCCATATCGAGCTTTCAACTCCGGTCGCAATCCATGTAAAAAAAAAAAAAAAAAAAGAAAAATGATAATAAAGCAAGGGTATCACGGGTCGGGGAATAGAACAGATGAAAGTAATCGATCAGTTGGCCACCACCATTTCTTCCTGGTTGACCGTCTCCTGGCACATTACAGGCGAGATTCGATGACTGCTCGCCTCCGAGGTCACGCCAGTATCGTCGAGCCAGCGAACGCCTCCGTCGGTCATTGCACGGGCACTTAACTCCGTTGTTTGAATTCCATGCGATCGGTTGTAGGCGACTGCCATACTGTTGTCCGCCGGTAAGGTCATAGTACTCGGGCGCGCATTCCGAGTGAGAGGAACGGTAAAGCGGGTAATTTTGTCATCAGCTAGAGAAGCCACTGATATTAGATCATGTTTCTTCGTAAATCATCATTCAAAGCCGAGCTTCCGGCAGCACGCTATCAAACGCAGCAGGCACGTCACTTTTCTCACCAGTAACAGGTACTTTTGGTCCATCTCCAAATTTCCAAGCCACGGGACGCATGTGCGCACCCTGAGCGTGATTCCACATATCCGCAGCTGCCTTGGGGTTCGTGTCACTGCAGCCCTGCCACTTGCAAATGAAACTGTACGGGATGTGCATCTGCATCAGATGACTTTCCAGAGCTTTCAGATTATGCAACTCGGATTGGCAGTCTCCCCACCGGCATCGAAACACAGGATATTGGACAGCGGGCTCCGGAGCGGGGATGGCCACCTCGACAATCTTCTTTGGTCGGCCTCTCGTCTTGACAGAAGACATCTTGATTGGAGAGGGAGGAACGATGACTTGCGGCTCCGGGTAGCCTTTGGAGGAATGCGAGCGCGGAGTTTCTGCCCGCGGAGGGTGTGTCGCGGAGGGGGTGGCTCGTTGGGTAGACTGTGGCTTGGATGTAGAGTTTGCTTCTGGCATGGATTTTGGTGTTGATTTGGGAGTTGACTTGGGAGTATGTTTGAATTTCGCAGATTGTTTGGGTTGTTTGGGGGGAGACGGGTTTGGCGGGGGCGGTAAGTGAGGTAAGTGAGGTGAGAGTGGGGGGGTAAACAGTGGAAGCTGTTTGGTGGTGGTTGGGCGGTGTGAAGCCGGGGATTGCGGCCGGGGTGGATCCGGGGAGCTTCCGAGAATTTGTGAAAGATGCGCGAGAATGATAGCCCGGTGCCTGAAATGGGAGCTCACGAAGTGGATTGTAACGATTGTTCACATTGGGGGAACGGGGGACGTGCAAATCAATCCACGGCAAAGCTGCGGCGTTTGCTGGGAGTGTTTGCGGTTGTGACGTCGCGGTTGTTGGTGCTGGTGCTGGTGCTGGTGATGGCAGCCCTGGAAGGCCAGTGACTGGGGGCTTTGTGACTAAAACGGGCGCACCGATCGGGACGGGCGGTGGGAGTCCCCGTGGGTCAGACACAGGCGGTGCAGCCCCAGTCCCCCGATTTTGGGAGACCAAACTCGCTTGAGCTTCTTCCACGAGATCCCAGCGGAAAGTAGTCAAGTCTTTAGAAGCATCAACCTCCGGGAACTTGTTCCGAATAGCCGCCATGTGTTCATTCAGGGGCCTTTCTGTAGGATGTTTGGCACAATTGATCAACACATCGTGTGCAATCGTCGCCGGATCATAGCTGAATTTCTTGAGCGCGTCGGCAGTGTTCATGGGCTGAATCATATCCGGCTTCAGAGGAATATGTGATTGAGACGGGGACTTTCGAACATAATCGCCAGCTTGGAATCTTTGAGCCACGGGGCCACACGGCATTTGTTTGACTTGGAATTTCGTCCCATTGTTCAATCGACGCGATTTAGAAGGCGGGGCCTGCGAAAACCGCGGCCCAGATTGCGCAGCTCTACCAGGATCCCATGGCTGGCCGGGAGGAGGGCTTGGCACAGGGTTTGGAGCCTGAGGTAGTTGTTGGGAGCTACTCAATTGAGGTGCGGTACCTGTTGTTGGTTTTGGTAATGGGGACGGCGTAGGTGCAGAGACCGAGTCTGATTTCGCCGGATGGGAGGTTTGGTACTTGTACTGGCCAAGAGGACCGGTATATTGCCGAGGTGAGAAAATACCCATGGGTGCAGGAGAAGGTTGAGATGGTGGTGGCTGACTCTGAGAGCTAGCATGCGGCGCAAGAGACGCCGCAGTACTGGGAGCTTGACCAGGCTTGGAAGAAGTTTTCAATTGAGAGGAAGCCGGACTGCTTGCTTGTAGCTGATTAGATCCCGAAGCAGAGGGCAACACGGGAGAGGCATTTTGCGAGTGAGAGGAAGCATGGGAGGCATGCCGACTGGCTGGTAGATGATCGGGAATGGATGTGAAGGTCTGTCTGGTTGGGATGGAAGGGAGTGAGGCAGGAAGTGAGGCTCTCTTTGGGCCATCTGAGATCAGATGGGTTCTAGTCAAGAGACTTGGAGCGATAGTTGTAGGGAGGCTTGGTAGGCGCATATTAGGACTCGTCATTTGAGCTCTTACTGGGGCCACAGGTCCAGGACCTGTATAGCTAGTAGAACTTGCTTGAGGACGCGGTTCCAGTGTACTGCGGGATGCCGATGTATACGGTTCCCTCGGGGGACTCGTTTGAGAAAAAGCGGGCGCCGCTAAAGGGCGCTGTTCGTCAGGAGTGGGAATAGATGCTCGACTCTGGGGACGTGCAATCGCATTCTGCACCCCGGCTGACCGAATTTCTGATTTGAGATAGTCATCTTTCTTCTGTTCGACAGAGGCGGTTCCCGTAGGTCTTTTCATAGGTCTTTCCATGGATACATTCGGGGAAGCGCGCATCTGGGGCAGGAATCGACTATGTGGCATCTGCTGTGCAGGTGCTTGCATTGGCGCGGTCGTAGCAGCAAATTGCTGTGGTGGGGTCGCCGAGTTTGTAGTGTAATCCTGGGCTGGTCGAGAATCATCAGATCGATGACTGAACGTTTGCGAACTCAAACTTGCACCAAAGGGCCGTTCAGATTGCCGCCGCTGTGCATTAAGAATGATTTGCTGTCGCTGCTGCTCCTCTCGTTGACCTCTCTCTTGTTCTTGTTGAAGCTGCTGCCGCTGCTGCTCTTCGTTCTGTCGTTTTTGTTTCTCTTGCTCTTGTTGACGTCGGCGGAGCTCATCTTGCTTTTGCTGCAGAATTTCCTGTTCACGTTGTGGCGGTTGCTGTTGTTTCTGGCGCTCCTGCTCCAGGCGTTGCTGCTCCTGTTGGTCTCTCTTCTTTTGCTTTTGTATTCGTTTCTCCTGTTCAATTTGTCGCCGTTGCTGCTGCTGCTTCTGATGCTCTTCTTGTTGTCGTTGCCGTTCCTGTAGTCGCGATTGCTGCTCTTCCTGCTCCTGCCGCCGCTGCTCATCTTGCTGCTGCGAGTTGTACGGCGCCTGATGTTGTGTCTGATATTGCGACTGGTACTGTAGGTGTTGCTGCGGCTGTTGATAGTGCTGTTGGTACTGCTGCCGGTACTGCTGCTGTGGGCTTTGCTGATGCTGCTGCTGCTGCTCTGGCTGCGGTAGATTTTGCCGGCGCCGTTCCAATGCGAGCCACCCTTCCTCATAAGACGGGGATAGATTAGGATATCGGGAGTCTACTGGTCTCTCCAACGGAGTCGGCGCTCTAACATCCGCGTCAGGTTGAGACTGAGACACTCTGCGCTGATTCTCCTGGACCCGGACGTAAGCGGCATAGGCAAACTGGGCCATGTGTGCTGCATCTTCAAATGCCGAGTGCGGGGAGTATGTTGTAGGCAATTCTTGCTGAATTTCTTGGGGATCGTTCGCTCGCAGAGGTTGGGCATGGGACTCGTCCCATTCGTCTGGCCAGCGGTAGCCATTGTACTGGTCATTCATTGTTGACCATATCCGAGGGAGGGATGCATTACCGATGGTAGCACATCATGGGCAGAAGTCGAAGCAAGAGAGAGTTTCAGAGGTCGAAGCAGACAAGTAGAGATCATAATACAGTGAACAGCAACTTAGCTCTTCCTTTGTCCAATTCGTCCCTGATTGCCGTCGCGCACGCGCGCGGACGGTAGATCGGGCAGAAATATCCCGGGCGGTGAGGCGGCCGTATAAATCCCCGCGGGACCCAAGATCTCACTTCTTCACTTCTCCAATCGCAAACGCTTGTCTCCTTGTGGTGATGGGCGTTTATAAGTCCTCATGAAGACTCACCCAGAGGTTCCCGGACCTGCTGCATTATGCAATTTCTCAGCTGGTCATAATGCTCGACATCTGAAAAATTTGCCGTCTGAACTGTTCTTCATGCCACTGAACGATGAAAGTCAAATTCATCATGGACCGGGACTTCAATTACCATTGAACCCAATTTTGAATAGCTAACCAAGTACAGCAGATTGACAGCATCCTCTATCCAAGCCACTTCCCGCTTCTTCCCCATCCCGGTCGAACTTCCGCCATATTATCACCTCGTCAACCCCGCTTCGGTGGCTCACATGGTTGAAGAGATAAACATTAGGCGTATAATAAATTGCAGATCCAATCGGTCATTGATCGGTTGGTGATGTTGTCTCGCTTGCAGACCGACTCTTGATGCTTCTAGCTCTGATGATGTTGGTTTGAAAGTGAGGTACACTCCTGTAAAATATAGCATGTCAATGATTTTTTTAACCGAGTCAATTATCGTTTTTCCATTCTACCTACCAGTAGTACCTAGGTGCCGTTTTTAAGGTTCTTAAGATATAGCAGAACATTATTGTTGGCCACTTAGGCATCTTCAAGTTGCCATGATCGACCTAATGAGGCCTACTCAGTCGTAGATAGTACTGTCATGAATGGGGATATACGAGAAAACTTCTGGCATCCAAGTCCAACCATTGCTAAATGAACAGACCCTCTGCTCGGCACAAGAACCGAGAGATATAAACGGCAATTTAATAGAACTTGCTACGTTACAAGACCATAGCTGGACTGGAAGTATGTAAAATATCAGGTTAATGTACACGAATCTTGCCAGATGCGATGTTGAAGAACGAAATCAAAGGAGTGGAAAAAGGAGCTCAAGAAACCGAAACCAAAGCCACCATATCATACCTCATAACAGCTGCGGTGTTTAAAAAGAAGAAGAGAGCCAAAAGTCAAGTCAAACTGCAGTACTTGCTAAAGTCTACCCGGCCGAAGGTCGCCAATCAAACCGGGGGACTCGCTCGCTCACTCACTCACTCACTCATGAGCTATGGCTAACACACTTCGACCACGCAGGCAATCCACATCCCATCCCAATAAAGAGATAAAGAAGGAAAACAACAACAACACCCAACAAAACCATCAACTTAATATTCTTCCACCACATCCGTCGACGCAGCCCACGACTCCGCATCCGAAAATCATGCGCACTACCCCCCAACCGATCCGTCTTATCAACAAGCAAATCAATTCGCTCCCCACGCTCAAGAACCCGCTCAATATTCTCCGTCATGATATCGCGCACGCTATCGATCTCCCGCTTCGCAGACGCAAGCGAGTCGCCCGGCGGCGCGGTGTTGTATGTTTGTAGTAGCGAGCGGAGTTCGGCGTTGAACGCTGCGCAGCCGTAGGCTGGTAGGGCGCTGAAGTCTGTGCTGGATGGGTTGTAGGTTGTTAAGAACTTGCGTTTCATTTCGAGGAGGTAGGCGAATGGGATGCGTCGGCCTTGTTTCGGCGGATGCGACCACTATGAAGCTTAGCGGGGCGTAGGAGCTTGTTTCTGTGCGGCTACTTTGGTCATCTGTTAAGTTGCCGGATGGGGAGTCGGCGATGTAGTGTACGAATAGGCGTTCGTGGGTGTAGGTGAGTTTCTGGGGCTTGTCGTGGGTGATCTTTGGGAGGATGATGGAGGCGAGAGAGGAGGCGGCTGTGGAGGAGGCTCCTGGTGAGGAGTGCTCCGCCAGGATTGTAGTGCGGTTGGCGATGCATGAGCTGGATTTGATCGAGGTTGGTTAGATGGTTGTTCGGGGGTTGGCTGTAGATGATGTCGGGGTTGACTTACTAGAGCAGGAAGCTCGGGGGGTTAGAGGACGAGCCTGAGGCCATTTTGGGTTGATGGAAGCGGATGTTCTCTGGTTGAAGTGAGGGCCCTGGAGGTGTAGTGAGATTGCAACCTGCGAGAGAGACTCTAGGATAATATCAAGACTCAAGAGTATCCCTGGTCGTCGACGTTGGTTGCGCGGATGCCGTTGCGGAGCTGCTGTGGGTCAGCTTAGTCACGTCATCAGGTGTCTATTTTCAGGCATCACTTCAGGCGTCAACCAGTTCCAGCTCCTGTGTGAATCCGAGAGAAAGTTCAGGTAAAGTATCTTTATTTATCAAGGGAGAACAGACTCTGAATTTACGGCCCAATCAGGGTACGAATACTATTTCAAGGTTACACTTCCGTGTCACATATTGGTGGACGGGCGAATGCGCCGAGATCGCAGTGGTTCGTTATAGTAGATTTTGGACATGTTCCAGTCTGGGATTCATCTCGGTTCAAGTTACTTTGATCTATCGCTCGAGAACTTAATAAACTGCAATATCAAGACTGGCTCGTAACAGCTGAGGTTTATTCATTCATCAAAAAGATATTCTTCTTTCTCATAGCTACCTATGGGCGTGTGTTTTCAATACATCGCGAACTTGATAGGACAGACAAGCCCACTAGAGGCGCCCATCAATTATCTCAAATCCATGAGAAGCTGCATCATTCATAATTTTGTCATGGTCATGGTTAACGTGATCGTCGTGATCGTTGTCATCATTGCTGGTGTTTTCAGGGTGTTCCATATCCTCATCATCATTATCATTGATGTCGGATTGATGGCCCATCAGAGTACTGTTGCTATCGCTGTCTGCACAGTCCATCTCGAAGTTGAATTCTCCGTGGCTGGATTCGACCAGGTAGTCAATTTCCGAGACTTCCTCGAAACCTTCAGGTCCTTCAGGCTGTGCAAGATCCGTTTGCATAATGGAGCCCTCATCAAACGAGCTGTCCAGAGACTGGACTTCGGTCTGGTGTGAGAGTGTGGCACGGTTGGATGCGCCGTCGATTGTGCTTTGCGAATCTGACGGGCCAATATCACTGAATGAATCCTCCGTTGTTGCATTGCTGCCAGTGTGTACTGCAGGTCCGGGAGTGGAGAACCCGCCGGTTTCCATGATCGGAATATCTTGATCTTGGAAAACACCGCCGCTGCCATCATCATTGCCTCCTGCCCAGAGGGGCAACAGGTTTAACTGTTTTTCTGAAAGGCAGCTAAGTGTATCGATAGACTCGATTGGAATCGAGGTCCTTTCGGTGGGGAAAAGTAGTTCCCGCGCGATTTGGCGGATGTAGGTATTGGCCGAGACAAGGAATAGAGTCAGGTCAAAGGGATTGGCGGGTGATCCGAGAAGATTGCCTTGGGCAAGTAAATGGTGGGGCTGAATCGGTGCCACGTTTTCAGGGAAATCCGAATACTCTGGGAAAGCCTGATTGTTTTGATTTCCTTGTCTCGGAAGGCCGGTTTCTCCCAACGAAGGAGGTCCGAACATATCTCTAGAGCGGTGGTCGGGCTCGGGCTCGAGGCCATCACCGACTCCGAGCTGAGACTGCTCACTATTCCAGTTTTGAGCCTCGCGTGGACGAAAGACGAATGGTTTGCTGTGCGGATTCAGTTCTGCGGACGGGACGAAGGCCGAGGATGAGGCAATGGGCCCCGCAAAGTTTGGCAGTAGTGGTCGCATCGGCAAGGTTACTTGATCGCTCTGGAACGCGGCTAACGATCCTTTTGCCTCTGCCTCAATTTTCCGGTTCATGTTGTTGGCCTCACTTTCAAGAAATGTGCGATGGAAATATCCGATTCTAGCCCTCTCGTGGCCTTTAAAAGCAAGAAGCCCTTCGCCAATATCTGAGATAGTCTGGTGGTACATGTGCTCCGGCTGGAAATCGGCGTCAGAAAGGAGACTAAATTTCAAGAGACCGTACCAGAAGGTCCTGCCAATGAGGCGTTGTAGAACATGCTCTCTATGGAAGGTGAAGCTCATCCGAGGGCTCATGGTCGCAGGGACTAAATCACTGGATCGAATTGGGTCCCGACTGCTTTTCAAAAGACTGTAGAGTCTGTACCTCACAAACTCCTTCAGAAGGCTTGTCAGATAATTGACTGCAGCCCGGTTTCGCGGGCATTGCTCTCGGTGCTCAATGAGCTTTTGATACTCAGGATTGTCGTCAAGCCAGGTCATCTCAGCCCCAGCAAGGTGCAGGAACTGGTCAATGAGATCATCGGCAAAGCTCTTGCTGGCATATTCTATGCGTTGCACCTCCATATCGTCCAGGAAGCCATTCATCCGACTGTGGGCGAAATTCTCAATGTAATTATGCGTGGGGCGGAGACCGGCAGTTCGAATTGTGTACAGCAAAGCTTCATCTCCGACGAGAGCGAGAAATGCGTGACGGCAAAGTTCGGGGGCCTTTATTCCACAAGCCACTCGGTATGCAATCTCCGGATGAATCTCAATGAACTTGGTGTTGGTTGTCTGGTAGAACCAGGACAGAATATATCCGCTTACAGCCGGCACAGTCGCCAGATCGAAGACTTTGGCTATCGCAAAGAATGTCCACAGCTTGGATGGAGTATCCAGGGAGATACCGAGACCTTCCACAACATGCAGGATGTGCTCAATTCCTTCCCGGTGACGCACAGGAGAGTACTCCACCGGTAGACTGGTTGGTTTTACAATGTTTGGAGCATTGACTAACCCCTCAGCTTGGAGATCAACAAAGCCAAGATCCTTCGGAGGTGCCTCGATATCTTCCTCGGTGGGGGGAGGTTGGCGGGGGTGACGACGGATAAGAAGTGATCGCGTTATCCACAGGCTCACAAATGTCCTTGCCTCCAACACACGAAGCCGGCAATTGCCACAGGAGCGTCTGCGAAGCCCATGTTCGAATACCCGACGGGCAGGATACCTCTGTCAATAGGATGACGGCATCTTCTTCTAGGATTGGAGGGGTCAGATCTAAGAGATATTTAATGCCCTGGGGAAGCGAGCCCTGGTGGAAGCCTCGTTGTTTGGCGACTCGTTTCTGCCATCGAGGATGAAAGAGTCTCGTCAGATAAGCAGAGCCAGTTGACAGCAATTTCTCACTGTGGACGCGATGAGTGGTTGTCGATGAGCATGACGGTTTACGGCAGGTATTCTCTGGTGGCGGGTCAATGTAGACGAGGGTATCACCATCATCGAAAAGCAAAAGTGGTATCATCGGGGCCTCGGTAAGATCGGACTCGCGTCGACGAAACGGGGGAATGGGCGTGGGTATGGGAATGGGTACAGTAGGCTCTGGCTGTTGAAAGTAAGTGTCCTCGGTAGGAACTGCCGAGGCTTGTAGAGCCGTCTCAGTTAACTGGCCATTATGCCAAGTCGAGATGACAGTAGGAAGCACAGGAGATGAGGGTCTGGCTCGAGGTGGCTGGAAGGAAGCCATGGTGGAGAAGCATGCATGGAGATGGGCACATCAAAGAGGTGAAGTGGAAGTGGAAGTGGAAGTGGAAGAAGGGAAGCAGGTGAACTCGAAGAAACGTGATCTTTGGGGGCGGAGTGAGTTGAGCCTCAAGCGGGAAGCTGCTGCCTGGGTACTTGCCGTAACTGTGCTCGACAGCAGTATGCTAGTATAGTATACGGTATAGTATACGGTATAGTATAGTATAGTAGTATAGCAGTACTTGTGATTACTACACTTCCATGACTCACATGACCTATATCAATACCTACTAGTACTATATCTATATCCAACAACTCGGGGCAGTTCGTGGATCTATCGATGACTCCACTGCGGGGCTTACACTTGTGTACTTCCAGCCCCACCCACACCAGGTACAAGAAACCTCGGAAACAATAGGGCCTGAACGAACCAGAACCCACGATTGGGCGAACCGTGGTAGCTATCATGTCCATTTCTAGCTTCTAGCCACATCTGGTGATGTGCTCATTGAGATGTCATGACGACAGTAGATCACTCGTATCTCTCAGAGGTCTCCTCTTGGATTCCTTTTCTTCACTCGTACGATCTCACAACCTCTATCTTTATATCCTGAGGTCTATTAACACCACCGAGAATAGCATCTGGAAAACAAGAAACCTCCAGAATGGCCGCCCTCACTAGAAATTCAATCACAGGACGCAAGCCGATGAAGTCCGTGCCCTCAACCTGGATCTTTCGCCACTCACTACTGATACCATATACCTTTCAAACAGATCCACCTCCATTGCTCTCATGAGCATCGTCGGTGTCGTCGCAATGTTCCGACTGATGGCGAAGAGAGGCACTACGATGACCGCAAGCGAAGAAGTGGAAACATCGCGAGGTGGCAGCGCTCAAACCGACGTGGGAAACAAGACCGCCCGACCTCCACGTACATACCCGGTTCCTCGGGGTGGTTCGATCTAATTGGGAGGGAAGTGGGACAGCTGGGAGAACTAGTGAAAAGGAAGGAAAGAAGGAAGGAAGGAAATTATAAGTGCTTTCGTGTACGATCAATCCTAGTAGCGTGTGTGTATGTGTATGGGCATAAAATACAAAATGGAGGCAATGCGCGCTCGTGGAAACAGAAGCCGAGAAAAAAAAAATCATATCAATCAGAAGTCCGCCCTCCTTTCTTTCCCTTGATATCTGTACAGGGTATTTGCGAATGTACAAAAAGCACGAGGACATACAAAACGATGAAAAACGCAAGAATGAGAACAAAGTGAGCCTCCTTATGCTGATCGTGGTGCATCATGATCGTTGTCGCCGTCGTGGTCATACTCCTCCTTCCTCGGCGAGTATGAAAGACGTCCATCACGGCCAATCCGGCTCTCCTCTGAGCCGGGTCGGCGCTTTTTCACATCTTTATCTTTCTTTTCCGCGCGCTTCTTCCTCTCACGTTGACGAAGCTCATCCACCCGAGGGCGGCTTCCACTTCGACTCGACCCAGTTTTTCGAAGGTCCTTAACTTCCCTGATCACTTCGCGGAATCCTTCCTCAATATTGTTCATTCGAGCCAGAACCAATTTACTAAGCATGTCTTGGGTTTGACTCGTCCCTTCACGTCGGAGACCCCCCCGTTGCGAATGCCATTTGGGTGTTGAAGCTAGATGGTACAGCGCCAGCGTAAGCACCAACCACTGCCTTGTTGTCTCCCAGGTCAGATCCCAGGCCAAATAGCAGAGATCTCTGAGGTCGAGCTGAGCCAGGGCGGTCCGGGATATAAAGGCTTTCGAGCTCTGGTACAGACATCTGGTTTAACCCCAGGGAGGCATTTCTAATACCAGCAGGGGCAGGGTGTCTCTTTATGGTGCCCTGGTCCACTGAGGTCGATACATGAGGCAGGCGACTGGGTTCATCATCAGAAGAATCTGGGTTGGGCCGGGTAGGAGTGGCCCGGCCTTCGGTGCCTTCGTTCGGTGACCCGAGGGGATTGTAGAGCATAGTGACTCCGGAAACGTTTCGGGTGTGCTTAGGCCGGCGGGTAGGGCTGCCACGGCGCGACAACAGTCTCGCGGTCGATGGCCGAGAGCTGTAGAATTTAGGCGTGGTCTTTTCACTACTCCTCACTTCCTCCTCCACGTCGCTGTTGTTTTCTTTGTCGGAGTCTCCGCCGTCACTTGTAAGTTCGTCATCTCCTTCCATATCCGTGTGCTGGGAGAGCTGTCTTGTTCGGGTGGGGGACGCAGAATCTCCTCGTGGACGACTGAACGTAGGGCCAGCTACGTGGCTGGTTCTTTCCTCTGGATTGGAGGCCACCGAGCGAGTAGTCTCCGTAAAGTTGCGTCCACCCGCAGCGAGGGTCTTGCGGAATGGAAACCGCAGTCGACGGGTAGGCATTTCGAGGAGATCGGCCACGGAATCCTGCTCATCGGGGGTATGAACTGGGCCGGAACCAATCTCTTGCATCCAATCTTTGATCACGTTGTTGGTTTGCTGCTTGCGCCGGGGCCCGCGCAGTCGATCATCGCTTAACGGTCGTCGGAAAACCTCCTCCAATGCCTGGTCTTTCTGGTAGGTTGCAACCGAAGGCTCTCGAACCAGGCCCGGGCCCCTGTTGCTGAATGCACGGAATCGACTTGGTCGCCAAGTTTGCGTGGGATCTGTTGTTCTTGTCTGGGGATTTGCATCGACCAAGTCAGTTAATTCCACCACTTGGGAGCTAAGAATGGTTTTCTCGTAGAGACAGATGGTAAACAAGATCGGTAAATGGGTGATTTTGATGATCGTTCGATTAAGCCGAATAAATTCTCGAAATGGCATCACATATCGAAAGGGCGTGACCAACCACGCAATAATATTCGTCGGGGCAACGTAGGAGAAAAGTGCATCCGATTTGACCATAGAAATCGCGTTGACGGCAAACAAAAATTGGTGTTCTTGGTTGGCATTCTGAACGATTCTCATGAAGGAGTTGGTGAGAACTGTAATCAAGATGGTGACGACAACGAAATGACAAATGAAGAGGAAGAGTGTCAGGATGGACCGCCCGAGAAGATTATAATCCTCCCACATCGCCCATGCCGTAGGCGTAAAGCCCATCAGCATTTGAAACAGTCCGTATGCCACTGTATTGGGAGAATGATCGTTTCCAAATGACAAAAAAGCGACAAAGAATCCACTGCAGGCGATGATGATCAACACAAACACTGCAATCAGATCGGACGCCATAATACGAAATGCAATCAGCAGTTGCGAAAAGTATCGGTAATGATCGAGTATGGAAAAAAGGCGAGGGAATAAAAGTACCGCATTGGCCGCCAACACATCATACGCCTGGTTGGCCACCTGCTGATTGCGAGGGTAAGTCAAAAAGGCACCATAGACCCGCAAGCAGTAGTAGCAGAAGAACAACAGTAAGATTCCCAGGTCAAATAGATTCCAGAAGCTCATCAGGTATAAGCTAAATCCCTGCTCGTTAAATCCTACCACTTCATCAAGCATGAACCCTGTACTCCAAAACCAAAATACGACCTCTAGAGAAGTGATCGACCGGCTTCTGTCTTGCAATACTGCCAGGAACAGCCCTAGTAGCACAGCGAAGGAGAGAGTAGAGAGGAATTGCCGATATCGTGGTACTCGTAGTCGAGATAGCTTGAACAGGGAAGCTTCGCGGGGGTTGTATAATGTCACGGAGCGGCGCGTTGCTGAATTCCCAGGTCCAGCCATGGGGTTTCCATTCGGATTTGCAGATGTCCCATAATCGGGACCAATAGCGGTATTCCCGCGACGATGTAAATGATCGGCCGCTGAATGGAAGACGATAGTTCCAGCCCAAATGGCTTCCAATTGTTGAACAACCACGGGGTGGGCCAAAAACCGCTTCGCTTGGGCTCGAATGGCGACTTCGAGGCATGAAACCCGTCCGGACCCCACGACCCGTTTCCCTTGTGGACCATGTGCCCACGCAGCCGATGGATCCTGACCCTGGAGCGGGTAGAACTCATAGGATAGCGCGTCGATCAGCTCTCTCGTCGAGTATTCGCGGAGTAATTTGATCGCTAGTAGTTCGCTCACCATCGCCCGTGTTTGGCTAGCACCGCTGTTTCCCGGGTTGAGCTGTATTTCCTTCTCGAACTGGAGACAATTGGCCATGAGGGCATAGAGAGTGGCTCGCGAGAAGTGGGCGGACATGAGTTTTTGTTGAATGGGCTTGATCAAAAACTGCGACACCTGCGGTGATCGCAGCTGATCCCATGTCAAGGTCGTCTCACAGCGGGAGGCGATCAAGGGACGAATCGCATGGGTGATATCGTAGACTGGGAGGGAATCTATCGCGGCAATTGGTGGTCAGTTTCTGGAGATCTTTGAGAGCGAAGTTCAAGTTGAGAAAGACGGGGGGGAAGAAGAACATACCTAGTTGTGAGGCGGAGAATATTGGGAGAAGTGGTGTCGACTCCATGGGCCGCTCGTCCTCTTCCTCATTGTGATCTTGAATCCAATCGGCATCCTCGTCCTCGTCCTCGTCCAGGCTTTCTTCGTCTACATCGTGCAACTCGGGCGCGTCGTAGTCGCGTCTGCGGCCACGGTTTGCGGCAGCTCGAAACCAGGGAGAGGTATTGTGATCGCTTGGTGTAAAGGGCGAGGCAAACGGAGACTCATCGATCTGGGTGCGACGTGGTTTCGGACGAAGCAGTGAAGCCAGCATCGTGGAGGGAGTTTTCAGACGCGAACCCGCATGATAAGGGATATTTTGAAAGGTGTGTGAGGGAGGGGAGGGTGAAGGTGGGGGGAGAGCAGTCGAGGAGGGGATCACCCGGCAGATACTAGTAGCAGAGCACGACCGGGGAAAAGGTGCAAGGACTCGGAGGAGTAAAAGCTCCAAGTATGCGAGGTCGCGAGCGATTAACGCAGACCAGCGAGTCGGAGCTACCCTGGGGCCCTCGTATAGGCTAGTAGCGCAAAGCTATCGCGCATCTGGAGCGATCGGAGCCCCACACGTCATGGCGCAGACCAGCTGACCACTCGTGTCATTCCAAGATTCACGATTCACGATTCAAGATTCAAGATTCCTGGTGGAATTTGAATTTACGGTGTGTCCAGGCTTGGCGATTGGTGGTATTTGAGTTTGTGTTCACTTTGTGCTAATTCCAAAGGTTGTGTTACGTTCAACTCATGGTACTACTACTAGTACTAGTACTGGTGGTATCACATGCCCCGATTCGGCAACATATTTATACAACCACTCGACCCTAGGGTGCAATATATACTAGAACCTCGACGTCCACTAAGCCCTAGATGGCCTCCAGGCTGTTTTACAGCCCTGGAGAAATCACACTATTACTACTACTAAGTGAAGTAGTAGTAATAGTAGTAGAAATTATCTACTGCCAGCGATGCCGCCGGCACTACTAGTAATAGAGGAACTGACTGATCTGTGTCTGGCGCTTCTGACCTGCTGGGCTGTCCTACCGGGTGAAGGGCTAACCTTCAAATTGGAAGTATATTCTAGTAACTAGAGCCTTGGTCCTTGGAGTATACTACCAGTAGTACTAGTATTAGCTACTGGCCATGAGTTTATATACTACTAGCAGTACTCAGGTAACTAGTCGCCCGCCGCTGCAGCCGCCGCTATCGGCCTTATCAGTACTCACCGCCTGCAGATGCCAATGCCTTTTGCATGGTGGATGCAGGTGCAATTGGAAGAGCGTAGTAAACCATTGGTGATCAGTATTGGAGAAATAAATTGCTCATTCAATCTCTTTAACAGCCAAACATCTCAAACATCTCAAACTGCCGTGTCGATCCTTCAAATCCCCAAGCAAATGACTCAATCGCTCCACTTTTTCTGGGAAAATTCTGAAGGCGGTGAACCCTCACCCACCACCGCAACCGGTGGGGCCCGCGCTTGAACGAAAAATTTATTCTGCCAGCCCTCGCTCTTCCTTCTTCCTCCATACCTCAGCTCTTGCAGCTGCAATTCTACTCCAATTCCTCTCCTCCCCCCTTTTCTCCAAAAATACCCTCAAAATTATCCTGAAATCCTGTCGAAAAGAAAAAAAAAGATTCCATTGAAGTCGTGGATGCTGTGCTAGAGTGACCTCGCGCTCGATCAGATCGTCCCCGAGAGGACTTGTCCCTCCCCTCTTTTCTCCCACACCAAAAAAGGACTTGTTGCCCATCATGGCTGCCAACACCGGCGCTATCATTAAGCCCGCCTCGATCCCCGTCCGGGGTGGAACCGATCGCCTTGTGGCCCTCGAGTTGCAAGATGGCACCGTTTATCAGGGTTACAACTTTGGTGCTGAGAAGAGCATTGCCGGTGAACTGGTCTTCCAAACCGGTATGGTCGGCTACCCTGAGTCCATCACCGACCCTTCCTACCGTGGTCAGATCCTGGTTATCACTTTCCCTCTCGTGGGTAACTACGGTGTCCCCTCGCGGGAGCAGATCGACGACCTTCTCAAGCTGCCCACCTACTTCGAGTCCAGCCAGATCCACGTCGCTGCGTTGGTGGTCGCAACCTATGCCGGAGAGGACTTCTCCCACTTCCTCGCGGAGTCATCCCTGGGCAAGTGGTTGAAGGATGAGGGTGTCCCCGCCATGCACGGCGTTGACACTCGTGCGCTGACCAAGCGCCTTCGTCAAACCGGTAGCATGCTGGGCCGCATGCTGCTCCAGAAGCCCAACGTCTCCCAGGAGGTTGCCTCCGGCACGGACATTGCTACCTGGAAGTCACACTTCGAGGAGATTGAGTGGGTGGACTGCAACACGAAGAACCTCGTCGCTGAGGGTAAGTCAATTGTCCATTCCAAAACCAAACCATGAAGCCGAAAAACTCGGCAGTATTGGAATATTGTCTAATTGGACCCCTCTTCATTTACAGTCTCTATCCGTGAACCCAAGCTTTACTCTCCCCCGCAGATGTTGCTCTCAAGCACCCCTCGGGACGGAACGTCCGCGTTCTGTGCCTGGATGTTGGTATGAAATACAACCAGCTCCGCTGCCTGTTGACCCGTGGTGTTGAGGTCATGGTTGTTCCCTGGGACTACGACTTCCCCACCCTGGCAGGCAAGGACTACGATGGTCTGTTCGTCTCCAACGGACCCGGTGACCCCGCTACTCTCACAACCACTATCGACAACCTGGCCAAGACATTCAAGGATGCCCGCACACCTGTCTTCGGTATCTGTCTGGGTCACCAGCTGATTGCCCGCGCCGTCGGTGCTACAACCAGCAAGATGAAGTTCGGTAACCGTGGTCACAACATTCCCTGCACCAGCATGATCTCTGGCAAGTGCCACATCACTTCTCAAAACCACGGTTATGCTGTGGACGCCTCCAGCCTCCAGAATGGCTGGGAGGAGCTGTTTGTCAATGCCAACGATGGCAGCAACGAGGGTATCCGTCACACCACCCGTCCCTTCTTCAGTGTGCAATTCCACCGGAGAGCACCCCTGGTCCTCGCGATACCGAGTACCTGTTTGATGTCTTCATCAACACCATCCAGAACACCATTGCCTCTGCGGATGCGCTCACCAAGCCTGTCGAATTCCCCGGTGGCATCAAGGCTGAGAATGTCAAGGCTTCCCCCCGAGTTTACGTCAAGAAGGTTCTGGTCCTGGGATCCGGTGGTCTCAGCATTGGCCAGGCCGGAGAGTTCGATTACTCCGGTAGTCAGGCCATCAAGGCACTGAAGGAAGAAGGAATCTACACGATCTTGATCAACCCCAACATTGCTACTATTCAGACCTCCAAGGGTCTCGCAGACAAGGTCTACTTCCTTCCCGTCAACGCCGACTTCGTGCGCAAGGTCATTCAACACGAGCGCCCCGACGCCATCTACTGTACCTTTGGTGGTCAGACTGCTCTCTCAGTCGGTATCCAGCTCAAGGATGAGTTCGAGGGCCTGGGTGTCCAGGTTCTTGGTACTCCCATCGATACCATCATCACTACCGAGGACCGTGAGCTGTTTGCTCGCAGCATGGATTCCATCAACGAGAAGTGTGCTAAGTCTGCATCTGCATCCACTCTCGAGGAGTCTTTGCGCGTTGTCGAGGACATTGGTTTCCCCGTCATTGTTCGTGCCGCTTACGCTCTGGGTGGTCTCGGCTCTGGCTTCGCTGAGGACATGGGCCAACTCAAGGACCTTTGCACCAAGGCCCTCGCTGTCAGTCCTCAAGTCCTTATCGAGCGCAGTATGAAGGGTTGGAAGGAAATCGAGTACGAAGTTGTTCGTGATTGCCAGGACAACTGTATCACTGTCTGTAACATGGAGAACTTCGATCCTCTCGGCATCCACACTGGTGACTCCATTGTCGTGGCTCCCTCCCAGACCCTCTCGGACGAGGACTACAATATGCTGCGAACCACTGCTGTTAATGTCATTCGTCACCTTGGTGTTGTCGGTGAATGTAACATCCAATATGCCCTGAACCCGTTCTCTAAGGAGTACTGCATTATCGAGGTTAATGCTCGTCTGTCCCGTTCTTCGGCTCTTGCCTCCAAGGCCACTGGTTACCCGCTTGCTTTCATCGCTGCTAAGCTGGGTCTGGGTATTCCCCTCAACGAGATCAAGAACTCCGTGACCAAGTCCACCTGTGCTTGCTTCGAGCCTTCCCTCGATTACTGTGTGGTGAAGATTCCCCGTTGGGATCTGAAGAAGTTCACTCGTGTCTCGACCCAGCTTGGTTCCTCTATGAAGTCTGTTGGTGAAGTCATGAGCATTGGTCGCACCTTTGAGGAGGCTATCCAAAAGGCCATCCGCTCCGTTGACTTCCACAACTACGGTTTCAACGAGACCGATGCCCTCATGTCGATCAAGGCTGAGCTCCAGACCCCCTCTGACCAGCGTCTGTTTGCCATCGCCAACGCCATGGCCGCTGGATACACTGTTGATGATATCTGGAAGCTGACCAACATTGATAAGTGGTTCTTGAGCCGCCTCAAGGGTCTCAGCGACTTCGGCAAGTCTCTCACTTCCTTCAACGCCACCAGCGTGCCCATCTCTATGATCCACCAGGCCAAGCAGCTTGGTTTCTCTGATCGTCAGCTTGCCAAGTTCCTGAGCTCCAACGAGCTGGCTGTGCGCCGTAAGCGTGTCGAGGCTGGCATTATGCCCATTGTTAAGCAGATCGACACTGTTGCTGCTGAGTTCCCTGCTGTGACCAACTACCTTTACTTGACCTACAACGCCTCTGAGCACGATCTGAAGTTCGATGACCACGGTATTATGGTTCTTGGATCTGGTGTCTACCGTATTGGTTCCTCCGTTGAGTTCGATTGGTGCTCCGTCCGTACCATTCGTACCCTCCGTGAGCAGGGCCACAAGACTATCATGGTTAACTACAACCCTGAGACTGTCAGTACCGATTATGACGAGGCCGACCGCCTGTACTTCGAGAACATCAACCTGGAGACTGTCCTTGATATCTACCAGCTCGAGTCATCTAGCGGTGTTGTCATCTCTATGGGTGGTCAGACTCCTAACAACATTGCCCTGCCCCTGCACCGCCTCAATGTTAACATCCTGGGTACCTCCCCCGAGATGATTGATGGTGCCGAGAACCGTTACAAGTTCTCGCGTATGCTGGACCGTATCGAGGTCGATCAGCCTGCCTGGAAGGAGCTTACTAGCATTGACGAAGCCCGGGACTTCTGCGACAAGGTCGGCTACCCTGTGTTGGTTCGCCCCTCCTATGTGCTTTCCGGTGCTGCGATGAACACTGTCTACTCCGAGCACGACCTGGCCAACTACCTCAACCAGGCCGCGGACGTGTCCCGTGACCACCCTGTCGTTATCACCAAGTACATCGAGAACGCTAAGGAGATTGAGATGGACGCTGTCGCCAAGAACGGTGTTATGGTTGGCCACTTCGTCTCTGAGCACGTCGAGAACGCCGGTGTGCACTCTGGTGACGCCACTCTTATCCTGCCTCCCCAGGATCTTAGCGAAGAGACTGTTGCCCGCATTGTGGAGGCCACTCGCAAGATCGGTAACGCTCTGAATGTCACTGGTCCTTACAACATCCAGTTCATTGCCAAGGACAATGACATCAAGGTCATTGAGTGCAACGTTCGTGCTTCGCGATCCTTCCCCTTCGTCTCAAAGGTCATGGGTGTCGACCTGATCGAGATGGCCACCAAGGCTATGATCGGTGCTCCTTTCCAGGAGTCCCCCCTGTCAGCGTTCCCAAGGACTACGTCGGTGTCAAGGTCCCCCAGTTCTCCTTCTCTCGTCTGTCGGGTGCTGATCCCGTTCTTGGTGTTGAGATGGCTTCGACCGGTGAGGTTGCTTCCTTTGGTCGTGACAAGTACGAGGCCTACCTCAAGGCTCTGCTTTCCACCGGATTCCGCCTGCCTAAGCGCAACATCCTCTTCTCCATCGGTTCCTACAAAGAGAAGCTTGAGATGCTGCCTGCCATCAAGAAGCTGCACAAGTTGGACTACAACCTGTTCGCCACCTCTGGTACTGCTGATTTCCTGAAGGAGAACGGTGTCCCCGTCAAGTACCTCGAGGTTCTGGCCGGCGAGGAGGATGACTTCAAGTCTGAGTACTCTCTGACCCAGCACTTGTCGAACAACCTCATCGATCTGTACATCAACTTGCCTTCCAACAACCGCTTCCGCCGTCCTGCCAACTATATGTCCAAGGGTTACCGTACTCGTCGTATGGCCGTTGACTACCAGACTCCTCTGGTCACCAACGTCAAGAACGCCAAGATCCTGATTGAGGCCATCGCTCGTCACTACCCCCTGAACATCCAGACCTCTGATTTCCAGACTAGCCACCGTACCGTGGTCCTGCCTGGTCTGATCAACATCGCTGCCTTTGTTCCTGGCCTCGTCACCCCTGGCTCCAAGGATTTTGAGGATGTCACCAAGGCCTCGATTGCTGCCGGTTTCTCCATGGTCCGTGTCATGCCCGTTGGTGTTGACAGCTCGGTCACCCAGGCCACCGATCTGAAGATCGTTCAACAGAACGCCCAGGACAAGTCCTACTGTGACTTTAACATCTCGGTTGCCGCTACCGCCACCAACTCTGACCAGATCACCCAGGTGACTGGTGAGGTTGGCTCCCTTTTCGTCCCGTTCAACCACCTCTCTGGTAACATCAACAAGGTGGCTACTGTGACCAACCACTTCGGTTCTTGGCCCTCCAACAAGCCTCTGATCACTGATGCTAAGGGAACTGATTTGGCTTCTATTTTGCTGCTCGCCAGCCTGCACAGCCGCAACATCCACGTCATGAGCGTGACTTCCAAGGAGGACATCAGCCTCATTGCGCTCAGCAAGGAGAAGGGCCTTAAGGTGACCTGCGATGTGTCGATCTTCTGCCTCTTCCTTTCCCGCGAGGACTTCCCCGAGTGTGCCTCCCTGCCCTCTGCCGAGGACCAGAAGGCTCTCTGGGACCATATGAGCACCATCGATGTTTACTCGATTGGCAGCATCCCTTACCAGCTTGCTGGCAAGGAGGCTTCTCCCGCTGTCGGCATTGCTGAGTCCCTTCCCCTGCTCTTCACTGCCGTCGCTGAGGGTCGCCTTACCGTCGAGGACATCACTGCTCGCCTCTACGAGAACCCCAAGAAGATCTTCGAGCTGCACGATCAGCCCGATACCTCTCTTGAGATTGAGATTGACCGCCCTTACCTGTACCAGAGCGCCGATGCTTGGTCCCCTTTCAGCGGCAAGGTGATGCGCGGATCTGTTCAGCGTGTCACTTTCCAGGGCAAGACTTCTTGCCTGGACCGTGCGATCACCTCCGATGCCATCAAGGGTACTGACATGTCTTCTCACCGCATCGTCCCTACCTCGCCCGTGCAGAAGCCTACCACTCCCATGGTTCGCCCTGAGAGCTCACTTGACCGTCACGTTTCCGTCTCTGGTACTCCTGGCCGTCGTTTCCGCGGCGAGGTCAACGTTCCCTCTATTGGCGAGCTTGGCCCTCCTCTGTACCCCTCGGCCCCGGTATCTTCCTCGCTGTATGAGATGCTGTCGCGCTCCCCCTTCCGTGGCAAGCACGTGTTGTCCGTGAACCAGTTCACTCGTGCGGACCTCCACCTGCTTTTCACTGTCGCCCAGGAGATGCGTCTTGGTGTTCAGCGCCAGGGTGTCCTTGATATCCTCAAGGGCCGCGTCCTCGCTACCCTGTTCTACGAGCCCTCTACCCGCACCTCGGCCTCCTTCGATGCCGCTATGCAGCGTCTAGGTGGACGCGTCATCCCCATCGCTACCGAGCACTCCTCGACCCAGAAGGGCGAGACTCTGCAGGACACCATCCGCACCCTGGGCTGCTACGGTGATGCCGTGGTCCTGCGCCACCCCGACCCCAAGAGCACCGAGGTTGCGGCCAAGTTCTCCCCGGTCCCCATCATCAACGGCGGCAACGGCTCCGTCGAGCACCCCACCCAGGCTTTCCTGGACCTCTTCACCATCCGTGAGGAGCTGGGTACAGTCACCGGCCTGACTATCACCTTCACTGGTGACCTCAAGTACGGCCGTCCCGTGCACTCCTTGATCAAGCTGCTTCAGTTCTACGATGTCCGTGTCCAGCTTGTCTCCCCCAAGGAGCTTGCTCTGCCCGAGGATGTCCGCCAGCAGATCAAGGCCTCCGGCCAGCTCATCGGCGAGTACGAAGAGCTCACTCCCGAGATTGTCGCTCGCTCCGATGTCCTGTACTCTACCCGTGTGCAGAAGGAGCGCTTCGCCGACCTCTCCCAGTACGAGCGTCTGAAGAACAGCCTTGTCATCGACAACGCTCTGCTCAAGCACGCCAAGAGCCACATGGTTGTCATGCACCCTCTGCCCCGGAACGCCGAGATCGCCGAGGAGGTCGATTTCGACCAGCGGGCCGCTTACTTCCGCCAGGTATGTTCCAACTCCCAATCCCCTCTTTGTAATGAACGACTGCTAACAGATTTCACAGATGAGATATGGCTTGTACTGCCGCATGGCGCTGCTGGCCCTGGTCTTGGCTCACTAAATTTCTTCTCCTTCCATTACACTCCCACCCTGAGACCGGGATTCCTCAAAAAGCGCGCCGTCGATTTTTACGCATGTCATGTCTTTCATTTTACCTGTTCTGTTTTTTTCTTTGGAAAATTTCTGCCAACGTTCTGTCTGGATATCATTCGTAGGTGCAGCTGCCTCGATAGAACGTCGCGAGTTGTGTATAGATTAGACAATCTCCGTTTCCTTTCAAGAACCTGATCACCCCTCGTTCTGTGTATGTTGTATATTATGTGTCATCTACGTGTTTTACGTGTTACGTGTTATGTGTTATGTTTATGTGTGTCTCGTGTGTTTTTGGCGTGCGTTGCGTTCGGTCTGTTTTTTGGTTGGCGTTTTTCTTTTTTGGGTCGGGTTCGGGTTCCGGTGGATATTTCATTTTTCACAGCATTTGGCATTTTATATGCCAACGACTTGAAATAAATACTATTTCTGGTCATCAAACATGTTCTCTATGTAAATTTCAATCGAATTATGCAAAAAAACCCATGCATTTTGCCATTCATGCTCTGTTTTTGGTACAATAATGTTCTGCATTTCGAGCCGGTGGAGTCATTTTTATTTGGAATACGGCGTTGTGATTGGCTGGCATGTTGGAGAACCATGGGAATGGGCTTACTTGATTCGGTCAATTCAATCAGTTCAAGTTCACTTCTCGACAAAATGCAATACATATGTAGGAATATTTAAGCTGCTGATGAGAATATGGGGCAATGAGGTATCATCTTGAATTATACTGGAGCCCATTGCGAGCTTATATCACAGATACTATCCACCCCCTTCTCTATCGAAGGCATGATCTATTTCGACAATCAATTACTGGCTGTGGTCTACTATCTTATTCTTGATTTTATGACCAAGTAGTATGTCTAATTTCTCTCTCAGCAGGGTTGAATTAGCATTTATAGCTTCAAAATAGCATAGAACATGCCAATATATTGTTTATATAATAGTTTCGGGGGAAACTGTCCCCGCCCGATGGTGTGATCTCCCGCCGCGATTGTTCATTACCCTCACGTCTTCACTGGCCAATCCGTGCAAGAATAGATGTCAAACAGAACGTCATTCGCTGCCTCCACAAAAGCCCACACCCTTTCTCGGCCGGGTCAGGGGGCATGAATATGATGCAATCCCTGGAACACGAGGTTTGCGCGTGGTCCGCGGAGTATGTACAGTATGAGGTGCTTTCTGGATCTTTAAGGTTTGGCACACTAATAACACTGGGCCCTTTCTGCACGTCTTATATTTGTGACACTTTCCTCAGATTGGGAATCTTTCAGCAAACTGAGTTCTTCCGGCCAGGCTATTGTCGTCACCATGTCAACCTCGGTTGAAAAGAAAGATGAGTCTGTTGCTAGTGGCACAAAAGACACTGCGGCATCGCCTTCCTCTAGTAGCCTTGCAGAAGGCACAGGCATCGACGAGAAGAAATTGCTGCGGAAGTTAGACTATCGGCTACTTCCTCCGTTGATTCTGCTTTACCTGCTTTCCTTCCTAGATCGAAGCAATGGTGTGTGATATTTAAGTTAATATTCGATTGTGGAAACCAATTCTGACTTGCATTTAACGCAGTTGGCAATGCTCGACTCGAAGGAATGACCGATGATATCAAGATGTGTATGTTGTCTCCGTTTCGTATCGAAAATAAATACCTCCGAAGGAACCCATCTAACTGCTCTATCTCTACGCAGCGGGAGACCAATACCTCACTGGGTTGACCTTGTATTTCATTGGCTACGTCCTTTTCGAGATTCCAGCCAACGTTGTCCTCAAAATGACCACCCCGAGAATCTGGCTACCCACGCTCACTCTTGTTTGGGGTATTGTTGCAACATTACTTGGAGTCGTTCAGAACTACTCAGGCTATCTCTCCTCGCGATTCTTCCTGGGTGTTGCGGAGAGTGGTCTCTTCCCTGGAGTGGTCTTTTACCTTTCCATGTGGTACAAACGAAACGAACAGCACTATCGCGTTGCGTTATTCTTCAGCGCAGCCAGTCTTGCGGGTGCTTTTGGTGGTATATTGGCATGGGTAGGCTTGTTCACAACATTCGGAAGATGAATTATAAGACTAATTGCTCAAACAGGGAATCGCACACATGAAAGGCGTCGGTGGATACAATGGATGGAGATGGATTTTCATATTAGAAGGCCTTCTCACAGTTGTAGTGTCTATTACTGCCTACTTTTGGGTTTACAACTACCCAGACACCGCCGAGTTCCTCACCGAAGAGGAGCGCGAATTTATTCAATTTCGCCTTAAGAATGATAGCGATGCTACGCGAGATGAAGCATTTTCCTGGTCAGCCGTGTTGGATGCATTCAAAGACCCCAAGACTTGGCTCTATGGTCTCGGCTTCCATACAATGAGTTTACCACTATATACGCTTTCTCTTTTCCTGGTAAGTCAAGAAAAAGAGACCGTTCGGTTCAAATACTTGATAAAGTGCTCATACTAGTATATAGCCGACCATTATCAAGGAGTTGGGATATTCCGCCGCTCAGGCACAGCTGCTCAGTGTACCTCCTTACGCCGTGGCTTTCTGTACTACTATCAGCGTCGCCATTTTATCGGAACGGCTGCGTCTTCGAGCCCCTTTTATTATGGGATCGTCGGCTGTGGCTTGCATTGGGTATATTCTTCTGATTTCGCAACACCGGCCTGGAGTGTCGTATCTCGGTACTATTTTTGCCGCGGCGGGTATCTATCCAGCAGTCGCCATTGTCCTCTCATGGCCTGCAAATAACGTATCGGGCCAAACGAAGCGGTGCATCGCCAATGCTATGCAGATTTCGATTGGAAACTTGGGAGCTGTCCTTGGAACGCAGCTATATCGAACTGAAACTAGCCCTCGGTACTTCCTTGGACATGGCTTCGCCCTGGGATATCTTGTTGCCAATATCATTGTCGTAGGAATTCTGTGGAAAGTGCTCCAGAGAGAAAATGTTGAAAAGGAACGCGCTCGTGAGGCACAGGGACTTCGGCCTTTGATGGGTGATATTGGTGATGCCGATGGAGATTTCCTGGGCGACAAGGACCCACGATGGATTTTCCAAACCTGAGCAACACGCATGAATCTACGAGTTCAAGTTTTTAGACCCTACATACTAGCTAGGCCTTGTGAGGACGGTACTATCATGTAATCATCCTCTATTCACTGTTGTCTATTTACATCTAAATCTCTTGTATGAAAAATTATCTATGAAATTTCCGGCCAGAGCTTCTGTACCAGAATCTTCTTGTTGATCTTGCCCATAGCGTTGCGTTCGATACCACTGACCACTTTCAAAACAGTAGGGACCTTGTAAGCAGCCATATCTTGTTTGAGTTCTGATCGCAGTGCTGAAAGCTCGAGAGGAGTCGTCTATGTGATGTGTTAATAAAGTCCAAATAATGTTTTCAAAAGGCGACAAGGGCAAACTTACTCCATCGCGAAACTTGACCACAGCGGCGACCCTCTGGCCCCATTCTTGATCGGCCAATCCAACGACTGCCACTTCTTGAATCGTATCCAAAGCCAACATTTTACGTTCAACCTCGAGTGCGGAAATCTTGTATCCTCCTGATTTGATAATATCGACAGAGGCTCGTCCCTGGATGAAGTATGCACCGGTGACATCTCGTTTGGCGACATCACCAGTTTTGAACCATCCATCTGACGTGAATTCGGAAGACGTAGCCTCCGGCTTTCGCCAATATTCAATAAAGACATTACCGCCCTTGATTTCAATCATTCCTTCCTCATCGTGTGCATCAACAATGCTGCCGTCCTTGGTCAATCGAACCTCGACGCCAGGCAAAGGCCAGCCAACGCTGCCATCAATACGTTTCTCCACTTCAAGTCCACAACTCAAAGCCATGCCGATTTCTGTCATACCATACCTCTCAAGCAGAGTTTGTCCCGAGATTTCTGCAAACTTCGCTTTGATGGGTGTGGGTAGAGCAGCAGAACCTGACACGATTAATCGCAAGGCTTGTGCTCCGGCACGGGCCGCGTCCTCCTTATCTGTGCCACGAATGTTTGAATCAAAATAGTCATTCAAGCGGGAGTAGATTGTCGGCACTGCGAAAAACATGGTCGAGGAGCCACGATCCTGCCAGCGGTTCCAGATCTCGGCCGGGTCAAATTTTGGTCTCATCTCGACTGTAGTACCACTCAGAAGACTGGCAACCAATCCATTTACAATGCCGTGAATATGGTGAAGAGGCAAGACGTGAATGAGGTAGTCCGAGGGTGAGTATTTCCAAGCTTTGACCAAGGAGCTCGCTTGAAAGGTGATGTTTTCGTGGGTGGTTACGCAGCCCTTGGGCCTGGAAGTCGTTCCGGATGTATAGATCATGAGTGCTCGGCGGGTGACCGGGAAGGAAGGCGAGAAAGAGGGTAGCGAGGGCTTCTCATTTCGGCTCAATGGATCGAGACCCATGAAAGGGATATCTGTCGAGCATCCCTCACGCAGTCCTGGGGCAATTTTCTCGAATGTGGGGTGGATGATGACCAGCGATGGGTCTGAGTCTTCAATCACATACAGCAATTCAGCAACAGGGTGAGATGTACACAGTGGAACTGCAATGCCTCCTGCAGCCCAAGTGGCCCATTGAGTCACCACGTAATCATATCCGGTCGCGAGGAAGGCAATGCGGCGCTCCTCCAAGTCGGAGACGCCGAGTTGTTCAAGAATGCCTTTCCTTAGGGCAGCGACGTCCTCCAAAAGCTGGGTAAAGGTGAATGACTGCTGCTTGACCGAGTCAACGACGGCAATCTTCTTAGGATTACTCTTCGCATGTTGCTGTGCGGCCACGAAAATTGGTAACTCAGGGATCGGCATGATCGTGTCTTATCGGGCCGAGGGGCGGAGGAGGGTTGATGAGGGTTGAAGGGGGAGAAGGGATAGAACGATGGGAGAAAGGATGGAGTGGATATTGCGACTCTTGGAGAAGAGATTATCAGTAACGAATGATCATCGAGTAACGTGAAAGCTCAGGTTTGACTTGGCGAGAATGAATTGCATTGGTTCAAGGGGCCTCGGCGTCCAGATTAACTCCGATCGGCATCGCATTTGGATGCCGAGGCCTAACGTGGGGCAAATTCAATGCAGGGCTGAAGAATGTTCAGCCGGTAGCAGCGTAGATAGTAGAGAGGCAAAGGAACAGTGCAGGAGCTTGCATATTTTTACTGGTACTGATATCATGATATTATGGCTGGGATCACTCTGTAGCTGCAGTTTTCATATATTCTACTTGGCCAAACGCCTACTCACACCACTGTGAGCTTCTTCAAGTTTCCAAGAGATCACTCTTGAAAACACAGACTCTAATAAATAGAGCATCATTGATCGAAGTTCACAACGGTAATGTATGTTAAAGTTCAAGTTGAAAACCTCGGCAACCAGCTCTGGAGTATAAAAACGTACTCCGCATTCTGGTCAAAGACTTCGTGGGGAAGTGTATATAGTCGCTAGTACTAGTAAATAGTACCTATGAGCCGCAAAGTTATTGAAAGTCCAGTGTTCTCACCCGAAAACCAATGCCCTAACTTCAATGCTTTCCCTTCCCTTCACATCAATTCCCTCGGGGGGATACGAGAATGCCGTATGCGCCACTCTCTTTGCCACGCCGGTCTGACTATCAAAGCATTTGAGGAGAACCCGCTCATGATTGTCCAATCCGGAGCAATACTTCCACTCCGTATTAGGATTATATTTCACCCCCAGGATCTCCCCATTGAAGGATGGATAGCGATGCTCAATTTTCACATAGTCCGATTCGGGCGTACTTGATGCAGAAGCAAATGCCAAAGGTGACGATTCCACTTTGCCGTTGATCGGCCGCCAAACATTGATGATTCTGTAGCGACCTCGTAGATATTCCTCTGCCTGTGCCGCATTTGCCGCATGTCGGCGTACTCTTAGCTCCGCAGATCGTGCTGTCTGATCAGCATGGACTTGATTCACTGGCTGGCGTGCGGCATTAGGATTCGATCGCCGGATAGTATGATCGAAGAGGACAATGGATTGAGCGTCAGGAACATAATTCAAGAGCAAATTTTCAACTTCCGGATAGTAAAGCCGCCGGATTGCCTCGTCGTCGTCGAATGTTTCATAAGTGGAGGATGATTCGACCCCACCCACTATTTCGAATGCGTCGCGATCTAGTGAGAAATGATGTTCATGTCCCCGAATATCAGATATCGCGACCGTTTGAAAGTTTTCACCGTAATTCCGACGCGGCTCTCCTTCTGGTGGATCTTCAACATAGTTGAAAGGTTCAGATCTATCGATAGGACCCTGGAAGAAGGCCAACTTCGCTTCAATGGGAAGGTACTTGCATGATGACATGTTGACACCGAAGTAACGAATTTGACTGATGAATGAACAAGTTAGGTTGAAATATCAATATAGTCTGATTTTCTCGAGATGGAATGGTGTGGATTGTAGAGTATTAATTGTTGAAATAAAAATGTACTTAATCATTCCATCGGCATTTGAAAGGCCACTAAGCCCAGTCAGCCAATGATCAAAGGCCGAACAGGTATCTTCAAACACGAGTCGGCACCAATTAATTCTGCCAATGTCACAAAATTCTCATCCTCCTTACCAGCCGTTGGCATTTAATACCGTGACTAATTAGTGGATTGATATATTGAGATTTTGACGCTTATTAATACAGTGAAGCAGCATGTTTCAGATGCCTCTTGGTATCCTCTCGTATCGAATCAACAATATCAGCAGCATTTCCCAGCGTATTCATCATGCCCACGCCCGTACCAGCCCATAAACTTCCCATATCCTGGACATCAAGACGTTCCCCATCAGACCCATTCATAGTATCCGACAGCCAAGCTCGAATACTTTTGATATCTTTTCCCCTGGTATACATTTCATAGAATTTATTCCTCAGGCATCGACCATCATAAGTCGTAGGCCAGAAATTGGGGCCCCAGATTTCATCAAAGACGCGAGATCGCGCTGTAGACTGACCGCCATCCGAGGCACTAAATATAGCATCGCGGTAGATCTGAGGAACGTGGGACTCGGCAGCTCCAAGGAACCGTGTTCCCATTACTACCCCCGAAGCACCTAGAGTAAGCGCTGCAGCGGTTGCTCTTCCATCCATGATACCCCCCGCGGCGATCAAAGAGATATCAATTTCCAGCTTCCGAAGTGCATCCACAGTTTCAGGGATAAGAGAAACGATGCTCGCTCCGTCTTGATGTCCGTGGCCACCGGCGTCACTTCCTTGAAGGACCAATGCATCGGGATGGCAAGCCAGAGCTACATCCACCGCGGCCTGCACACTTCCGAGCTGCACCCAAATGCCGGTCTTTGGTGAAACTTTCCGAATACTCTCCGTCCAAGTCTTCATTTCGCTCGTTCCAGCGAAGGAAAGCCATGCAACGGCGGGCTTGTATTTTGCAAATAGCCGCATCCATGCATCGACTGGAGATCCAAATACAATTACTCCCAGCCCGATCGGCAATTGTTCTGGATCAGGAAGGGTGTCCATAATATTTTGAAGCTCTTTCCTTGTAGAGTCTAGCTCTTGGGACAAAGCGTGCATGTCGTCTAGATATCCGATTTGGCCCAGACCACCGGCACGCGTGACTGCTGTCGCTAATTCACTTGTGGCCACGCCACTCATGGGGGCATTGGCGATGAGGGGAGTCTGTATCCATGGGAGCCGGGTCTTCAATGTAGCGAAAGTAGTCATTTCCCAAGGCTGCTTCTTGTCGATTTGCGCGAAAGAAAATGGGGAGACTGCTTTTTTATAGTTAGTACTGACCTACAAGGTTCAGGTTCAAGTTGGTCGCAGACCAAACGCCGAGTGGCAACAGGGATGGTTAGCTCGGTGATTGATCAAATTCTGGTGGAGCCCTAGAGACAATCGAACTTAAAATGGGACGATGAAAATGGACCTCAAGTACCTTGAAAATTGATGCCAGGTGCTCAGGTGGTTTTTGCTTGAAAGCACTAGTAAACTGGAAATCAGAACTAACTACTTTTGGGCACACATCAGACAAAACACAATTCATATTGCTCTGCTAATATATATGCCGTCTTAAATAATTGCCGGCGCGTTAGGAGTAGCTGTCATCTTATCAGGTTGAACAACTCGTGAAGCATCCTCCCCATCTTCCAAGCCTCGCGCGACGAGATCAGTAAAGTCAACGCCCACTGCCGTTAGTAGTGCAGCGTGTTCATGGACGATATCAAGGCATTTCTGCCACACCGTGGTGCCGCGCTGAACACTACTCAGCTGGCGACCTAGCAGGCCGTTGAACCCATCCAGATGGTGCTTGGCCCAGCGAATGCAGGAGCTGCTCATCACGCCAGGGAAGCACTGTTGGTAGATAGCAATGGTGTTTTTGATGAGAGAGAAATAAACGTAAGAGATCTGGAAGATGTAAAGGGGGAGATCTCCCTCGAATACACACGCCCTGTTGTGATGGTTAGGAAAATACATGGGGTAATTATTCATGATAGATTGAGACTCACCGGATACGCTTCGCAATGACATCAGTCCGTGCCTTCAAGTATGTCTGGCGGGCCTGGTCCTCAAATCCAAGACGGCTTAGCCAGCCCACGTTAGTCTTGGTAGCAGTTGGGAATGATTGACTGTCCACCAGGGCGCGTGAAAGCATGCCGGCCAACCGCGTGGCACGTCCATCCACCTTGACATTGATCACATCTTGAGCAATTGCATTGCCCTTGAGGCCCTTGGCTAGTTTGCGCAATCGCTCAATGGTCGAGACAGCCTCGTCAAACCGCTGCAAGGCAATATCGATGTCTAATTCGTCCACTTGCCCCTCCACCCAACGAAGGTTTTGCTGCTTGCCGTCGACGTCGATTCGCAACTCGGATTTGTCGCGGGGCAGATCGGAGATGTCAAGCGGCTCTGTCTTCTGGGAATACGATACGTGTCGTCCTGAGAGGTAGCCGTATGCCTCCAAAGGCTTACTGGCAGCCTCGGTCTCGGAGCGCAAGGTTCGACGCAGGTCTTCGACCGTCTTGCGGAAAGTCGCGAGTAATTCATTTTTGGTCGATGTGTCGCGCTTGTCTTGACGATAAGTAAAAGGCTTTGAGCCCACCCGGACACTGATGGCATTTCCAATGCCCCGATCGAGTGCCTCTTCTCGGGCGGCACCCGTGCCCAGGTTGGCGGCGAGATCGATCATATCAATATCTTGCAGAGGCCAACATTCCTCTGCGACCAGCTTGGTCGGAACGGGGCCGCGTTGATTGGGGTGGGTTTGGTCAACACGCTTGCGTTTCTTCGCCGCGACTAGGAGGTGATCGTTCAACAGCACGATATGGACGGGCCGTTTCGGTTTCCAGGTAGCCGAGTCCAGCTCGGCCCAATGGCCCGTCTCCAACACAATATGTCTCCCGGGAACCGCCGGCAGGAACTTCTGCGAACCCTCGACGGTCTTCCACAGGGTCTGCAGTTGGACGCTCCACATGCTTTCCAGATTGGCGACGGAGCTGCGATTCGAATGGCGTTTGGGGAAGTGATCATCGACCGGGGACATTGGGTTAGGGCTGTTGCCGACATTAGTCTGTCCTAAAGCGGTGGTGAGCTCGGACATGAGAGTGCGTAGGGTGCGCATTTCATCCTTGAGCTTCTCGGCCTCTCGACTGATCTTGATGAACTGGGTGCGGTTCTGGTAGACATTTTGCTGCAGATCGGTGGATGTGCGGTTTTTAACTTTGCGGAGGCTTTCTTGGTATTTTTGGATCTCTTCTTCCGACGCGTTGGCTAGGATGTTGGTAACGTCTAGAGGGGATCACACGTCAGCAATGGATGTAGCACGGAAGGGGAGAGGAAAGAAGGGAATCAAAGGGCATACATCGATCAACGGGGAGACTTGGGTCTCGCAAGGCGTTGAGGTCGACCCTGGGTGCTGGGGCGGCTCCATCTGCTGGGGATGGTTGGCGCGAGATGGCCGATGGGGCGGCCAGCCCTTCGTAACCACCGCCTGGGACGGGAGGCGGCAGGGCAGGGACCGGGGGAGCGTTGGCATCGAAATCGGGAGCAGCATTGAATCTGGTAGAGTAGCGTCGCTTGACGAGATCGGAGGTGGCGCCGCTTTGGGGAGCTCGATCGTGGTTGGGGATAGCGGCCTGGCCGACCTCGGGGGCTCTGGTATTGGCGGGCAAGGGGCCAGAGATGGGTTTGGGAGCACTGATCTGCGGGCGGCGACGGCGAGATTTGCTGCGCAGGGTTAAACCGCGACCTTCCATGATGGTTGGGTGGGGTGGGATGGGGAGAGAAGGGAGGAGAGGTGGAGGGGAGGAAGTTGAGGGGAGGTGGTGGATGGAGGAGATGGAGGAGACCGGGGTATACTGAGAGGGCTACCACTATGGTACTCCAGTACCACCACTTTATTATCTGATTAAATAGCCTGTATTACTCGAGTTATAATCGAATATTCTATAGTAAATGTATATGCTAAGTATAGTAAATATACTACTACTAATTCACTATTTCTCGCTGATATTTTGAGTACTCCCAAAGGCTACTTGTTCTTGCTGGTCTTGGCATCGCCTGGGCAGCAGCTACAGTTAGTCAGTACTATACAAGTAGTAGACTAGAGCTTGGGATACTAGTATTGCTTAAATAATTCAATAGAATAGGGTATATTGGGTATAGTAGTACTATCTATCTACTCTACTTTACTCTACAATATATACTACCGTGACTGTACTGTACTACTATACTATGTTATACTAATGTTATACTACGCTCTCCTCTGACGTCTCTCCTCACGTGACCATCAAAATTGTGCTTCTCCGTCCAACTCGTCCAACTCCGTCCACTCCTCAACTTCAACTTCAACTTCAACTTCATTTGATTTGATCCTCGGCTTTTCAACTTCCCCTTCTCCCTCCTATCCCCCCTCATCCCTCTTTTCCTCCACATTCCCTTCACATCCTTCATTATGCGCACATCCGCTCTCGTTGCCGTGTCGGCTGGCACCGTCATCACCGGTCTGCTCGGTAAGAACCCATCCGGATCCGACTTGTCCCCCCAACTTGCCGGTCTCGTCTGTTTCGTCTGTCCCATCAAGCTAATAATTCACTCGTCCAATTTTAAGCCTATGCTGCCTACTTCGATTACAAGCGCCAGTCCGACCCCGAATTCCGCAAATCCCTGAAGCGCGACAACCGCAAGCTCGCCAAGGCCGTCAAGCAGGAGGAAGAGGCCCACGGCGCCGCCCAGCGCGAATCCATCAAGGCCGCCATCCAGAGCGTCAAGGCCGAGGGTTTCCCCACCGACCTGGAGGAGAAGGAGTCCTACTTTATGAACCAAGTCGCCAAGGGCGAGGGACTGTGCTCCGAAGGTACGTGTTTTGTCAAAAAGTCGCGCCGTGCCGCGGAGGTCCTCGGCACATGATAAAGGCTAACATCGACATTTTTTTTTTCCCCCAACACAGGTGACAACCAGATCGAGGCTGCCATTGCTTTCTACAAGGCCCTCAAGGTCTACCCCCAGCCCAAGGATCTGATCTCCATCTACGACAAGACTGTCCCCAAGGAGGTTCTTGAGATCCTGGCCGAGATGGTCGCCATGGACGCCAGCTTGAACCTGGGTGGTACTTTCACCGGTGACCCTGACGCTGCTCCCAGCGCCGACAACCACGGTGTTGAGTAAATGCGATCGTGACAAGAAAAGAAAAAGCCTCTCGAGCTTCAACCCAGCCGGAGTCCCGTCCAGTTCAAGATTGAAGCTCGGTGGCCTGTATTTGTTTCCCCTTCTCTCCTACCTCTCCCACCTCTCCCACCTCTCCCTCTCCTCCTCCACCATCTTCATCATTCGACATATCCCTTCTGACCTGCTCCGCCACTCCCCACTCTCCACTATTTCCAATTCCTCTTCTTCTTTTTTCTGGACTGTGTATATGTATTGGGTCTTGGCCAGCGCCGCGGAGTGGCCTCGGAGCCTTGGTATTTCTGGGCGTGACTTGTTCCGCGATTGCGCCCCTGATTTTTATTACTTTTTCCTTTTTCTTCTCTTTTCTTATTGTTTGCTTCATAGCATCTGGACCAGGGAGAGGGATGTGTTGATGCCAAAGGGCAGAGTGTGTATGTGTACTTTAGAGCGAATGAAAGGCCCCAATGAATTTAGAGTGCGCCCTGCTTGGGTATGTTCCATATTTGATGACTTCATGAGGGTCCTAGAGGGTCCTTGGGGGGACCTGAGGGTTCCTGGTCTAAATAATGAATCCTGACTGGCTCTGATTCTCTTATAAGTCCCCACTTCGCGCAGTTTGGGGCTTCTTCAATCTTTCCCCCCACTCGCGATCCCTTTTTATTTCTTGCTTCCCTCTATAATTTGGGCTTTTCTCCCTTTCTCTTTCTTCTTCTTATTCTCTTCAATCGTTCCTTCCTGCGCTCGTCGCACTGTCATTCCTTTTTTTAAAAAAAAGCGAGAGAGAAAAGCGAAAGAAAACCGCGCCGTGTTTAACAAACTTCGCTCATTTGGCCCCCGATCGTCAAGATGATTGCCGTACGTGTTTGATTCCTGCAGAGCTTGGCTTTCTACCAAACTCGATCGCTCCCTGGTCGGGTAGTGATTGTCATGGGAAGACTTAAAATCGACTAATCCGGCATTATATCGCAGTCTTATAGCCGCATCTTCACGGCCCTTTGTGCTCTGGCTAGCACCGCGGCCGCTGTGACTCCCCTCAAGGTTGATGGAAAGGATTTCGTCAACAGCGACACTGGAGACCGTTTCCAGATCATCGGTATCGAGTAAGACTACCCTGGCCCTCTTTGTCAGCTTTGCGCCAGGGTATGTATTGACTTTCTGGACAGTTATCAACCCGGTGGTCAGTCCGGCTTCTCTACCAAGAAGGACCCCCTGAGCGACCCCGACACTTGTCTGCGTGATGCTGCCCTCATGCAGCGCCTAGGTGTAAGTCCTCAACCCCTTCTATTGCGATGCGCTGCCATAAGCGATATGCGCTCAACTATGATCGATGCTAATCCCATATAGATCAACACCATCCGTGTGTACAACCTGGAGCCCTCGCTCAACCACGACAAGTGTGTCTCTTACTTCAACGGTGCCGGCATCTATATCATTCTGGATGTCAACTCGCCTCTTGACAACGGCTCTCTTAACCGTGGCGAGCCCTGGACCTCGTACAACCCCGTCTACTTCCAGCAGGTCTTCGGTATCATCGAGGCCTTCAAGTCCTACCCCAACGTCCTGGGTTTCTTTGCTGGTAACGAGGTTATCAACGAAGATGCTGAGTACCTGGTTCCCGCCTACGTTCGCGTAAGTTTATCCCTCTACGCCAGTTACTCAATTACTCGATGTCCCTTCCTTTCAGCTAACCCTTAAACAGGCCGTCATCCGTGATATGAAGGATTACATCGCTAAGCACTCCAACCGCACCATCCCCGTCGGCTACTCCGCTGCCGATGTCCGTAACATTCTCATGGACACCGACCGCTACTTCGAGTGCCACATGAAGAACTCAACTAGCTCGCAGGCCGACTTCTTTGGTCTGAACTCTTACTCCTGGTGCGGCAAGGCTTCCTACAAGTCCTCCGGCTACAATGTCCTGACCGAGGACTTCTCCAACTCCACCATGCCCGTCTTCTTCTCCGAGTACGGCTGCAATGAGGTCAAGCCCCGTGTCTTCACCGAGGTTCAGGCCATCTACGGCGAGGAGATGACCCAGGCCTTCTCCGGTGGTCTTGTCTACGAGTGGACCGAGGAGGACAACGAGTACGGTTTGATCCAGGTCAACAAGAACGGCAGCGTCACTTTGCTGGTCGACTACGAGAACCTGCAGGGTCAATTCGGCAAGCTGGATATGGACCGTATCCAGTCCAGCAACTCCTCGCAGACCAGCGTCACCCGCGAAGAGTGCAGCGCCGACCTAATCACCAGCAAGAAGTTCCTCAACGCCTGGAACCTGCCCACCCGTCTGACCAAGATCAACAACTACATTGAGAACGGCCTGCCCAACAAGCCCTCCGGTTCTCTGGTCTCCGTCTCCAGCACCTCCATCCCCGTCAAGGTCTACGGCTCCGATGGCAACGAGATCTCCGACATCAAGTACAAGGTCTTGGCTGACGGTCAGGTGAACAAGCCTTCCAGCACTGGTACTAGCTCGAGCAGCAGCAGCAGCAGTGACTCCTCGGCCTCTGGCACCAGCACCTCGTCTTCATCCACTGGAACCTCTACTTCCACCAACGCTGCCTCGATGAACGGCGCCTCCTCCGTCCTCGTCGGCGGTGTTAGCGGCTTCTTCATGCTGCTTGCTTCTCTTATGTAGACCCTCTGCATTTGCAGGTCTTTTCTAGTAGTCGATTTGGGGTGATTTTGTTCAAGTTCCTGGACGCTGTGGTTTACCACGGTCTCAGACGTCTGTCGTTCATGTAATTTACTTGGTTCTGTACATTGACTGCCCTGTCGGCTAACAACCCGTTCCAATATCCAATTTTCTTTTCAAAGACCTTCTATTCATTCCATTTCCCGATCTGTAGTGGTGTTTTGTGTCTGCTTTGTAGCGAACCTGCCAAGGCGAATCATAGATTATTCGTCATTGTATTGTCAAGGTACAAACTATGCTAGTGATAAACATTCGCAGCTCACCCGTCAGCGTGAGCTGCTTTTATCTGTATCTCAAGTATAACAAGCCCGGAAGAGATACTACTAGAATAAACATCCAAATATGCAGCGGGAAAACAAGAACGGAAAACAAACCAGAAACAAAAAAAAGCAGTTTAACAGAGAAAATCCCAAACAAGAACAGTATGCAACATGCTTTCCATCACATGGCTCTCACATGGCCCTCGCTTTGCCCTTGCCCTTGGCAGAAGACTGAGGAGTCGATATAGGCGGCGGAGCGAGGCCTGGGAATTCCTCCCATTCGTCCTGCTCCTCCACATTACCACGACTCTTATTCTCCGCCAGACTGAGCTGAATCGCAAATTCCAGATCGTCCATTTCTTGTTGTCGGCTGCTCTCCGCGGTCCCAGGGGACGATGACTGAGGTGGTTTCACCCCCTTGGCATACTTGATGGGAATCGATGGGGTCTGGTCGATTCGTGGGGCGGCAGACTCATCTCCTAGAAGGCTCAAACGAATGGCTTCGGCAAGGTCATCGTCCACGTCATCGTCTGTGGGATTTTGGTACGGGGATGAGGAGGAAGAGATTTCCCCCAATCCGAAAGAGCTAGGGCCAGCAGCATCGCTGAATGATGTGCTAGTAGCAGAACTTGCGAGTGCAGTCTGATCACCCTGCTTGGCAGCTTCGCCAGGGTGAGCCTCCTGGCTAAGAAGCTGAGCATATGCCAAAAGCTGTTCCTCGTCAATATCAGGACCGAGGAGGTCGATACCAAAGCGGGCGCTGAGGTGTGCTCGTTCTTTCTCGTCTGAGATTTGCTGTCGCGCTAATTCAACGCGTTCATCTTCGATGAAGTCCCGAATTGCGCCTCGGCCGCTGTTGTTGAAACGTTGGCCTTCAGCCGCACCATTGCTACCGCGCAGGCCACGGCGTAAACTTCGCTTGCTGGCATTGTACTGATCGGCAGCGGATGAACTGTAGGACCAGTAGCGAAGATGCGTGCCGAGCGAAACCATTCCACGCAGGTTCGTGGGGTCTGGGTCAAGGCAGATAGCTCCCGTTGCGAAGTAGTTGTTTCCAACCCCGAACATGGAAGCTTCGGCCTGTACCAGTCGACGACGAGCACGCGATGAAAATCGAGAGTTTAGAGTTCGAATTGGGCGGGTAGATGACGCCAATGGGTCCCAAGCCTGGACTAGGCCATCGTTACCACCGTGCACCAAGTACAAGGACGTCAAGGCAATGCAAGAGACTTGAGGCGACTCCGTTTGAATGATTCGCAGCGGGGGAATGGAGTTGATAACATCCGCATTCTGCGCTGCGAGCGCACGGATGTTCCAAACAAAGATCATACCGTTACCAGTGCCCACAGCCAGATAGCGAGCCCGTTGACCGGGAATCTCAATATTCGACCTTGGCTGTTCCATATGAGGCAACATGGGTGAAGAGGTCGCAGAGGACAATGAACTTCCCGACATGCCAAGGAGGGGGTCTTCTTCTGCCGTTGGTGTAGCCCAGGTAGAATTATCCAGAGCATTGGTGGTAATTTCGACCGACTTCCTATCGCCAAAAGTGAAGTCCGAAATCCGCCACTCAGTGCCGGCTACGGCAGTCAATCGAACTGACGAACGAGATGGCGGAAAACTCTCACCAGGCGTAGGACTCGGGGAACTCGTCGGGCCACCGAAGAGAGAGACGTGGGACTTCTTTTCGAGAGGACGGGAGCTTGGGGTTGACGGACGCGAAGCTGAGGCAAGATTCGCCGCCGTGCGAACATATCTTCGAACCGATGCCGTTCCAGCCTCGCCTCCTCCACGAGCGATAACGATAACTGACTCTCCGGCCCCGGTGCCATCATCTCCAGCGAAATCCACTTGCAGATCACGCTCCATGTTCCAGCCTTCGCAAAGCTTTCGGAAGTGTTTCGGCTTGAAAGAAAGGAATTTTTCGATCTCCTTGGTCTCTGCGGCAATCTGATTCACATCGAGCTGCATTGAAGTCGAGGACGATCGCGGGCTATAACTGCTATCAACCAATTCCCGGCTGAAAGGGTCAGGTCGAGCCTTCCGGCGACTGAGTTCAAGAAGCTCCCAGCGGACATTTCTTCCTGTTTTCCATGCAAGCTCATCGAATTGCTCCGCGTTCAACTTGGCATTAGACGGAATGTCGGCCTTCGGAGGGAGATCGACAATATAGAAGATCTCTCCCAGCGCATTAAGAACCACGGCCCATACTCGTCCTTGGGAATGGCGCTTGAGTGAGTAGTTGTCGTCCACGGCGATGCCGATTATGGGAACACCGGGGCTGAGGACCCATTTTGCAGTGACTTGTCCTCGCTCATACCGACCCTCGTAGGTTGGATGAGGACCCATGGCATAAGCTGTGAGTACACCGGAAGAAGAGCCGGTCATCATGGCCACAAGGCCCCCAGTCGTCTTGAGGATCGAAGATGACTTGGCGATCCATACCGAGCATACAGCATGTGTGATTTGATTGACTGCAGGGATGCCCAGATGTGGGTGAGAGCCAAGCTCCGAAGCACCGAGAAAACGACCTCGTTGTTCGGTTGTAGAGATGAAGTAGCTCCGCCCTTGGGGACATCCTTCGCCATAGATCATACCGTAGGGTTGACTGACATCCATGGAGTTGGACGTTCCAACCATTTCCCCTGCTCCAAGACCGTAGGGAGCATCGCCCGGAAAGATATCGGCAAAATGTCTAAACATCTGGTGATCGGAGAGACCCCAGGTACTCACTTTCACCAATGATGGGTCACTAGCAGAAGCAATGCCTTGCTCTGACGATCCATGAATGAAAGTGGGTTCCTTGTCGGTGTTGAACGATCCGTGGATCTTGCTCACTGGAAAAAGCAAGTTCGATGTGTACGTACACACAGCGCTACCATTTCGAGCGGTTGCGGATCGTACTGTGCCGTGTTTCTTAGATGGCTGAAACTGCGCCGGCTTGCCTCGGCCTAATGACCGCATCAAACGGGTGCGCAGGATATATTCACTGCGCCAGGATGCCAGTGCCGTCAATCTTGCGAAAAACCGTCTATCCGAACCCGGCTCCGTCTCGTCCGATGCAACACGCCGATCGGATTCGATGGCTTGGGGGCCTGGAAAGAAACGTGAAAAGGCGACTCGCCAGGCATGTGGTGTGGTGACCAAGTTGTGAAACCGGTGGGAGACCAGGGTCATGGCTGAAAGGGTATGGGGAGGCAGATGCGACAATATATGAGTGAGTACCTCTAGAGCGGGGCATTGTTAGAGCGACTCGAAGAGTGAGTGAATAGCATTCAGACAGGACATACCGTTGGGCAGCGACTCCAAGGGAACTTGGGAGTGGCTCGAGGATTTCACAACTCGAAATCTAGGGTCGCGTCTCTGTGGAGAGCCAGCATTTTCATGCTCAATCACTCGTTGGGCGGGAGATGGCGGGGCAGAGCCATCGGCGCTCAGGGGTGGATGATTCAGTGGCGGGGATGAAGCGACGACAGGAGAGTCTCCGGTCTCTCCATGAAGGAGGGAGCCAGAGACTGCACCGTCATCGAGATCATTTCCATGCTGGGTAGTGCTGAGGTTGGATTGCGATGAGTCAATGGGGGGGAGTATGTTGAGATACTGTTATAGACTCTGGTTGCATAAAAAGACCGGTTTTGAAAAGCGATAGGCAATAGCGACTGAGCCAGCGATGAAACCTGGGTCAGTCGAGGCAAGAAATGCGAGTGCGAAGGGGAGAAAGTGTGGGGGGGGGAGGTGGTTGTAGGAGAGGACTCGGAGGGAGAAGAAGAAAGGAAGAGGATGAAGGCGGAGACGGACCTGAAGCGGCGAGGCGGAGTGGCCATCCCGCAGATTGACTCATTACTAGAGTAATACTAGTAGTAGTAGTAGTAGTAGTAGTAGTAGTAGTAGCTAGTTATTAGGGGTAGTACTAGTGTAGTAGGCCTATAGCAGGTGTATGATGTGTATTATAGCATCTATAATTTTCTCACTTTGTTTATATCTCTTCTTTCCTTAATCTGCGCAATATAATCATATCTTCTCATGATTCTATACCTTTGGGTACTGCCTTAATGCACGCGTGATCATGTGACCACGCGCCTCAAGCCGCGCTTCTGCCTCATTCACCGTTTTGAATCTTGGGGATTTACATCCATCGGGGACTTTGGCTGTGGCTGTGGTTCTGCGGGGCTGAATTTGCTCTCTCTCCTGGACATTGCCATTTCTCTACTTTCCCTTCAATCAAGCAATATAAAGAACAGCATAAATACCCCATCCGGAATACAGTGCTGACCACAATCACCCCAGCAATATGTCAGGCGTGAACGGTGAGTGTTATCAAATCATCCATGATGGACTATTCCTAACAATCATCAGAGGCGGAAACAATCCGCATTCTCATCTCGACCGACAATCATGTTGGGTATAACGAGCGAGACCCCATCCGGGGAGATGACAGCTGGAAGACCTTCCACGAAATCATGTGTATGGCCAAAGAACAAGATGTTGACATGGTGTTGCTCGCCGGTGATCTTTTCCATGAGAACAAGCCCTCCAGAAAATCGATGTATCAAGTGATGCGCTCCATTCGAATGAACTGCTTCGGTGATAAACCATGTGAACTGGAGATGCTCAGCGATGCCAGCGAGAACTTCCAGGGCGCGTTTAACCACGTTAACTATGAGGATCTGGATATGAATATTGCCATTCCCATCTTCTCAATTCACGGAAACCATGATGATCCGTCCGGGGAGGGCCACCTTGCCGCCCTGGACCTCCTCCAGGTATCTGGCCTTCTCAATTACTACGGTCGGACCCCAGAGTCTGATAACATCGAAATCAAACCAGTTCTCCTCCAAAAAGGCCGAACCAAGCTCGCGCTCTATGGAATGAGTAATGTTCGGGACGAGCGCCTGTTTCGAACTTTCCGCGATGGAAAAGTCAAATTCTTTAAACCTTCAGTCCAGAAAGACGATTGGTTCAACCTGATGTCGGTGCATCAAAACCATCACGCATACACTGAGACAGGGTACCTACCGGAGAACTTTCTTCCGGATTTCATGGATATGGTCATCTGGGGCCATGAGCATGAATGCTTGATCCACCCGAAGCAAAACCCCGAAACAAAATTCCACGTTATTCAGCCAGGTTCGTCAGTCGCAACATCCTTGGTACCCGGTGAAGCCGTGACAAAGCAAGTCACCATTATGAGCGTCACGGGACGAGAGTTCTCGTGCGAACCCATTCGGCTCAAATCAGTCCGACCCTTTGTTATGCGAGAGATTGTGCTATCCGAGGAAAATGGCGCTCAGAAGCTAGCCCGCAAGGAAGACAATCGAACCGAAGTCACCCGCTTCCTAATGTCAATCATCGAAGAATTAATCGAAGAAGCAAATGCAGCGTGGCTTGAAAATCACCCTCAAAATGACGACGAGGAGGAGGACCAGCCGGAGATTCCGCTCCCTCTCGTTCGGCTTCGTGTAGAGATCTCCACCCCGGAGGGCGGAAGCTACGAGTGTGAGAACCCACAACGATTTTCGAATCGGTTTGTCGGTAAAGTTGCCAATGTTAATGACGTGGTGCAATTTCACCGCAAGAAAAAGAATCCAACTGCTTCCCGCAAAGGTGATGCGGGACTCGACGAGGCGCCGACTTCACACCTAACAGCGCTAGACACAGTCAAAGTCGAGCAATTAGTCAAGGAATTTCTTGCATCTCAATCACTCAGCATCCTCCCTCAGAATACTTTTGGAGATGCCGTGGCTCAGTTCATCGACAAGGATGACAAGCATGCGATGGAAATGTTTGTCAACGACTCACTAGAAAGCCAGGTCAAGCACCTGATGACTCTCACCCGCAACGAAGATGATATGGACGAGGAGGACCCCGAGCAGAGCTCCTTAGTCACAGCCATGGAGAAATATCGCACCCAAATGGAAGACTTATTTTCCAAGGGGGGTTAAAAAACGCACTCGTGGCAAGAAGCGCTTCAAGCCCAAGCCAGATGGCTGGGACTCCGAGTTCGACGGTACATGGGAAGATCAACCAGGTGCCCTTATCCATTCAGATAATGAAGGCGGCGACCCGGCCGAAGAAGAGGATGGGGAGGGTGGCGCAACGCCAGCTGGTGGTCGCGCCTCGGCTACAACCTCTACACGCGGTCGTGGCAGAGGACGTGGTCGCGGGCGTGGTGCATCTACCACTGCGCGAGGGGCTGCCAAGGCAGCAGCTGCACCCAAAGGACGTAAGAAGCAGGTGGTATCTGATGAAGAGTCAGAGGCTGATAATGATGTGATTATGCTCGAAGACGACGACGAGGATGTTGCCGCTGATGCTATTTCGGACGACGATGATTCCCAGGCGTTGTTCGTCAAACAGCCCCGCGCCACCGCCAGTTCAAGGGGGCGTAAGACGACATCATCTACAGCGAAGACTACCACGACCCGAGGTCGTGGGGCTCGAACGGCGGCCTCACCAGCCCCCTCGTCAGTTACCGTCAGTGCTACTGCTACACGCCGAACTGCTGCAAGAACTGCCAAACCCACACAATCAACACTTGACTTTGGTTCTCAGGCCAGTGCCGCCCGCTCTACACGACCTAAGCGTGCGACGCGTAGCGTCAGCATCGTTAGTGACGATGATGACGACGACGCATTTGAACCTGTTGAGGCCTCTAGCTCACGACGACGACGTTGAAGCCATGCGACGTATTCTATTTGTATTCATACATGGCTGTCCGGACGAGGCGACATTCTCAACAGAGCCAGAACATAGTACTTTCAACCCAATACGACCTTACGAAATCTGTCTTCGACCTTTAGGCCCTTGTGGAGTATCTTGAGTTGTAATCGAAGTACAGTAATATTGGATTGCTTTATCCGTGCCGAGCTTATAGACTTCGGATTCTGGTGCAGCCGCTGCCATGCAAAGTTTCCGCTGGCTAAAGCATTGCACGCCGGTGATGACTGGCATACATGGAACCGGATCTATTCAAAGAAGGTCCATTGCCCCAATGCGCCCTAGCAGCAGCAATCCAAGCAGTCGCAGGGTCAACCAGGTTCTCCGGCGTGTAGAAAAGCCGGTAGTCTGCAGGCTCATAAATCAATTGGACTGGCATATCCGGCCGATCCGCATCGTAACCGCTGAGGAAGTTAATGCTGAGGGTATTCAGTCCAGAGAGCGGACTGGCTTCATCGCTGGGAGGAGCAATCTCCTTCATTTGATTAATCTGGGCCTCTGTTAACGTCGGTTCGCCGCGTTTGGTGGCATTTTCTGCAACCTCTATGGCGATATTGTACATCAATGGCATCATTCCATCACCGATGACCATCTGTCCTTTAGTACCACCTAGAGCTTGCATTGGCCCTTTGTGGGGACGACCGCCGAATACAAAACTTTTGCCGCCTGGAACTTAATAACTTTGGAATATATCTTTCGTCATGATGAGTTTGTGACCGTGAATGGCCAGGTGTAACCAATCTTTTCTGTCCAGTGAACATAGTGGCCAACCCAGCATGACCGAGAACAAGAATACCAATAGAGTATCTATTGACTTAACCAAAACAAAATATCAAACTCCACCATCTGAGCATCGAAAAAACTCAGCATCGACCTATGCTAAGTGTAACCTTCAACCTTCATAGATCTGCCACGGTGGAGCTTCCCCGCAATCCGCGGCCGAGCAGCCTCGGTCTATTTCGCCCCATCACAACGACATCCCACCAGACATAAACACTCTTTTCTATCTATATCATGTCAGGGAATTGACCAAGGTGGTAAGGACTTCATTGTATTTCTCTTATTATAATGGCATTCACAGGTCGACCCATTCGCATCGCAGGTAAGTCTCTCTCACCCCCATTGGTCACACCGTCAACCTGTCCTTCTTTACTCACACCACCACAGGCGCCTCTGGCTCTGCCTCAGACCGGCGCCATGCGATCGCCGAATTCGCACATCACCACCCGACCGACCCGGTAGATGTAATTATCGCTGATTTCATGAGCGAATTTAACATGGCCACCGCTGCGGGGAAGCGCGAGGACCAGAAGGGTGCAGCTGGGCCTGCGGCACCGGCATATGATCTGTCCTTTCTTGAGGCGTTGAATCCTGCCCTTGAGGATCTGGCGAAATACGGGATCAAGTTGGCTGTTAATGCTGGTGTTGCGGATACGAAGGGTCTTCATGAGGTGGTGACTAACATGGTTAAAGCGAAGGGGTTGGATTTGAAGGTAAGTCATTGTTCAAGTTGTATTTGATATTTGCATGCAGTGCTAGATAGAATTTGAGATACTGATTTATATAAACGATGGCAGGTAGCTTGGGTATCAGGGGATGAAGTCCTTCCTGCGATTCAAAAGTCCCTCGCAGCTGACCAGTCTGAATTTCGAAATATCTACACAGGCGAACGACTGGCTGACTGGTCCTTCGAGCCCATTTACGCACAGTGCTATCTAGGCGGGTTGGGCATCGCTGCTGCATTTGCCGAGGGCGCTGATATTGTGCTGTGCGGACGCGTATCTGATGCTTCGCCAGTAATCGGGGCAGCCTATTGGTATCATGGCTGGCGACGGGATGAGTTGGATAAATTGGCCAATGCATTTGTTGCGGGTCACCTTATCGAGTGTAGTAACTATGTCTGCGGGGGTAACTTCACTGGGTTCAAGACCTTGGAGCATGGTGGGGATGGTTGGGCCAATATTGGATATCCCATCGCTGAAATCTCTGCCGAGGGAGATGTGGTCATCACCAAGCAGGCGCACGCCACTGGAGGTGCTGTCACGGTAGATACATGCACCTCGCAGCTGTTGTACGAGATCCAAGGACCTTGGTACTTCAACTCGGACGTCACCGCCGTTCTGGATGGAATCCATTTTGAACAGCGGGGGATCAATCGGGTGGCCGTTCGAGGGGTCCATTCAGGTCCACCTCCTCCAACCACCAAGGTTGGCATCACGGCTCGTGGAGGGTTCCAGGTGGAAGCGTGGTGGTGGTTGACCGGACTGGATATCGAGGAGAAGGCACGAATGCTCGAAGCGCAAACTCGGCGGTTGCTCGCCCCCTCTGCGGATCGATTTACGGCGCTGAACTTTGACTTGCTGGGGACATCGTTGTCGGACCCGCACAATCAGAACCGCGCGACGGTGCCTCTGCGGATTATCGCGCAGGCTCGTCGAGCCGAGGATCTCACGCCCACCAAGTTCCTCAGACCGATTACGGACAACATCATGCAGGGATACCCCGGTGCCACTATCCACTTGGACCTGCGACAGGGATTTCCTCGAGAGATCTTTGAATATTATGTGACTCTGCTACCTCAATCCGCGGTGCAGCATCGGGTGCATCTCCCGTGGAAACCCACAGTGGACACGCAGGTCCTTGACATTTCACCCCCACCGCAGTGTCAAACATACCCAGCTCGACAACCATCTCAGGCTAGTACATGCCAAACTAGACCGGTGGATCTGGTCCACGACTTTGGACCCACGGTCCGCGGGCCATTAGGATGGATAGTGCATGCTCGGTCTGGAGACAAAGGGTCGGATGCCAACTGTGGTTTTTGGGTGCGGCACCGGGATGAGTTCCTATGGCTACGGAGCTTGCTCTCAGTGGAGACAGCACGGCAACTGTTGGGGGAGACGGGTCAGACCCAGCCCCCATTAGAGATTGAGCGGTTCGAACTGGCAGGTTTGCAGGGAGTGCATTTCTTGTTCCGCAACCTATTGGACCGCGGGGTTGGGGTCACGACGACGGTGGACTTTTTGGGGAAGAATGTGGCGGAATTCCTGCGGGCGAGGCACGTCGATCTACCGGTGCGGTTCCTCAACCGGGGCAAGTTATAAGGTTATTAGTGTATGTGGAATGAAATGAAACGAAACGGTTGTCGGTTGGTGACTTGGGACTAGTCGTACGAGTAACGTAGCGTAGCGTCGAAGTGACCGGGGCTGGCTAGGACTGGCTAGACACGGCGTGCGGAAGCCAGTTGCGGAGATTGATGCGGACCGGGTGGATGGAAGAAAGGGAAGAGAGGGGCCACGGAGACCATCTCTTAGTTAAATTTAGTCAGCGCAGATCAACAGTCGATATAGTTCACCTCTAGTTCACTGAGAGTAACCGCCTTGGGTAATGGTACTTCTCAGCAATCGGTTAGTCAGTCTTCTTGGCTTTTTGTTGATGAAACAAGTCCGCCAGATGAAGATCCACCATGAGTAACGGAGTCACCGGGGAGATGTTCATCCGACGAATGATCTGAAGTCACGATGATCACATTGGACCTGGGCCCACCAGGACCGTAGATGATAGTAGAAACGAGGGGAAGCTGTCCTCTCAGAGTGGATGGGTCCAGGGAGGGGGATCAAGTTAGCCCGAGAATAGCAAAACTTACGCGGGTACATAGGCACCTCGGCATCTCGGGCAATCTTCATAGATACAGCAGAGATGAGTAAACTTGAGCTAGAGTAAAGTTGTAGAGGAGAAGAAGAGGTAGAGCCAATCATGAATGGGAGGGGTAGCTTCCGCAGAGTACTTACGAGGTACTTTCTCTGACGTGGCATTACGGGCAGACCCGCAGGTACCACTCGGGTATCTTCCGCGGTACGGTCACTGCAGTACAACAATACACATTGCAAACACCGCATTTAGTATATAAACAGTGTAAGTACAGTACCAGCCATACTGCATGACCCCGCAATAGCCAATTCCCAGTAGTACCAAGTACCAACAGCTAAGGTTAACTTATTTAAGAGAGGACCCTTCTATCGCATCTTCCCTTTCTCCTCTCCTCCTCCTCCCATACAAGTCATCTTTCTATCTCATCATGGCGCTCTCTACTACCATCAAGACTCCCAACGTCACCTACGAGCAGCCCCTTGGCTTGTATGCTCCCTCTCCTCTCCCCTCCTCTCCCACTACCCCTCCATCTACCCCTCATACTTTATTTTGCCTCCATGCTAACCTTCCCTCTCTTCCACCAGGTTCATCAACAACGAGTTCGTCAAGGGTGCCAAGGGCCAGACCTTTGAGACCACCAACCCTACCGACGAGAAGGTCATCACCTCCGTCCACGAGGCCACTGAGGAGGATGTCGACACTGCCGTCAAGGCCGCTCGCGCCGCCCTCGAGGGTGCCTGGCACACCGTGACCCCCTCCGACCGTGGCCGTATGCTCACCAAGCTGGCCGATCTGTTCGAGCGTGACATGGAGACCCTCGCCTCCATCGAGGCTCTCGACAACGGCAAGGCCGTCACCATGGCCAAGGTTGATATTGCCAACGCCGCTGGCTGCCTCCGCTACTACGGTGGCTGGGCCGACAAGATCACCGGTCAGACTATCGACACCAACACCGAGACCCTCTCCTACACCCGTCACGAGCCCGTCGGTGTCTGCGGTCAGATTATCCCTGGAACTTCCCCATCCTTATGTGGGCCTGGAAGATTGGTCCCGCTATCGCCGCTGGTAACACTGTTATCATCAAGACCGCTGAGCAGACCCCTCTCTCTGGTCTGTATGCCTCCAAGCTGATTGTTGAGGCCGGCTTCCCTCCCGGTGTCATCAACGTTATCTCTGGTTTCGGCCGCACCGCCGGTGCTGCTATCTCCAGCCACATGGACATTGACAAGGTTGCCTTCACTGGTTCTACCCTCGTCGGCCGTACTATCCTCCAGGCCGCTGCCAAGTCCAACCTGAAGAAGGTCACCCTCGAGCTGGGTGGTAAGTCCCCCAACATCGTCTTCGATGACGCCGATATCGACAACGCCATCTCCTGGTCCAACTTCGGTATCTTCTTCAACCACGGACAGTGCTGCTGTGCCGGTTCCCGCCTGCTGGTCCAGGAGGGTATCTACGACAAGTTCATCGCCCGCTTCAAGGAGCGTGCGGCTAAGAACCAGCTGGGTAACCCCTTCGCCGAGGACACCTTCCAGGGTCCCCAGGTCTCTCAGCTCCAGTTCGACCGTATCATGGAGTACATCAACCACGGCAAGAAGGAGGGTGCTACCGTCGCTGTTGGTGGCGAGCGCCACGGCACCGAGGGCTACTTCATCCAGCCCACCGTTTTCACTGACGTTACTCCCGACATGAAGATCGCCCAGGAGGAGATCTTCGGTCCCGTCATTGCTGTCCAGAAGTTCAAGGACGAGGCTGAGGCCATCAAGATCGGCAACAACACCAGCTACGGTCTTGCCGCCGCTGTTCACACCAAGAACGTCAACACCGCCATCCGTGTCTCCAACGCCCTCAAGGCTGGGTAAGCTTCCCTTCCTCTCCCTAATCTAGACCAAACAAAATACTAATAACTCGATAGTACCGTCTGGATCAACAGCTACAACATGATCTCCTACCAGGCTCCCTTCGGTGGCTTCAAGGAGTCCGGTCTGGGCCGCGAGCTCGGTTCCTACGCCCTGGAGAACTACACCCAGGTCAAGACCGTTCACTACCGCCTGGGCGACGCTCTGTTCGCTTAAGGGAAAGTGAAAGAAAAAAAATAAGGAAAAAATAACCAAATATCTGACGAGGGATGAATACTTGTTTGTTTGTACATAACCAAAATTGGACTACCACAATTGGACAGTAATTGTACTGTATTGACCAAGGCACTTTTGCTCTTGAACTTGTAGCATGTAACTATACACAGCCTTTCTCCATGTATCCACGGTCGGGTTGTAGAGGGGCGGGGCAGACGCGTCGTGCTCTTCGGGATAGCAGTATACGAGATGAGTTCGGCGGAAACGCCGAGATCAATCTACAGCGACCTATCCAGGTTCGAGTGTTGCTTCTCCAGGCCGGTGGTGCGATGCGGGGCCGGAGTCAAATGCGGTCGGGTTAATTGGGGCCGCTCGGGTTATTTCCCACCGAGGCGGAGCATCCCACCAAAGGATTGTGACTAGCAAGAACTAAGATAGGACCAGTGTTCGTACATATTTCGATTGAAATTCTAGAATAATCGATCGACATAATTGGCGCCCGTTTACTTGCTAATATTTGAACTACCATTCCCATTCCTTGAAATGTAATTGGTTCACACTTGAAGCAAGGCATGATGCAAAATTCAATTACTATGATTATTGATAAAAGCAAAGCTTCCACCTATAAAAGAATATCGCACGATAGAAATCACCTCATCGATCAGATCAAATCGTGCTGAATCATATCTGTTCACCGGTCCTCCTTATTGCTAGCACTAAACTAGTAATCTGGAAGCCAGATAGTAGCCCATTTCTCCTTCTTTTTGGACCCTTCCAGGCATTCAGTAGGTTCCAAGAGATATATGAATGGATTGACCTGCGTCTACTAGCTCGGCTGTATCTCGGCTCTTTGTGGCCGGTTGCAGTCTTACTCCGGAATTATAGGATGAACTGGTCAGATTATACCACTTCGCCAGCCGGTATAATTCCTCGTATTGTGCAGCGAGGCACTCAGTGTTTTTTTCTCCCACCAATAATAATCGAGCCTCTGATAGAAATAGCCTTACGTCGTTAGCCCAGAACTTCTAGTGCCGTCTCGCCACGCCACTGCTTCACCAATACTAGCAGCCCGCTTGGTAAAGTTCAATCATGCCAAATCAATCTTTGAGGCACTAGTCCTGACTCAGAGACCAAAAACGCGCGCAGTGCCATTTCCTTTCTTTTGTTTCGATTCTTCGCCGGTTTCAATCTACCTGCTCTCTAGGATGACTTTTGACAAATAGGTTTTCTTGAAACATGGGGTTACCAGATTCTACACCTGCCGATTAATTACTTATCTCCTTATCGGATCAGGGTCATTGCCCATATGCCATCATGAACACGTATTTCACAATATACAACTATCATAAGCTGTACAACAAAAGCATACTACCCCATTACTTTATAGTATTAGCGGTTGTGTAACAAAAACAGGAACCTTTATAACTTGGTAGGGGATAGGGCTATCAAACGAACTCCAAGGTTGAATTCCCCGCATATTTCTCCTATTTCTACTTTATAGGAATGTATCTCACTCTAAATAAAGACCGCCTAATTTTCCTGTATTACATGATTCTCACCCTATCACTAGTCTTGTACTCCGACTAATATACTATTTCCTTTGCCTCGATTTAGTCCAGGTGAGCATGACCACAACTAACCTAATATTAATAGCATCGTGCAAAAATGCCAGAAACTAGATGTTTTTCAGATACCCAGGTCAATGGTTTGGATGGGTAGCAATGTTGGAAATTCCACTTTGCTACAATTTGAAGCGAGGTTCGAATAGTATGTTTCATCCATATGAAGCTCCAGGAGCCGCACCCTCGTGGTCTGTATATGGTTTTAGGGTTTTCATATGGTTGCATCACTTGAGAAGATTACTCTTTCTAGCACGATAGAAACCCAATATCTCACACTGATAGAATCCAAAATTGGCCGTGAAGTACTACATAAATGAGGCCGGCGACTGGCAAGCCTTCAAGTTAGATCGAAATCAATCCGTCGCAAACATTCCCATACTACTCAAATACATCCATCTCATAGCATTCTATACATCCAATTCACGCCCAATAACCCATTTCACCAAAATGTATTTCAATTCCAACTTGTCTCTTCTCATTCTTCTCCCCCTCGTTCCAGCAGATGGGATTTGTCCGGGTTATAACTATGCCTTCTTCAACGGTGGAAACAAGTGGTTCTACACAGCGGATGATTCTTGCACAATAGTCGCGACAGGATATTGCGATAACATCTGCGATTGTTATGAGTGGGGCTGTGGTCCTGCCGGATCAGTCGACAAGCTCAGGGTCAATGGCCTCTGGTATTACTGCCGCGCCGATATCGCCCCGGGTACCTGTGGTTGGACAGGTAACCAAATCGCCAATCGCTCACCCGAGAGTTGTTGTCGTAATGACGGCAGGTTAAACCTCGAGGAAGGCCTGATTTCCAAACGCCATGCCGACGCCATTATGGCGACCAACGCGCTTCTCGAAGGCCACGAAGAGGAATATGAAAATGCCGAGAGACACGGCCATGATTTGGCGAGGTTGCGACGCCGACAATTGAGCGAAGTAGAAAAGTATACGAAGCGAGAGGAAGAGGCTGCCAAGCTGGGTGATGATTAGAGCTATCGCAGTCTTGATGCTTGTTTGAATGAGGAATTCTATTGCATGAAAGAGATGGAACCTCGTCGAGAGACAGGGTGTGACCTTTTATACTCACTGTTAAATCTTCCTCCTGTTAGGAAAAAAACGTCATTGACGTGTATACAAAGATAGATAATAAATACAGACTAAAAGAGAAAATCAACAGCGAGAATTCGGGAATCTACTCTTTTTCTTTCCAAGATCTAGACTCGTCGTCTCGACTCTCAAGATCCTCAACATCTTCCGTCCATACTCGTACATAGCCCTGTGAGATCACCTTTGAAAAACTCATGACGATAAGCCGCGCAAGAAATCTTCGATATATCATCACAGTCGCGAATACAGCACTGGCGACAAATCCCGCGAAGAAAAAAAGAACAGATTCCCGAACCTGATTGTGAATTTGTGGTAGTCCCGTCACCGTTTTTTCATACAGTGCTTCGGGATTATCTGGTCGGGGCAATGGCGCTGTTGCAGCCCAGTACTCCGGAGGGGTAGTTCGGGCGTCAGGAGATGCTCCCAAAACCACTAGATTCGCGTCTAGTGCCTCGACTGATACCCAATCCATATATCCCGGAGCAATGAAAGCCGTCTCAAATCCCTTCTTTGGAACACTACCAATCACATATTTTGCACTTGTGGAGCTATTCCGGGCATAAAATCGCCAATGCTCAATATCGGTTGCGCCGTTCCAGCTAACATGGAAGACAGTTGAGAGCTCAGAGCCATTGACACCGTAAGTTTCTGACAGAAGTGTTGGCGGATAGGTGGGGCGGCCAATCCAGGGGAATTTGTATGAGCGATATGAATCGTGTCTATCGGAGGCAAATCGGGCCTCCAATAAAAGTCTACCATCGTTGGAAAATTCAGTCATATAGCCATCCCAGGACCACCCCATTAGTGCATTTCCATTGGGAAGGGCTTGCATGTTTCCTCGACGATCACTAATACCCCCGTCTGGACGCACAAACCGTTGCAAAAGCGTCGCTTTCATCTTCTGGAGGTCAAGTTGGACATACAGAGCGGACGAGACCGTCTCTCGCACATCAGTGTCAATTGCCCCGTTATTGAAAAGGGAAAGTGTCATATGGGTCGAGTTAACAGCAACGAATCGAGCATTGTGCTGACCATAAAAGTCAAAGTCCTTCTTGAAATTGTTTCTCTTTCCACCCAGGCGCCACATAATGTGGCCATCCTTGCCGGAGACCAAATAAATCGCGCTGGTGTGTCGCGCGGAAATTAAATAATCCCCATTGTCATTCTTGTCAACAGAATTCATATGCATATAATCCCCGGAGGGATGCTCATCTTCTGCCAGGGTGACGTAACTTTCGTCGAGTTGGACACGGTTGTTGCTTCTCCAGTCAAATATCTGTTCCCCGGTAAGGAGATTCGTCTCGGTAAAACCACTGCTCCAAACTCCCCACTCATCGTCCGGCCGGCCCAGCTCGTTCAGTTTGATTGTCTCGAGTCTGGTTTGAATCTGCAAAACGTTGGGCGAGTATTTCACATTGAACTCGTGAGTGTCGACCACATTCGCAGGAATAGTTAAAATCTTTTTGGGTTGATAACGGTTATCATATATCGCGGTTAGGCCAGGAGATAGCATGTCATCTGGCGTGTGCCATCGCATCCAAGACAAATGCGGTTGTAGTTTCCCGGTTGCATCTGGGAGATCGATTCGCCGAAAGTCATATACATTCAGGTTTTCGAATTCGGCAGAACCGGACCACACAAGGACCTAATCGGATGTTTAGTATCGGCCACGTATATAATAGCCCTAGGATTTGGGATTACAAACCCCATCTTGATCAAATATATGAGGTCCAATCTGGTATGGGACCCACTGGTTTGTCGACTTATCACCACCGTGTGACCAATAGGGCGCGGTGAACCAATATCCTGGGGCAACGGCAGATCGGTCATGATAGGTAATATTCCATTTTATGATACGATGCTTCGGGAGCTTGAGAATTGTCAGAAAATGCGAGTTCGTCAGGCCCATATCAAGAAGTAAATAAGACTGACAGTGCGGTATTGAATGTAATCGTTATCGTTCGATTGAAATGCTGTCTGTGCAACAACACGATAAATAAAGAGGCCAATCGACAGCCAGTGGGGCATCTTGTTGCGAAATTCGAAAAGGAGTGTCAACGAAAGAGTGTTCTGTCGGTCGGTGTGCAAGATGTCGAGAATGATTGGATTTAAAGAGCGGAGTGAATGAAATTATTAAAGTGAGTAATAATGTTGGCGTAGAAAACAATGCGGCACGAGGGTCTCAGAAGCGTGGCGAAACAAGGTTCTGTTCGGCCTTTATAGGAATATCTCCTTGTCATGGAAAGCGAAACCTCGGAGGATCCGCCACAATCCGATCGATTGAGGCTGATGGCTCATACGGCGTAGTCCGTACGTCTGAATCCGATTCTGCTGTTTTAACCCTATGGGACTAGATTTGTTCGATTACTCTTAATAAAGACAAGCTAAATGGCCGGCCTGTTGCACGCCCCGCTATTTTTACCTTAGTAGAGATAAACTTACAGGTCAGCTACAGAATGGGCGAATAGCCATCGAGAGTTCGATTGCTAATTTGCCCATTCAGATAGCAAAGTTCTAGGTCGTAGTTCGCGGCGAATAATTGTGGAGCTGGTGGTTTGCGGATAGCTGAACCGAGGGGAATAGGCACAGCCGATTCGCTAGATCGTGAGTATAGTCCAGGAACCAAAACCCGAAGGTCCGAAGGTGGACCCTGGACGGCTACGATCGCTACCTTTTGAAAAGCAAATTGTGTTTTGTAGACCAGTACTCCGTAGCGCTGACAATTATCATTGACGTTTACGGTACTCCATAAGCGCAGGGTCAGTAATTGTATATAGGGTATTTTAGAGTGATGTTGCAAAGGTTTCCAAGCCCTTGTTGACTGGCGTGGTCTCCGCCTCCCTGAGGTGGACTACTAGTAGCTACCAAAGATAGAATAGATTGGATACTTTATTCCATCTTAAGTAGCTACTAGTCTAAATTAGATTGGAAGCAGTCAAAAATAGTGGGCAATAGGAGGTTACAAACTTTTGCAATACCACTGTAAAATAATAGTACATCTGTATACAACTACTGACCACCCTGCGCTTATGGAGCGCCGTAAACGGAAAAGAATCAACAGCAACTAGTACTAGAGAACAAATTTCAGGAAATGAGCCACCCGCCACACGAGGCTTACAAGGTTTACTTGAGAGTACTTTGAAGGAACCTCTATTGTAGAGTAGGACAAGGGCTATAATTTGGTCTCCTCTAATTTTTATTAAGATAGTAGTATGTATTGATATCGATAATAATGGTCAAATATAGCGCTAGCAGAGTACCAATGGTTGATTAATTTCCCCCTGGTGTAGTCAACGGACAGCAGAGACTACAGCTGTCCGATGGTTCCCGACTAATTTCTGAAAACAAATCATCCTAGACTAGGAGCCTCCTAAACCTTCTCGATGTGTGAAACAGATGTCTTCAAGGTAGCCGATACCCCGAGTTCTCCTGGACTTAGCACGCGGGTATATTTAGGCACTTGCCACCAGTGATCCGGATCCGAGAACAACTCATCCATTTCCTCTAGTGAACGATGATTGGTCTCGGGGAAGAAAAGATAGACCATTCCAGCAGCGCTGACACCAACAACGGCGTAAACAATATAGTACCGCCATTTGATCGTGACGAATGCAATTGGGGTAATTTCAACTATAACAAAATTGAATAACCAATGCGTAGCAGTTCCGATAGCCGCAAGATGAATACGCAAGTCTTGAGGCGCAATCTCTGCACCGTAAAGAAAGTTGGCACCTAGAAATCCAAGTGGAAAGAAAGCCATGAAGCAAAACAGGAAAAAGGTGGCTCCAACAGAGGCACCAAGAGTGTATCGGTGGCCAATAGCCCAGACGCATCCAGCCAGAGCAGCCATTGACAGACCCATTCCGAGACAAGCGGAAATAAATAGAGGCTTCCGACCAAAGCGATCCACTGATACGTAAGCAAAAATGGCGGCAAATATTTTCCAAGTCAGGACGCCTGCATTGAGCAACGCTGCTTTTTTTTCTTCTAGGCCGAGAGACTCCTTGAAGATTGTGGACCCATAATAAGAGATCACATTTGCACCAGTCATCTGAGCGCAAAAGTTAATGCCGATAGCAAGGCACATGCGGTAGAAAAGTCTCTGGCTCCCGGGTTTGAAGAGATCAATAAATCCACGCTCAGATTGGGAGCCTTGACGAAGCAAGCTAGAGATATTGTCGATTTGTATACGAATTTCTGCTTCGGTGACGGTATCATCTGTGGATAGGTCCCACATAGCATCATGGGCGTCCTCCAGTCGACCCTTGCTGATCAGCCAGCGAGGTGACTCGGGGAAAAAAGGAGCAAAGGTGATAATCATCAAAGTGAACAGAATTGGCAAGGCCAGGGGAAAGCGCCAAGCGACCTCGTTGTTTTGAATAAACGAGAATCCGACATTAACCCAACCGGCGGCAGCTATTCCAGATGAAATGAAGATGCCTATTATAACAACATTCTTGCCGCGGCTCTTAGGTGCAGTGCATTCACTCTGCCACACGGGCACTACAGCATTGACACCACCATTTCCAAATCCAGAGATGATACGTCCCACCACAAGCTGACTGATGCTGAATGAAGAACACTGGATTATTAGACCGAGAGCTGCGATAGCGGCCGCAGTGATGAGAGACTTGCGACGTCCAATCCTGTTTCCAATCTGCGTGATGCCAAGAGCCCCAATCAAACATCCGATGGTATAAATGGCGACGACTGTTCCCTGAGCCTTAGCGTTATTGGCCTTGACAACCCCGGTGACGTTGGCGGTATCGATTTCTGGGAAGTATTTGTTGAAAGAGGGATAGTTGAGAAGGCCACCGATATTTGACTGGTTGTAGCCGAATAATAAGAAGGAAGGTACGACTATGAGACATACACGGGCTCTGGCTAGCCCGGTACCCTTGAGGCCCATTTTAATATGTCGTTTGCCTTTTTGTTGAATAGGAGAGTTTTTGGAAGTGTTTCCTCTGGAGGTTGATAATAGGGAGAATAAAAGGAGATCGCCGAGCTAAAATCAAGAAAGACCAGCAGTGTTAATATGACGGGCCGAGATAACTCGAAGTGAATAAAGAAAGATTTCTGAGACAGACAAATAAGCAAAAATAAATCTTTGGGGTTTATAAAGGACTACGGACTCTATGAAGGTCGCCTCGAATGCCTCGTTTCGCGCTTTGACCGCGATAATGCGGGAGTGTGTGCCCACTTCCCCATGCAATGAGTTGCTAAGCATCAAGCCGTCCACTTTCTTCCCCGTGCTGCATTTCCTTCTATTACTCCCGCAGAAATAGTTTGCGGGGAAATAGAATCAGGATTCAGCATAACGTCCACCACTCACAGACTCCTCGGTTAAACCATTCGGATGATTCTTGGGTTTTACCTATATGCCCGGCGTGACGTTTAGGCGGAAGTTCTCCCGCAATCAATGACCAATGTTATCCCCACATTTCTATACTATGTTTGCCGGAATACAAAGTAATGGAAGCACCAAAGTGGGTACGAGGGGAAAATCCGCAATCCTCTTCGGGCTGTGATTAAATACCCCGGGGCTCCCGAGACTGCGCTTGAGTGCAAATTTAGTACATGCTGCATGACCTCGATATCAAATCAACCAAATGACATCTTCTAAGCCATTCGTTCTATTCTTTAACCCAGTGAGACATGCTGGTAGCTTCTATGCGAAGCTTCAGGATGTTGCTCACACGGAAGTGGTTACAAGTAAGAGCAGGGATGAATTCTTCAGGGATGTCCGAGACAAGTATAAAAACATTTTTGCTATCTACCGAACTTCTGCTAGTGGCGCAGTAAGTATTGACGACCCGAATAGTATTAAATAACGCGTTTATCTTGTTATCTGCTTTGATACTCAATGGAATATACTAAAATATGCGTGGACATAGGTCGCGGGCAAATTTGATAAGGAATTCATCGATCAATTGCCGCCAAGCTGCAAATACATCTGTCACAATGGAGCTGGTATGTCATCCCATGGCTCTGAGTATTGACCAAACTTGAACTCATTTCGACTAATGCTTTGAAAGGATACGACCCGATTGATACGAATGCATGCACAGAAAAGGGAATTATTGTGACCAATGCCCCCGATCCTGTCACGGATGCAACCGCCGATCTAGCCATTTTTCTTTTACTCGGCGCCTTGCGACAACTGAATCCTTCGCTCTTAGCGCTCCGCGCGGGGAGTTTCAAGAGTGGTCTTGACTTCGGCCATGACCCCCAGGGGAAAACTCTGGGTATTCTTGGCATGGGTCGAATCGGCCGTGCCATCAAATCACGGTGTGATCCCTTCGGCTTGAAAACAGTATACCACAATCGCAATCCTCTTTCGGCTGAACGGGCCGCGGGAGCTGAGTATGTGACTTTCGAGAAGCTTCTCCAGGAGAGTGACATCATTAGCGTCAATGTGCCATTGAACGCAAGCACCAAGTACTTGATTGACGCAGCGGAAATCGCCAGAATGAAACCTGGCGTAGTTATCATCAACACTGCTCGTGGGCCTGTTATTAACGAAGCCGCAATGGCCGATGCACTGGAACGCAATCACATCGGTGCTGTTGGCTTGGATGTCTATGAAAGAGAGCCAGAAATTAATGAGAAGCTCCTGAAACAACCACGCGCTCTCATGGTCCCCCACATGGGAACTCACACAACCGAGACACTAGCGAAGATGGAGACATGGGCGATGGAGAATGCAAGGCGAGCCATTGCTGGGGAGCCACTCTTGTCTCCTGTTCCTGAGCACCAAGGTCATTGCTAAACTGCAACCAGGCATATTAAGTCTCTCATATCCCTTTTCTTCTGCCATATATCATAGAATTAGACTATATTATTTGATTCTTTCAATGATTTTCTCTTAAAACATTTTTTCTTTTACTTTATAATAAATGATATCACTATCCTTTCACAAAAAAGATTTATATTGGATTACTACCTAAAAGACCTGCTATCCACATCTAAGTTTTCCCTTGCCGATGGGTCGGCCTTTGATAAGTATTCGTATATCAATCTCTCCTTTGTCTCCATGATTTCCACTATCGTAATCATTTCTACCGGGCGGGAGGGGAAGGAAGGACGAACGAAATCCAGGCTATTCTATTTCTCGGCGCGAGAGGAATGGCAAAGCGGGACGACGGAAACAGTTGCGGCTGATCTTTAAGCCGCAATATTAACTTCACGAGGGCATTCGCGCAGTGCAGAAGTGGGGCAGATGAAGGTGCCCATGAATCAGTTACATAGCAGCTCGAAATCCAAAGTCTTAAAAAGCCTTGCAGTATACCTAAATATCTTGGAAACGAACAATTCATTTTTCTACTTCACATTTTCCGGAAAGGGCTGCTTTTATCAGTAATCATTATGGTGAAGATTGCACTCATCGGGGCTGCTGGCCAGATTGGTACTCCTCTGAGTCTTCTGTGCAAAACGGTCAGTACTATCCGAGAAAGACGTGTTTATAAACCATCGAAATCTTGCTGAAGGTTCTTTCAAGAGTGATCTCTTCGATGAGATTTCCCTGTACGACCTGGTCCATGTCCCTGGTATTGCGACCGATTTGATGCACATTGACACAAGGGCCAAAGTCAATGGGTATCTTGCCGAGGATTCTGGGCTTAAGAAGGCTCTCACAGCTGCGGATGTTGTGGTTGTCACTGCTGGTATTGCTAGAAAGCCAGGTATGACAAGAGATGGTAGGTATTAAAGCAAGACACATAATTTTCTAAGTTCACCATGCTGATTGATACCCGAATTTAGATTTGTTCAAGGTAGATCATATATTCAACACTTGACAATATGCGCAGTGAAAATCAACTAGCTAACTCCTCCAAAGACCAATGCTAGCATTATCCGCGATATTTTCACCGAGGTTGCTGCAACATGCCCTAGCGCAACATACTGTGTCGTTACAAACCCAGTCAACTCGACTCTTCCCATCGCAGCTGAAACTTTGAAGAAGGCCGGTGTTTTCGAGCCCACGCGCCTCTTTGGTGTTACCACTTTGGATGTTGTTCGTGCTTCTACTTTTGCTGCACATGCTCTTGGCAATGGTGCCAGTCCCAGGGATTTTAAGGTCCCTGTGATTGGTGGTCACAGCGGAGCCACGATCCTGCCCCTCTATAGCCAGGCTGAGCCCCCAGTGAACCTGAGTGAAGAAGCACTGGCAGGTGTCATAAATCGTAAGTATATGTCAAATTTGCCACCAAAAAAGACGATCCTGACTGGTCAAATAGGTGTGCAGTTTGGTGGTGATGAAATCGTCAAAAGCAAGCAAGGCGCTGGCAGTGCAACCACATGCATGGCATATGCCGGCTTCCGCTTTGTTAAGGCAATATTGGAAGCTAAAAATGGCCAGTCCGTGATAGAAGAGGCATATGTATACTTGCCAGGTATTTCCGGCGGTAAGGAGATCGCTACTAAGCTTGGTGTTGACTTCTTCGCTGTCAAGATTGAGCTCGGCAAGGCGGGCGCATTAAAGGCATTGCCTATTGGTAAGATCTCCGATAATGAGGCCAGGCTTCTTGGTGTCGCCATCGATGACTTGAAAAAGAATATCGCTACGGGATTAGCATTTATGTCAACATGACACTCGGAATATTTCGAATTAGAGCCGGCTTTTACCCCGAAATAGTACTATGAGTAACTAGATGAATACACTCCCATATTTACAGTAATCTTGGAAACCGGTATAACCACCTAGTGCACTCTTAAATTGTTTCTCGAAGCCCGATGCCAAGGCTCTGGTATGTGCTAAGAACCATTGCGGAATATTAATATTCCATTATACTAGGTATCCTTCAAAGAGAAAAAGTAACTTTAGATAAGATTTCGGGTTTGGCCCAGGGCTATCTCCGTTGGAAACAATCAAAGATTGTAAGTGGTGAGACCTATTTCCGAAATGACCGTGTACGATTAAAGATTCTTGGTCTTTTTTTCACTACAATAACTCGGGATGAATGTAAGTAAACACGCAAAATTGGGGAGAAGAATAAGAAGAAGATAGGTCTTCGTACCACTGCGACTGACCCGCTTGCGTTGCGGGTTGCCATCGTGTTTGTCCATTCCAATAGTTACGCGCGCAGTCAAAGAACAGCCATAAACCTTCCAGTTCCATGCGGGTCCTCGGTATGCAACACAAGAATTCCGGGTTGTAGTGTGATAACATCGGGATGTAATCCAAACTCTCGGAGTATAAGTATAGAGTATCGAGGTGGAATAAGTGGCATCAGTGGTTCCTTTCGCCATATGATTAATTTACTGATATTGATGCATCCCTATCGGGGGATAATTCCAGACTCCCGGGGCATAGTTTGTTGAGATTCGAGGCCTATGTGTGTAAGCCAAGGCATAATTAATGAACTTTGCTAGCAAAGCTAATTATCGCACAAGCAACTATATTAAGCCGCTATCTACCCTTTCCACTTTGTTCTGACATCAAAATTCAGATTTCGATCCCAAAATGTTACGATGAAGTGATGTTTTGCTCTTTCAGCAATTTTCGCTCTCAGTGGCGCCTACGGAAGCCCAGTAGGATCAACCTGCCACGCACTCGCGAAGCTCTTCACCGATCTAAACAGTACCGCCATTTACTTCCGCAATATCAGCCCCAGTCTGTCAGAAATCAGAGTAAATGAAGCCAATGAAGCTCCTGGAGTTCATTCAAGCAATCCCAACACTGCCCATCAGTTAGCGCAAGGATTGACATACATACAAGAGATCCTGGAAGACATCACTTATATGAATACCAGCTCGCGGCTAGAGTCATTTGTCATTCCTAAACTCCAGAGGTAATTAAAAGAGCGAATCGATTCACTAGCTTCAGTATCTGTAACGGGGAAAATGAACAATGGAGTGCAGGCTACTATAAACTCGCTTTCGAAATCTCTAGATCGTGCAGTTTAAGACCTTCAACGACAGCCACTGGACACATATATGTGGTGACAATAGCCTCTGGAAGCGAAACCCGGTGAAAGATGCTGCACAGAATAATCTCATCTGCGATGTTCTTCAAATTCTTTTCTACATTACTTACTATGGTCTCAGTAACTTGAATGGCTCTGGGTATCTTATTTACGAAGTGAGCATCGTGTTTGGGTGTCATCTAGCTTTTTTTTTGAAAAGCGTTCGGGTCCTTAGTAAAATTTCTTATGGGAAATTTTCTAATTTCCAGGAATCAGAGCTACACCCTGCAGTCTGTAATGAGACTACTAGTATTTAAATTCATAAGCTGGAGTTAATTAGGTACGATGGGGGCCGAGAGCGATGGTCCTGTTCAAAGTATATATTTAGATCAGCACGAATCCTTCCATCGTTTAAAAGCCATGTCGGGATTGTAGGATCTACCCAAGCGAGCCAAAAATCATTCAGTTCGGGGGCCGATACTATACACTATCGAGTTCATAGCAGCCAGCCATACCCAATAAGGCGAAAGGGGCCAAAAAGGAAGTTGGTGCCTACACGAATCATTTATAATCAGCAAGCCTCCCCGCACTCCTGAGCAACTTCAAATATTCTGACTGCCAGCCGAACACAAGATGAAAGTCCACGTTGTGTCAAAGGTAGACAACAATTTACACGCAGTCACAAGAATCGATCAATCATCCCATGAGCAAAATATCCTCCTTGGTTCAAGTGTGCGCGTTCAGCCACTGCTCATCACCCTCAGTTCGAACAATCTCAGTTATGCCCGTGGCGGGAACCTACTACACTGGTGCGAACCCTCCTCTCGATTTTCTTTGTTTATCTTGCATTCTTGCCCATTTATTCTTCATAATTGTGATACAATTATAATTTACCTTATTGAGGACTTGCTCTCTCATTCATGAACTAATGGGCATGCAGGTGGGATACCTATCCTGTCCCTGCAGAACTTCCCCAGCCATACAACGACCAAAAGTCCTGGGGCATCGTCCCAGCATGGGGCTACGGCGTAGTCGTAGAATCAACAACAAATATCACCCCAGGAACTATCCTATGGGGGTTTTGGCCGACCGCAAGCATGACCGTCACGCTCAAACTCGAACCATGTGAGCCAAGGGGTTTCTGGTCCGAGGTTAGCGAGTCCCGACAGCGGCTCATGACAATCTATAACAGCTACTCAGAGGAACGCAAGATTGAAATTCCCGAGTCTATATCCGAGACGAGAGACTGGACTTAGCTCTCGTCCCTCATTGATAAAGATACCCTGAAGCGTTTGTCGTGGATATCGGTCTTCCGTCCTACCTGGCAAACAGGATATCTCCTCAGTCGCCACACGTTTACTTCGAACCCGACAGTCCGCCCACCGACTCATCCTTTGGGTATCAATCTCCCCTGGACAGAAACGGACGCGGATATTTCTGCCGCTGTCGTTGTCAGTCTCGCTGCGTCGAGCAAGACTGCCCGCTCATTTGCGTATCACTTGCTCCGCAGAAATGCTGTGAAGGAAGGACCTGTGGGTTTGCTCCAGGTGTCACGGAGACCAGAGTTGTTGGAGTCCGTTCCCGGAAAGCTAGGTACAGATATTCCTGCAAAGTCTATGGGATATGACCAGGTGGGTGATTCAGTGGAGTGGATTGGTGAATTGCGACCGAAGAAGGTTGTAGTTGTTGATTTTGGCGGACGAGGCGGGGCGCTTGCGCAATTGATTGAGGGTATCCGTGGCCATTCGGTTCTTACTGAAGTCAAAACGTCGATTATCCAGGTTGGTTCAGAGCAAAAGGTCATTCATTAGAAAAAAAATCATCACCCTTGAAGATAAATATTCGAGACTTACCTTACGAGCAGGTTTATTCCGCCGATGAAATCACTGCAAATCGCGACTCTATGAAAACAATGGGCAAGGTCCAATTCAACACCTCTGCTGTCCGTGATGCTATCATTACACATACCACTGCGAAGAATTTCTACGATCAAGCCCAGATTTTATGGGACGATTGGATAAGCGTCAGTCATGACATCATGCCTGATGTTCAGTTAATGGTTGGCCATGGGGTCGTCGGCCATGAAGGTATTGAGACGGGATGGAGCAAGCTATGCCAAGGGATGGTAGGTGCTGGAGAGGGATTGGTGTATATTATGTAGGAAATGGCAGTGAAGTTGATAGATGATAGAGCGGTCAATTGTTGGTATATCAGACATAATTCCCATATGGCATTCTCTAGAGGCCATGGAACTTATTTCCTATTTTTGCATGTTTTTGATTCCCGCTACCATGCCATTTATTCTAGCTCGATAGTAGGCGATTTGGAGATACTAGAGAAGAAAGGGCAGGTTGAAGCAAGGAAAAGTGAGAAGATGGCTTAACTCACAAGCCATGGACATCACGGACCACGCCCTCGACCCGGTTGCAGATGACTCGCGAAACATTCTAGGGTGATCATGTCAGTAAGAATATTGAGCATGTGCCATCCACTCAAGAATTACGCCCATGAAACTAAATCGTGATGAGTTTCACCTGAAGGAAAGAGTTGGAAAAGTCAAAGACTTCGGCGCTCATCAAGTCCGAGTCCTTGGATTTAACAACACGGAGAATGATTTTCATACTTTTGTTGCACTAGTAAACTACCAGTAAGAATAGTTAAATACCTTGAACATTATACATCGAACACATCTCTTGTAATCTCTTGTACACTTAGTGAGCCCCAATTATGATTCCACTGGGCAATTCTAGCCCAATGGGCAATCCACAGATGAATTTCTCTGTATATAGGCCCCCGCGCTTAGCAGCAAGTTTCTCCTCAATATCCCGGTACATATCATATCTAATTAAAATGGTCAGAAATAGCTCAGGTCAATATATACTGATACAGCAACTCACGCATTCATCTCTTCAATAGTGAGGACCTTCTTTGGATCCTCGACCTTATAAGTGGGGGTATCTTTGTTCACAGAGAATCCTGGGAAGAAACAGGTTAGCTTATATGCCAAGGGTCACACAACAACATCACCCGACTTTCTAGCTACTCACCAATTCTTTCGTTGATATTATACGCTGCCTTGGCAGCTGCAGACTGTACCCGTGTAACACGAGGCAAACGAACCTCTTCGTACGCGGCAAGGGCCTGTGCAACATCTCCATTGAAATACTTTTTGTTGAACAGAATCCCCAACGCCGCCGCATCCTCAATAGCCATACACGCCCCTTGGCTCTGATGTGGCATCATGGGATGTCCCGCATCGCCCAGGAGACATACATTGCCCTGGTGGATATATGGGTACGGATCATGCACCCACAATCGCCATGGTTGAATTTCCTTGCCAATGGCAAGATGCTCAAGAACCTGACGATCAAGTTGAGGATATGGCTTGAGAAGATCCTCGACTGGAAGGGACTCAGCGCCCCAGGCTTGTGTTGTAAAGTCGCCCTGGTCGCGGGGGAAGAAACAGTAGTATGAAAGGAGTTTGCCGCCATTGCAGGGTGATAGGACAATCTTATCCCATTTGCCTTCTTGTCCGCCCCAGTATTCGAGAGCACTGTCTTGAGAATAATTGACAAGTCCGAGTTTTGCGGCCTCATCCGCGTCGACATTTGCGTGGAGGCAGCTAGAGTCTGATGGACGCTTCTCAGGACGAATCCCCAAAATTCCGCGAACGGCGGAGCCGATGCCGTCGGCGCCGATAATCAGATCGTGATGCACTATCTTGCCATTTTCAAAGGTGATTTTGTTCGACTTGAGATCGATATCGCGACACTGTATGATGTCAGTATAGAGGTCTCTCACATCTGGCATCTAAATTAATCCCACCTTGTGGTTCACCAATAACTTGGCCGGGATTCCTTCCCCCTCTTCTTCTAGAGCGGAATCCTTCAACATGGAGTGCATATATTGCCGGTGAAACATGTTGTACACATATCCCCAACGCTTCTCATAGTCATCCAGACTATACACACTAACCGGCTCACCAGTCTTCCAGTCCCGATTAATGAGTTTCTTCAAGACGACTGGATCACCCTTGGCAATATCCACCCCCCATTCATGCAGCCACCTAGTGCCATTCGCAGCACAGGAAACGGACGCACCAACTTCGCCGGCGAAATCAGAGCGTTCATAGATGATTACCTCATGACCAGCGCGCCGGAGGGCGATCGCCACTGACATACCGCCGATGCCTCCGCCCACCACTCCAACGTTGAGACGTTTCCAGCTTGTATTCATTTTTGCTGTGTGCTCTGTGTAGCTGAGAAGCTTTCGATTAATGAGATGGATTTGATATACTTAATTCGGGGTGCCCTTGTGACATTTATCTTGCCACATGGTGGTCTATGGGTTTGTCGGAAGAAGCACCTGGCGGATCGGGGTAGGCGGATCGCGCACCGCTTATCGCCGGGTGTGGACGGGGAGGAATGGGAATGTCACAGCCCCGGGATGTGGGGGGGGCAGGTGTTCAAGGTTCCAAGGCCATCATGGCTATTGGATGGATCTTTGTTACTGATAACTTCCGATCGGAATGAGTGGTTGATGATATGAGGCCCAGGCATCCCATGTGAATGCTTATGAATATAGAAAGATAAGCAGGAGGAGAACCCCGGGCCTGGGGAAGATACTATGCATTTTCATAAATTATTGCGAGAATTCCTAAGAAGGTAGTTTTTACAAGATGCATAGTTGCATGCTAAAGTGGTATTATAAAACGGATGACCCCGGCTCTGTAAATGGGAAGCTATCCCACAGTGGCAGCTCCATGCCCTCCCAATCCAGGAACGCTCCATCTATCACTGGTGGAGTCACTGGTCCATCCTCCTGCGGAATCCACGGGTAGAACGGACCGCCTGTGTTCAGTGGGGTCGCGTCGGTTCGGCTATCATCATTGCTCTGCATCCGTGGTGTCGACGGGCTCTCGTGCAAACTGAAGATCCGATTAACGTATCGACTGCGCCGCTGCCGCGCTTGAGCGGCTTGTCTTTGCCGCTGCTGTGTCACAGCGACCTCTAACATCGTCAGAATCTCGAGATAGTGGGCCGCCTGGGCAGATTGCTGAGCAAGCATCCGGAGAATAGATATAGCGCCTGCAAATGCACTGTCAATTTCGCTGTCGACATCGCCATGGCAGAACATGGAGAATCCAAGAACCAGTGCTGCCGCGAATACAAATGCCCTATTCTTGGTCAGTCACCATTTCATTCCTTTCGAATGTATAAGCGTGCACATACTTGAGAATCCCCATGTTCCGATGAAGTAATTCCGACTGGTGTACTTCTAAGCAGGTCTGTAGCATATAAATAGCCGAGTCGATACATGCAACTGCTAAGCGCGAATGCGCTGGGTTCTCTGGCGTATCTACCCCTGTCTGATTCGTGGAGAGACCATGATGAGCCCGGGCCAGCCGGGCGTTCAGGGTAGATATCAGAAATGGACGAGTGACGAGGATTACAGCAAAATGATAGAAGCAAGCTACATGCATATTGCCAATTATGCGCTCCTGCGCTGCACCGGAATCTTCAGTCTCGCACGGTGTGCGGAGCGAGTTTGGTAGCCGTTCACTCCAGTGGTTCAGCTTTTCCAAGAGGAAATCTGCAGTGTCAGTTGAGGCGGCTTTCTCGCTATACAATCTGCTGATTATTTCCTCTAGAATGAGGGATAACTGGTATGAAGCGACTAATCCAGTCTCGGCAGTTGCTCTTGGTATTCGACAAAGTTCGCTCCGATCCTCTGGGAGGAGAGCCGCCGTGGCCGCGGGTCGGCCGAGAATTGAACTCGCTAGGAGATCGATCACGCAGAGACTCATCCAGAGTCTTGATCTATATGGAATCAGTAACTTTTGCGATCTTACTCTTTTCATAACCATACCTTTCGTCCTTCTCGGTAAGACTCAAAGCCCCCGACGAGTCTGCATGGAGCCCAAGTGCTACAGCCGACCGGGCCGCTACGCCCAAGTACATAAAGGCTGCATTCCGACGACATGCCCCAAACATATAGAATGACATGAGTAGAAAAGCCCGCACCAGGTCCATGCTGGGGTCTTCAAGGAGATTTGCGAACGTCCTGCGTTGGCCGCGGGTAAAAAAGAAGCGCTCGAGTTGAACCGTCTCGGGCTCATTGGGACATGACTGGGCTCCGATGGCGATCATTAAGTCTCGAATCGCAGCTCGAGTTTTCTCCCGATCCGTTTGAGGGTCCGACGTATCTGCCAAAAGAGCCTCGGTGTTGCAGCCTAGATATATGAACCCGCTGGTCTATCTCACGTGTTAATTCGCAAGGGGAAGTCGTCTCCATTGTCGGGTTGGATCTCATACCACCGCATAGAAGACTTGAATGTACCGACGCTTGTCATCCAAGCTACAGCTGTCCTCATCAAAATTGGATGGATCATGGTGGGCCTTAGCCTCGAGCATATCCTCGCTTCTGAGGTTATGCGAAAACTGCGAGGGCCCGATATGTTGTGTGACGGTGTCTCGCAGGAGCTGGAGGAAAGAGATCGAAGCAGCTTTTCCAACATAAACTGTAATATGAAGTTAGACACTGTGAAGGTTTGCTTTTTCTCGGTCTATCTTCTCGGAGAACTATACCTCTCTCCCCTTGCAAATTGAGTAGCATACGAGCGTGCGTCCGATGGGTTGCCTCAGGCGACCGTGACCCAACCCCCAGGGCATGCTCCCGTTGCGGATCTGCGAAATCATTATGGGGCGATATGAGAGGAGTCTGGGGTTCGGCAGGCAAATTCTCCCAGTTTACATCCAGATTCTCAGCGACATTTACGCTAGCCGACGGTCGCGTGCGGACAGGCGAGTCGGGTATGGACTTGAATGGAATACAGGAACGGGCGCGACCTTTGTGAATGCAATTGGAGCAGGGAAAGCTGCCGCTGCATCGCTTCTTGGAAGCGCGGCACGCAGTACATGCAGTATTGGCGCGCAGGCGGTTTGCGGGGAGTACCTTTGGGCGGCCCATGATGCATGAAAGAATCTGGGGAAGCAGACCGAGTTGCAGAGAAGCGGAGAAGCGGAGAGGCGGGGGAAGGCGGGTGAGGGTGCGCGGGCCGACACCGGAGTACAGTCGACAATAACTAGTTAGTAAGTACTACAGAGTAGGTACAGTAGGTACAGTAAGGTACGGTTTACCTAAAGTATCTACTACTGACTGAGATCAACATTATTTCTCGGATTCTCTTTCCCAAGAATAGGGTCAATCTCTTTTATTACTAGTATTCTAGTAGAAGTTACTCCGTATTATAACTATACACGCTTCATCGGGAGTCCGGAGTCGGGAGTCCCAATTAAGCCTAGTGCCACGTACTCTATCACTCCGTAGGCCACCGGTAACTAGTGGGTCGTGTATATACTACAGGACTAGTTAGTTATATGAGATAAACCTAAACCCAGAATTACTCTCAGGTCTCCATATAGTCCCCTACTTAGAGCTGTCTAGTACATACGACCATAGGGTGTGGAGAACAGGGCTTCCCGTCCGCTCAGCCGTACTTAAGCCACACGCCGGCAGGTTAGTAGTATGGTGGGTGACCACATGCGAATCCCTGCTGTTGTATGTTTTTATTCTTGTTCACTCAATTTATTTTTGGTTCATTGGGACATTTGTCCTTGCCGCTTTACCCTTCAGCCCCTTCAGCGCTCCGTCCAGCAGACCCCATCGCTGTCCCTCTCGTAAGATGAATCCAAGTTGCAAGATCTGACTAAATGCAAGCCTTGAATCGGGATGCACAGCCACGCATATCCCTCAGCATCGGTCCCGTCAGGTGTATCGACATCGGATAGGCCGAGATCTTCATCAGGCCCAGGATCGAATCGGTATTGAAACTTCATATATTGATCCAAGTGTCTGTTAGGCTCTTGATCGAGCTGTATCATGGCTTGGAGCTTATAAGTGATTCTGTTCAAAGCTAAAATTGTTATATGATTCATCGCACCTAAAATAGTTGTCAGATATTGAGAATCATTCATAGAAAAATTCATAAAATGTAGATAGTGCTTGATACTCACGGGAGATTGGGGGTAGCAATATCCATGACGTTAGTGGTATGAGCCTTTGCTGAGGAAGTGTCGGCATGCCGAAAATGCTTCTTCAGCCTGAAAACCCAGCAGATAAGAATCTAGCACTCTAGAATACATCTTCCTTCATACTTCACCGATAAGGAGGAATCTGCGTGGGCAGTGGCTCAGTGCTGAAATTTTAAGAAAAATCGACTGAACACTGTAAACTAAGCCTAGCACCGAAACTTGTATTAAGTCTTGCGGACTTAAAACTGTCGGGGTTTCTCGCGTGCTCATACTGTATGCTCGGTGAGATTCCTCATGAGTGCCACATATTGGGGCTTGAGCTTTGAATTAAGGCGCTCATTTAGCACCTCAAAATGGATTCTGGAAGAATTATCTGAGGATTCTTCAACCTCAGAGATATGAGACCCGTAGTCTTCTGAGAATCGGAAGTATCTGAAATTCCAAAAAGACTATGTATACCATTATCAGTCCCTCAGCATGAGAACTGAGATACTGCTGTGAAATGGCTTTCACCATCGGTTTCTTTTATTGAAGTTTGCGACTGCAATCCGACCTATGACTTATTGTCGCCCGTTGAAGTGTTCGAGGTAACAGGCGCTAGCGAGTTGGCAGTGTTCGTCAAAAGTTCATCAGATTGGGAGATTCCAATATCTTAATGTTAATTTTGGTAACCCCTCTGGTGGTGTTCGGTGGTCGCTGGCTGTTGCTTGCAGATTCTTGTTGGTCTGACAAATTGTTTGTACCGTTGGGAGGACCGCCTTTAAATTGAAACGCCAGAATTACCTGGCTTTCAGCCCTCATTTTGACCGACTCCTTGGGAAAAATAGAGGTTGCTTGATCTTTCCGCCGAATTTATTGTCATTGCTTGGCGGCGCTTCCGAAGCGGGGGTATTTGGCGCGGCTGCCACTTCGGTCACTTCAGCTCCGCACTGGAACGCCCTGAAGCCCCTGCCGATAAAGTGGCCAGTCAGCAGAATCTGCTGTCCTTATAATGCCATTGCAAACCACACCCATCTTCACGTTTAATTACGGTAGAACCTTAGTATAACGAACTAATTTTTGCAGATGTCTAATTCGTTATGTCCAGATTTTCGCTATACCTAATATATAAATTTGCAACTTTTGGTACTTCAAGGTATCCTAGGCCTTAGCTGAGCTGATGACCTGGCACATCCGATGATACAGAGGGCTTGGTGGACATTTGATGTGCAATATACCAACTTCATAAAGCAGTATAGCGGCGTTCTAAATAAGTAATTATTCTGTACAGTCACCTCGAAAAGGACGAATAATTGGCAAAATTCCAATTAAATTCGAGAGATCGAGGTTATTTGTTCTATATATGGTATTTTCAATTTTTGCGCGATGGGTGTTCGTTATGTGGCGGGGTTTCGGCCAATTGAGATACGTTTTGCTGAGGTTCTACAGTATCTTCTGGGGGCCTAACTTGGCTCTTGCTAACACCTATACATTCAAACCAGACATGTAAATTGTCACAATCACTGCTGCTTGGTTATTCTTTGAGGAAAAACACAAGAGAGTGCACCAAATTAAGGAAAATAGCATTTCTTAAATCAATGTCCTACTATAGTCGTTCTCAGAATCACGTTGACAATACACTCTTAGACACTCTTTCCTGGCCCTGCCGCCAAGAAATTGGCGCATATCATCTATGAAGCGGGCTGTATCAAACTGAGGGGTAAATCTTAGCGACAAGCTACACGTAACTACAACGTGAGAGTGTCTACAAATGAGTGTTCGTGGGGGCCTTTGCTAAAAGTCTTTATTGGCCAATGCGCTGTTGGTCTACCAGTGAATCATAACTGCTGTATGGCTCTATGTTCATTTTTGCTTCTTGGTCCTCGGGATTAGAGTCACAGCATCAGTCCATGGGCAGTCGTGGCTTGCTTGCGGAAGGAATTGTCAGATAGTAATTCGCTCTTGGCTCGGTTAATTGGACTTTGAGCTGAAAGGCAGTTTGAATTGCTGACTGTAAGCTGCATGATTTCAACAAACTTATTTTGAGAACGCCTATGTGCTAGATAGGGTTGCTGGTGAAAATATTATAAATAGAGGCCTAGCTACTCCAAAAGATTATTCTTCCCAACTTCATCTTGCTTCATCTTGCTTCATCTCAATCTCAACAGACCAAGATCAATCACGATGCAATTCAAGTCATTTGCTACCTTGGCAGTCACGATTGTCTTTGCAGCACAGGTTGCAGAGGCCTGGTCGATCCAGTTTCAGAATAAAGCAGCTATACCCCAGAATACAGTGAAAAATTGGCGGCCTTGAAAGATAACACCTGCTGTGCGTCCAGTCCCCCCAGAGAATAAAAAGAGCATCTAACTTACATTCTGCAGATAACATGAATGATCTACCTACGGCAAATCCTTGGAATGATAGGGTGGAAAATGCTTGGATTGATAGTGCCATCTGTCTCTTTTGGGCGTAAGTTTTATTCCTCTATCCATTTATTTCAAGTGAAATAACTTATGATTGATACCCGAAATAGTGATACAGGTTGTTCTGGAGATCACACAAAAAGAGAAACAGGTGCTGCTGGAACTCATCTTGTTGACTTCTCTGGAGTTTGTAAGTCACCTTTCACAACGTGGGTAAACAGAATTTCTTCATTCCGGTGTTGCACAGGAACTGCCTGGTGCGATGGAGAAAGTCCAGGCTGTACATAGAATGGATTACGCATTTGAATTTGATTTTCAGACAAGGATTTGTGCTTTGGTGGTAACGAAGTTTTTCGAGAAATGATTAGTTGATAATCCTACTCACATGATAATTAAGCAATCTTCTCATCAATTAACTGAGACTAAAGAGCGAATATCGTTACTAAATATAAAACATTCTCTTGGAAGTAGCTTGGCTAGAGCCATTCCATTTTCCATGAGTTGAGTTGACTTGAAGGTGACAAAGAACTCACTATAATATTATACAGACTAGTCATATGCGGCCTATCCAAAGTGGGCGTTTCGCATGCCGAAAACTAAGATTGGCATTCAAAAAATCACAGACTCAAATCAAGGAGTAATCGATTCAGACTTACTTATGCTCATAGCAACGCTATCACTAAATCTCTTCGGGTGAAGCTTATACTGATCCAGCCGCTGACAGATATCATCAAGCATCTGTACAGCTTTGGCTTTCTGCACCGGAGCATGATTCTTCTCCACGACAGATTCCATGACACTCTGGTGAACGAATCTGTGAAAATGTACCATGGCGGCCCATAATGTATCATTAAGAGCATATGTTCGCCCTGTGTGCCCAGGTGCTGTGTGCCCAGTTGATTAGGTTACCAGATACTTAAGATAAAGGGCGCTGGCTATATTTTGAACTTCCTTTTTCAATGAGCTCGCGAGCGAGGAGACGGCCTGTGAGGACGGTTGAGGTCCCGTGGCCCATTTTTATGAAGTATATTCCTCCGTACTTCTGGGCCCATTCTGTGATATTGGGAAAATTGTTAGATCAATTGCGAAATGCCTTTGTGTTAGAAAGAAAAGAGGATTACCATACTTGAGCTGATGTAGGTTTTCTAGGATGGGGGCAGTTGGAGGACTTAAGAACATGCCATGATTTGTTGATTTAATCTAATCAATAACAAGGTTACTCGCTAAGGTCCAGACTAACTAGGTGGCAGATTCTTGCCTCGTCGCCCTGAGGCATGTTAGGCATAAACCAAACTGCAAAGTCCGAAAGCGAAGACTAAGACAATGATCATCACGTCGAACAACGAAATCTTTTTCAAAAAAATCTAGAATACTACGAGACTTCTCCAATCGTGCAAGGTCGCAGAGAGATGCCAAATATACACGACAGCTGAGGTCAAACTAGGCCACGCTTCCCAACATCCCATCAGTGTCGACTCGGTATATCCAAGCGATTCGCGTGCATTACACTAAGCAACGTAGCTCCAAGGATGTTAAATAAACTCGACGATGCTTAGAGTGGGGCACTTAGATGGACCCATGAATTCCATACTACACAATGAGTTTCCCATTTTCTTTTTCTCCCTTTCCTTTTTTTTTTAAAAAAAGGAAAGACAAGAAAAATACACAAATGCTTTTTATTGTAATTCAAATTCATTCAGCCTAGGTGAGCAAGCCTGTCCATCCGGGGGTAGCGCCAGCCAATCCGCACCCATGGCTTAGGTATTGCCGTTCTTCCACTCCTGCAGTACTGCAAGTACACCTTGATTCCCGCGTTCTTCTGCATCTTTCGATAAATCCATTCCATTCAAACATGGATCTGCCCCACGTTCAAGTAAAAATTGAACAGCTGCTTCCCCTCCTTTTGAGTCTTGTATAGCCCACCACAGTGGCGGGCCGATAGCCATGTTGGTATGACCATAATTAAAGTATTCATCTCCGTCCAGTTGATTAACGTCGCATCCAATTTCGTCCACGAGGAAGCGAACCATATCCATATGAGGCCGAAAACGAGAGGACTCCTTCACGGCAAGGTGAAGCTCGCGTGGTCCATGAGGTGCTCCCATTTCTTGAAGTCGTTTGTAGAGACTCAAAATTCCCTGCCCAGCCACGGATTGAAGAAGGGCGGGCATTGACAAGTATCCTTTTCACCATCGTCTAATTGAGCTCCGTGGTCAATCAACCATACAACGAACCTTTCCCGATTGCAGACAAAGTCTATCAGTCGATACCTTAGACCAGATTGCTTAGTGCTGCGTCGATTGATGTCCCATCCACGCTCGATCAATGCTTCCCAGAGAGGAAGGGATGACATGAAATGTAGGTGCCATGGATCAATCTGTTCTAGGGGAGCGTTGGCCTCTGCGACAAGATATAAGGTAATTTCCTCGTCGAGTTCTCGACAAGCGCTCTGAATTCCCCTTTTCAGAGTTTCGGCAAGAATTGTCGGAGATTTTTCGGCAGCCCAATTGATTGCATGACGGACATCTTCAAGGCAGTGTCTTGCGCACCCATTACTGATCAGGCCGGCTGGCGTTGCGCGACGTCGCTTTTCGGCCTTATCCTCATCCATAGTTGCTAGAGATGGGAGACGAGAAAACGTTGAAAGGTGGTAGATGGCACTACCTAAGAAGCCGACCAACTCGATAGGAAGAAGTGTAGAGAATCTTCTTGAAATCGACTTCTTCGTACGAGTATGTGATCTTGAGTGCAGGGGGCGAAAGACCGGAAGGATTCTCAATGAGCAAAGGAAAACGTTTTGGTTTTGTAATGAAAAGCTCCACAGCGCCACTACTAGTATTGATGACTCGAGTGGTAATATTGAGGGGGAAATGAATGAGAGGAACACTGTGTGTATTGGATGGGTTGTCTGCTATTAGTTATCTGACAAAGCCTCGGTAGGGTGGCAACCTTGATGCCCGAGGCCTCAAGGCCTCAACACTAGGTCACCCACCATACTACTAACCTGCCGGCGTGTGGCTAAAATACAGTCAGTAGTCAGGTGGGTGCCGCCCGGGTGAGAATTGGGTGAGCGCCGCTTTAGCGTCGCGCGACTCGGGTGATTAAGGTGAGTGAGCAATAGACAGGGTGAGAATTGGGTAAGCGTGGGTGAGAATAATACTCCATGGAGCAACCACTGCGCTGACCCCTTTTAGGCTGAGCTGGCTTCAACTATCATTGGGCTTTGCCTCTTGGCATGTGCACATTGCCTCAGTATATTTACGAATATAATAAAGCGATTGCAGATCTAGCAGATACAGCAAGTCTTTGTCTAAGAAACAGAAAGTTAAAGGACCTATATCTGGTTATCGCTCGAAAGCTCCTCTAATGTTGCAAATTTTCTCATCGTCTAATATAGAGAAGATGGGCTGAGTAGAGTGACAGTCGCTCTCCATCGAAGTAAGCGCACCGAAGAAGGCTTTGATCACTACTTGATGAACCAGCAAGCGATATCACCTTACCTGACAAGCCAGTAGTATACTGGGTGACCATATGCGAATCCCTGCTGTTGTATGTTTTTGTTCACCTATCCTTTTTGATTTGTTGGGTTTACTGCCCTTGCCGCCCTACCACTTCAGTCCCTTCAGCCCTGTACCTGAACACACTGAAGCCCCTGAACGGATGACGCAGTCCCTCGGCTAAACCTGCCGTTCTTTGCCACCCCACCCTTTATTTTTGCTATCTTCTGGGGGCCTAAAATCTGTCTCTTGCTGACGTTGTACAAACTAGCTACATTGTCGTACATACCACTTACCTTCTTTCGAGGGATATAGAAAGTTTTGACGGTCAAGAAGGCGCAGAAGTGCATACGATAAACTAAGAAAAAATAGTAATCATTGTTAATACCCTGCCAAAGAAGATCTGGGCCAAAGGCTAACTCTAGTATATACTACAGGCGGGACATACTACAAATGCAGGGGCTATTATAACCATGTACCTTTCAAGGGATGATTCTCCGTAGAACATGTAAACAGGGGCGCATTCTTTAGATACGTCTTTATCTTTGTTGATACCAATAAAAGGGGCACCTGCTACAGCATCCTGTTTCTCGGGGGACATACCAAGCGCAGGTCATTACTATGTCGAAAAGAGAACATCTGGCTCTGCGACAGATATACTCCCATGCATGTGTAAGGGTCAACTGGAGGAGCAGGTGACCTCATAATGCATTCTTTGGGTAACATTAACCTGTCTCCTTATTCTCCTCTCGCACGCTCTGTGCTCCATTTCATAATACCTTGCCGAAAAAGGGACCATCCTGAAAGGCACTCGAAAAATTTACATGACAAGCAAGCTCTATCATACTATCTGAGCGAATCGATGGATGAAAAGGCAAGCCCTAGCTGCCAATGGCCTGTAAGCCAAGAGAGCACACGAGTGATCTTACCACAACTGGCCCAAGAGCCCGAGGCTATTGATGAAATGCACGATTCACAGCACTTAGAAGATCCTGAAGATTCATCGGACGAGATAAAGTATCCGAAGCCTTGGAGACTCGCACTCATTACCTTTGGACTATGTCTAGCTATTCTATGCACAGCTTTGGTATGCCCGTTGGAAAGCACTGCTGAATGTCGACTAATTTTTAATCAGGACAACACCATCATCACGACTGCTATCCCCGAGATAACAAAACATTACAACTCTTTACAAGATGTTGGCTGGTATGGAAGCGCGTATTTGTTGGCATCGTGCGCGCTGACTCTACCATTTGGCAAACTATACACATTCTACTCTACCAAATGGGTCTTCATGGCCGCCCTTGGCGTCTTCGAGGTTGGCTCGCTAGTTTGCGCTCTCGCTCCCACCTCGACTGCTTTGATCGTGGGTCGTGCTATAGCTGGCCTAGGTGCAGCGGGTCTCTACTCAGGAGCAATGATAATTATATCCCAGACGGTTGCACTTGATAAGCGTCCGATTCTGAATGGGTTGCTGGGTGCCATGTACGGCATCGCGAGCGTTACAGGGCCCCTCATGGGCGGCGCATTTACCGATTACCTCAGCTGGAGATGGTGCTTTTACATCAACCTGCCTATTGGAGGAATCACTGCTCTGTTTATCATGATGTTTTTCCAAGCGCCGAAGTCCATCAAAAACACGCATGGATTTAGAAACCAGCTGTCGCAGTTGGATCTTGTGAGCATGCTCCTCTTTATCCCATCAATAACGTGTCTGTTGCTCGCGATGCAATGGGGAGGCAGTAAGTATCCATGGGGTGATGGCCGCATAATTGCACTGTTCGTTGTCTTTTGCGTTCTCCTGCTAGCCTTTGTCTTCATGCAATGGTGGCGTGGAGATTTGGCCACAATTTCCCCACGACTCATCAAAAATCGTAACGTTTGGGGCGCGTCAGTTTTCATCTTTTGCTTGTCTGGATCATTCCTCGTCATAGTCTACTATGTAAGTTCTATCGCTCTCCCAGGAACCTAGCTCAAGGTCTCTCGCTAACCATATCCAGATCCCGATCTGGTTTCAAGCCGTCAAAGGCGTCTCAGCCACAAAATCTGGTATCATGAGCATCCCCATACTTCTGTGCATTGTCATAACCTCTCTGTTGGCTGGTGTTATTGTCACTACTCTTGGCTACTACACACCTTTTATGCTGGTCGCTCCTGTCATCACGGCCATTGGGGCCGGGCTGCTCACCACCCTCCACGTTGAATCGGGCCACACTGCCTGGATAGGCTATCAGGCAATGGCTGGTATAGGTGTCGGCATGGGCCTTCAGCAATCCATGATCGTCTTCCAGGCGGTACTTCCCATGGCCGACATCCCCAGCGCCACAACAATCGGCCTATTCGCGCAGTCCCTCGGTGGCGCATTATTCATTTCTGTCGGTCAAGAAGTCTTCCAAACTAAGCTTCGCTCCAACCTAAGATCGGAGCTACCAGGCGTCGATACCGGATTTGTTATGCGTGCCGGCGCGACGAAGCTGAACAAAGTTGTCGATGCGGCGGATCTTCCAGTCGTGCTGGATGCGTATAGCAAGGCTATTACGCAGACTTTCTATGTTTCTGTTACTATTGGCGCGTTAGCGATTATTGGGGCACTTCCTGTGCAGTGGATATCGGTCAAGAAGACAAAGTTGCAGTAAGCTACTGAATAGGCCGGTTACTCATTCACTTCGGGTATATACTAGTAGTGCTTTCCAGTGTCTCCCATTGGGTTCAGCTTGAGAGTGTATAACGCCGATAGACCGAAATGGAATGCATCTGTCTATTTCCTTGAAGTTGATCCCACCCACCAATTATGTAATAATCACCGGGAATAGACGAATTTGTGTAATTGACGACCGCAAAGCCGCGCATCGAGAAGCAAAATCGTAGTGCAAAACGACTTGAAGGAATGTTTGCCATAAACCAATCTCGGAAAAAGCACGGCCGGCCGCTATAAATATATACAGTAGAGTAGCGATAAGACGAGCATCCTCAAAACCCGGTAACTATCCAGCTCCGCAACCTTAACAAGAAAACGGTTGAACAGGAAAGACAGGACTTTGGTATCGAGCAAAAATACGCCCGACCCGCTCAGAGAGCTGCTGAGCAAAGAATGGGAATGAAAGGCAGAAGCGGGTGGAGAGCAACCTGGCACGACGTCTTGTAAATAGTAGTACTATCGGTCAATACCAGTATATGGTGGACTAAAATTTATTCTAACTTCAAGAGACTATAGATGTTATCACTAGAGACTGGGAGCTACGAACATGTTGCTTTTCATATAAACACCCAGATGCTTAAAGCGTAGCCGACCCGTGTCGAACCTTATAAGTCCGCTTAATTCTGGTCTCCCGGCAGCCTGGTGAATTTCCGGATTTCTAGTAAGGCCCAATTCCACAGAAGGAAAGTGGTTGATGCAGGTATTTGACTAACCCGGATGCCCTAACGCTCCGGCTGGACTATACCGACCACCTCGAGTCCATGAGTATAGCCATTCAAGCCTACCAGAAACAATGCTTTCAGAAGATCAACATGGATTCTAGTTCAACGAACCGCGAATTTGTGGCTTGACGAAGAAATCATGCTGATAGGAGAACCAGTAAGACGCCACCCGCCAAGGATTCTGTGGATGGACAATCTCGAGATCCAGAGATCGGACAATCTGCGCGACCGACTTGAAGACCTCCATCTGTAATCAAGTCGCATTAGCATGAAATAAATCCGTACACCAACAGCACCTACCAAGGCAATATTTCGCCCGATGCACATGCGGGGCCCGTTTCCCCCAAAGATCAAGTCGTTTGCATCTAGATGTCGGGAGCGATTGGGGTCCAGCCATCTCTCTGGTCGGAACTCATCCGCGTCTTTGCCCCAGATTGCAACGTCACGGTTCTGCGCCAGAGGACTTATCCCAACCGGGTAGCCGGGCGGGATCAACTTGTCGTCAACCACCAAGCCGCTTGGTGGTACATAGCGCAGCAGTTGGAAGGTAATCGAAGGGTTGAGTCGCATAGCTTCCTTGATAACCGCGGCCAAAAAGGGGAGTTTCTGGCACTTGATATACGGTAAATTGCCCATTTCGCTATTCGCGGTGTATACTTCGTCTATCTCAGCACGGAGACGGTCTAGGACCTCGCGGCGGGAGTAGATCGCGTGAAGACAAGCGCGAATAGCTGACGCAGTCGTGTCGGCTCCGGCTCCCCTATCAAATCATAGCCCAGGTCAGTCCTGATCGAGTAGTGTACACTAGAGCGCAAAGAGCACGCAAGCCCCGTGGCACTTACACCAGACTACCCGCTTCAGCAATCACATCCTGTAGCTGAACAGGGTTTCCAGCGTCGTCCTTCATGTTTAAAAAGTGCTGCAAGAGGTTCGACTTCTCAACGTCCGCCTTCCTCGCCATCTGCAACTGAATCATGTTGCTGGTCCATCGCAGAAACTCGGTGAAGTGATCCTTCCCCAAGACGCCTAACAGAAACTGCGTCCCGCAATTCGTCATCAGCCACGATTGACCCGGATAGTGACCAAGGCATGCGTTAAAAGAGAAAGTGAAATACAATGACTTCCTTATATCCATCAGGTCTGACCCAGACTCCAAATGACCCAACGGGGCCCCATAAGCCAAGCACGCGATAACGTCGTAGGCAAAAGCACTCGTCCACTCGCTGAGGTTGGCTATGACCCCCTGTCCGGCATGATCCTCAAGTTTAGTCACCAGCAGATCCAAACACCGTTGGATGTCCGGCTCATAGCGCAGCACACTCGTCATGCTATATGCCCCAGCCACCCGCTTGCGGCAGTACGTGTGCATCTTCTTGTCACGAATGGAGAAAAGTGAAGGTGGCCCAACCGGCGAGTCCCACGTCGTGTACCAGTCTGTCTTGAGGGCGATCGCGCCGTTGCCGTAGAGGAGTCGGGCGGCTTGGCCATCCACCACGGAAACTTCATTGGGGGCGATGCGGACGATTCGGCCGTACTTGCGATGGACCTGAAGAATATCATCGTGCCAGGTACCGCGCCAGTAGCGGATATTGCGCCATTGGCCGGTGATTTTTGCAAGGGTTGGGCCGGGGATATGGGAAAGAGGATGCCAATGAATACGGTAGGAGATGAAGAAACAGATGAGAACAATGCTAACCCCGAATAGTAGATCGGGGCTAGGGTTGAACTTGAAGGTCAGGATCTCTAGCATGGATGCTACTGCCCAGGTGAAAACCTTGGAACTATTGTGGTGATAGGAGGGCCGATAAATACCGAAAGGTATATGTTAGGTATCGCCCACCACAATCCGGAACCGCGTCAAAGAAAATATTCCTCGGCTGTCCTGCTACTTACGTTGGCTCACATAAATCTAGGGATAATTTTACCTTACTGATCACTAGGTGTGCATGGTCGCATCAATATAGCGGTGAGGCGCAAGCCATTTATTGATAAGGCCTTTTAGGAGTTCCGACGCAGGTGGAAGAGGAATGGAAGGAAATGATCGTAGGTAATCGCCTTGATAAACCAAGGTAGGTCTAGGTCTATTGCTGGAGCCTGACATCTAAGATAGCTGCACCCGAGGCGTCATCTACAATTATTTTGTTGATCTTAAGTCTGGGATCCGCACTGCTCAGCAGTGAATTCCATTCGACCAGTGTTCTCTCCTTGCCTCCGAACAAGGTCAGCATAGCAATATCACACAGCGCCGCCAAGCTTTCGTGATTCTCGCCAACAATTTGGTCGCAGATCAAAATCCGACTTCTGCTTTCATCCAACGCTGGAAGCGTTTGCCGCAATAGAGTCACACATGCGTCATCAGACCAATTGTGGAAGATGTGTCTGAATACATAAGCCGAGGCACCTGACTCGGACAGCAGTTAGCACCCTTCCCATCACCTCCCTTCATCCGACAACCCCAGTGCAAACGAACTCACCTTTGACAGGCTGGGGCGTAAAAAAATCATGTTGGCGCACCTCTAGCTCAGGATGAGAAAATGCCTGGTCAAGCTCGGCAAACTTGTCCTGCACAATACACCGAAGACCGCAATCCGGATGATGCTTCAGAATACTCAGACCCAACTGCCCCAGGCCACCGCCGACGTCGACAATCAGTCCGCCGTCGGCTGTCAACTCGTCGAACGGATACATAGCAGGGATTCTCTGCGCTGTAACCTTTTCAAACGCTCTCATGGCCCGCTCAAAGCGACGGCCAGTTTCTTCTTCATGGAAGTGCTCCCAGAAGGTGTCCTGCGTGTCAAAAGCAAGATTGAACCCCAGTGCATCGCCTGCTCGGGGCTCGCGATACCCAAGTTTGGCCGCGGCATCCGGTTGTCGGCTTGCCGAGCGAAAGTGCAAATCTAACCTATGGCATATAAGTCAGTGCTGATGAGATGAAGACTCGCCTACTCGCTGCTTCCGCGCATCCGGTTCCAAGACTTACCTGTGAGCCATTAAATCGCAGAGATCCGGATCACACAATGCTGACGAGGTGGCGTTGTGCGCGTAGTAGCCCGGCTTTGGCTGGGAAAACACCAATCGGTTGGTTAGAACACGCATGATGCGGGCTAATCCCGGACTACCATTAGAATCTGGTTCCTTTGCAGGGGCGATGAAGCAGACAAAAATCTCTTACTCAAGAAGCCTTCGTCCGCCTGGATCGAAACAGCCAGGTCCCTGGCGATAATCGCACCGTTGTGTGGTACGTGTTCATGGACCCGAAGATCGATGACTGTTTTGAGGCATGACAGTAGATTAGGCTGTGTAACATGGTAAGTTCAGAGTCCGTATATCCAGAGACTAGGATCGAGGAATGCATAGTCTACCTGGTGAGAAACTAGCAGAAGGTCTGCCTGGGGCCCGAGAGCCATTGAATGGATCATTTGGGACAATTCGATGACCCGTTTCATAGCCGCAATACCCTCGTTATCCTTCAACCGATGGCTGCCACAGGAGCTGGATCTGAGCGTCGGGAGCGGCAGTTGTTCCTTGCGAAGCCGATCCGTGTAAACCGCCATTGCCTTGGTTAATTCATGGCCAATTTCCTCAAACTCCATGTCCATGATCACTGCCATTCTTTGTTAGTTAGTATTTGGAGAGACATGTAAATATGCGAAAGCTCCGACACCTCCCTGGTTGTGGCAGTTGTCTCTACTGTGGGCCACTACTGGTTTGTATAAATGGAGAAACAAGTAGACCGACCTAGGTGAATATTTTTTCTGAAGCGTCGTGAGCTTTGTTGTGGTTAGATTTGTCACACTCGTGAGACTTGACGATGCAAATCCAAATTCCTTGCATGGAGAACAGCAGTAGTGATAAGAAGTCTACTGGATAAATTGATACGCGGTAAGGGGCTGTATACAATCACACATGACCACTCCTGGCGTCAAGGCTCATGCTTTCTAAACATGGAGTGTGTGAGGCACCCGCATTGCCGGCCTAATATTCCTTCTGCTACCTGCATGGTGTTGTATCAATAAATATCCACCTAGTTGCTTACAGCACACAAATCATATGTCATCTTGCTCCTTTATTTGATCTGTCTAAAGATAACGCAAGAAAGTATAATTGTGGTGGACAACGGTCTGCAAATGACGTGGCAATGCAGCGTATTATAGCATAGGAATGCAACCTTCGATTATACAGTATGTGGCCGAAGATTCCTCGGCGGTATACACAGTGGCGGTCCCGTCCAATGCACTGAATGCATATGAGAGGTCCCAAACTGTAGCAGTGAGCCCGCCGGCCCGCACCTTACTCTGCACGTTTCATGCAGATAAAGTAGAAATTCTGTGCAAGTCGAGCTGCAAGGGATACATCTACTGACTAACCACTTCTACCTCTAATTGTGAATACACTGCTAGTTTCCAGCACTTACCTGGTTTTTTCTGTTTATGCACATGTTAAGAGATCGGGAGACACCCCGCTCCGCTTGCTTGGCCAGCCCAAATTGTAGAGCAAGCCACTCAAAGTGGTCGAGTGAGTTTAGCAGATCAGGATGTTTATTCTATGAACCACGTTGCATGAATTAACTAAATGAAAATTCCACGCAAATAGGTCTCCAGGCCCTTCGTATCGTCAACACCGCTACACCACCCTACGTACTGGTCTGGACGCACCACGGCGACGGTAGATGGCTTGAGCGCAAGGGCATGGCTATCCTCTGCTTCAGCCAAGCAATAGAGCGGCATGCGAGATTCTAGATCTATGCGGTCTGGAGCCCTCATGCAGATAGGAATTACATTCCAATTCCTGGAGGAGGGCGGCAGTAGCCGACGAAGAGCAACCTCAAAGGGCGCGAATAGGTCCACATGCTCCACAAATACCACTACATGAAACGATCCATCGCTTCGAAGTATTGTCAGCAGCGAGGTATTTGCCGATGCTGCAAGAGGGGTGGAAACCGTCCAGATCTCGACATCCGGTATACGCATGCCAGCCGTGAGTTGGTCCAGTGAGTTCGTGTCCTGCTGCTGCAAAGTCAGGATTGAGGGGGTATATTGAATCTGAAGGCCTGAAAGGAAGCGCACTACTCGAGCGCCGTCTTCAGATCGATCCTGGTTGGGGAATTGGCCGGGATGGAAGAACTGAAACAGAATGCGGTCAACGTCCAAGAGCTCATGCGCGATCGGACGTCGCTCCAATTCATATGTGTCCAGAACTGAGGGCTGTAGTTCCTGCTTGATGACACCGGCTAGTTTCCAGCCGAGGTTATAGGAGTCCCTGGTGTTGTTAGATTGAAAGGAAACATGATCTTCTCACCAGTGTACAAACCTACTGGATGCTGATGTTCATGCCAAGACCCGCAAGAGGGGAGTGGGTATGCACTGCGTCACCTGTTAGGAACACCCGCTCGTGCTTGGACATGCTGCTGGTAAGACGTCGTGTAATAGTAAACGTAGACCACCTAGGCAGATAATTGCAATCAGCTACTGCTCACTGATGATACAGACCTCACGAAGCAGAGGTCAGGGATCAAGGGATTCACCATTCGCAATAATTAATACTCAGCTGTACTGGCGTTAGTCTACGATGTAAATCAGGCACGATAGCCATTCACTTACCGTGTATGGACTCAACCGTCGGCGGATACGATCGATGATAAAGTCCAGGGTAACTGAATCCCGATCCAAAGAATCGTCCTCGTCGGTAGTGAGTTGGATGTAGAATCGAGTGAGGTCGCGCTCGCGTCTGACAAAGAACATGCCTCCTGCATGGTGGTTATAGACTGTCGTAGACGAAGCAAGACTATGCGTGCCGATGTTGTGTTACCTGGAATTGTTCCACATATAGTTATATTGGGGAACGGGAATCGTACTCAGGAAAGTCTGATGTCACTCGCGTATCTACCACTCCCCATAGAGCATTTGTTCGGGTGGTATCTGTGGTAAGATGGAGCTGCTTCCGAGTCCATGAGCCTGCTCCATCCGCTCCAATCACATACTTGGCTCGAATTGTCTCTTCCGCAGACACGTTCTCTTCTTGGTGACGCTTGAGAGTCACCACACACGGATAGATGTCGGGATGAGAGGTCACGGTGTGTTCGACAGTTAGAGAGGTTGGAATAGTCTCGTGCTGGATCGATACTGATGACTGGCTGGCAAGATAGTGTTTGATAATCTTCTCTATTACACCTTGTTGCAGCGCGCCGTCGCCCCATCTGCTCAGGAACGGTTTAATTAAGTCTCCAGATGCCAATAAATATAGATGGGAGGTCGTACTTTGTCCGCACAGGAGGGCTATTTGTTGTTCGGAACTGACGGCTTATGTTCCCCTGGTCATCTTCGGACCACACAGCCCAGCTGTTTATAGGTGCCCACAGTTTGGAGACTTCATCCGCAATCCCGAAGCTATCAAAGACTTCCATGGTACGAGATTTAATCCTAGGATTCGGTTAATCGTTAACCACTCGGTGGATAGTGCTGTGCTGCTCACCCATCGGCGCCCCCCCAGCTTGACATCATTGGAACGGCTTTCTATGACCCGCGTCCTGATGCCTCGCTGGGCCATCCACATCGCTGCGATGAGGCTGAGAAGAGTTACTTATGTCCTTCGCATCATTCACATCGTTTTGCTTCGCAACTCACCCCGCTGGCCCCTGTGTGAGTTGACAGTCAGCGAAGCCCTCTCAGCGAGAGCGCGTTCCGGGTTGACGTACTGCGCCTACTATCAAGACATCGACCGTCGACTCAGCATGAATCTGCGAGTCCATCACGGAAATTGTCATGTCCTGGACTATAGTTGATAGCCTCGATGCTATTGACTTTTGAACGTCAAGCCGGACTAGATGGGACATAGGGATCCTTCTTTATTTTCATCAAGTAATTGGAAAGATTGTCGGTTATAACCGAGCCCGCATGTTGCATGCAAGCCCCTTACTCACCAACCTCGGGAGTTACATATCGGCGCCCTATCCAATCCCCTTTAGACACGCAACATGACAATGAATGAAACATTTGGCGCATGCAGTGGGTGTAGGGTTTTCTGTTCCACTCCAATCTAGCCGATACGCTTACAAAAGACCTCTCCCGCTCAATTCCAACCACAACCGTCAACAAACAACAACAAGTAAACGATATCAAGATGAGGGACGCTTGTATGATTCCCATGAACAAAAGCCAGGTGGGGTCCGCAGGAACGTACTGCGATACCTACAGCAGTGCCCTTCCCGCCAGCGTGGCAGCACAGCTCGAGTTGACTGACAAAGAGTTCGACCACGAAGCGGTGATGGCCCCTTCAACTCCCCAATGCTCGTGGTTGATCAGCTTCACGCGCGCACTTCGCCCTACCCGAGGTGAGCCAGACCATGCACACCACGGGTAGATATTTCTCTACTGACATCACTGTGACGAGAGATAGTCCTTGAACTCGGCACGTTCACAGGCGTCAGTGCATTGGCGTTCTACGAGGCAACCAAGGACACCCAGGCAGACATTATCAGTATCGATGTCTCCGAGAAATTCTTGAAGATTGCGCAGGATGCCTTCATCCGCCATGGAGCTACCGATCGCATTCGAACCATCCAGGGAGAATGTCTGAAGATGTATGTTTTGCCCGCCATCTCCGAACAACGGCACAGTACAAACTCAGCTAACCTTGCACTCACCGGGAATCGCCAGGCTGACGACTCTTGAGGGAGAATTTGATCTTATCTACATCGACGCTGCGAACGATGAGTATGAGGACTACACCCGCTTCATTCTGGACCACAAGTTGCTGTCCCGCCATGGAGTGATTTTAGTGGATGACAGTGAGTCGTAAAGCATAGTTTTGTGGGGCTGTATGTCTAGTTACTAATGGCCTTTGCAGCCTTACACGAAGGCAGCGTCGTCGAAGAGTCGTTGCTGACGAAGATGAAGGAGGAAAAACACCCAGTCTATGTTTCATGGGCAGACCCTGTCCACAACTTCAACCGGTACGCCGCTTCAGAGGCACGCGTGTACACAACTTTGCTGCCAATCTTCAACGGGGTGACTCAGATTATGTGGAAGGGTCACAACAACGTGTAGTGGGGCAGACCGTTGTACGAAACAGCGAGACGGGAATAGCAAGTCTATGGAAACAAAGGAGGAGGTTGTTGAAGATCTTAATGAACATTTCGTCTAAGCTTTAGTAATTGTGTCTCTCTCAGCGTAGATTCATCCATAAAATACCCACCCCAATCACCGTCAGCAGGAATGACCGGGCAACCGGACTTCGCGTCTTAGCCTCGGAGGCGAACAGCACCCAGCCTGGGCCGGAGCGCTCTGGAACCGGAAGAAATCTCAGCAGAGGGGCGTCAGCAATGCCCTTAGAAGCTCGATCAGCCGGCATGTCTTTGGCGTATGGGAGATAGTAGCGAGCGAGAACGCGCCGGAAAAGGCCTTCCAAGGCGTGGAGACGCATCGCCATGCCGGCTGCATGAGCCACCTGCAAGGTGCGCTTGCGACGCAGCTGAGTAAAAGCGGTGAACATATGCTCCCACTCGGCCAGGGATGGAACTGTCTTCCGACTAGGCTGTTGCAGCTGTTGAACCAGCAGCGAGGAGAGTACGGCTGCATCTTCCATGGCACAGTTGGCGCCCTGGCCCGTGTGCGGAGCGATCTTGTGAGCGCTGTCCCCGATACAGACGACCTGGCCGTAGTGCCACTGCTTCAGCACATACTCTTCCACCGCGGTCATGTTGAACATGACACGCCGTTCCCAAAGGTCTCCGAAGCTCGTATCCTGCCAGTATGGCTCACGCGCCAGCGACGTGCAATACTGAATGGCATCCTCGCGCGAAAACCGCGGTGCATTGCCGTAATGGTAGTCGTGCGAGAGTCGGCGGAACAAGAACCAGTAGATGCGTCCATGTTTGCCCACCACGCTCAGGATGCTCCGTCCATGGCTGTAACTGGTGATCTGCTGCCCGGCACATACATTAGGTGCTGGCGAAGAGATACCGAAGACACAGGCGTATTGCACCCGCATGCCTAGGTCATCCATGAATTAGTTCTCTCGCATCCATTATACAGAAAGAAAGCGTACGCTGTTGCTCCTGCTGGGCGGAGATTCCAGACATCTGCCACATCGCTTTGCGCACTACACTGTGGACTCCGTCGGCGCCCACGATCAGGTCCCCCTCGTAGGACGACCCGTCGCGACAGTACACGCGCAATGGACGGCCGTCGCCTTGACCCTCCAGCCGCTCCACGGCGGTCCCGGTGCGTAATCGGTCTGGATGAGGCAGACGGTCGGCGAGGATAGCTAACACCTGCTGCCGGTCGAGAAAGGCCAGTGAATATCCGAACCGCTCGCGCAGGACCCGAGGATACTGGCTAGTATAGCGGAAGCCATCGGGATAGACAACATGGGCTTCCTCCAGTGGATGAACCAGCTCCTCTAGCGCATCGTAAAGGCCCAGCTGTTGCAAAATCCGCGCCCCGTTGGGCATAATTCCAACCGAGGCACCTTCCTGAGGAGCCACTTCGCCACGCTTCTCCAGAACCACGTAGTCTATGCCGGCACGAGCGAGACAATGGGCAAGTGTAAGCCCTGCTATCGAGCCGCCAACGATGACGACGCGGAATGAATTCCTCTCCATTTTCGCCGGCAGTGTCATTTACAAGGACTACTGCTTCATCGCACTCAATGACCGGATAAAACACAACCTTTTTGCGTTGGAAGAAGAAGGGGGAGCATTCAGCTAGCCACGAAGCCATGGAAAGCCACCACGAGATAAAAGCAAGGGAGAGGGGACCTCATAAGGCAGCATGAGTTATACCCTTGCTTATGCACGGGGATACTGGCACGTAGACCGGTTCGTCCCGTCAACTTGACAGTCACACATGACGGTGCAGCTGTGCGTTCATGGACGAGATATCTCCATTTCGGATGCTTCGCCTCTCAGGGAAGCGAATAACTACCTCGACCCCTCTCGCCTTTCATCTCCAATCACCACCAGACTAGATACAAAATAGCGCAAATACAGTGGCTGTCCCCCTCCCCCAAGCATGATCATGGATTCAGAAAAACCCATTTCGTCCCTAGGTTTCTCGCATGCTTGTTGGAGCCTCATTCGACTCTCTCGATTCGACCGATACAACTCCCTGCTTGCTCTCTTTCCATCCAGTGAGTAAATGTTGTCTTATAATTATCCACGATGACCGTATCCTGATACAGGCTCCGAAAGTCTTCACAACCTTGCTGGCTGGCGCATTGCGGCTACGCCAGAATCCCAATGAAGTCAGTCTTGGATTCGTTTTCAGCCAGGCCCTGAAATGCGCCCTACACTGCTACGTCTTCAGCGGCGCGGGCATGGTTTGGAACGACTGGATCGACTGTGACATCGATGCCAAAGTGGAACGCACCAAGAACCGCCCATTAGCCTCGGGGCAGGTGCGAGTCTCGCATGCGCTCATCTGGATGGCCATCCAGTATCTCGCTGCGGGTGCAATTCTTCGCTCCGCAGTGGACAATCCATCAGTGTAGGTCAAGTATCTGGGCTCTCACCTATTGAACGAACGGCTAGCTAATTTCTGCGAAGGTTGGGGTTTGCGTTGGCCTTCGAGACGATCGGAACAGCTTGGTATCCGTTCGGGAAACGGCCCGCCGCCCGGAAATGGTATATCTACCCCCAATTCGTCCTTGGTGCGCTGGGTTTGCCGCTGGTGGTATCCGGATGGGCTGCCATCTACTATCCGGAGCGTTTGGGTCTCCTGGAATCCATTCAGCGCGCTTTGCCGCTGTCGTTTCTGATGTTCATTTGGACATTGTACTACAATACGGCCTACAGTTACCAGGATGTTGGGGACGACCGCAAACTGGACGTGCACTCCATGTACGTGCTAGCCGGGCAGAATATTCACGCATTTATCGTTGCCCTTGGCGTTCTGGTCCTGGGGAATATTATCTGGGTGTTGGTGGATGTCGAGTCAACCTGGTTGTGGTTTTCGTGGATGGGTGTGTGGACGATCGCGTATTTCTCGCAATTCCACCAGTTTGATCCGGCCCGTCCAGAGACTGGGGGCTTTGTGCACAAGCAGAATGTCAAGTTGGGGGTGTGGGCAGTTTTCGCGTGTATGGTTGAGGTCCTTCTGGCCGGGATGTAAGTCCGGCATCCATGATGGACGGAGAGATTAGATGGAATTGGTCTATCGGAGGCTGAGGATGGGACTGATGTATAGAGCCCGCGAGTTCTTTGCAGGCGTGTCTTCATCTTCGACCTGTCGTATCGGGATCTGTTTTTCTCGGGCTGGCGGTGTGCCTTGTATGATCTATTTCCTCATATTCATCGTAGACCAGTAGCCATGTCGCCATGGATTCCATGAAATCTACCTCGGTATACCGGAAAAGTGTTATTCCCGCGTGGTTGTATTGTTTGTATATGAGCTGCGTATAGACTGCTTTCAAGGGATTGTATAATGTTCGAGTTTCTGATGCCTTTTGGTAAGACAGAACTATCCCTTATCCGGGAAGCTATTGCAGTCAGCCACACAAGTACTTTGTATGAAATCGCGGGTATAATGCAAAGCAATGCACAATCCAGTATAGCTTCATGTATTCAGATGCATTTGTTTGCTTGCCTCCTTGCCTTCGATTTGGGGCCCCCTTACAGAAGCGATCTCGACGCATGCTTCTGTAGACCCACGACAAGAAACTTCACCGAAGCAAAGACCATAAATCGAACCCAGGGATCACGATGCTCTGGAAAGAACACATCGCTGAGCGGAAATGAATGAACCGATTGCGATTGTGGGGACAGGTTGTCGGTTTCCCGGTGCCTCCACTTCACCATCGAAGCTCTGGCAGTTGTTGTGTCAGCCACGAGACTTGTCCCAGGAGGTGCCCGCGGATCGATTTCAAATTGATGCGGTCTACCATCCGGACGTGGACCACCATGGGACCACGAATGTACGATGTGGGTATTTCCTCGAGGAGGATATCCAACACTTTGACGCCGCCTTGTTCAATGTTTCTCCCGCCGAAGCCCGGGCCATGGATCCTCAGCAGCGGCTTTTACTGGAGACCGTCTACGAGGCCCTCGAACAAGGCGGCTTTCGTCTCGATGCCTTGCGGGGCTCGGCCACCGGCGTGTTCTGTGGATATCTGCACAATGACTACGGACAGCTTCAATCCGCTGATGTGGGCGCCTATCCTCCATACGCCTTGGTTGGCAATTCGCCCTCAATGCTGGCGAACCGCGTATCCTACTATTTCGACTGGACCGGGCCGTCGCTATCAGTGAACACTGGGTGCTCGTCGAGCCTCTTGGCCGTACACCAGGCAGTCGAGTCCTTGCGTCGCGGCGAATGCTCGACAGCTGTCGTCGCGGCCAGCAATCTGCTCCTCACGCCGGATATTTTCATCACCGCCGCCAAAACGGGTATGTTGTCCCCATCAGGGCAATGTCGCATGTGGGACGTCAAGGCCGATGGATACGGGCGCGGAGAGGGGGTCGCTGCCGTGGTGCTTAAGAGACTCAGCGACGCTGTCGCAGACGGGGATCAGATCGAGAGCTTGATTCGTGCCACGGGAACTAACGCGGACGGACGGACTTTGGGCATCCTGATGCCCAATGGCAAGGCCCAGCAGCGGCTGATTGAACGCACCTATACCAGTATTGGGCTCGATGCGCGCTCTCCCCGCGACCGATGTCAGTACTTTGAGGCTCATGGCACTGGCACGAAGGCGGGTGATCCACAGGAGGCTACGGCTATCTACAATGCATTCTTCGACGGGGCCAAGGATGCGGACTTTCTCTATGTTGGGTCTATCAAAACCGTTATCGGGCATACCGAGGCCACAGCTGGGTTGGCGGGTCTGATCAAGGCGTCTTTAAGCGTTCAATACGGCACCATTACTCCCAACCGCCTCCTGCAGGAGATCAACCCCAAGATCAAACCTCTAACCTCACACCTTCGAGTGCCAGACAGCTGCATTTCTTGGCCGGATCGTCCAGCGGGCGTGCCTCGACGTGCCTCGGTCAACTCGTTCGGCTTTGGAGGGACGAACGTCCATGTAATCCTCGACAGCTATGATCCGCCCTCGTCCGGGCCTGATCATGACCAGCCGCGCGCCGGAGCCCTATTTAGGCTGCCACTTTGCTTATCCGCGGCATCGGACCGGGCCATTGGCACTCTTGTCGAGCGCTTTGCTCAGTTCCTTCGCCAGAACCCGGAGATCGACTTGGAAGATCTAGCAGACACCCTATTGACCCGTCGATCTGCTTTAAGCCACCGGGTAGTTTTGGTGGCTGATGGAAGGAAAGAACTATTGCGAGAGGTCGATCAGATTGCATCCCTGCTGAAGGCAGGGTCGATCAATGCACCCGTGATCCGGGCCAGGGACTTGAACCGCGCCCCTCGGATCTTAGGCGTGTTCACCGGTCAGGGGGTACAGTGGGCGCAGATGGGAGTCGATCTGTTGAAGGCCTGTCCAGCTGCCCAGGGCTGGATGAAGGAGTTCCAAGATTCGCTCGATGGGCTGCCCGAGCCCTATCGGCCGCACTTCAGCCTCCATGACGAGCTATCGGCGCCCTCCTCTTCATCGCGCCTACGGGAGCCACTGATTGCTCAGTCTTTATTGACGGCAGTTCAGATCATTCAAACGAATCTCCTGCGCTCCCTGGGGGTATGTTTTGACTTGGTCGTAGGCCACTCGTCCGGCGAGATCGCCGCAGCCTATGCCGCCGGCATGCTAAGCGCGCAAGACGCCATGCGAGTGGCGTACCTGCGCGGGTTTGCCAGTCAGAACGGGGGTAATGGGCCAGCGGGAGCGATGATGGCCGTGGATGTGACGTGGTCGCAAGCCGCAGCAATATGCCATCAGCCACCATACCACGGAAAGGTGACTGTCGGCGCCTATAACTCGCCGTCCAGCGTCACCTTGTCTGGAGATGTTGACGTGCTGTGGGAACTGCACTGGCTCTTACAGAGTCTCGAGAAAAGTCCCGTGATGCTGCCGGTAGACATTGCTTATCACTCGGCACACATGGCACCCTGCGCCGAACTCTACCAACAGGCCCTCCACGCCTGTTCCATCGAAATCCACCCACCGAGCAAGGCCCGCTGGGTGTCCAGTGTGTATCTGGACCGCGAGGTCCAGCGAGAGGATCTCGTCGACAGCGCATACTGGACGGAGAACATGCTCCGGCCTGTCCACTTTGCGCAGGCCATCCGGACGGCCGTGACCCATACCTCCTCTGCATTGGACGCCGTTATCGAGATCGGCGCCCATTCGACTCTGCGCAACCCTGTGCTGCGGACAATCTCTAGCCAACGTGGGTCGGTCTCCGCTCCGGCCTATATCGCCATGGGCCGTCGCCAGACCAGCAGTATTCAGACCCTTGCCCATGCTATTGGCAACCTCTGGGCTCACCTCGGCCCGAGTGCTTTGATGCTGGCGCCTTGCCGTGCTCTGTTCTATGACAATCCCCACAGCTCTCGTCGTGCTCTCTTACGGGACTTGCCGGTCTATCCTTTCGATCATCTGGAGCAGTACTGGACCGAACCTCGCTGGTCTCATGGAAAGGCGCACGGGCACGTGCGACCCAATGCCCTACTCGGCATCTCGTGCGTGCAAGCCGGTGGAACTGACCGGCTGTGGCGTACATATATCCGCCGCGAGGAGCTCTCCTGGCTCTCCACAGGGCCTGTTAGCCCGGCCCTGTACGTGTCGATGGCTGTCGAGGCCGCAGTCCAGCTGGTGGGTAAGCAGAATCTCCGTTTCGTCCGCATATCCAACCTCGAGATAAATGGGCAGATCCCGGCCCCCGACCCAGGCCCCGGAGTGGAACTACTTTTCCAACTTAGTACGGTGCATGCGGCCGTTGATACCGCGCGCGAGATCACCGCTGCCTTTACCTGTCTTGCCGCGGTGGATGAGAAAGGTCTTCAACGTATTGTTTACGGGAACCTGGTGATTACGCTCGGTCCGCTAGAATCCTCTCTGCTTCCGCTCCGAATGGAGCCCGAATTGGGTTCGACGGTCAAGTCGGCCGTCCTGGCGAAAGCCAACACTGGGAACGAACCAGGCGGCGGTATCTATCTTCACCCCGCCACTCTCCATGCAGCTCTTCATTTACTCGTGCAAGGAACACAGGAGACAGGGTGTGAGGGGGCACCGCCAGCCCTGCGTAGTATTGAGCACATCGCCATCAACCCGTGCAGCTTCGGAATTTCTGAGATCAGAGCCGATGCGGTCGTAGAAAGAGAGGAGGAGCACGTAATCTGGGGTGCGGTCGATTTGTTCGATGTAGCGGGCCACGGCTTCGTGCAGCTCGAGGGCATAAGGATATCTCGCGCGGCGAATCCTACGGGCTCTTCTCCTATCTTCCATGAAACCACCTGGCAACCGCTGCACCCGGATGCGACGAGTGGTTCCTCCCTCTGCTCGCGCTTCCTTGAGGAGTCTGTGCTTCGCTGTGACCGTCTGGCCCTGATGTACCTTCGACAGGCCATAGAGCAGTCCACGGCAGAAAAGTGGCGGGCGATCGGCGCTCAACTAGGGACTTGCGTTACTTGGATGGATCAGCTGTTCAGTGAAGACATAATATACCCGGAGTGGCTTGCGGATACCCCTGCTTCCTTGCGCGCTCAGCTTCGTGAGGCGCCTTGGGACGATGATATGATCCGAACAGATCGGGCTGGGCAACAACTATCCCAATTTCTCTCCTTGACCCTGGACTCGATTATCCCATCTCCGGATCCCATCTCCCAGGTATGTAGCGCGCAACCACGCCATCTCAGGTATGAGCGGGTGGAGAGAGTGGTTGCGCAGTTCTGTCATCGATACCCGCAGCTGCAGCTGCTTGAACTTGGTCCGGCGGGTGAGCCTGCGCCGGCAAGTATTTTGTCGGATGGTATTTCCAGCCTGTCATGCCGCGGCCACTGTTGCCTCTCTGTATCTGATCCTGTGGAGGATTTGGAGATCGAGATGGCGTCCCAGGGGATCAGAGATTCGGCATACGACGTGGTGCTTGTGAACGAGACACTCGATCGCGCGGCGGAGATCGTACCGGCCCTGCATGCGATCCGACAGCGGTTGCGGGTTGGAGGATACCTAGTCGTCATTGCAGCCACGGATCCCAAGCGAGTGCATCTTGCATTCCGGCCGGGCGTGCACATACGAACCCGCGGCGAGTGGGATGTGCAGCTGGCGACAGCGGGCTTTGGGGGGGGTTGACACGGCTAATCCACTCCATGAAGTGGCGTTATCAGGATATTCCATCATGGTCTCACAGGCAGTGGACGAAAACCTGCGGCTGTTACGAGACCCTTTGGCAAGAACAAGCCTGCCGTTGGGGGGATCGTTGGTGGTTGTGAGCCCCGGGCCCACAATTCCAGCTGTCAGCCCCTTGTTGTCCCCCATCTTTGGGGCGATCCGCGAGGTTTTTCTGCAGTCGGATCCTGATCGGGACGTTTTGGGCCTCGCCTCGGCGGTTCTGGTCATGGAAGGTTCTACTCCATGGACCACTAGACAGCAGGCAGTGACTGAACAATTACTCGCTCTAAGCAACGGGCCCGTGCTATGGGTTACGGAGGACGATGGCCATCTTGATCAGTGCGGAATTCACGATCTGCTCGCTACCAACCTCGCCCGCATTCGACTCGTCCATCTCCCCAATGCTCGTACCGCTGCCCCCGATGCCTTGGCGACACTCCTACTGCAGTGGATATACAGTCAGCGAGGGCTGTCCGGCTACTCGGTGCTGGCAGGTACCTCTGAGAATGATATCCGGCTACGTGGGGGCGTTCTAGAAATACCCCGGCAAGTCCCACATGCGGCTCTGAATCGCCGCCTCCACCCCTATCAGGATATGGTCCCAGCGGGGCAGGCACAGATACAGTACCAAGCATCGTCAGGCGACGCCACCGGCTTTTCCCTTGTTGCCGGTCATGTATTTGCTGACGGCGTCATGAACCCGGGAGATATCCGTCTATCTGTGCGGTTCTCCACCATCGGCGCCATTCCCGTTGCTGGGTGTTTCCTCCATCTTGTCCTCGGCTGGGACCAGCAGTCTCAGAGTCGGATGCTAGCTCTGACTAATGTCCATTGCGGCACAATTTCCTCTCCGCCGGACTGGTGTTGCGAGGTTCCCAAAGGACTCTCCGCTGTTCAGGAACCGACATATCTCGCTGACGTAGCCGCCGGACTGAACGCGCTGTATTTGATAGAACAGTTTCCTCCTGGATCGGTGATATTAATACATGAGGTCTCGCCGGTCGAGAGAGGTGTAATAAAAAGCCTCGCTGGTCGACAGGGAAGACTGTGCTTTTCAGCACTAGCCGCCCTAGCGAGTATAATGACCAGTCCGAGTGTATTTTCCTACCAATGCACAGTTCCAGGCGAAAACTCCGACAACAGCTCCTTTCTTGCCACATCACAGGGTTAGGAAGCCTCAACCCAGCCCATAAGGCCTTCATGTCCCTCGTCTCCAACGCTCTATCCCAGGATCAAGACACCCCTGTGAGCATCGTGTCGCATTGCATCCCTGTCAGCAAAACATCAGGCCTTTCGTATCGTCGCGGCCTGGGCAAAGGGTTGGATACGGTAGTTGGGCTTATGCAGTCACCTTGTTCATCCTCTTCCAAAACCCAGACGCCGGTGATTTCTCTCCAGGATCTCCGCCAGCATTGCCAGGACATCTCAGCCACCTCTGGTGTGGTGCTCGACTGGACGGCCCAATCCCTCGTTCCTGCATGGGTGCGCCTCGCCCACCAAACCATCACGTTCTCTCCGCACCGATCATACCTCCTGCATTTGTCGACACCACTTGCTCAATCAGTGTGTGAGTGGATGTTATCTCGTGGTGCACAGCATGTGATCCTGATCGATACGGATGTTGAAGCAGCGTGGAAGACGGAGATGGGCTCACGGATCAGGCTTGTCGATCTCTCTATCCGGTATGTTTTTTCCCTAATCCACCAACAGCAATGCCAATGCTCTAACTCACGGGGGAGCAGCGATCTCGCGCAACTGACCGAAAGCGCCGCACGAGACGGTCCAGCCGTCGCAGGTGTAATCCTGGGAAGTATCGAGTCCAGCATCAGCCTCCGCCTCCTAAGCGCGATTGATTTCAGTCCAGCGCTTGATTTCTTCGTCGCCCTCGACGAGCTCAGCCCACCATCCACGACGCCATTCTGGTCCTCCTCCACCTTGTCAACCTACCGTACCGCCTTGATCCACCGCCAACGAATTCGCGGCATCGCAGCCAGTATCCTCCATCACAACACAGCCCTGTCGCCGCAATCCTCTCCAACGTCTCCAACATGCCTCGTTCCACCCGAAACCCATGAGGCTCTGGCACAAGCGATTCTCGGAGCCAGTCAGGGCAACTGGCAAGTAACCGCGCTATTGAGCCAAGCGAGCAATTGCTCTGTGACCACTGACGAATTCGCTCGCCACCCTAAGATGTGGCACTTAGCGCCCGATCTTGACGCGCCAGCGACCCGTGACCCGACTACGGCGCCGCTCTCCGATCGACAACGCATTCAGCGGGCCCTGAAGCAGGCGGACAATTTTCAAGAGGGCACCGAGCTCATGGCCCAGGCTATCACACGCCAACTCTGCCACCAGCTACAGCTCCCGCGCGACGCTGCGCCCCCAGATGACACCCCACTCGGTGATCTGGGTTGGGACTCGATGATGGCGATGCAGTTGCGGGTCTGGATGGGCCGCCATCTGGCAGTAGATTTACCGGTGGTGCAGATGATGGGTGGTTCGTGTATTCGAGATATTGCGAGGGAGGCTGCGGAGAATTTGAAAGCGAAGGAAGGGGGAATTTGATGGCAATGTCGTGCTGATAGGTGGATGCTAGTTGTCTACAGAAGTTATGTCTTTCTATAGATACCATGTCATTAGCTACTGTTATTTAAGATGTCTTTTTTTTGGTTGATCCATAGATTTAGAACTTTATGTTGGGGTTCTTAGTCGGATTTCTATGAACCCGCATTGGGGAGACTGCTATTATAAGGTGAATTATTATAATAATACCACCCCTACTCATATACCAATGCAGCAAACGAGTCAAATCGTAGAATTAAATGGATAGGGCAAGGGCATATCACGGGGCCTGACAATTATATAAAATAGCTCACTCGCCTCCGTCCTCCTTGCAGCATCACTCATCTCAGACACCCACGCAAAATGTCAGATCTGGTCAGTTTTGCCTTTGGCGAGCCCGCCTATGTGAATGATACACACCCGCTCTATATTGACGCCGATCAACCCTCCCGCGCTATTCACGGCCGCGGACTGCGGCAGCTAGTGCGTGCTCTGGTGGCCGGATTTCAGGCCTATGGACTGCAAGCAGGAGACTGCGTCCCAGTCCAACTAAGCGGCAACACGGTAATCCATCCCGCTCTCCAATTGGGAATCATCGGGGCCGGCGGGATATATATGGCGTGCAACCATACGACCTCCCTCTACGAGATGCAGCATCTAATCCAGCTTGTGTCGCCACGTTTCATTCTCACCCATCCTGGCGGTCTTCCCATGGTTCTTTCAGCCTGTGCGAAGGACACAGAAGGCCCTTCTCGACGTGTCAGCACTGTGGACGAAGCGTCAATCGACCGTCTAGTCCAATTCGCTGCCACAGATGTCGCTACAGAACTAGTAAACACTCCGGCCACAGTTGCGAGTGAGCTATTTCGCGTCGAAGACTTACTGTCCTTTGGTGAAGCAGATTGGCAGACTTTGGACGAGGCCACGGCACAGCAAGCGCCGGCAACCATGTTTTTGACCAGCGGGACGAGCGGACTCTCCAAAGCGGCGACTCGCTCTCACGCCGCCGTGGTGTCGCAGATAGAAGCCGTGCAATACGAGCCCCCATTTGCGGTAAAACGTGCCGTTGCGCTGCCGGTGCACCACCTACTTGGCGACTACTGGACGACCATCTTCCCCATTCGCTACGGCCATCCCGTCCACATCCTGCGCCGCTTCGAGGTGACAAACTTTCTGGACGCACTGCAACGCTTTGCTATTACCGAGACTTACCTTGTCCCCACTATGGTCCATATCCTCCTATCGCAGGATACGGACACGGCGCGAGCACGGCTCAACTCGCTGCGCTACGTTGGTATCGCGGGCGCCCCCATCGAGGAGACAGTCCTGCAACGTTTTCGGGCGCTCCTGCACCCGGAAGCCTATGCCTCGACATTCTATGGAATGACGGAGGCGGGCGTGGTCACGCAGTACCGTTACGGGGACACTCGGCCAGCTGGGGGTATGGGTGGGCGGTCAATGGGATATGAGGTGCGGCTCATAGAGCCCGTCGACGAGGACGATGTAAGACAGATAATATCGTCAGCTCCGCCGGCTATCACGGGCGACGACCAGCCGGGTGAGATTCTCATTCGTGGGCCTGGAATGTTCTTGGGATATCGAGCCTCGCCGGCCGTCCCGGCCGCCCTGACCGCTGATGGCTGGTTCCGCACAGGCGACATAGGGTACCGGAAAGAGGGGCATTATTATCTCATGGGTCGGCTCAAGGAACTCATCAAAGTGCGCGGGTACTCAGTCCCGCCGGCGGAAATTGAAGCAGTTCTCCTCGAGCACGCGGGGGTACATGATGTCGGCGTAATTCGGACTACGGCCCCCGACGGGAGTACGGAGGCGCCCCGGGCGTATGTGGTGACTGTGCCTGGTCCTGTACGACCCTCGGCGGATGAGCTGGCGGCGTGGGTGTTGGACAAATTGGCTTGGTATAAGGGGTTGGATGGGGGTGTGGTTTTTGTGGCTTCTATACCACGTACGGCTGCAGGCAAGATTCAGCGGGGCAGGCTGATACAACTGGATTCACAGCGAGACCAATTGGCTCAGATTCTTGTCTAGTCCATACGTAGTAAACATGTTGATGTACGTTGACATCCTAGCTTACGCGGGGGCACTATCTGTGTGTTTTTAGCTCTCGAGTATAAAGTGCATGGAAGACACAATGTTGCCTTACAGGTCCCTCCTTCCTATACAGACTATCTGCGCCATCTCCTGAATTGACATTTACTTGAGATAGTGTTTCATGGTACCACGACAGAGGGGTGCCGCACAATGAACTGCTGGATTGCTTCATGCTTCACCCTGAGGCACTCGGCGGCATCCTACTTCCGCCGTCCGAGACCCCATGCAGGGCAGTGGTCATCTCATCAGAATTCGGATCACAATGCACCACTCGGCACAATCTCTGCAACAAGGCCTGATGCACGCTGGCGTCGTACTCGGAATCATACCGATAAAGATCTGCAAGGTGTCGAATTCCAGCTGCAATTAAATATTGACATGGGACGGCAGATCGACACCCAACTTAGCCTTAATTGCCTAATCAGGCCTAGTGCAGCCCTAATTCATTTTTCACAACTCACTAATTCATCTGTGGTCCGTCGTTTACAACAACCATTTTCGCCTTTATTTTAATACGAATACTTATGAGTTACCTTTGGTTATAGATAGTTACCTTTGGTTATAGATGACTGAACAACTGTCTCATTTGTCGCCTAAGAGGAAGGAGTAAATTGATACGAGTGTAGTTGGTAATAATTAGAACTGCAGTAGTGAACTTCACAAACATAGATATATTTTTTATTCATTTTTCAGTTTTTGACAACTAATATATAAGAGAGATTATTCGTCCACTCATCTCTTCATTTGTTTATTTATTTCGGTATCACACGTATTCAAGGCTTGGTCTCTTTTTTACATATTCCTTGCATAATCATTTGCCTAAATTGACATCAAAAGACCTTCTACTTGAATATCACGTACGTAGTCAGCTCAATGATAGAGCCAATTTATGGATAGACTTGGGGTGAACTGAGTTCCGCGGTATTATAGGCCTTAGTCTAACTAATAGGAACCATCTATTAATCCACACGCTTGGGCAGGCAGGCTGCCGCCGCACTCGGTCGAGAGCGTTGGACTTGACGAGACAAAGTGTGGATGCATCGGCCTGATATGTCTAAGGTCAACTTGATTAAAGGGTGGCTCACGTTGTTTTAGTCTGGAATCATCCTTACTCGAAAAAAGAAATTTTCAAATTTCTACAAAATATAGCATTAATTCATTCCCTTGTACCCTTGTGGTTTATTTTTTTCAGGAATCTTTATTATATAAATTAAAAAAAATTAAATACATTAATCTTTGTCTGGAAAGTTTAATAGCGGAAGTAATTATGATGCAGACGAGTCTTTTCGTACGCAAAACGTACCCATCAAGAGACTCAAGGCGCCTGCACACAGACGTGCATGAGCAACTGTCGATCCCTTCATTACGCTGCATATATTCATCCAGACCCCTTGCATATGCACGTGCGGTGAAGAGGAATTATGTATCATCTAGCGGTGAAAATCAGAGATATACTGGGTGTGTGAACCCGGTAGCACTCCCATCACCTTTTTCTCCACACCTCAAACAAACCAGACGCGAAAAAGAAACAGGAAAGAAAAAGAAAGATGGATTGGTTCCCACCCCCGTACCTGCCGCATACCAGCCATACAAACAGATAGCCGACCTCGCGCAACTAGGCCAGGGACTCGGCTGGGGTATCAACTATGCCCTAATGGCCTACACATCGCATCGGGACCAAACATATGGGATGTCGGTGCTCCCACTGTGCTGCAACTTCGCCTGGGAAATCACCTACGCGGTAATCTACCCGCCACACAACCCGATCGAGCGATTCAATGTCACATTGTATTTGGTGTTGAATGTGTTTATCATGGTCGGGGCTGTGCGATACGCGCCGCGCGAGTGGGCCCATGCGCCTCTCGTGCAGCGCAACCTCTTTCGCATCTTCGCCGGCGCGACGCTTATCTTTCTGCTAGCGCATGTTGCCTTGGCCGAGACGGTGGGTGTAGGCCGCGCTGCGAATTGGGGCGCTTTTTTTTGCTTAGACTTTTTGGTCGCGGGAGCCTGGTGTCAGTTGTTGGGAAGGGGGGAGTTCCCGCGGGGCAACTTATGGCATTTGGTATGTTTTCCGACGGGAGGATGCGCATGAGTTCAAAGGATCAACTAATAATGTACTACGCAGGGCCTCCCGCTTTATTGGTTCGTATGTCTCGGCTATCTCGGTCGAGTTGCGGCGAATGCACTGGCCAGAGGCGTTTGGGTGGCTGGAGTCGCCGATGGTGAAGTGGCACATGGTGGTTTGTGTTTTATTAGATGTGGGATATGTTTTGATGTTGCGAAATGTCAAGAAAAAGGAGAGGGAGCAAGAGCAGATGGCTCAGAAAGAGAAATAGCTGTACCTTTGGTGGTCCACCTGTGACGGTGGAGGGTATCTTCCATGTCTTGGTGGAAAAGGTAGAGTAAATTGATACTACAACAGCTGGGGTTCCCAGCACCTAGGTCTCGATATAACTTAGTCTCGTGATATAAGGAATGGGCAACAGGCTAGTCTCATGAAACATGACGCCCACCGTTTTGGTCTATGGGATCCTAATGTAGGGGACTTTTCTTGTCTGTCGTGGCACAATCCACCGAGCTCATGCTATATTATCGCAATTTTCACCATCAAACAGAACTAACACTCAAAGAGGAATTTTCTCTTTCCGACTCCGAACCTGAAGTTTCAACATAGGGTTGACGTGCGAGAACAGTCCGATGATCTGGAACCCAGGTTGATCCGGGTCTTGTAAGCGCCAGTCATACTTTAACAGCAGATGAGACAGAACCACCTTGGACTCATTCACAGCAAAGAAACGACCAGGACAGGCATGACTGCCATGGCCGAATCCCACATGATCCTGACTGGTGGTCACCAAGTAGGCTTTGCTCTCTTTCCCTGGCGTGTCGCGCCATTGCACAAATCGGTACCCGTTGTACTGATCTGGATTCTCATACACCTCACTATCCTCCCACATGTGGGATGACGATATAGCCACCGGGGTGCCACGAGGGATATGAGTGCCATCTTTCAACGTTACATCCTCCGTTGCGACGCGGCGCATGGTAACTAGGCCCATCAGTCAATCGGGGATACGAAATTAATGGATGATACCAAAAGGGAAGGGACACAGACTGATCATGTTCGGCGCCAACCGCTGAGTCTCTTTCATGACACTATCCATCAGCTTAAGTTTATGGAAACTCGTCTTCTGCCAGCCATACTCGCGGGTCACGGAGATGACTTCCTCGCGCAACGGCGCAACCAGTTCGGGGTGGCGGCAGAGGTCGACCAGCACCTTTCCTACAAGATCACTCGTTGTATGGATGGCGGCAAACGATAAGCCCAGCTGGGACACCACGGGGTCGTAATTGGGGCCCGCCGCCATTTCCTCCACGTAGTCGAGAAGCAGAAAGTCGTCCATCTTGGGCCGACCGGATGCCACGGAGGCAGCCCTGGCCTGGCGGCGCTTTAGGATGACTGGCATCAGCAGTTTGCTTGCCCGAGTGAAATATGCGCGTTGTCCACGACATTCCGGCAATACCCAGTGTACGATCCGGTGGCACCAGCGGGGCCACGCCTGCAGTGCCTGGATAGCATAGAAGGAATGCTCGACGTAACCAATCGCGGTGTCGATCCAGCGTTGGTCACGGCAGATACCTGTCCCTAGAAAGATGCGAGCAGAGATCTGGGCAATAATCTGGACCATGGTGGCATTCAGGGAGATATCGTGCCATTCTGTTTGTTCCGCCGCATAGTCCTCATCAGTCGGCCTGTTCGTTGAAGAGGATTCGTGATTGGGGAATGCCCTCACCCTCGTCATCCGTCCAATGCTTTTGAATAGCCAGTGCAGTCTCCTCCCGTATCGTCGAGGTCAGCTGTGCTAAATTGCGCGATAAAATTAGCCAAGACCAGCACGCCATGGCAAAGACCACCGCAGAAAACATACGTAGGGCTCTAGTTAGTCGCAAGACCAGATCATGAACCAGCTTGCCGTGAGTTGATCCGTTCGAAAATGGCTGAAACCCAGGCAATTTGGTACACCAATCCTGTTGAATTTAGCATTTAAATATCTCTCTCCCAATTTCCGGAAGATCGAAGCCTACCACTTCCAGCGACTTAATGTGGCTGAATCGCGGATCGTTCCTCAACTCATCCGCATATTCACCAGGAAGAACTAGACGCTTTCCACGCTCGGTCATAATATGGAACATCTTTGCCTACAACAGTCTTGAGCATCCACTTGATCGCATGAACTGAAACCATTTACCTTGGCCTGACATTTCTTCAACGCCTCCGCGCCAGATGTCAGAAATCGGATCTTCGCATTCATGAAAGATAGCTCCCCGGGTCTCCGATCATGAAAGAACGGGATCGTGCTCGCTGGTTGCAGCCACCACAGAGACAGAGTGTATGCCATCAGCAGGCCGAGAATCCATTTCCCGTAGTTGGTCAGGAAACCGTGAACGGGGTTAGCCGTGGTTATGGCAGTGAGGTCGAGCATGGCCAGGTGTTTGTATCGACTAGGAAATCGAAGGACCAGAGATGCTTCATGCTTCGGGGATAATAAGCCCAGCTCGACACTTAGTCACTGCAGACACAGAGTTTCATTATCACGTATCGCGGTCCGCATGAATGGCGTCCTGAGAACGCGCAAGGGGGGGGTAGGCCGTGGCTGACCAAAAGATGTCCACCCCTACATCGTATGTAGTGTGTAGTGTCACATCACGATGATGGGGGAAAAGGGAAATGCAAGGGATAGAATGATCCCCACTTGAAGGTTCATGCATGCTGTACATGCTATACATACTCTCTACTGTATCGGCAGCGATGATGTCGACGCCGTCTTCCCAGCACGCGTAAGGGTTACGGCCTAGAACTAACCAGCGGCAAGCAAGACGACTGTGGATGCTAGCATAAATATTTAACCCCTTCATCCCACACCATAGAATTTGTTTCATAGTACCAAGTCGGCAGATTATCATTAAACTGCTGAAAATGGAGTTAATTGAGATATTCTCGAGAAATGGCGGGCCTTTCCTGACAATCCCGTTGCTCTGCAGCGTCTTATACATTCTCTTTCATCTTCAATCTTCCGCTCGTGGCAAATTTGCTTGCATTAACGATCGCCAAGGCTGGGAAATGTTCTACACCAAATCCAGACAACGTTTTCTCTTTCAAGCTGGGGATCTGATCAGATTGGGGTTCCGGAAGGTACTGAGCCAGCGACTCGACGGATAGAGGAGGCGCAAGTGATGCTGACACAACGGATGGGACAGTATAAAAATGCCTTCAAGATCTTCACTGATATTGGACCTATCTTGATTCTCGGGCCTCAGTATGCACATGAACTACGGAACGATGACCGCCTCAGTTTGCAGAAGTTTACGTCGCGCGTAAATCGCTCTCCCTCGGCCTTGGTCGATGACGACGCTAATATTCAACCCTCAGGAATTCCATTCGAATATTGCCGGGTTCGAACCCTTCAATGTTGCCACCGTGGAGGCCGAGTTGATGTTCAACTCCATCAAACAACCCTTGCAACAGGCATTAGGTCGGTCATCATCCCTCGCCAAGCTCCCCTTTACGTACACAGGACAGCCGGCTGACTCGAATGGGGAAGATAGGAATCCTCGTGCAGCCCTTAAGCACCGAGACGACGAATGCGTTGATGACGCATTGGCCCTCAAACTCCGGTACACACACTTTCTTAGCGGCCCATGACCAGTGAGCTGACTGATAATACGCAGAATGGCAGGAGATCGTGCTTAAACCTAGCATTCTGCAGATTGTTGCACAACTCTCCTCGAAAGTCTTCACCGGCGACGATCTCTGCCGTAACGCAGACTGGCACCGCATTCTAATAACCTACACGGTCAACGTGTACGAAGCAGCTCAGAAACTGACACGCTGGCCCAAGTTCCTCCGCCCTGTGGTCGCGCGCTTCATCCCGGCCTGCCAGACTCTAAAAGCGCAAATACAAGAAACGGAGAACCTGCTTCTACCGGTGATCAAGCGTCGGCGCGCGATACGTGAGACAGAAAAGGCCGCCGGAAATTCTACATCGAAAACGACGGACCGTGTCCCCAACGCGATCGACTGGATGGAAGATGGCGCCTCGGGTCGGCCCTTTAACCCCAGCATCGCGCATCTGCTGCTCTCCTTTGCTGCAATTCATTCAACCGCAGACATGCTGACCCAAGTGCTCTACGATATCAGCAGCGATCCTGATCTTCTCACCGAGCTGCGTCAGGAGATCATCTCCGTGATCCCGACGCATGGGTGGACGCGCGCAGCGCTCTACAACCTCAAACTCATGGACAGCGTGCTCAAAGAGAGCCAGCGGCTCAAACCGACGCGGATGATCTCCATGGGCAGGCTGGTGGAGGAGCCGGTGCTGCTGCACGATGGGCTCGCGATCCCCAAGGGCACGTTGCTGATGGTGTCCAGCCACGCGATGTGGGATGAGAGCGAGTACACCGACCCGCGCCGGTTCGACGGGCATCGGTTCCTTCGTATGCGCGAGCGTGACGGTCAAGAGAATGACCATCAGCTTGTGGCGGCGGCACCAAATCATTTAGGATTTGGGTATGGGAAGCATATTTGTCCTGGACGGTTCTTTGCCGCAAACGAGGTCAAGATTGCGCTGTGTCATATGCTATTGAAGTATGATTTTCGTAGAGTGGGCGATGGGGATGGGGCAAGGGTCATCAATCTGGGATTTAACTTGTTTACGAACCCAATGGGGAAGATTGCCTTGCGGAGACGGCAAGAGGAGATATGCCTGGATGTTTAGGGTTGTGTCGTTCGTTTGGTAGGTGGAGGAGGATTGGAAAATGAGCAAATTAAACGTTCTGCTTATTCATGTAGCTCTTGCCTAGTGTTACGAATCTAATTACGTCCTGGACCGACATGAGATGTGATGCCTGCGCTAACGCATAATCCAGCTGAGTAACGTAGAATGACTCTCTGGGGGCGTGGTCGCCGCCTCGAACTCCAACCGCGGCTCGCATGTCTCTATTAACGACCGCAGCTGCCGCACTGAGCGCTCTTGCCCACTGCACAGCGCAAACATAGCTATATCGTTGATGTACATAATCTTCTCCAGCCAGCCCGGCAGTGTGCCCGGCTCCGGCAGCGTCAACTCCATTACCATCACACGGGCACCGGGGCGCAAGGCCGGCAGGAGATTGCGGATGATATCCTGGCAGACACGGTCCGGCCAGTCGTGCAAGACGAACCGCAGCAGATAGGCATCAGCGACAATCGGCTGCGGGAGGTGGAAGTCGTGCGCCATGAAAGAGATGCGGGAGCCATCATTGCTGGTCAGCAAAGGGCGTTGTTTCAGCACCTCGTCCAGGTCCTGGACGGTGATCTGGAGGTGTTTGTATTGTTCGGTGATAGCAAGCGCTGCATGTCCGCCGGAACCTCCCACCTATCTCCGGATGTCAGTGTTTTGCTTCAAGTTGGTGTCATATTCGATGAGAGGGGCTTTATACATCAACAACCGTGTTGACCTGGGTCCAGTCGAACGCCATTGGAACGGCCGCGACTGACCGGGTCGGAGCGGCACTGAGTTTCTCCATTATCTGGCGGAAGCGACGACATTCGATGGGGTTCTGCTCCAAGAAATCCCAGTACGTGGTCGGTTTTGGGCCGCTGGCCTGCAAGGACAGCGCGAAGGGAGCGCTCTCAGGGGTCTGGCCGGTGGGATCACGGACGACCGAGGCGGCCACGTAGGCATTGGCGCGCATATCGACTCCGAGCATGAACCGCGTGGCATCGGCCGTGTAGACATCTTGTACCAGGCAAGCCGACATGGCACTGTGTCGGACGTAATCACCATCGCGGCGCAGGAAGCCTGACGCACTGGCCAGAGACACCAGTCGGCGCAGCAATTCCACGGCCATTTTAGCACCCCTGGCCAGCTTTTCAAAGTGAATTGCTTGACCCAGAGGAATCAGTTCGGGAATTCCCATCTCGATGAGCGAGTGGACGGTTCCCATGACGAGGCCCTAGATCGAGGCGTCTTAGAGACAAGGTGAGACGGCAAGCATGGCGGGCCTTCATGACTCACCGTTTGACGATACTCGCCGAGGCTGCCTTGGGGACCTCGCGCGAGGAGCAAGACCCGTTCGGCTGCCGCGATGAGCTCCTCTCGGGCCATTTCGGCGTCAGTGCTGAGAAAGGCGAAGTCGGAGGGAGAATTGTCTGGCTCAAATGCGTATTTGCTGTATCCAGCAGCATCTACCTCTCCGGCAAAGAGGTCGCCCATCTGCTTGACAATCGTGAGTGTTTCGCGGAGAGTCGCCATGATGAATGATATGAAGAGGTTGGTCGAGGTCCCTTGGAAGAATCCGGACCCGCGTTCATTCTTATAAGTATCTTTGGGCGGCTATGGCTGCACTGTGCGCCGTTACAAGCTCATTACGCAGTGCGGGCACTAGGATGTAATGAAAGCAGAAATACGAATCATTGGCTATGCATGAAGATCCTGCGGCATGAAGGGTTCTACACCTGGGATTTTTCTCTCGCAACATCTTTCCAGTTTCATCTCCTCCCATTCCCTTACACGATCTAAACAATAGGACGAGAAAATGAACGGCGAGTTCATCTTCCCACGAGGATCTAAGATCCTGGTAACTGGCGCCAATGGATACATTGCCTCGCACGTTATTTCCATCTTGCTCGACCTCGGATTACATGTTCGCGGGACGGTTCGCAAGCCCAAGCCTTGGTTGGAGGAGTATTTTCGTCAATCTCACGGCAAGCTGGGCAGCTTCGAGACGGCTCTAATTCCGGATTTGGAGGCTCCCAATGCTCTGGACCTGGTGCTAGAAGGAATCTCGGGCCTTGTGCATCTAGTATGGACAGTTATATTCCCAGGGCGGACAACCAGAGTCAAATCCTCATATGAAATTATCTAGGCCAACCATATGTCCTTCACAGACGACACGAACGCAATCTTGCAGGCCCAAAACATGAATGTGAATATTCTAGAAAGTGCGAAGAAGCACAAGAATTTGCGGCGGGTTGTGCTGACCTCGTCGTCGTGCGCTGCGTTCTACCCTACGGTGAATAGGTCGGTTCCGGTAGATCATGGTATGTCAATTGCCACCACCACTCTTCTGCCTCTGTTACTGAGAGCTTTTTCAGATTCCTGGAATGAATACGCCGTGCAGACCGCATCACAGAAGTCCTGCCCCCCCCGAAATGCTGGCTTTCGTTGTGCACGGGGCATGCAAGGTGCAGGCTGAGCGAGAGGCGTGGAAATGGATGGAGCAGAACCACCACCCATTTGTTCTGAACACGGTTCTCCCCTATTGGACGGTTGGAATGCCCCCTGGCCTGCGCGTTTGTTTTTGCTAATTAGTTTCCTCATGCAGTTGGGGAAGATCCTGCATCCCGAAATTGGCGGATCGAGTATGAGCTGGATGAAGAACATTCTTCAGGGTGACACTACAGCGTTTCAACTTCCGCCTCGTAAACATTCCTGCGCTGTCCTCCCGTATACATGATCTTGGCACTGATTCTGATCATATCATAGAGTGGTTTGTCGATGTCGAAGACGCGGCGCGCCTACACGTGGTTGCTCTCCTTTGTGACCAGGTACAGTCCGAGAGACTGTTTGCCTTTGCCTCGCCCTTCACCTGGGCCGACATTGCTGTCTTGCTGCGAAAGCTGCAGCCAGACAACCCGCTTATCCCGGCGCCTCCCAAGAACGAGGAACGTATCTGGAACCAGATTCCGCCCGTGGCCCGAGCCGAGGGTCTTCTGCAGGATGTGTTCGGGCGAGCAGGATGGACACCTCTAGAGGAGAGTTTGGCAGCCGGTGTGCGAAGCTTTACTTGACTGACCGCCGGTTTGATCGCGGAGAGCGAAATTGATGTCCTGCTGCTGTTGACACAGGGTATAGCGCTCTGATAGGTCACCTGGGCCTTGCTTCATGTCCTGTAAAAGTCGTACGCTTTTTGTACGCAAATGCATGTCCGGAACTGGCGGTGAGGGAATCTCTTCACAGAAACCCAAGTCCACAACTCCTGCACTGTTGATTCATTACTTCACGTTCTCCGCCGCGGCTCAGGATCCATCGTAGCAGGCAGATCACGATTGACATCATGTCGTGGAAAGCTATCACACCTGATGTCTATGAAAGGCCCCTCGGGGACTTGGAGAAGAGCATGCTGCCCGCTGCACTGATTCAGGCGCGTGAAGTCTATTCTCGCGAGCCAAACCTGGTATACACAGTGGTAGACTTCTCCATACCATGCGAGGGCCGGCAGGTGGCAGTCGCTCTGCGCGAAGGCTGGAAAGCACTGCGACTGCTGAAATCTCCTGATATCGCCACCACCTATCAGGATGGGATGAAGCAATACCGGCCCGTCACAGCTGATCAACTCGAGGCCTGGGCGCAGACGACCTTCGTGGAACTCCCCCCGGGCCAGACCGTTCACTTGGCCATTGCACAAATGCGCCTGCCGCCGGACTGGCTGCCCTTTTGTTATCTGTTACCCCTGGACGACTCGGGAGACGGTGTCTTCCACGGGCAACTTATCTTATGCATCAGTCACTGGCGCACTGAGGCCACAGGCTGTCTCCAGCTGCTCCACCACCTCCTGCGCTTCACAACAGACTTACTTCCCGGCGCCAAGAGCTCGACGCTTCACACTCTTGCACATCATGTACCTGGAAGCGAAGTCGGCCTACTATCACCTTCACTTGAAGAAGTTGTCATGCCGGGGGCAGGCCCAACCGACCCGAGCGCCCAGCAGAGGGTCGACGATGACTTTGCGCGGTTCTATGCCGCCCAACCCTCGGTTACCTTCGACTCTCTGAGCCCCATGCACGGAATTCCCTCGCACATGCGGCTGCATCAACGTATCTACACTAGGCAGTCCACCAACCAGCTCCTCGCTCGCTGCAAGGCCTACACCGTGACCGTGACCGCCGCCATCCACGCCGCCTACCTGGCCGCCGTGTGGCAGCTTGCGTCCCCTTCGAAGCGCTCGTGGTCCTACGCAGGGATGATGCCGGCCCAAATTCGGAGTCGTCTGGCCCCAACGTCGGCTTTGCACGACCAGGGCGCCTGGTCCCCCGCGCAGCAACTGCTCATCACTCTTGCGGCCCCGAGCCAGAACAGCAGCAACCCAGACCAGTTTGTGGCTCGAGCCCGGATCTTATGCCAGCAATACCAGCGAGCCAGAGAGCCTGACTGGCTTTACACGGACCAGCGAGCTATCACCGCCGCTCGCGTTCACTACTTCGCGTCCGGTAGCGGCGACTCCAGCTCCATGCCGTGGTTCAGCAGCCTCGGCCCGCTAGATCAGGGCCTGTTTCCAGCAGTGATAGGGGCCTTCCGCGTCCACAATTTCGCCTGCTGGTCAGATTTTCTCTCAGCCGGCATCACGCTCATGGTCTGGACTCACGACGGAACGCTGAGCTTCCAAGCATTCTGGAATGCGGCTTTTCACGCAGATGATCAGATCCGGCGGGCCTTGGATGTCATGGAGGGCGTGTTGGCCGACGAGCTGGGGGAGATGCCAGCTCTGCAGGCTGTCCGCTGGGTCGATTGTTAGCTCTTGCCTGCCGTGTACGCGAGTTGATGCATAGGTAGTACAGATCACAACCACTCCACAATGCTGATTGAAGCAAGCAAAGGAATACCACACCTGCTCCCATGTGCTCGGCAAGACTCTGTAACCTGTTGACACGATCTTTCAGTCAAGATGAAAGCATCCGCCCCCTTGCCTGGCGAACATTTCCCTCCAAGAATGGGCTCTGCCCTCATAGTGACTTTTTGAAGCGCAAAAAACTGCTCATTTGCACGACGCCACAACATGCGAGGTGCTCTTGTCCCAGAAGCCAGGAAATGCCCAGCACTAGTCCGCCGCTCCTTGCATACTCCCCCTATCGGCGCCATACCCGGACATATCTGCATCCGCATGCCGCTATTATAACAACCAACAGGTTTGGACACAGGTTGATCTATCCATCTGTAATACTTTTAGGACACCTCTAATTGTATGCCCTGTTTGTCTTCATCCACCGCACCATGGCCGTTGACGATCCCCTGACGACGGCAACTGCTGAAGCAGACGACTTCCCCGTCGATGTCCCGGTAGCCGATCTCCACACCATCAACTTGGGCAAGCTCCAAGCCGGCGACGCGGCGGAGGCACAACAGCTTTTCGAGGCGAGTTGCACGACGGGCGCGTTCTACCTCGATATGCGGTCGAGAGAGTGGGATATTCTCCCGATCTTGGAGGACATTCGCTCCGTCTCCGAGGAGCTATTCGCCCTACCGCAGGAAGAGAAATGTGTGTATGATGTGGACAAGCTGCCAAGTAAAAAGTGTAATGGGTATGTCTCTATCCATCCATTTATCTCCTCTGAACACCATCACTGAAGTAATGGCTCTAGATACAAACCTGTAGGGCGGAACTACGGTGGGCTCGCGGGGCAACGCGACGGATTTGAGACTTACGTGGTAATCAATATCTTCTTCATGCTCGATCCCACCTCAGGTTTTCTTTGCTGTCTTTAACGGAGAAACACATAGATTCCTAAAAACGGCATCCTCGGTCTCAATGGCCAAGCCGACTTTCCCCGTCCCCCGGTAATCACCGCGGCACTCCCAACCCTACATGCCCTCACGACCACCATCAACAGCACAACACAGACCATCACTCACCATCTGTCGCAAATCCTGGCTCTGCTTCCAGCCGACAACCTCAAACACAAGCACGAGATAAGCACGCCCTCCCAGGATATCATCCGGCTGCTCAAATACCAGCCGCAGCCGGCGTCCAAAGAAGTTCTCGTTCCGCACGCAGCGCACACGGACATGGGGTCGCTGACATTCCTGTTCACACGTCAAGCCGGATTACAGATCCAATGTGTCGAGAAAGGGGAAGCTAAAGGGGACTGGGAATGGGTGCGGCCACCGCGCGCTGGCCACGCCATCGTTAACGTAGGCGATAGTCTCTCTCTGCTGACGAACGGGGTGCTGCGGTCGTGCGTGCACCGTGTCGGGCAGATCCCGAACCGGGCCATGCCGACGCGGTATTCATTTGCGTATATGGTGCGGCCGGCGGATCAGACGGTTATGGTTGCACCGCAGACCTCGCAGATTCCGGCGGCAGAGCCAGGGGTGCTGGCGCTGACATGTGAGGAGTGGATGAGGCGGAAGTATTCGGTTCTGAGGTTAGAGGAGAGGCCACGGGGTTTAGAGTGGATGATGACTGGGCACCAGCAGCGTGGGGTCCAGAATGGATAGTCTTCTTATTTACAGTAGCTCAAAATCTATGTACAGATAATAGTACAATTTTGGAACAATTTCGCAATTTTAGATATTGTCATCCGCCAGTTATGCTACAAAGGTGCGTCAAAATCTTACAGATGGACTTCCGCATAACCCAACTTAGGTCGAAACCTTCGACCTAGAACCTGACTTAAACTTCACATTGGAGACCTACTAGTAAACCCTGAGTTAGACCAGATTCGACCTGAATTTTAAATAACTCTAGTTACAAATCTACAGGGTCTAGCGGTGGAACGCATGAAAAAATAAAATATAGCTGCTGCCTAAGGGCGTTCTGGATATTAGGCGCGTATAAATATTACTAAGTAAATATAGAGATAGACGGGCGGCTTTTAAAGAGAATTTAATTTCGTTTCACCAATTTTACTGCTTTATACTACAGTGCGCAGGGTAGTACGCAGTGTCTATTTTAGCTCAACCGTATTTTATTATTATATGAGATAGGAGTGGTTGTGTGGGTGTGTGTATTCCTAATTGATAGTATGTGCTTAGTCTTTGTCGCCAGACTGCGGTCGAGCATCTCTCACTTCATTAGTTACCTATCCTAAAATGGTAAGGTGTCTCCTAAATAGGTAAAGCGAAACATATCCGGGTAAATGAGACCCTGATCTTGGGCCCGCAAGGCGGGTGAGCGCCAGGTCTATTTATCTATCCCTTACCTAGTAGTCTAACTTACCTTAACAATTTTATATATAACTTCCTTATATAGACTGAGACTTAGGAATCATGTAATGTCAGAGTTTTCTTTTGATATCTTCTGACTAGATAGCATTATCTGTTATTCGAGAAATGAGAATATTCTCGTGAATAGGACGCTTAAAATGATGTCAAAAGTAGCCTTTTGGCGCCCAATTTACCGTCACTTAGCCAGCTCGCTTGATTGTCCAGCTCGCTTTGGAACTACGTTTTAGTAACTAACAACCTGGGTTCGATAGTTAACTACACCAACCGCTTAGTAAGTATTTGGTGTACGTCACCACTGGTGTAATACATCTAATTTAGAACCTTTTCAGACCACAGGCTCGCAACATACCACAATATGTTGTTATAGCCTGTGCATCGGCAAAACTCAGTTCTTCTTACCCTTGATGGGGCAAGTGATCGCAGGACGTGGTGAATAAGCTGAAAGTCTCTGAGCACCAATACAGAGAAACTTTTATCGCTTTCTCACACCGATACATTCATTCACGATCAAGAACGTAGATTTTCCCTTATGGCTTTTAGCCATTACGTTCTGAGTGTATTTATTTTTCAGTGTTTGACTTTGATGCGGAAAATGCGTAGTTTTCATTTCTAAATCTCCCTCTTTCCGGGCCGCGAAATATGGCGCAGCTTTTGCGATGTATCACAGGTTCTCGCATCAGCGAACTACTCACGATGTAGATGATCCCTCAAACTCCTCTTTCCTGAGATAAATGACGGTTTTCGTACCTAGAAAAAGGTTCCTGGATGTAGATATTGACTCAACCTTCGTTTCCTAGAGTGAGCCATGGACCTCGAACCTAGCGACGATTTCTACGATGTAGACTGTCGCCTATATGTATATATATTATAAGATAGAATATGCTTGCTGGTTATCTGCTTACGCAAGTAGGTCGATCGCAAAGAGAAAAACCACCACATCTGTAGGCTGCACATATTATAACTTTGTGGTGTAGTATAGTGTAGTGTTGTGAAGGGCTACGACCGAATTGATTTAATTGAGCGGTGCCAACATGCAGTTTATTTAAAGCTTAGAGAAGTGTAAGAAAATAGGGCGACCCGCGGCGAGTAAATATCCAGGGGAACTGATAGATCACATCGCACAGGCCAAGCCTGGGCCATATATCGGGACCTGACCCGTTACAAGTGTAGGCAGAGAGTTCCCCTCCAGCAAACTAATCTTAGGATATTTAAGCCCTCTACCACCGATACATATTTACCAAAACCTCAATAAAGAAACTGTAAACCGAAAAGAGTCTATAGATTCTGTATATAACCATCAAGATAGTGGCTCAAAGCTAAAACTAGGTTATTGGCCAAAACTAGAGCAGCTAGGAAATGGATTTAAAGCCTCCTTATAGTCTCTTTCTGCTTAAGATAGCTTAAGATAGCACTATACAGGCTATCTCCCTGTTATTAATATTATCAAGATCGATCAAGAGATAGTTGTACTTTTTATTCCTCATTGTGGAGATTAGTAAAAAGGCGACCAAGTAAGGGATTAATAGCAGCGGCCAGGCCAAAAGATAGCCAGGTGAAGAAGGGCGAAGACCATTCATTTTACCTATTATCTGCGCTCTAGCACCTCGTTAAATCTTTCTCTGCTGGAATTTGCAAAGGCGACTTCTGTATGTCAGTTCCGCCCCTTCAGGTAAAGGGCTGAAGGGGCGCCGCGCTAGGGCAAACTCGTGGACGTTAGGTGGCCATGGACATACAATATCTGTTGTGTGTTTTTTTTTTAGGGGTCTCATTTGCGCATTTTTGTCACAGAACTTTAGCTTCTTATCCAGCCATTCCTGTAAAATGCCTCAGCCATTCATGGCTCCCCTTCACCTCGGTCAGAGATTTCCTGTCTGTCTTTCATATTTCCAGCCTGGAGGGCCATGTTTGGAACAAGCTTGATCTCTCGCCTTACTGTTTCTCACAAGTTGACATTAGTCCCCATAATCGTGGGGGAGGTTGAGATCTCTCTAATCAGCTCAGGAGCCAGCACGCCCGGAAGAATACTTTGTGTGAAACGGAGACATTAATAACAAGACTCACTCTGGATACATTGGACGTGCTATATAAGAACGATGTATCTCAACAAAAGTACTGACAAGAAACGAAGAGGAACTCTTGCTTACACAGCGACCAACGATCCAAACAGCCCTGTTGTAGAAGCATTCGAAAGTCTTATCACGCTGCGCCCAAAGTCCAAATGAGAAAAACTCCCCTCTCCATAGTGGGAAATTGTCTAAAGATCGTCAAAGCGAGAAGCAATAGCTTCGAGGCTCGGGCCCTTGGTTTCCACCAAATACAGATAGATTCCCAGGATCTCAATAACCAGCCATCCAACGTAAACCAGGTAAAATTTCCAACCGATTGACTGCAAGCCAATGGGGTTGACAAAGGCGTTGACGAAGTTGGCAGCCTTACCGAAAAACATGAGAACAGAAAAGCCCTTTGCACGAACAGGGTAGGGGAGAACCTCCACCGGATATGAATAGAGCAGAGCGTTGAAGCCCAAGTTGAAAAACGTGTAGAAGAGAAAAAGCATGGCGATGACCGCGTAGCCAGCGGATACGTTACCGTGATCGTTGAAAAGACCCGCACACAGAGTTTGACTCGCAAATATAGCAAGCATGCCCGACGTTGAGATTAAAAACTGGGTGCGGCGGCGCAGGTGTGCGGTCAAAAAGGCGGCGCACAGAGAACAAATCCAACTCCAGATCATCAGGCACCCATTGATGATGTTTTTTTCCTTATAACTGGCTATCCCAACTGTCTCAAGGACACGGGCGAGATAGTATCTTTTCCTATAGATTAGACATGTACTTGCAAAGACCCGAAAGGCCGTATTGGGGAAAAGGGAGGAGCAGTGGTGAAGCTTACGAGACCAACCCATTTCCTGACCACTGCGAAAAAACCCCGAGCATGATAATTAGTAGTAATCGTCGACGGTTCCCTCGACTTGTAAGCAAAGCGCGCCATGTCATTTCGTTTGCAGCAATGTCAGCCTCAATGACCTGCTTCATTTCATGGAACTCCAGTCGTACAAGCTCATCGTATTCATCTCCTTCTGCGTGGTATTTAGTCAAAATGGCCTTGGCCAGATCATTTTTCCCATTAGCGATCAGCCATCGTGGAGACTCGGGGAGAAAGAGAACACCAGTTATTGTAACAATCGCTGGGGACATTTGTAGAAGAGATGGGATACGCCAGGCCCAGTCGTTCGGAATGACAAATGTTGCAAACGTTATCCAGGCAGCCATGGTGGCACCAAGATACCAAGTCGTCTGATACAAAGAGGTTGTGACCTGGCGGTCTCTTGGATGGGAGAGTTCTCCGATCAGGATGGGCGCATACGTATTGGCAAATACTAGTCCGAAGCCGAGCAAAAAGCGAGAGACAAGAAACATCGCAACTAAATAGGCATAGAATACGTTAGTCGTTCAACTTCTAATGTGCGCCACGGGTACTGAAAGAGATGATAAACTGACTGTTTATGGATAACCCTTGGATAAGACCTCCAATAGCCATGATGGTGGAGCCAAAGAGAATGCCTTTACGACGACCCCATCGGTCTCCAACCATACTGATAAACGGAGTAGCACAAACTGCGCCTAAGGATAGGATTGCAGTAAGCACACCGAGGATGCTACCGTTGGGGTTTCCGAAATCTTGTCACTTAGAGTTAGATTGTCATCCCGGCAACAGTTTTGCGAAGAGACAGGGATTCTTACAAGTATTCCACGTCTCCACAGCCTGCAATCCATTCATCATCGCCGAGTCAAACCCCAAAGTGACAGATGGTACGAGACAACCAGGGATCATCAGCAAGTATAGTCTGGTCAGGTTTTTCTTCTTGTAAAATGGGGGTGCTTCGTGGGCCAACCGTTGAAGTTGGCTGTCAATGCCTTCGACATCCTGGCTTAACTTAGTGTCCTCGATCTGTTGGAGACTCTTCTCAATTTTCTTGGAGCCTTCCATGCTGAAGAGAAGAAATGAGAGAAATGAGAGAAATGATTAATTGAGAAATCTCCTGGCAGACCGTGGAGGAAAAACAGCAACTCTCAGATCTAAGTTCTCGAGAGTCATGGAGCCCTTTATATGACCTTGCGGTTCTGCTTTCAAGCGAATTATTTGGCCATTGCATGAGAGGTTCCAGGCGCGTCTGGCCTTGCCGGCAGAGTATTGAAGCCAAGGGAAGAAAATGCGGAGTGTGGGGATTTGGACAGCGCGAGACAACATCCGAACAATATTGGTCGGGCACCAATCGGAGACGTAGAATTCCGGAATCCACCCCGAGTATGCCGATAATTTTCGGAGCTGAGCCAATCGGATGAGTCAAGCGCCGAGATGTCCCTGTCCCATAGACTAACCGGCTAATACCCGTAGGTATGTATTCGCGCATGATGTGGAATTGATTACTGATGAGTTTCAACGCGAGGGCGGACTGTTAATCTTCGGGAATATTAAAAAGAGCTTTCCGCGAGCCAAAAAAATCTTCCATTCCCAATATCTTTCCGAACTACTAGTTACTGATAGTTCTGTTGCACGATGACGCCCAACGTGGATGCATTGTTGACCCAGTTGACGCTGGAAGAAAAGGTTTCGCTACTTGCTGCTCGAGATTGGTGGAGAACACCCGTGATTCAGCGCGAAGAGGTCTTTGTTCCGCATATCAAGGTATGGCTTGACTTCATGGTGGTGGTGCCAAGTGGAGAGATTGCTAATACAGGCATATAAGTAGGCAACAGACGGGCCTAATGGCGCACGCGGTGAAAGCTATGTGAGCGGTATCAAAGCAGCGTGTTTTCCTTGTGGTACCAGTCTTGGAGCTAGTTTTGATCGGGACATTGTATTCCGCACTGGGCGAGAAATCGCGAAGGAGGCGAAGCTGAAGGCCGCGAATGTGCTCTTAGCTCCAACATTGAATGTCATTCGATCACCAAGAGGTTTGCACCCACATTAAGTTCCGCGGGAATATTATTCTGGAGCCATGTTAAGTCAACTAATACGGTGTCTAGGAGGTCGGAACTATGAAACATTTTCAGAGGACCCAGTGGTACTTGGGAATCTTGCTGCGGCATTTGTAAATGGTACTTTTATAACCAGGCCTAGCTGAAACCACCCACAAGCTGACATACTTCTACACAGGGTGTCAATCTGAGGGCATTGCTGCTACCCCCAAGCATTTTGTGGCAAACGACACAGAGAACAACCGGAAATTTCTCACGGCCGAAGTCGACGAGCAGACACTGCGAGAGATTTATCTTCTGCCATTTCAACTTGTGTTAAAGCTATCCAACCCTTGGTGCTTTATGACAAGGTAATTGCATAATTCTATCTTCCTGACCTCGATTCATGTCTGATATTGAGCACAGCTATAATCGCCTTAACGGGACCTACGTCGCCGATGATGCTAGGTTGGTGAACGGTGTTCTCCGCGGAGAATGGGGCTTCAAAGGGCTTGTGGTATCAGACTGGATGGGAGTTTACTCTACTGCAATCTGTCTTAAAGCAGGTGTTGACTTGGAGATGCCGGGTCCAACCAAGTTCCGCGGTGACAAACTTTTACTGGCTATTCGGCAAGGCCAGGTATCCGAGGCTACCATTGATGACTCTGCTCGCCGGGTTCTAGAGCTCGCTCGCGCACTGGGCCGTTTTGAAAACCACCAGGAGCCCGAGGAACGTTCTGAGAGAAATGAGGATAGGGAGCGATTTATCTGTCATGGAGGAGCCCAGGGAATGGTGTTATTGAAAAACGACCGTGATGTGCTTCCCGTTGCTAAAGGTGCCTCTGTGGCCTTAATAGGGTATCATGCTCAGCATCCTTCCCTGGGTGGTGGAGGCAGTGCCCGAGTTGATTCTATACGGGCTGTAAGCCCGCTTGAAGGACTTCAGGCGACTCATCTCAAAGTAAGCTTCTGCCTTGGAGTTCCTGTCTATGGCGCACTGCCCCACGCAGATCCATCTTTAACCTACCAATGGGCCACAAGAACGCAAACAGAGGAGCCCGTTCTTCTGGAGTGGTTTAACGGTTCGACAATTGGTCAAAACAAGATCCACGAGGAAACCAAAGCATTGCCAGAATACATGATCAAGGAAAAATGGCCTGACCTTCTTGACGAAATATATTGCAGTCGGATGACTTATGGTATTCGTCCGCTTTCGACAGGAGATCATTTCTTCTCTGTCATCTTGACCGGTCCGGCAATTTGCTATGTGGATAATCAAAAGGTTTTTGAAAGAATACAGGAAACAGAACTAAGCCCTGAATCATTTTACTTCTTCAAATCGAAGATTGAACGCCAATTCGCCAAGCGCATGGAGGCTGGCCGGCTTTATAAAGTCGTCCTTGAATCTTGGAATACCGACCAAGAGCTTCTCCATGGCGAGCTGCTGAATGGTCGGATGTTTCAGGGGTCTTCATTGCGCTTTCAAGAATTTGTGGACGTATCTCAACGCATTCAAGACTCTTGCGCTCTAGCGCAAAGCTCGGATTATGCTATTGTATGCGTCGGAACGACAAACGAGGTTGAGTCCGAAGGATTTGATCGTGACACGATGGATCTCACAGAGCTAGAGTATCAGCAGATCGAGGCTGTATCTCGTGCTAATACGAACACTATTGTTGTCAATTTTTCTGGCGGCCCTGTCAATATGGCAAGATTCCTTGATCAGGTGCCTGCTGTAATACAGGCATGGTTCCCAGGTCAAGAATGTGGACATTCGCTCGCTAAAGTGGTTACTGGAGAAATTAATCCTGGGGGACGACTTCCATTCACTTGGCCATGCAAAGATGAAGACAATCCGACGTTCAAAAATTTTCCCTGTGATGCAAACAACATTGTTAGGTACGAGGAAAAGTTAGGTGTAGGCTACAGGTACTACGATTCTGGCGAGGCTGCGGAACCCTTATTTCCATTCGGATTCGGCCTCTCCTATACCCGATTCGAAGTTGCATGCATTCAAACCACAAACTCCGAATTAGACGGAGTCGATGGAACAGTGGAGATTTCCTGTCATGTAAGCAACACCGGTGCGTGTCAAGGTTCTACTGTTATTCAATGCTATATCCAAATGCCCGAGTCGAGTGTGGGAAACAAGCGACCAGTGAAGGAATTGAAGGGTTTCCAGAAAGTTTACATTGGCCCGGGTGTATCCAGAAAACATATGTGACCCTTGACAAATACAGTGTCAGCTTTTACGATGCTTCAGAATGTTGCTGGCGAGCGGAAACGGGAACTTACCAGATCTTGATCGGTTTCTCTTCTCAAGATATTGTCGGGAGGACGGAGCTCCGTGTGGCAAATGGGTTTACTTGGAATGGGCTCTAAGGACTCGGATTTATCAAACTACTCGGAGATAGCATGGAGAGCTTTTAAGTAGATACCGTAGCAATTGGGCTCCATAATTTTGTATATCTTTCATTTTCTCTCCACCCTAAAACTAAAAGAGCTCGGGTTGAAATATTGGCGCTATTTCATCTCAGGATTGTAGTAGAAACTCTCTGGTAAGGATCTCGGGTATTTCCTTATTTGGCTGATCGGCATAGCTGGCTAGATTAAGCCCCTCGCGTCCTGTCGAGGCAGAGTTTGAAATAAATCAGCCGTATGAAGCGAGGATTTTACTGCTATCAGGTTGTAGCTAATCACTTACCCGCAGTTTCATAATTGAGTCGCTCAAAGCTTGTGCCGAGGTTCATAAGCTGATCGTATATAACAGACCGCCAGGTTCTTTCGTCCAACCAAAAACTAGCCTTAGTGCAGACATGCAAGAAGAACTGGACTTGATTGACCTATAGAAAGTAAGTACGATAACATTGTAGCTTTCAATTGACAAATAAAACGAACGTACAACCCAGTTGAATAGACGACAATAATGCTGCACACGTAGAATGCATCCATAAACTGTTTTAATAGTATCCTGTGTGTGTTCGCGTTCTTTTGCGTCTCTTGTGGACAATAGTCGATGTGCCAGAATAACTGTTGTTGTGATTGCGATCTGTGCAAAACAGGGGTTTTGGATATCAGATCGAGCTAGCTCCCAAAGGCGAGATATTATTTCTGCGACTCCAATCGCATGATGGTAGACTTGTGATAGTTCTCTAGTGCTCGGCTCTATGGAGTCATATCCTGTAGGGTTGTAAGACGGGGGTGGCCAGGTCAGACTTTCAAACAGCAAAATCTGCCAAACGTGATGATATAACAAGTGCAATGAGACAAACGGTCGGATTTGGAAACTCCTCAAGTGGTGTTCCATATTTTGCTCCGAGTAAATAAAGGATGTCGGGAGTTTCATTTCCCAATGTCGGAGTCGATCTTTGAGCCCGGATACAGTGTCATTATAAACAGAAGACCATTGCTTACGGATTTGAAAGAAGATATCCGAAAGCTGAAGAATTTCGTTCATAAGAGCGGGCTTGCGCAAATTCCGGGATGGAGTCAAGGCTCGAGCTTTGATTAAATCAAAATCTTCATCACTATAAAGCATGGGTAACGGAGAGATTGGTTGGAGACCCCGCGAAATGTTGACTGAAGGGGTGAACAAGTTCTCCATCAAGCCAATCGTAGCAACCAAACGACGAGATATTTCATCTTGGAAAGGATCTGTGCCTGGCGGATTTTGATCAAGCTGAAGCAAGTTAATAATGGTCCGAGCGAACCCTAATGACAACCACGCCTTTCGCATTCCACCAAAAGTAAAATGGTACGTGGCGAGGAGTACATAGGTCTGAGCACTGGTTATTGAAGGATGGTCAAAGTCATCTTTCAACAGCTCCCGAGATTTGTTGAACAAAGGCTCTCCCCAGTGAGCTCTTAGTTGAGGGTTTTCAAAAGGAGCTTGGGAATATCTAGCACAAATCAGCCCATGGGGTCGGAATTTGGGGTCCTGCAACTTGAAGATATTATAGCCATAGGGTATATGAGCTTACTCACCTAATCCCTAGAGACATAACAGCAAATAGGAGAACTTTGGGGACATTCCCAAGCACAAATTGCCGCATGAAATATGTCTGATCCAGCATGACATGAATGTCATCAAAGTTTCTGAAATACAGAAGAAGCAAACTCTGCGTTAACTCCCCTTCCCTGAGAATTTCAGCAGGCGACCCAAAGCCCACATCTAAGGCGGAGTTACTTCTCAGCAAGGGAAGGGCGTGGATCGTTTCCGGTAGCGCGGTTGGTGTGGAATTGGTAACTGGGGCTCTCAGGTTTGACGCGCTCGCAGCATCCCTCTGTGGGCCCATATACGGTGCAAAGGAACATGGAACGCTGCGATCTATGCAGTTCCTACACTGAGGGCTGTCGTCGATGGGCAGGCATTTCACCTTCCGTATCCTGGTTGTGAGATTAGCCTCTCTGGTCTAAATTTTGTGATGATGCGAACAAACCTGCACTCGAAACATGCCGACCGAACCATACTGGCACTTCTTGTATGCTTGAGCAACAGGGCACGCCCTGGTTTGTTGGTTTGGCTGACGTTCCACGTAGTGAAAATGATTAGATAATCATCCATAGCCTCGATTTCGAGGTTTATGTTGGCCTTAATCCTAAGGCTGTGAATCTCGCCGCGCTGAGCAGGATCAACAGTCAGAATATTTACGAATACACACACCTCTTGTATTCCGAAACCATTATTTAATACCGTGGCGTTTGTGCCATTCAGATTATTCATTCCAATGTGAGATTCTAGCAACTTAGAATCAAGCACTTTTTATTAAAAAAAGTGAAAAAACAAAACATACAACAGCAGGGATTCGCATGTGGTCACCCACCATACTACTAACCTGCCGGCGTGTGGCTTAAGTACGGCTGAGCGGACGGGAAGCCCTGTTCTCCACACCCTATGGTCGTATGTGTTGGACACATGAGGCAAAAGACTTATATCGCTAACCTGCTGGCGTCTGACTAAAGTATAGTTCATAGCCTGGGTGTCGCCCGGGTGAGAATGATGAGCGCCGCTTTAGCGTCGCGCGACTCGGGTGGTTAGGGTGAGTGCACAATAGACAGGGTGAGAATCATCATCCGCCCTGCGAGAGTCGAGCTCTGAAGTAAAGTGTATATCATTGGTTAATCTGCCACTTCCTGAAACACTCGTCTTCTTGGTACCTACACACAGCCACTGTATGTGTGCGAATGGATGTATGTGTGCGAATGGAAGAAAATAAAATTCCTCGTCGTTGCCTGATAACAATTTCTGATCGGTGAGCATCGGGCAGTGATTGAGCACAAGATATCTTGCCACCAAATGCTGCAAGTCGCGGTAAAAGAGAGGTATTTGATTGGCACAGAGAAATGGTTTGAAAAGGTCATATTTCTTTCCGATCCGATCATGCCCACGATCACAGCACTACATAGCCCAGCATTTTCTAGGGAATCTGTGAATGTGAGTCATTGCCTACCAACCAAGGTAGTTGAGTTCAGGTAACAGCGATGTAAAGATCGAGTGCAATCCAATTCATCATCTCTGATTTTTCAGTAGTGTCACAATGGAAATACTCGTTCTTAATTGAGGCTTATTATTTAGCTTCCACAAACCAGAAATCTGTGAGCCCGCACAGTCTGTGCCCTTGCTCTCCGGTCATAATATTACAGTAGCTAGGATATGTTTCGTTTCGTGAAAAGCAACAGACTCTGTTTAACGTCTACGATGGAGCTTTATCTACTAGGTACCCTTAGATTTGCGTAGTATAAATGGCGTCAGCTAATATCGTCTTGGGTATGAATTATAATTTCTTTAGTCTAGGTTAACGCCAGCTAGGGTGTGATCGGGTCGTAGATATCTGAGACTTCTTACCCGAATCCTAAGGATAATAGATGCCCTCATTGGTGAAGACCGCTGACAATCCACTCCACCAGTCCAAATGGTCCAGACCAATGTCCCCAGAGGATGAGCTAGGAGAATTCAAAAAGTTAAACGTTTAAGGGCAGCTAGAAAAGTTCAAAATATCACAGCTGCAAGTATGGTATACTCAAAGCACAAATTGAATATAGCACCAAATTCTGCGACCACGAAAGCGAGACCTCCCAGTATTCTCTCACAGGGAGAAGCAGACACCGTGATAGTGTAATTTTTGTGATTTATATATTTTTCTTAACTAGAAATTTGTTCCTTAGACGCTGCCATGGTCTATTTCAGGACCATAATTTACTTTATTTTATTATCATAGAGATCAAGTGTGCCCTTAGTCCCAAGTTAAAATACACTACTCCTACAGAAAAGCACCACATTACTCTTTCCATGTTGGATGAAAACCTAGCTTATATTGTCAGGAGATACAAGGTTGAAGTTGTCACCTCTGTTAGTTATCTGCTGGTTAATAACAGTTAGCATACAAGACAATAGCATAGCGTGAGTGAACCAATATATCGCAGATATCGTAGGCTCTCCAGAAAGATATTAAACGAACATGCTTTCCAACGAGCGGAACCGTCGTGGAAAACCGAGTCACGGCTTTTCTAGCAATTAAAAGAGTACGCACTAAGATCAAGGAGATTGAACCTGGTGACAGAATTGTGAGAATAACAATACGGTGCCGATGGGAGTCGACTGAAGATATGTTATTCTCCATGATACATTAGTAGAGGCACCAGTAAACTTAGTAAATATTCCGGAAGACGTGGCTGATGTTGATCGCTGTGTGTAAACGCTGCTAAATAAAATACAATCAAAAAGCTTAGGAATACATAGAGTGCCGTTTTAATACCATGTCAAGTTACCTACAAGATTCAGATATTCGTTACTCCAATCAGGGCGGCAGTACAATTCCAGAAATATCTGGCTCTGGAATTACGCTTAATTTGATAGACACTTTCCTCGAAATAGGTCGGAAGGTAAGTCAGTTACTTGTGTACAGTGGAAATTCTCACTCCCTCAGAGGAAAGCATCTTAGAAAATAAGCCATAGAAGGCCTGAATAAACCTGCGATTGTTCTCACAGGAATATCTACAGTATCCTCGTGCTGTAGTAATCAGTAACGTACACGGGGATTCTTAAGCGGTAGATAATCTGTGCCTATGTCACCAACGCCAATTCTGTAAGCAGAGACAATCAACAAAGGACAATAATAAGTTAACCAACTAACAAACTGTGAAGGAAGTTTAGTCATCAAGAATAAAGCTACTTCTATCAGAGATATAATACAGTTGTCAGATTGCAATGTAGCAGTGATTTCACATAGAACAACCATTAACCACAGCAACAATATGTTAAATATGGCGATATCCTTGGTATCTAATACTAGTTCTAGCCTATCAAAGATAGAATGGTTGACTATATTGAAATACTAGAGTCAATACTGCGGTCCTATTGAAGATGTGATCAACAGATTTTATCTATGATGTATTTCCGATAAAAGGTCTTCTGAAATAGCCCGGCTTACACAAAAATCTAAGAACACTATCAAGTAAAGTAATTTTCCTCTCTCAAGTCATTGCTTCAAAAGCTTCAAAGACTCCACCAGGTCCTGTAAAAGCTACTCTTAACCAAATCATTAAAAGGATCTCTATCTTCCCTTACGTAACACAGCACATCTCGCGAATAAATCCTGTTACCTGAGCGCTGTAAACGAGAAAGAAGTTCCAGAAGCAGACAAGTTCAAAACAACAAATATCACACGAAGGTGGCTTATCTTTTTAGGAAGGCATCAAGTCAGACTAACCGCTACCTAGTGAGGTTAGTCTGTTCAGGACGCTATTTTTACACCAATAGGTGTCCAACAGGCTATACCACTGTTTTGAACCACCACAAGAGCTTCACAAGAGCAGAAAAAATACTGTTACACAAGCCTAGTCTTCAAGAAAAGAATGCATTCACAGTGAATATTATAATCGGATAGCAAAGAGAACAGGAAGTATATAGCAGCTGCTTTCCCCTTAGGGAGATCCCCACTCTCTCAACTCCAACTAATCATATCAGTCAAAATTTATCTACGAGCAAAAACTCCTATGTTACTACAACAGATACGGAGATATAGGGCATAAAATAAATAGGCGCCTCAAGAATTCACCTTTGAATAGTCGTAACGGGTTCGGGTTATAAACTTTCCACTTGAGAATAAACTAATGGGTGCCTTTAACCGGGAATTTTGCCAACGCTCGTACTATCTATAACGTGTATATCGATACTTGTTCTCCGCCAACACCAAGCTGGATAGGTTATACGACGGTATTATAACCATTTTTTCATTATTATATACCACTCCCGCAAGAAATAATGTCTCACCCTCTCTAGAGCCTGTACGGCTTGGACTTAACAGATTCGAAAATAAGATCTAGTTGAAGATTTTATATCAATTTAATTTAACCCTCTTTTTCTAGATTGCCATAGCACTGCTGCTTTGTCTCATTGTCTTTGGGTTTGGTCTCTGCTCTGCTACGCGACTATGTACTTCTGACATTGATAATATAAGTAATGTTGCCGTGCTAGTACAAGAGATTCAGTTATTCGACTTCCTTGCCAGCAGCCTTATCTGCAATACAAAGTTATCGGCTTGATTAATCGTACTTACTGCAACCCGATAATATTTTACAACAGACTTTCCATAACATTTGCGTGATTGACGGCGAAGAATTTCGTTTCAGTGGACCCTGATTATACCATATTACGAGCAAACATACAGATCTTCGGTAGTTATCACCCGATAACGTATACAAATTCATATATGGAAAGATTTATTATGAATCAAATCTGGAAAAACAGCCTAGGAAGTCATCTGGCACCCGCAGGCGAGGTGATTAACTACTACTAGCTTGAACTCGTTCCTAGATTTATCTCATTTGATATCAAATCTACAGATGGGAGCAGGACATTGAGTTACAGGGAAATGTGAAGACCGAAGCCATTATTTCTGCATGTAGCCTTGTCACTTTGGAAGTGGTGTGTTTAGATGATATCTGAAGACGTAGAACAGCACAATTATCTCATTTACTTCCGGATAGCGATTGCTTCTTTCTAAAAGACAAATATTTTCATGTGTCACCCTGGAAGCCTGTTAAGATATAATGATACAAAGCCAAAAATAGATATTCGGGATATCCAGGAGGCAGAAGATCGCTGGATATCAAATTCGTTGCCAGGGGCAGCTCATTGCCCCAAGGAACGAAATGAAGGTGACTCATTGGCAACTTCATACATTTTCTCAGACCACCTTCCGCGCAATAGTAACTGAAATTTCTCCCAGGCTCCCTGTCTCGTTAAAAGATGAAGCGGTAGTTGAATAATTGGTATCGACGTTGTTAACTTCGAACTTATTTCCGACTCTCCGCCACGACCCACACCAGGATACCGAGGCTATCCGCGCCGGATCATCAGAAAAGATATCAAGTTCGCCTTCAACGCCTAACTTGTATGTTGCGCTTCCGCAAATACATATTTTGTGTTCAGCTTTGGGTGGAATCGAAACGGCCTTCAACTCGTTTTCAGATATCAGACGAAATGTATCGCTCTTCTCGTAGAGTTGACCACTTATCCAGCGTCAGCGTTTCGCTTGAACTGTTGAGCGCAACCGCAAGGTGGAGTACCTCATGATATAGATATTTTTAATGGTAATGTTCCCTTCCGGAAGACAATTTCGAACGTTGATGCAGATGTGTTGAGATGAGCAGACCATATTTATGCCTTCTTGCTTTGTCTCATTCCATAACCTGTGGGGTTTTTCTTTCCAACATCGAATATTATTTTGAGTATGTTCATACGCATGTTTTGAGGGAAAAGTTTACCAGGTGAAAAAAAAAAATCAAACGAACTATAGCTCCGCTTATCATGTGTACGCGTCAAACTTAAATGCCATTGGTGTTGCGCAAGATCATGGTGTCAAGCAACAACATCCGAGGAAACTGGCCGCCACCATCGGGATTGGGAAGCAGTGAAGCAGTGTTTCCAAATGAATGATGTTGCGCGGCGGGGATTCACATTGCATAAGAGGAGGCTGGGACGCACTGCACAAGTTGATGATGCAGGTGGGACAAAGCGATTACGCAAGCTAGAGAGGGGTATGTAGCGGGTGGGACCAACGGAGCCAAACCCCCAACTAACCGAAAGCAGCGAAAAGCTTAAATTGCTAGATCAGTTAAAGGATTGGTGGTCTTCTCAATTTAGCTTCTATGCGCAGTTCGGATTCCAAACACTGTCCTACGGAGCCAGTTACGGCCTTTTGTTTGCACAATTTAATGCTGTCATGTAAAAATTGTGACCAAATGCTCTCTAGGCTTTCTTGTTCGACTTGATAGAGAACTCGGACGGAAAGCCTCGAAAGCGAGCGTAGACAAGGAGCATAAGCCGATCGATAACGTAAAGACCAGCCACAAGAACCAATGTACCTAAAGCAAACCATACCCACGGTCGCTCTCCCATCCACATTAAAATTTTCGCATCAGCTCGATGCCAGGTGCCACTTTGGAGGTCAGTGATATAAGGACTCAGGGTGGCTTCTTCAACGACTCCTATAGTGTTCGAAGGCAGTGAGTGTTGTTCTAGAAGATACTCTTTTACTACCATTGTCAAGAACAATGGCCCGGCAGATATCATGATGGCACAGTATGGTTGCAATCGGGCCCAACTCCGAGTGATTGAGTGGAAGGCGGGCAATTTAGAAATCGCCAATTTATAGATTGGGTGTTTCGGAGAGGCGACCAACAAATCATTAGTAACGCCAGTTGGCCGTGTAGGCTTGAAAAGAGCATAGTCTTTCACCTGATCCGACCCCATCATCTGAGCTGGCAAAGTGTTATTGCATCTTGTGTCCATGTCTAGATAGATACCACCATAATGATATAAAACAAAATATCGTATTGCGTCGGCCCGCTGGATGGGGAATGCATAGCTGTCCCAGGTGGGGACGAACCATGAGTAGTACTCAGATAAGAAGTCACGAGCAGATTGATCGGTCCATAGCTAATAGCAAAAGTCATTCGTGTGTTTGTTGATTTGGAATTTCATTGCGATTGCGATTGTGATGAGGGACCACTCCTACTTGATGGTGGAAGGCATACCTTGTATTCAAACTCTGAGTAAGCTTTTTTGCAGGTCTCTTGGGACTGGACCCAACGGTCGGGAATCTCCTTCGTCGCGGTAGTTTGATGAAGAATCAACGGGATTCGATTTTGTTGGAATGTTTCGTTATTATAATGTAATGTTTCAGGGGTCGGCAGGAAGACGTGAGGGCTAAAGAGACGCTCATTGCAACGCAACAGAGTTATAAGAGGCTCAAGCTTGCGCAGCAGTAGCCCGAACATGACCAAGTTTACCAGCAGGATGATACGATATATGGCTGCTTTCTTCGGGGTCTCCTGTTGCTGGCGACTTCCGGGGTCGAGCTCTGGTCCCAGTCGCTCTTCATCGTGTAGCTTATCATAGACAGGCCGAAGACTTTGTAGCGCCGATTGGCGGAGGTTATGCCAAAATCTCATTTTGGCCAAAGAAACGATTCACTTATGGGAGTAGGGTACGATTTGGTGATATTCACTTCTTTAATATGTCGAAGTCGAAGACAAGGAGGTCATGTCCGCGGGGAAGGGCGGAACGCTAGAGTGGGGATGCGGATAAGTCTTCGGGTTGTGTAGCTATTGCGTCGCTATATCTGGCACGTGTTTACAAAAATGGCATTCCATTTGACATTGACTTGAATTATCATCTGTTTTATATTGGTTGAATTCATTGTGGTCCAGTTAACGGAAGTCCTGCTCCGCGTCATCGCGGACGTAATGTAGCCTCCTCACGTGAACGGGGAGCTTTTCAAGTGACCACCTTACCTTCCCCAGAAAATCCCATAGTGGTAGGCGGTAACCTCGACAAAAGTGGTAGTTTACAGTTTTTTCGCGCCCAAAGTTCCCAACACCCCAAAGCTTGGCCATGGGAAGAAAGTCCCTAGCGATAAAAAAGCCTAAATTTGGCCGCCCACCCCTAACTCAATCACACTCAGTCATCGAATATTTTGCCGTCAGGCAGGCTCTTGACCGTTCATCCAGGCCGGTTTGGTCGATCGCAATCAAGTACCTCAGCGGCGTATCTATCATACGATCTTTTGTGGCCTCGTCCCAAATCGCCACAGATCAGCTGACTCTCCCTTCAACAGTACACCTTGGGCACCTTCAACTGCATTTTCCACGAAAGGGCACCACTGCCATTCTATTGGTGCATTGGTAATATTCTTGCAGCTACTGGTGGAACCTCAGAAATTAAAGGTGTGTGAGTGGGCTGTCGCTTTTCCTGATAGTGTCATATACCGATCAACTGATTCGACGGCCAGCTCAAGCTCACTGTTGGAATGATCACCAAGAGCTCCCAGCTGAATATTAGAAATCATACACCTTGGGTATGAGTGTGAGAATTGAACAGCGGCACCTTGCTTTCAAAAGCCTTTGAAATCTTCAATCTACATCCTTGGCCTCATTATGCTACATTAATGAGAAACAAATAAATCTCTTCATAATAAATCATCAATCTCTCCTCGAGGGTGGAGCCGAAGAGCGAAATTCCTCTTCCAACTCATGCAGTCTTTGAAAGCCATTCGGCCTCTGGTGGAATTGTCCGGAATATGACCATTGGCAAAGCCAGTGGAATGACGGCTCCCATTGTCATCACGGCTGATTTATCGAGTCTAGTACTCCAAAATATCTATCATTGGTGGTCTCACAGGGCTCTTTAGCGGAGCTATATCAATGGAGATGGATACCTATTTGGTCGCGGTGACTGTCCGCAATTTTTACAAAATTGAAGAAGTGCACGGGCGCGAAGAGATTATCACCGAGCTCAGAGTGGAAAAGCGGGATCTGTCATTGATTGCCTTCCTTCCTTGTGAAGCTGTACCAACAGGACAACGTTGGGACATATTAACGTGCTCAGCTCGTAAATTACAGAATTAAGCAAAGCTGTGAATCCTTTGACAAAGGGGAAGTAGCTAGAGTATTGATTTAATAAACCACGCCGTGGGGCTAAGTTGGAGAATTACGGTAAATGGCGTACATTTGCCGAATACAATAAAGGAACCAGTTCCTATTACTTATCATCTGGATGAACATGGAGGCATTTTTGATAATGTACTTCCTCACACCGGTGTTCCTCTAGGCGAAAATTTGACGTACGATCAAAACTTTAGAGATGGGAAGTAATGCACTTTCTTTCTACTTTGCCGCTTTGTTATTCATATTCATAGTGATCTCTCCCTAAGTGGGATAGGGCTTGATTCAGAAAGCGTCAAGGTTATGTACGAATGATTCTACCTATATCTGTATACTTTAGGATGTTTCTGAATTGTGAGGTTTAGAATGGCTAATCACGTGTGTGGAGTGGTCATCTTTATCTTGTAATATAATAACTAATGCTCTATGAAGTGATACTCTGGAGGATTTACTTAATATATCTGGCTATTAAAGAAATCTGGCAGCTTTTTATTACGTATATGCCTGTTACCATATATAGTTAAAGCAGGTTATATTAGCTTACTAGTTAATTAGTGAATAGACAAGATAGATAATTAAAGACAGAGGAGATAAGATTTAGGATAGTACCTAGGCTAAAAGTAAGAATAATACTTAAATCCAGGCATAAGAGACACTTATGATTATTACACCCTTCGCTTAGTTTTTGCTTTGGAACTATTCAGTTCAAAGAAACCCAAGTAATATTTGTGCTGACTGTGGAAAGCCAATATGGACCATACAAAGAGAGTGACTGATAGTCTACCCAAGATGAGTACGGCAATGGAGTAGCCAATTATGATCCCTTTGGACGCATCAGATCAGGTCAGGTAAGCCCAATTCCACCGTTTCGAATCGCCAGAAACAAGAAGAAATAACTGAAGTAGCGATGTATAGGGCCTAATTTGGTTGGGCGTTGGGTTCTTCTATACATGAGATGATTACCAGCGTCTATGTCCTATTGTGCTAAAGTCGCGAGTAGAATGATAATTCCTATTACTTGGTGTGCGGAGGTATAGTTTTGCGATTTAGTGAACATTATGCTGAGATAAAAGTCTAGGATAATTGCTATTATCGCGATAATTGTGGATAGAGACTGATTGATTCAGTGCCAGCGAGCGTTCTTTAGACCTAGGCGAAGGAACACGATACTGGTCGGCATGAGTAGTATTAAGGCTCTACAGGCACAAAGGGCGTAGAATATGCTGGGCAAATTGCTATCGTCTGTCACACTATCACTCATCGTAGAGCTAATAGATATTGCGTAAGTGGAGGGGAGCTGACCAATGCCACCTGTTGTGTGTTTTATATCTATTTTAAAAGATCCTAGGTATACACAGCGCTTTAGTACATTTGTAGACCAAACATACATCCTAAAAGAAATAGGCCAAGAAACCATATTCCGAATGTCTCTTAATTCTGGCAGACTTTAAATTACTCTGCAGTTTGAACGTTCCTCTTGTAGGACCGAGGCCTAAGATCTAGGTCTGAGACGTAAATTGAAGATTCAGTGGCCCAGTTGCCCCTCTTGAATAATCGAAGCATCGCATATTTGCTGTTATCATCTAGTTTGAGATACCAGTGCCTTCTAGCACGTTAAGTGCAATCGTTGAAGAATATGTTGGCTGTTGCTCCCTAAATGATAGACGTGGGCTGATTATGATATCTGCGTACGTGTTTTGTGAATGATAGAACCTTGTCGCAGGATATATATAACTTACTGCCTCCCCTTTTGTTCGGGTATAATATGATCGAAACGAGTCCTTTATCTCGCTTCCTGTTCTGACCGCAATCTATAAGTAGTCGGTCGGGCCGGAACGATGTATACAGAGATTGGTAGAGTTATTAGGAATGCTTAAAGCGAAGGTAAAATTAGCATCAGACTTGACTGGTAGATTGAAGATGCTCTCAGAATTTGACTCTCTTACGCCAGATGCGAGGCTAACAAAAGAAAAAACAACTATACCAGTCGCACGGCGTCAGTAACAAAATTTGATCAAATGCTAAGCAGTCTAAGCTTCCGCCGACTCACACAGCACACCAACAATAAATCCACTTTTGGTGGGTACCAACATACTGACAGGCCTCAAAAATGAAGTTGTTACTCAAAGCCCATAATCAAATGACATTAAATAATCAAGACTCGCTGCTCTTATTAATTCTGCTAAAAATACGTCAATCACCTAACTTCCAGATTATTCTAGTCACTGTTCGCAGATAAACTTGGCTGACTGTTATATCACATTATTGGTAAAGTTCAGCGACCGAACTCAAAATGATCGAGATCGAGATCGATCCACTCTCCCTGCTTTTTCCTAGTCAAGGTGCTTAGCTGCGTCCATGCCAAGTACGAGACCTACCCATCTGAGGCACACATTCACTGTCCTTGCGAAATACTAGAGAAATGATAGTTCGGGTTCAGTTGAAGATGCCCAGCTTGATCTTCGCCCGATCACCTCCCGCCAAAGCTATGGTTGATTAGCCAATCATAGAGCTCTGACTAATTGTCTATCTTATCGATTTCTTGTTTGGAATGAGTATTTTACTACTTTTGGATAATGCGTAGAACGCTTTGGTGGCACCGGCCAAGGATCTGATGGCGATGGGTTCTGAGATGTGTACCAAATTATATAAAATGAACTGGATATTTCGCTGAACTTTCTCTAGGACTGTTGGAATTTCCAAGTCATTGGCTAGTTGTGCAGCCTGCGAGACTGAACTATGGATCAAGTCACACAACGGCTTTCTCTTGCCATACAAAACAACCTAATCTGGGGGAGCGTCTCCCTCAGGAACTTTCAATGCCTCTGGTAGGTCTTAAGAATGATAGATGGAAGTGTTTGGAGATTAAGCATATGCTGCAGTGGCGAGCCCTACAAGAAGGAGAACAACTCGATGTTAATGCAGCATGACGATGTGAATAAAATCTCTATTCTACATAGTCAGAGCACAACAGTATCAGTCTGTGGCAGTGCAACATTTGGAGTCGGCGTTGAGGGAATTCTCGATCTATACCATGACAAGTCTGGTCATATTGCTTCACTTTCATGGTATGGACCGTGGAGTTGCATCGGAAACGAATTACTGGTCCATGATCTTGCTGAAGACAAATTTGCCGTGGAGGTGTCTTCACCCCCAATCAAAGGAATACTAGGAGATCTTATCGTGAACGTCAAAGATTGTCACAGTACAAAGAGCTCCTGCTTTATTTCTTGTATCACGGCTAATGTGCTCTCATGAGGAGAGTCTGGAGTCTCAACTGAGCGATCTGTGGAGCCAATATTAAGAGCCTCTCGCATAAGGAGCTATGCAGTATCATGGGCTTTCTCATCACGCACGCCTTCGTTGAGGGGGCTTACAGCTGGATGGATGAATGAATGAACAAATGATTTCATTTATCCTGAGACCTCGCTAGTCGATTTTAAACCTCACCCATTAGGCTGAGTAGGTATTCGTATTTTGGTGTAGTGGGCAAATCTACATCGTGGCATAATGAAAAATACGACAACACCATATATCTGTATACGCACGCGTACGGTGTCCCACTCCCTGACAGCGAACGTACAGTCTCATTACAGCCTGTCGTGGCCTAGTTACCGCTCCCATTGTTAGGCTGCCTCGTAGCGTGCAATTGCGAGACCTTGTCATGCCCCGACGAAATCCAGCACGGTCTTGACAATTTTGGCTTGCGCGAAGCTGTCTGCTTTACCCCTCTTGTCTTCACATGAGCAGTTGAGCCTCACACCGAGCTCAAATGCTATCACAAGCATTACCAATTCCTTCTTCTCAAATTTATTTGCAATTCGTTCAGCCTTGGACATTATACCAACACGTGGATGACTGTTTCTTTTGCGCCGCATGCGCAGTAGTCATCGTTCCACAAGCCAAAGATCTTGGCGTGGAGGACAACCAATGATGGGCCTGTACATAGCTTTGTCAGGTATGCCCGGCTCTTTGAAAGAGACCGTAAAACCTTCTGGTATACTTAGCTAGCCGGATTGGTTTTAATTCTCGGAGCACTTGGAGGACTTGACAAAGTCAGAAGGGCTGCAGAGTAAAATGACTGGTAACAAATAGGCTTGCAGAAATAGCGACCTTGGTTTCAGAGAAATAATTGATTTTTAAATCGCGGAATCTTCGTCAATTTGTCTCAAAGTCGCCTGAAGCGATACATTCGGTTGAATCAAAATAGTCTATGTAAGTATAGCATGCAAGATCACATAAATCACCAAAATTCATCTCACGGAAGCAAATTCATATACTAAGATCAAAGAATTCGAGCGCCCAATTCATCACATCGTCAGAGCTCGGTAAACCTAGAAAACAAAACCCACTTTTCAAACCCGTCGATCTGCTTCGGCCAGTGTGTCGATTGGGGAGGATAGCTTAGCATGCCTGCTGCTTTCGCTTCAAACGCTCAAAGCGCTCCAATCGCCAGCCCATCCCCCACTTCATCTCGATAATGATCAGTGGCACCATAGCGACAGTGATCCCCGCCAACAAGACAAAGGCCCACTCGGCAGAGATGGAATTGATGATAGGCTGGATGGCCGCGACACCCGCCGCACCAATCTCGCAGCGAATGAGATTGTTGACGGCGGTTGCACTAGCACTAGCACCTGGGTACATATCAATGATAAGCGCGCTATTGATAGTAAAGATGGCGGTGGCGCAGTACGCGATGATGTACTGCAGGATGATAGGGACGGCGAGATTTGTGTGCAAGGACCAGCCATAAGCGGCGGTGCAGAAAACGAAGAGCGCGATAATCCACCAGGTATTGCGCATGCGTGCGTATTCGATGGGGAAGTCTGGGTGGGTTTTGCTGGTTATGCGAGTCTCGAGGGGAAGGTTGTGTTTGCGGCAGTAGTCGCGCTCGGTACGCTTGTGGTTATAATCCATGATATAACCGATGGTGTAGGAGCCGGACATGCAGCCGAATCCTATTTCATTAGATTTTTGATGATTATTATTAGGATGAGATGACTCACCGTTGCCCAGGAAGGTTAGACCAACTTCCAGAGTGGTCAGTCCGTAGACGGATTCGAAGAGGTCCGAAGTGGATGAAGTCACCATGGACCACACGGTGTAGACAATGGCGCCAAAGAACAGGGTTATGAAGACGTCCTTTTCCACCAGGAAGGTCAAGGGTGCCAACAAAACTTTCCAGGTTACCTTTTGGGGGCTGGAGGGATGGGTGTCAACTTGAACGTCCTTCTGGGGGATAATGTAGTAGATCCAGGGTTTGTAAATCCCGTGGAGCCGAGCCGAGCCATTGCCAGCAATGGTGCGGTGGGTTTTGGGGAGCAGGATAAGGATAAAGACTAGACTGATTCCGGAGGCAATGACCAGGAACCAGAAGATGGCATGGTAGCCTAGAAATTGGGAGAGGATACCACCGATGACTGGGCCAACACCCTGGCCGAGCATACGAACTGGATGGGTCAGCACAAAGCATAGAGCCCGAAGATAGGATAACTTACCTCCTCCGAAAATTCCAACCAAACTGCCTCGCTCGGCGGACGTGGTAATATCGCCAATGACACCGGCACCTGAATTGTTAGATCTGCATCGGACGTTGAGCCGGGCAGACGTGGGACATACCGATGGAAATGGTAGCTGAACTGCCCGCAGCTTGCAGCGCACGGAAAGCCATCAACTCCCCATAGTTGGTCGACACACCCAGCAAAATGTTGGCCAGAATATAGACTATGAAAGTGCCAATAAATACACTGCGGCGACCGATCACGTCTGAGAAGGAGCCCCAGAAGCTGGGAGCCAGCCCTTGCACAATCATATATATCGTGACGGTCAATGTCACGAGCGAGATAGACGTGTCCATTTGCTATACTTATTGTCAGTCAAAGTAATACGATAGAAAGGCTCCAGATCACCCACCTTGGCAATAGCCCCCAGAGCTGGGAAGTAAATGTTGGAAGAGAGGGGAGAGAAAATGGCTGCCATCGACACAATGCAGACCATTTCCAACTTTCGAGGCCGGGAGAAGACATGATATGCGGCCGGTGGCGGCAGTTGACTTTCGAGTTTCATCTCTGACACGGGACTTCCCAATTCTTTCTCATTTCGAGCGGCTAATTTGGGTGTACTGCAGTTGCTAGAGTCAATGGACTGCCCGTTGGCCTCGACATCCTTGATCTTGTCTGTGAAATTGGACGGCATGATAGGCAAGAGCAAACTGGGTTATCTTTTGATTTCGTATCTATAACCAGACAAATCTGGAAAGGAATATCAAGATTATCAATGAGGAAGTTAGATGTCACGTAGAGACGGACTCTGCAGCATCGATCGGCTAGCGACCCTTTTTGTATCTTGACGCCGGCTCTCAGAAAATCTACTCCGATAATGCTCTCATGCATTGAGAATAGGGAGCGTGCTCCACTGTGGGTTTTGCCCAAGAGGACCACTTCCTGGTTTTTTCCTTGACAGACAGCTGGTGGCAAAGATGACAATCTCTTTCAAGTCAAGACATGATGTTCAATTCGTTCGCTGACTACATGTCGATCATCGGGAAAGTAACTGTACCTCGACGCCTAGACTTTGCACGATCAGGGGTCTGTCTCTGAGTTCCCCTTTCAGCATTATCCCAGCTCACTTTGCCAATGCATCACTGATTGTCGTGGGAGTTCTCCTCCCTCCTTCCTTCCCTTCCCGTCCTGATTATCCCCTCTCCCTGGGCTCACTATCGCTGGCTGGCGTTGTCCTAGCTTCGAAACACAAACTCCTGTACGCGGATACTCTGAATCGGGTGGCTCTGAGAGGAGAGGAGGTTTCCGCGGTGTGAACATCTGGACGATCCTTTAACGAATGTTGGATACCAGAGCCAACCCGCGGGCTTCCAACCTGAGTGTGACGATCACGCATAAGCTATGTTGCCCCTAGTCCGCACGGGTCCAAAAGAAGACCAATCAATCTATTTAATTAGCAAGTGTCGCTCGTCATCAAGTTTCAGGTGGAAGTGGATGGGTCGAGGGTCCCGGATATGACGGACATTGTCTTTCTACGGGCAAGCAGTGAGTTGATCAGCGGAGGGTCTTGCCTCGGCTGGGTTTTCTACACAAGCCCCGAGATTCTGCACGTCGCAAAAGCACGACAAGGTGGACCGGGCAGAAGGCCAATACGATGAAATCAAACCCAACCTTGGCGAGGACGACATCTCGCACATGGTCGATGAGAGCGCATTGGACAGGGTCGTTTTCCCGCCTACACTACCAGGGATTTTACCACCCTCCTAAGCGATGCATGACGATCCATCCACCCGTCAAGCTAATGCTAAGCTTCTCATTTCCTTCTGGGTATAATTTGGTTTCAGCTGCTGATGCAACGTCCTAACTAGAATGGGGTTCAATCGTAATGGACCCGCCGTCTGCTGTATGGGGATTGAAAGCACAAGGTGGGTTGGTCCGTGGTCCTCGTTCACTGAAAACCATGTTGTCCTGAATGCAACACTACTTTCTGAAGGCATTCGGGGGCTGCTAGCGTCACCGCTCCGGGAAGGCATGGTGCATTCCACTTGTTGAGATAACCTACCCGATTGGGGGTAATAGAGGGGAAAGTCATGTAGCAGCAGGACCTGTACTAAACAGTACGTACGAAAGTCATTGTGGAAGTTTCTCTTGCCGCGATGATTAGCTAGATAGTCACACGAATGCAGGGTTAACGCAAGTGTATTTCAAAGGCACTGGAACCTATAGGAGACGAGGACCCTAGTGCAGGTCTGTGGGCCCGATTTCTTCCCGCCGATCCTGGATCCACCACGCGATCCACTGTGATGCATTGATGCATCGCTGCTGGCGCATAACGCGACCTGAGTGGTAATAGTCACCATGTGATATATTATATTAGCTACTGTAGGATAGGACGTATCACTCAATATACTATACGCACGCACATTTCACATTCCCCGTAAGTCTCGGATACTAGTTTGCAGAGCACGGGTCCGTGATGGACGGCTGTCCAGATTGATGCGGATAAAGCATGCCGGGCTGATACATGTACTTCCCGCTTACTTGGAGGAATTTCCTCCGAGGATCATCATGGTCCGGGGTATTATCCGCCGGCCAGGAACCACGTAGAAATACGACCCCGAGTCGGGATACCGATATTGAGCCCCACTCTTTGTTACCCAGGCCCAGGCGACTCTAGACTTGTTTCTTGGCGCCAGGTTAGATTGTACTTGGTCGAAATTGGGTCGAAATTGGGGTTTTCCCGAGCACAGAGGGGCCAAACTCAAGGACTGTGATTTCATGATGGAAAACAACTCAACTAGGCAAATTGCCCACGAATAGTCTGCGAGGAAGATGTCGAAACACGGTGAATCCACTTGATAAAGTTCAAAGAATAACCGGCCTCTCACAGGAATTTCTCCACCCACGTTGGTCTATATATGGCCCGGAATTGCCACCCGCGACTGCGACAAATTGTATATATTCTCTACACCCCGTTTCGGCCGTCTGGCTCAACACTTCCCGGTGAGTTACGTACAATGTACCAAAAACGCCAAGACTTATATTTTCATATGCACATCATCGTCTTGAGGACCCAGGACCTGGTATTTTGATCAATTATCCGGTTTGGCGTCTTATCTCTGAAAGTCTGAAAAGGCTTAACCGACCAAGTTTCCTATGCCTACCGACTAGTTCATCTGTTCCCGGGGCTATGTACTTCGTAGTATGAGGCTCCCTAGCCATTGCAGCTGTAATCCCGGCTGTGTAACAGCTGAAATAGGGAACTGAAGAAAATTAATGGGAGAAAATAGCCCAGGTATACGTTAAGGATGCAAAGGGACTTCCATAGTAGTAGAAGAAACCGTGCTGCAGGAATGTCGATCATCGACTGTTTTGAGGCGAGGCTTAGACCAACTGCGATCAATGCGCCCCTGGTAGGTCTCTGACTGACGTACTTTGAACAGCCCTACTTACTCAGGGATTGAGTAATCAGAAAAGAGAAGAAGTAAGAGTAAGGACAAAGTACCCCATGTTGATCGGAAGTAATGACCACAATCATCCAGGAATTTCAATGCCTGGCGCATAGTTAGACCCTTGCATTCCAGCCATCAGATATATCCTCTCAACCGGGATGAGAGTATACATCAGCGCGATGACGCTGCATATCGTCTGCGCATGCTTCCCCTGCTCCGTTACTACAATGTGGAGAAAATATACCACGGAGTCAATCATATTCAACCCTCTTTTTTGCCGCCCCCCACCATGAGAGGGGCAGCAAAGAAGTGAATCATGGTGTCAAGACCGGCTGCGACATACTGAAAATCCCATGTGGGAAGGAGAATCCGTGCAAGGTCTACGACTACACGGGTTCCAGAACCACACTTATTCAATTTCTGGAAAGAAGTTGGTCCAAGAGACTCCGGACTTATGTATATGCAATTTTTCATTGCCACTGCTGCACTTGTGCAGTTATATCTCTGTATCAAGATTACTCGCAGTCAGTCGCGGCCGTGACCCCCTGATAGGACAGCAGAATTGTCGACAAATCTATAAGCAGACTGTCAACCCCGATACTGTATCCGATCGTGGGCTACAGCACAGCTTTCTCAACGGCATGACTTTGCAGAAAAGCGTTTATATTGGGATCTACTAGAAAGGATCCGGATTAAAGTCGGGGATAGGGCTGATGGGGCGTGAGAGACCACTACTTTAAAATACTTATTATTTGCTGACGCCTTGCTTAGGTGGGCCTTCTGTCAACTAGACAGCCTGGCTCAATGTCGTCATGAGGCAGCTATAGAGAAGGTCCATAGAGTCACCCTCCACGGCCTGAATGGCATTCATTCCTGCTACGTTACAGCGCCGGCCAGCACTAGCCTCTCCAACCTGAAAGATGGCTCATGGATTCGCTTATTCCAGCCTGACGTAGCCCGGTCATTGGCTGCGCAACTCATTCTTGCCCTGGACTATGTGCATGCTCAAGGTATTGTCCATGGTGACCAGCACCTTGGTAATGTTCTTCTTAAAGTTCCGTCCGGTTTTGATCAGCTTTCACCGAAACAATTATACGAGAAATATGGAGCCCCGGAATTGGAACCAGTTTCTCGCCTAGATGGCAATCCTCTTCCACCTAGCGTCCCGACTCCTAGGGTTCCGCCTATATGGTTGGGGAAACCCAGCGAAGAAATAGGATTGCTAGAAACCAAAATCCTGCTTGCAGACTTTGGCGAGGCCTTTATTCGCTCAAAAGAACGGAGATTTGAATCTTGCACTCCCCTTGTAATCCGCCCCCGAGGCACGGTTTGACTAATGAGGGGGGGTATGAGTAGCCAGGGGGGGGGGTATGCCTATCAATCCCCTGTAGATATTAGCATCATGTCGGAACGGAATAGGCGGAGTGTATGGCAGAACACTAGCGTACCTGCCAGAACTAGTTAGCGTGCTGGGAGGAATATTGTACACAAAACCTTAGGCAGAATCTTCGAATAATACTCAGATTTCTCACACCTTACGCGTATGCTCTATAACTAGTTAGTTCTTAGGTCTCACCGCTTCTGACACATCAGTCCACTCCAGTAACGTGCACGGTTCCACGTGATGCTGTCATCTCATAGCGACTGTAGTGAGTTCTTGTTGTGGCTGTAACAACTCCTGCACCTCAATCTGGGAAACTTGATTTCACCTTGCAACTTGGAAGGTTGTTTACGTTCCCTAGCTGAGTCTACTTCATAAGAGTGTCACGGAAATACTCCCTGCCCTCGTTGCTCTATATTATATTCCATATTCTAATCAGCAAATTGACCCTGGGGCACTAGGTTTTATTTGCGTACATTCAGCAACAAGATGGGCAACATCTTAACATCTGTGCAACACCGCGCCTTACCACCCATTGAGGTACCTCCAGTGGCTTCACCAGCCCCCTCATCTGAGGTTGTTTCACTAGTTCCTTCGTCCGGGAGGGCCTCACCAGTCCCTTCGTCGGGGGGGGATCTCGCCAGTCCCTATGTCCGAGATGGCGACAGAAGGCTCGTGGTTTCTGAGTTTCCCCCCTGAATTGATTTCATACATTGTGTCCTTTTTGCAAAATAAAGATGTCAAGTCCTTGCGCTTGACCTGCAAAGCTCTCGGCGATATTTCGCCATTCTCCTCCTCGCGCGTGTTTCTTTCGGCCAACTCGTTGAACATTCGCGTGTTTCGGGCTGTAGCAGACCATCCAAAGTTTCGCCACGAGATCAGAGAGATCATCTGGGATGACGCACAAGTTTTATCTGCGCCCTTGATATGGGAAACCATGCGCCCAATCATCGAACCCGAACGCATGGAAATAGACCCCGAAGAGGGATGTCCCATCTGGTTCAAGGAGGAATGCGAAGAGAACCGATACACTACGAAGCATAGGAAATATCGCGACGTGGACCGACCGGACCATGTTGCGCGTCAGCGCCAGATAGATGCCCAAATGCCGTTGAAGGCTTGCTGGGAATATTATCAACAACTATGGGATGATCAGAAGTCTGTGATCGGATCTGAGGACGACGAAAAGGCCTTTCTTTACGGCTTGGGACAATTCCCACGGCTGAAAAGAGTGACCGTCACGCCTGCCGCTCACGGCTGGCCGTTCGCACCGCTGTATGAGACACCTATGATCCGCGCATTTCCATACGGATTCAACTGTCCTCTTCCGCGAGGATGGCACTGTGATCCCGTTCATGATCAGGTTGCCGAGCCGCTACCGTGGCCAGAGGCAACCGAGGAGTATAAGGAGCTATGGAGAGGGGCTAGAATTGTTCTTCGCCTTTTGTCACAGGTTGAGAAGCACGGCATTTCTGAGCTGAGCTTCGACTCGAAGCAACTTTATACAGGACTAAACTTGATGATTTTCGACCACCCATGCGAGGAATACAATCAATTTGCTGCCATCATGAAACGTCCGGGCTTCCAACGTCTTCATCTGTCTTTACATTCTGGCAGTAACGGTTACTGGACTGGGTTCCAAAGTGGATTATTCTGCAAAGCTGTGAGCCTGGCCAAGGGGTTGACTCATGTTCACTTATCTACTACATTCAGTAATGGAACTTCCCCTACAACGAACGATTCACCTATTCCCTTGAAGGATGTTCTGCCTATGAAGGAGTGGCCGAATCTGTCCCACTTGGCGCTCTTTCGTTTCATCGTTGATACACCGGAGTTGATTGACATATTGAAATTGGCACCATCCTCATTACGATCTCTTGACTTGGAATTCCTCGAATTTGCCTTCACGGATCAATTATGTCTGGCTGGTCTTCTAGAGAGGATGCGAGAGGAATTAGATTGGGCCGAAAGAGACCAATCACTTAAACCGACGGTCACGATCGCGATGAGAGGCTATCGCGCATGGCCGGGGAGGTTCATCAGGCTTTCAGACGAGGTGACAAGCTTTCTCTATGGGTCTGGGGAACTCCCTGTGGATGAAAGTGATACACACAACCCAACCCAGTGGTGCGGGACACATTATGACCTTTTTGAAGAGAAGTACACTCGGCCCAACGTCAATTACATTGATCTTAGGAAACTAGGAATTACTAAAAAGTAGACCTACTCCTCAACTAATCCCGAAACGAATGTTTTACTGACCTGCATTGAGCTTTAATCTTGGAACCTTGGAACCTCATTAATACTCATTCGTCTTTTCAAAAAGAAATTCCATGAATCTGCATCAAGGCATGTCCAATCATATTCATTCTAACTACAGCTCACATCATGACGAAGATACACCGACACACACATACTCACTCGCTTGTAAGCCGGAGCAGTCGGTCTTCACGGCAGGGTTCCAGGCGTAGAAAGAAGCCGCTGTAATTCCGTTCCCACTGGCAATATCGACGCACGAGTCATCTGCGATGACCTTGTAAAACTTGTCACAGGTAGCAACCATTCCCGTCTGAACAGGGTACGGCGTCGTGACACCGGTTCCAGTGGCTGCCTTGACACCAACGCAGACATACTCATCTGGCTGAAGTCCCGAGCAGTCTGTCTTGACCGCTGGGTTCCAAGCATAGAAAGAGTCCAGCGACACACCATGGCTATCAGCAATATCATAGCACGAGTCACCGGAACGAACATCGTAAAAGGTATCACACGTCGAAACCATACCTGTTTGGATCGGAGGTGGAGTCGTCACGCCAGATACAGAGGTGGTTGCAGTTACAACAGCTGAAGTGATAGAGGACTTCACACCCACGCAAACGTACTCATTCGCCTGTAGTCTAGAGCAATCGGTTTCACTGCGGGATTCCAGGCGTAGAAAGACGCCAATGGGATCCCGTTGTCATTGGCAATATCATAACATCCATCGTCGGCGATGACCTTGTAAAACTAATTACAGGCTGACACCATGCCTGTCTGGATTGGAGATGGCGTCGAAACTCCATTTCCAACATCAGTCGAGGTAGTCAGTGGAATACTGCTTACGGGACTGCTGGAGCTTGATACCCATCCCGGGATCCCAGGCTCCACAGCTCCTTCATACGTTGAAACGCAGTAGTATGTGCCAATAGGCATCCCGCTGCAGTCACTTTTAACGGACGGATTCATTGCGTAGATCTCTTCCATTGAAATGTGACGACCGGTGATGAGACTGAAGCATGTGTCGTACTTGCTTCGCGATGCATACCATTCGGTGCAGTTAGCTATCTCACCACTCGCGCGTGGAACGGGCGTTTTGACAGCCGTGGTATTGTCTGGAAGATGAAAGGCTTGGGGTTAGTATGGGCGTGCTTACTTCCTATTGGAGAGACTTACTGCTGGAGGTGGAAGTAGCGAGGCGGACACAATAAGAGCTACTCGGCACCATTGTACACGGATATCGTGTAAATTGAGCCCGGCTAGTTGTAGTCACTGTGGCGGATACCGCAGATGATGTCGAAGTTTCATTCGATGCCAAAGATGGATTCCAGAGAATCATTTCCTAGATTTCGTCATTACTCACAATTGCACAAGAGACATCAAGTAAACCAACCTCGTCAGAAACATTCCACAGCCAGGCTTGGTTCCAACAGTCAGCGGCCGTATTGTCCGTAAAGTTTACACTAGAGAACCACATGTAGCTTAAAATAAGTTTAGAGCTCATCCAGTATTTCCTTGGGATGCTTTAACTAACTTATTGCAGTCTTTCCGGGTTCCATTGGCAAGCGGGACAATCGGGCTAGACCCGGTTGGCCAGACCATTGGAGGCTCGCTAGGAAGCGAGGTTGAAGGAGTTTCGTCAAACGGCACTGTTGAAGTCGACGATTCTCCATAGCCCGAGTACGTCGCAATATACCCTACCGGTTGTACGCAGTAATAGGTGCCGGCAAGGAGATTCGTGCAGTTCTCAAAGAGCTCCGAATTCAAGAAAAGACTATCACCGTTAGATTTTGTCTTGCCTGCCAGATGATAACAGGCCACGTACAGATTGCTTCGAGGAATGCTGAATTTATCCGTCATGGTCGTGCAAGTCTCGTTTGCGGCAACCTTGTAATATTGACCACAGCGAGAGTTTGTGCCATCACCAGTAGGGAAAGGGATCGAACTACCATAGTTAGTATGCGGGCAATACTATTGAGCCATAGTAGTAATTTACGCTGTAGTAGTCACAATACTCGTCATGCCTCCGAGGCCATAATTTCCCACTGGATTGCTCACGCAGAGAGTACTTTTCACCAGATTTCCGAGATTGCTGTATATTCGTTTATTAGTGGGGTGCTTCAATTAAATGCGTGTGACAACGTACGAGCATGTAGAGCTGATTTGAGAGTTCCAAGCGATAAGCTGGGCCCAAGTCACATCTTGCGACTTTCCGATGCCAATGCAAGTATCACCGGTCCCAACAGTGTAAGTTGGACAATTTGTGCTTGCGCGGGATATGATATCAGATTGAAAAGCCTCTGCAATAGCTAAAAAATGAAGCGTAATAACCAGAACCTTCATGGTTCCTTGAATATTCTGATCACCAGAATAAAGAGAGCCACGGAAAAAGAAAGCAAATGATGGACAACCTGTGAAGTGAGAAGCTAAGACTAAGGGAATAGCTTAAATTGCGGGATGTTTATTTACATAGGCAAAGAAAATCTCAATAGCTGCACGGTGCCAGTCTTGATATGTACAAGGTATTCTTAGGAAAATTAGCACTATGGTTCTGTTTTGGGTTTGACACCGCTATGGGGCTCATTTCCGTGTACTGACTAGTATGCCTCGTATCCCGCTGCTTCCGAACACATTCACTTTTTTTCAATTTTCGAAGCGATGCAACGGATCTAGCCAAGAGTGAATCTAGCGGCTTTAGCTTCATTTTCTAGAGCGATGTGATAAAATTTGGCTAGTACTGTGTAGACCAGCCGGTGGCGTTACAAGGCCCGCATGAACCTCTCATAGTAAGTTTCAACGCAAGACTACTCGTACCTGATGGAAGATTGTGCTCCGCAACGGAGTATGCGGTTGCTCTCGGAAGTATCAAACACCCAGGGAAATGTTCCACTACCTAGCCCTGTAAAAATACTGAGAAATTACAAAATGACTTAAAAAACAATCGTTTGTACTTATATCCGTGAAATCTCGGATATTTATGTTCTGTTCCTCGAGTCACCTTACTTCATTTTATTCCTTGCTATTGCCCTGGACTACCTACACACCCCCGTTGATACATTCATTTCTAACCATGTTTGCCTCGGTGAGGGAACATGTGTACTCACTCCTTATACTACTATTCCTTTTCAATTTGTTTCAAGGGTCATTGGGTGCTACGTCAAACGCCCAGCTTCAATCGACGAAGAGCCCACAAGACTACACCTGCTCTGCTGATAGCCCCTGCGTCAACGGAGCCTGCTGCGGTGTGGATGGCTGGTGTGGTTATGAAGACACCTATTGTGGAACCGGTTGCTAGTCGAACTGCGATGCTAAGGCAGAGTGCAGCAAGAACGCTGCCATCCCCGGGACGGGATGCCCTCTGAATGTCTGCTGCTCAGAATTCGGATTCTGCGGAACCACGACCGAGTTTTGTGAAGAGGGCTGCTAATCTCACTGCACGCAGCCAAAGCCCGCTACTTCAGGAAGCAACTTATAACAACGGATCGTCGGCTACTGGGAAGTATGGAATATTCAACATGTATGCGGTACCATGGGAGTTGGCCAGATCCCAGTCGATCTTCTCACGCATCTTAACATCGCCTTTGGCTATATTAGCCCGGACTATCGAGTGACAAGTATGGATGATCTGTCACCGGATGTCTATAAGGTTGTAGGTAATCTCAAAGCTCGAAACCTAGCTTTGAAGATTATGATCGCTATTGGCGGATGGACCTTTAGTGACCCTGGTCAATATCAGAGTGTTTTTCCTACTATAGTCTCTAATAAATGCAACCGTGCCACATTCATTCAGAATTTTCTTGGATTCCTTGCTGAGTATGGCTATGACGGAGTTGACTTTGACTGGGAGTATCCGGGTGCTGATGATCGAGGAGGCTCGGAGTCAGACGGCGTGAACTATACCACATTCTTGAAAGAGCTTCGCGCAGCTGTCAATGCAAGTGGTAAACAATATCTGGTAACATTTACCGCGCCTACATCTTATTGGTATCTGCGTCATTTTGATATCAAGGCTATGACAGAATATGTTGACTGGATCAATTTGATGGCGTATGATCTGCACGGTGTCTGGGACAGCGAGAACCCTATCGGTAGCCAAGTCCTTGCTCATACAAACTTGACCGAGATTGACCTCGCGTTGGACCTTTTCTGGCGTGTGGATGTAGATCCCTCTGCCATCGTCCTAGGATTAGGATTTTACGGCAGGTCGTTCCAACTCTCTGATACATCGTGTTGGAAACCCGGTTGCGAGTTCAGCGGTCCCGGTGCAAAGGGGAAGTGTACAGATGCTGCAGGCATTCTGTCCTACCGCGAGATCCAATCCATCATCAGTGATGCCGGTGGCACTGCGTATTTAGACAAAGAAGCTGCTGTCAGATACATGGTTTACAACGGCAACAACTGGATCTCATTTGACGACGAGGGAACTTTCAAACAAAAGATTGACTACGCTAACAAGATGGGTCTGTCTGGTCTGATGGTCTGGGCCATTGACCTGGACGATAACTACCTTGGCGCGCTGAGATCAATCTCAGACGCGCAATATCTCAACAGCACCTCGAATACTTTTGACCCGGTCGACCTCAAATACGTCTTTCCCGAAGATATGCTACTTGCTGGGACTGTTCCTACCTATAGCCTGACTACATTTGGTAGCGCGGCAGATGCCGGAGACATGAGTCCAGGGGCAGGCTTCGGATTTTTGCTTTTTGCTGGTGACTCCCATGTTGTTTCGCAGCTACGAAAGCGTGAAGGACAGCCAGATCCCTTTGTCTTTCTCAGCTGTCCCGCCAATATGAACGTCAAAGATACCGACACGACTTTTACAGCCCGGGTCATCTGTCTGAGTAATGATATTGAAGGATGCTTCCGAGTCGCCGAGAGAGGGGTGGAAGGCACTATCGTGGAGATGCCCGACAATGTAAGTCCTCGAACAAGATTCAAAATCGCTTTCTACACAGGCATCCCAGATTTGCTGGATAGCTGACAGATGTACGTACCCAGTGTTCTCCAAACACTTTCGCCAGAGCCATTGCCCTAGAGCAATCGGAAGGCAAGTTTGTAGAAAGAAATGTCTAGTTCAAGTTCCAAGGTTCTCGCTAACACCACCAGGGGATTAGATCAAAATATATCCGCTCACATTAGAAAGCGCAACCCTACCTCTCAAGTCTTTGACTTCAAATTTGACTTCAATATTGGGCTTATGCGTCGCGACAGCAATAATACCAGCATCCGCACCGACTTCTCCAATGTCGATGGCTACTGGCCATGGCTTGTTGACTCTCCTGGAGACTCCGGTACGGACAGCACGGACAAACGACACCTTGTTGAGCGATACTACTCTTCCAGTAACAAGAACTGGAAAAATCGATTCTACGATTCCAATAACAACTTTTCTGCTACTCTGGGTAGCCCCATCAAGTTTAAAGAAGACATCAGCGCCCCAATTTTCTGGCAGGGAGCGGCAAAGTGTCAGATTGATGGTAAAGAGTACGGTGAAGGGTTTGGTGCCTTCGTCGAGGGCACCGTTGACGCGAAGATCCTCTTCGGCTGGTCAATGGTTATCGCCACCGAATTCTACGGTGACTTCACGGTGAAAGAGGCCAACGGGTTTATGACCGTCGATGGCACTAGTGATTTGACTTATGGAATCTCGGGCATGGGGAAGGTCGACATCACGAAAGCCAACAAAGGAAATCCATCTTTCAGTCCGGCAGAAACTTTCAATCTTCAAGGAGACACCATCACCAGTGGTCAGTATGGCGCTTTCATGTCCTTTAGTCCGTATGCATCGATCACCTATCAGATGGCTACGCTCAACGGAACTGGGGACTATGATTTCTCCGATCCTGGAGTCTCCTTCAACGGTCGTCTGACTAGTCGTGTTCAGACTGATCTCGGCGACATCACTGCTTACTACCCTTCCCCAACAAAAGATCAGGTTGCGGAAGATTTTGAGGGCCGCGCTGATAATAAAATCTCATTTGGGACCGTTAACAGAGTTTTTGAGGTGCAGGGAGATGGCGGTCGGATTTCGCTAGGCACATATATGCGTTTCGGAATGGGCATGGAGTTCACGATGCCTTTTAAGACTAGGGAAGGTGATAGTCGTCCTATCAAGAGGAAGGCAGATGTGAGTTATCCTACAGAAAGCTTTTGATCTGTTTTTAACGGCCTAAAGGTTGGTTTGACATACGACAACTTGATCACATTTGGGTTCCATCCTAGTGAAACTGCTTCTGATGGAACGGTGTGTTCGGAACACAATGTCACGTAGGTTTGACTTTGCACCCTGGATGCTGTCACGGGAGTTCTGACAGACTTTGCAGTACGCGCATCTATCAGGATGTCAATGACGGGTATGTTCGCTACGCGCAGTATTTGGATTTTGCTTCCAGGTAACTGACTTTTCAATCTTAGATACTTGATGCAATGGAAGGTCGATGACGTTGAGTTGGGAATAGACAGTGTGAGCATCATATCCTCTGACCAAAAGCGAGATAAATCCTAAGATATACGCTTTATTAACACGCTTAATAGCAAAAACTCAATGAGGCAGTTTGCTGGCCGCCTTACAAGTCCAATTCAAAACGAGATTTACAGCTCGAGGGGACTAACAACTCCTTGATAACAGAGGAAGCCGCGTACCACTCTCTCCAGGCGCGCGGTGATTACGACCCTTTTTTCAATCTCAAGGCTGGTAAGGCTTTCGGAGATCCTGATACGCTCGTCAACTTTGATAATCAGGCCCTCAAAAATGCAAGCAATATGATGAACAAAAATAAAGGAAAGATCGGTGGCAGCTGCACCGATTGCGTTGAGTGTGCCGATGTCGACGATCCGTAAGACGAAGACTCGTGCTGTGGCTGCGCTTGCATGGACTGCGTGTATGGCTATAGTGATCTGGATGACTGTGATTCATGCGAAGAAATTCCATCCGGTACGTGGCCGTGGGTTGATTATGTGGATCTCAGCATCAGCAAACGCGAGGACGCCGAGCTACCTAATGAGGAATTCCAGCCTTCTCATCATCATGGATTCTCTCATGAACACCATGCTCATTCAGAACTACATCGACGAGTGAGCGGCTTGGTCACGCTTTCAAGAAAGAAAGTCTCAGTATGTGGTGATGAGAAGTGGTATGTTGATGGGAATGGCCGATACCCTGCCTTTCCCAAGGATGCGCAGAGACCCTGGGATGGCATCGAAAATGGAAGGTGGGACACTATATCCCGGTACTGGGGAAACAGCTCGCAGTCCTGCACCAATTGGGCCGTTTTCGAGAAGCCCGTGGCGGATAGAGTGTGGGTGGGACCTTCTATTCTGTTCCCTCTTGGGAGTATGGAGAGAGCCCAGTATCAGAGTACGTATTGAGGATGGCGAGACTAGTTAAAATTGGAAGAAATTGACTGCTGACTTAGTTAGCTGAGCATGTCTTTGAGGGGCAACTGATTGGTGACTTTTTCACTTGGTGGCTTGATAAGGGCATGGCGAGTAAATTCGCCGCAACTACGAGCTCGGCCAAAGTCTCTTGCACTGATATCAGGGATCTGTTCTCGATATCTGATCCAACTTTCCCATGGAGGGTCAGCGGGAAAAGAGTCCCATTCCTTGAGCTAATGCTTTATCAGCTCGACAATATCGATCATCTTGACCGGCTGACTATTTTTATGGGCCGGTCTAATCTGAGAAAGGGCATTGTGAGTTCTTGTTTTCGGCTTATCTGGTATTTCAGCCTGTGTTTTCATCGCTGACCTGAGGCCCTCGGTAGCTCTTTACCGGGAAATCGAACGATATAGACGTTTTCGAGCGCATGTCGGCCGAAGAACAGATCCTTTCAGCTAAAGAGCTTGGAATGATCTTCACATACATGAACCAACCGGCAGTTTGGAGCAAATTCTGTGCCACTTACGAGGCCATATACGACCTTCTGGGTCAGTGGCAGACATAGTATAACAACAACCCCAATGCTGCTCTGCCCCAAAACCTGAATCTTCCCGATCTGCAAGATGAGTGGAAGACTTTCATCAACACTGCGCTGGATCAAATTGTCGCTAACGGCATAACTACATTCAATTCCATGCATACTAAGGGGTGAGTCGAAATGGATATACTTCTTTCTTGCTCGCAACTAACAAGGGGTACTTTTTCTTAGGGCTGGCAATTCGATGTGGAAACCACAATGGGTATTCAAATGGGGTTATCTTTGGATGTTCAACAAAGGCCAGATTCGGCTGGACCGCAGTTGTACTAACTTGCCAAGATAGTACATCGAGTGACAAAAGTCTGAGTACACGTATGTATGCACCTGCCTTCTATACCAAAATTCCCGATTTTTCGGTTTCTTACATCTTCAAAAATTTATATGGAATAGTATTTTTTATATCTTGAAATTAGACCTTGGAATAAGAGCTAGTTATTAGTTGTTTTTGTAATTATTTATTTTCTCTAAGACAAGTCCATCCTACACTGTAGATAGTTAAAACTGGAGCTAGGCCCCGGGTAAGAACATATTTTATGTATATTTTCCAAGGTTTGTATGGCGCCTATTGTGAGGATGCTCAAGTACTCACAGAGATCAAGATACGGCGTCGCATACAAAGCAAAGGAAACAGTAGCTGTTCGACGAAAGTAATAGCTTGAGGAGAATAAGAAGGAAGCTAAGATGGAAGGCTAGATACACAGGTGTAGGCGTGGATGCCTAGATGGGTGCCGTAGGCATGAGGCATCCACGAATGGTAACAACACCAGTTCGTTACAACTTTTCTGTCAAAGTGTATCTTCTTAGAGTGAATTATTTTAAGATTATAACTACCAGCATTTCTATTACAAAGATGTGCTCTATTTATCTTATAGGCATTAACTATAGCTATAATGTAATAAAGGGGGATTCTCTGATGGCAAGATATACAGCAGAACTCTAGGTAGGCCATGCTGCATTAGCTCAAGATTCCGAAGATACAGTCTAAATGACAGTCAGTTTCTTGGAAAATAAATTGGCATTTCAACAATAGGCTCGTCTATATCAGCTAAATAGACCTTGGAACTTTAACCCTGGTCCTCTAAAGGGAGCCAGCTTGCTTTATTGGACTTATAGCGACTGTATAATGCCTTTTTAGTAAGGGAGCAGATATCAACGTACAAGGCGGCTTATATAGCAATTCTCTCCAGGCTGCCTTACAGGGAGGCTATTGTAAAATTATCAGACTACTCTTAGACCAGGGAGCAGACGTTAACGTATAGAGTGGCGAGTATGGCAATACTCTCTAGGCTGCCTTACAGAGAGGCTATTAAGAGATTGTCAGACTACTGTTAGATCAGGGAGCAGACTTTAACATACATTACCTCATATATAGTAATGCTCTCTACGCTGCCTCATCAGAAGGCTATTATAATATTGTCAGACTACTCCAACAAAGGCGTACCATTATGTCTTTCTCAAAGCAGTACGGCTCTAGGACACCTAGCAATCCAGCAAAGAGACTTTGTCTTATAGAATCTGAATCTTCTAATCAGGCTTAATAGTTCAGTCACTGGCCCCCATTATACTGTCAACCTATCATACTGTTTCCTCCTCTAGACTCGATCACTTTCATTCCTTTCCAAATTCTAGGCACAGCTTAGTAAATCTATAAAGCTCTGTAAACACTATTAAATCTAAGCAATTTCTGTTCATTCAGATTGTATAGTAATTCTATGTATAGATAGAAAAAAACAACATCTATAACTCATCTATTAATAGCTATCGCTTTCTCCCTATACAATCATCAAATATTGGCAGAAAGGCTGAGTCTACCCACAAACTAGTATACTAGTATACTAGTTTTATAAAATATATCTGATTATCCTCATCCTACAGTAATATCAATCTTAGGTTCCTAAAGAGCTTTAAATTAGTAGTATTGTACTTTGTAACGAACCCAATGTTATAGAGTTACGTACCCGATCACGTAACCCACTACCGTCCGTTCCATCTGTACCATAACAACTGCAAGAGCTTACCTCTCTTTCCTTTCTTCAGCTTTATTACTTTTCGTCAATACTACATAAATATCATTTATCCCGAGTCCTCACATACTTTAACATATCTAAAAGAGGATAATTAACAAACTGTAGAGATGCAATACAGTAGCAGGTCGATTCTAACGCTTACAGGGCTTATTAATCCAAGGGAGTAAGCGGTAGGAAGACAGTAGAAAAAACAGCGAGGAAGAACGACCATACTAATTACTAATTATTCTTCCGCTACTGACAAGAGCTTCACTGCCTCTTTTAATATAAGGTAGCCAATCCTAGACCAGGCAGTAGTGATGGCAACAGTGTATCTGGTCCGCCTGTCAGCAGTAGACCGGAGCAAGGCACCACGGCAGGGCGTATGTGTGATGAGAAAAAGCACGGCAGGTTTAGCTGAGTGGCTACGTTATCCGTTCAGGGGCGCTCAGGGCATTCAGGTGCGGGGCTGAAGGGACTGAAGTGGTAGGGCGGCAAGGGCACTTTCCCCAACGAATCAAAAATAATGGGTGAACAAAAACATACAACAGCAGGGATTCGCATGTGGTCACCCACCATACTACTAACCTGCCGGCGTGTGGCTTAAGTACGGCTGAGCGGACGGGAAGCCCTGTTCTCCACACCCTATGGTCGTATGTACTCGACATCCCTAATTAGAGGAATACATAGTTGCTTATTGCCCATGATTTAATCAGGTGTTATTGATTTATTTGCCTCTTATACACTAAAAGAATAATTTGAGCTGGTGCTAATGGACTTAAGAGACTCCAGTTCCAAGGCTATCGACCGTAGGTGTTTGTTGACTAGGGCTAATACCTAGGTAGTACTACTAGTAGTAGCCATTATCTTTGGTTGGAGTGATGGTCCTGCTGTACTCTAATTAGGTGGTCCATATATATATCCAGGACACCACAAAAAGTCGAGTCAGCCCTGTGAATCCAACTCCATCATGATCATTATGGCATTATCATTTACGTCCTTTGTTTTCTTATTGTTAATTTTTTTAGGAATAAATCAGATGTACTTTTCATTCTTATTCTATATTTTGGGTTCAAGTACCCAGGTGTGATTTACAAGTTAACCCTATACGAGGTATACATCTCGCATGAGGAGATTCCGGATATTAGCCGAGGCAACCCGACCCGGCAGAACATCAGAATATCGGCAAGCCGGGCGAGTTCCGAGTGCCCTCGAGTCTTCCTTAGCTTACGGAGTACACAGCCAAAAATGGATTGGTGTGAGTAATGTAAATAAAGGCAGTGGAGGAGTTTGGTATATTCCAACCAATCAGCAGAGAGACACTGATAGAAATTTTCTGCAGTGGACTCTCCCAGTGGACTAAGGCAGCTCTGTGATTGGTGGAAGATGGCTGACAAAGTGACAAACCATACAAACAAATGCCAGTCTCGCTTACACCGGACTCACCGCCCAGGACTGCCTGAGTATAAGAGGCCGTTGCCCTCCGGACCTTCTTCTGTTTTTTAAGCGACTCTACGTTAGTGATCCCCCCCTATAGTGTTCACAATGTGAATACATTTACTAACAACCTCACAGTTCAAAGAATCACTTTAGAGTAGACGTCCTCTTCTAAGCTCTTTATAAGAGCCACAGAATCTCCACCCTTGCTGATGACTGCATGTCCTCGATGCCCTAAAGTGAAACCTTTTTACTTCCGCCTCGACTGCTACGCGTTCCTCACGGTTCTGTGTTAATGTCCAGGGAGTGGTGATGATCTTGACCTGGTCTCGGTGTCTGACTTCGGTCGGCTGGTCCTGGTGGGTGTCGAGGAGGTCTGAAAGGTTTTGATCGATTTCTCTTTGATGTGGGAGATTTCCTTCGGAGCTGTCAGAGATGCTTCTTCCAACATGGCAATTTCGACAACAATACCCAGTACATAGAATGAATCAATTTTCTTATCAAGAACTTCAACCTTTTGGAACTCGATTCCCAATTGTAGCCATGTTCATTGTAGTGAATGAAGCCTGTCAGTAACCTTGAAAATTTGCGGTTGCGGCTCCGCCTGCAACACGTGACCCTTCAGGTACAGCATTTTGATATTGGAGTGTTAGCATCCGGGTATCATTTCATTTCATCTCATGAATCATCTACCTCATCTACTCTTACTCGCTCGGTTTCACGCTCTTCTCTGCTCCTTTCTCTCCTTTCTCTCCTTTCGCTTCTCGCTTACCCTCCCCCTTGCCATCGCCCTTGGCTTTGTTGCGATTGCCTCGTCCACCGCGCGATCCGCGCGACGAGCCTGTATTCCCAGAACCAGCACCAGCACCGTCCTTTACAGGTACATCCTTGACAGGACCATCCTTTCCACCGACGTCCTTTCCACCACCGGCATCCTTCTTGGTTGCACCCTCTCCTCGCCCCTTTCGTGTCTTCTCTCCCCCGGGATTCGCCTTGCGCTCGAGCACGACCACCTGGCTCTGTCCCACCGTCACTGGACTAGCAGCCATCGCCTTCTGTAGCCCCTCCGGCTCCGCAAAATCCACATACCCGAATCCCTTCTTCTTATCAATTTCCACCCTGGCCACCGATCCAAAGACCCCAAATGCCTCTTCCAAGAGTGGCTCCGTCACACCCTGCGACGGATTGGCATGTTTGAGGAAGGCCTGTGTTGCGGTCGGTGCGGGGTTGGCAGCGGGTTTTCCTTTGGCGCCCTTGGCTTGTTTCGCGGGCGCATTGTTGGTACTGGTATTGGCATTCGCGGTGGAGGGAGGAGGTTGGGCTTCCGAGGTTCGGGACGAAGCTTCGGCTTCCTTTGCGGTGTCCTTTGCGGCGTCCTTGGCCTTGGCTGCGTTTTTGCCAGACTTGTTCGTTTCCTTCTTGCTTCCCTCCGCAGCAGGTCCAGGTCCAGGCACGGACGAATCGCGCGAGCTCTCATTCTTCGGCGTGCCAGCCTCGGTCGATCCACCCTTCCCGCGCCGTCGGCCCCCGGTTCCAGAAGCAGACGAGAGTCCAAGATCCCGCTGCAAGATCTTAGCTGCTGCGGCGACATTGCCTCGTTCTCGCTTTCGTTCGGGTCCTGTGGCATTTGTAGACTCCTTTGGTGTGGTTGTAGCACTTGCTTTTCCGGATTTTGTCGTAGTTGTAGCCTGCTTCGCTGCTTTGCTGGATTCCTTGCCCACCTTGTCGCCTTTGGCCTTTTTCTCGGATGTTGTAGTTGTGGCGGCTTCCTTGTCGGGTCGTTGGAGGAGCTTCTTTGCTTGAACCTTTTCTTGCTTGGACTCTTTCTCTCCGCGGCCGTGCTTGGACTTTGAGCTTGCGCTTTCCTTGGCCTTGCTGGCCTTTTTGTCCTTGATATATTGAACCAGAGGGGTTGTTAGAATTGCTGCCTTCTTCTCCTCGTTCTCGGTCGAGTCCACGGGGGCGGGTTTGGCGATCGGCTGGGTGAGGCTTTCGAGGAAGGCGATGAAATCTGGGTCTTGGTCGATCGTGCCCTGGCGGGCGTCCTTGCGGATTCTGTGGCTGGGGGTTTTTGCGTATGGCGCAAACTCGAGGGATGGCGGTCCCAGGAGTACTGGATCGTTGGATGTGTGGCGGGCATCCTGGAATGAGGTCTGTCGGACGCGATCCGAGAGTGGGGTGACATGTTCGTTCGAGGTGAGATGAAGGTATGCTCTAGAGGGACGGGATGGTTTGGCAGGGCTGTAGAAAAGAGGTGCTTTGGTTAGTTCTTGTTGTATATTCATCGTGATAGTCATGGTCATAGTGACTAACTCCTTCGAAACCTTGCCGGGCTTGTATTGAAGCCAGTCGACCTTGCCGGCACCTGTCTTCCATTCGTCGCCTAGAGCGGTTTCAAGCTCGACCTGAGTCAGTCCTGGCGGCAGGCGACGAATGAGTAGCTTGAGCCGTGGGGCGGGGGGTTTGGGAGTCTTCTTCGTGGATCCGGATTTCTGAGTGGCCGTTGCTGGGATCTGCAGCACGCCGGCTGTGGCCTTGCCGGACTGTGTCATGGTTGTGTTGAAAAATACAAGTGTTGGTATGTGATCAGATCAGAAAAGAGAGAAGAGAGCTCTGATGGTTGTGCATCGTGACTTGCGGTGGCTTTCTGCATGTCCCGAGGCGGTGAGTCACAGTCATAGGAAGTATGAAGTATCAAACCTCAGCCTAGGTAGTCCTAGGTAGTCCTGTAAAATGCAGAAATAATAGAAAATAGACTAAAATAGATAAATTGCCAATGATCAACCGTGAAAATAGTCATATTGACAACTTGGTTGGGATTTACTGAGATCATTTAGTCCATGCACTCCCCAATATCTGTCCACCGGTACTAAGGAGTAGTCTTTTGCTTCAGATAATGTTTAACTACTCGTAGAATGTACTACTAGTAGTATGCAAGGTCTGTCAGGTTGAAAAACAATACTATTTTTTTCTGATTGAGTATACTAGTATGAAACATCAATGCGGGGCGACCATAACATCTATGCTTTGTCTATACTTTGTCTATGCCATGCATTGTAACGTAACCACAACTTGAATCTCTTGCCCTTTTTTGGCCAAAAAACACCAATGGATAAAGAGTATCCTATCCCCTCCAAAACTATAAAATACGCTTATGCCTGATTCTGGAAGGCGTCGACGACATAAATGCTGGAGCCTCATCAGCCTCATCAGCCTCGTATTCCGCCTGAGTCATTGGGATTCAAGTTGAAAGTTCAAGTTGTTTATCAATCCTCCCCACCCATCGACAACACAAACACAAACACAACCTATCCCCCAACAATGGCCCCTCCATACACAGTTGCCCCCCATCTGGAATATCTCAATGTACCCCTGGCCGAGCTTAGCGCCAGTCGACCCGAATTCGAAAGTTTCGGTGTCGGCGGGTACATCTTCGCCGAGCCCCCATCTACCAATGCCAATTCCAGCCCGCGCATTCTGCTGATCCAGCGCGCCTTGACTGACACAATGGGCGGCTGTTGGGAAGGCCCCGGTGGTGCCAGTGAGCCCGATATCGACCAGACTCTGCTAGACGGCGTGGTGCGCGAGGTCCTGGAAGAAACAGGACTCAATGTGTCGCGCATTGTGGATCTTGTGGCCGTCGACAGTTGGCAACATCTACGCCGAAACGGTGATATGCTGCGTATCGCCAAATACTCCTTCATCGTCGATGTCTACGAGGCCACAGGGCCCTATGATGAGATCCCCGTTCGCCTGGAACCGACCGAGCACCAGGCCTTTGACTGGGCGTTGGAAGAGGAGGTGCGAGAAGTCATGCAGTCCAATACAGGCAAATTCCAACTGCCGTTAGCTGCGAATTGGAATCATGGACCGAATCTTGTGCGGGCCTTTGCTTGGTTTCGAAAGCAGCAAGCCGGGTCTACGAAGGAATCTCTATAATGTATATACTAAAGGGATACAATGGGCAATTCAACCACATTGATGGTAGGCTCAGTACTGAGCTGAAACAATTTCATATGATTGCAAACGCTTTCAACCAATCAATATACTACTAGTATTATATTTACTAAGTTAATCCTCGGCGGGGTGGTCCCCTCTGGCTTGCATTTCCAATGCAACTTGATCAACCTGCCGCCACACGCGCAGCAGGTTGCCTCCGGCCACTTTACCTGCGTCCTCATCACTCACGCCCCGCCGCAGCAGCTCGGCGATCAGGTTCGGGAATTTGGATACATCCTCCAACCCCTGCGGCGTAGTCGGAATACCATCAAAGTCACTTCCTAGCCCGACATAGTCAAATCCAGCGACGGTTCCAATGTGCACGATGTGGTCTGCCACCCGCTCCAGGGTCGCATGCTCCAGATCCGTATCGGGAAGACCATTCTCGTTGTCGGAAGCGGTGCAAGAGATAAAGTCTGGAGCAAAATTAACCATGACGATTGACTTGGTCTTCTGAACAAGCGCCAGCACATCGTCTGGTACATTACGCGGATGCGGGCACAGAGCGTGTGCCGAGCTGTGGCTGAAGATCACTGGAGCTCGACTGCCAGGCCATTCGGACTTGCCAGCGCCCAGTACATCACGCATAGTCTGCACGCTGACATGAGCCAGGTCAATGATCATTCCTGAGACGGTTCATTTCGTAAATGAGGTCTTGACCAGCTGGGCTCACACCATGCCAAATCGGGTCCGCCTTCTTGATACCACCGCCCGGCAGCTCGACGAGGGCCGCATCGGCGTACTTGTTGTGGCAGTTGTGGGTTAGTGTCGCGTAGGAGACACCCATATCGTAGAACATCCGGAGGTGGGCGAGCGAATTGCCGATTGATTGCAGGCCCTCAATACCTAGCGGCGAGATGATCTTGCCTTCCTGGAATGCCTGCAAAGCGGTGGTGCCGTTGGGAGGCCTCGAAAAGATCTCGGGAAAGGCCTTTTGCACACGCGCCATGAGATCAACCTGTTCGACGGTTTGCCGAACACCTGCATGGAATTGGTCAGCATGGGGTTGTTTGTGCCTGTGCACTGGGAGGTTCCTGACTCGGTGCATAATTCTCATCGGAAAAGTCCGTGCCATCTGCGGGGCATGGAACGAAGACACTCCAAAAGGTGCCACCAACATAGCCACGCCTTAGACGAGGCAGATCGACATGACCGGAAAGATTTCCATGGATAAAGGACTCGGTGAAGTTGGAGCCATAGATGTGGTTGTGATACCGCTCTCGGATCAGGATGGGGAAGTCATCATGGCCATCTAGAATAGGGATTAGTCAAAATAGAGGTTGTCGAGGAAGTGAAACTCACCGATCAACGGGGTGTTTGTTAAGATGTTATGCACGCGATCCTGCAGGGTGGCCGGCGTGCGGAGCATCCGGTGCGAACAGCGGGGTCCAAGAAACCATCCTGCTCCGACCAGAACGAGAAGAAAGAACAGCCAATTGCGAGTAGAAGATTTGTGTTGAAGGACAGCCCGAGGAGCAGACTCCGAAGAGTGGGCGGGGGTTGTCTTCGCTTGCACTTTGTCTTTCTCGTCGATTGGCATGGCGTGAGAGTTGAAGGGGGGAAATGCGGAGGGACTAGGGACTCCCAGGCTGGCGGGTCCACTTAAGTGAGGGAGATAAATAAAATAGTGCCAACGTGAGGATGAAGGGGAGGGGAAGTGATAGCCACTAGTAGTCCATGTATGTGTGCATGGAATCTCCCAACCGAATACTCTCCGAAGATGAGGAGTAGAAAGAGTAAAAATAGTAGAAAGAGTAGAAAGAGTAGAAAGAGTCCGAGTCAACGTTGAGATACCACCACAGATCACGTGAGTGTATACCAGTATTAGTAGAGTATAGCATAAACAGCATGGACACAGAAGAATAGTCTGCTGGTGTGCTTGAATCAGCAAATACTAGTACAGTTGACCTTTAGACCTGATACTCTTGGGGACTTTATGGTAATATCTGGACCGATGGCCACATGGATGCGATAGTACTAGTATCAGTATACATGGATACCTACGTATGTCTATCGTCTTGAATGAAGACCACAAACATGATTGCAACATCAACTAGACTCTGTTTCGGTAAATACCTAGGTAAACTTGAGGTATAATACATGTACTAGTAGAGTAATAAGACTCGGAGTATGTCCATACTATAATCTGTTAGTCACTAGTAGTAGTAGTAGTAGTAGTAGTAGTAGTAATAGTAGTAGTAGTAGTAGTAGTAGTAGTAGTAGTAGTAGTAGTAGTAATAATAATAATAGTAGTAGTAGTAGTAGTAGTAGTAGTAGTAGTAGTAGTAGTAGTAGTAATAGTAGTAGTAGTAGTAATAGTAGTAGTAGTAGTAGTAGTAGTAGTAGTAGTAGTAGTAATAGTAGTAGTAGTAGTAGTAGTAGCAGTAGTAGATTATATCAGTTGTGCTATCCAATGTATATATACTATATATACTATCTATACTCTATACTCTATACTCTATACACTACTACACTCTGTAATCACGAGATGCTCATTGCTCCGCTCCGCACTCCGCCCACTCCGCCCCGCTCGACCTTTTCTCCCGCACTCTTTTTCATTTCAACTCTCTGCTTCGAGGGCCTTCTTTTCAGTCTCAACACTCTCGGTTTGTTCAATTTCCTTTGAACACATACCTAGGTCTATACATAATGACTGGCGCGCCAGCCATGACTGACAGTGAGTTATACACGCTCCTCTCTTCTACTTGCCACCCCCCGCGCTAACATTTTTCTTCTCAGGCCTTTTGGCTGTCTGGCATGCCTATCGTCTGCCCATCCTCGTCGCCGTGTCCATCTTCTTCGTCACTCTCCGTGTCTACACTCAATCCCAGTCGCGACCCAAGACCGCTGCCTCATCCTCAGTCCCCGTCTCGCCCCGTGGCCAATCGCCCGAGAAATCTCAGAAACTCGATGCCCCCGCAGAAAAACCGATCGCCCCTCAGAACCCTACCACAAAGGAAATTTTCAAGCCCGCGCCCAAGTCTGTGAAGCCGGCATCGGGACCTAAGCGCGTGCAAGGGAAGAAGAAGCCAGCAAAGACCATCGGCGGCCGCCGTCCATCCAACGAAGATAATGACAATGGCCCTCCGGTGTCTTTCATCCAGCCTATTGTCTTCTTCGCCTCGTTGACCACCACCACCGAGCGATATGCCAATGTGCTTCTGGAAGATCTGCGCGTTGCCGCTGAAAAGCAGGCTGGCTCGGAGAACCGCGAACGAGGCATTCTTCCCCCCCCAACTCCATGACATCTCCTACATCGACTTTGACGATTTCTTCACCACGGTCCCGCCGTCGTCCTCCCCCGATACCCGCTACGTTTACTGTATCCTGATCCCCACCTATAACATCGACACTGTACTCAGCACCTTCTTGGGTCACCTGGATGAAACCCACAATGACTTCCGAATCGACACGGCGCCCCTGGCTAACTTGGCGGGTTACTCGGTCTTCGGTTTTGGTGACAAGGAAGAATGGCCAACCGAAGAGCAGGGATTCTGCTCGCAGGCCAAGGAGGTCGATCGCTGGATGGCCAAACTGACCGGTCGCAAGCGTGTGTATCCATTGGGTATGGGTGATGTCAAGAGCGATGCTGAGAATGCCCTGAAGGACTGGACTGAAGGTCTGCTGGATATCTTTGGAGACATTCTGGAGTACGGAGGACTTGGTGAGGGTGTTCGTGGCAGCGGTGATGCGATGGAGAGTGACGAGGAAGATGTGGAGGACGAGGACGAGTCGCAAAGTGGAAAGAAGAAGTCCTCAACCATGGTCGATCTTGAAGATATCAAGATGAATGGTGATTCCGCCGCGCCACTCCCTGTTGACTTTACCACCGTTGGAAAAGCCGTCACCGTCACAGAAACCGCCAAAGAGATGGTCCCCAAGACCTCTCCGACCTACACCGCTCTGACCAAGCAAGGATACTCTATTGTTGGCTCGCACTCCGGTGTGAAGATCTGTCGCTGGACCAAGTCTGCTCTGCGTGGCCGCGGTTCATGCTACAAATACTCGTTCTACGGTATCAAATCTCACCTGTGCATGGAAGCCACACCTTCGCTCTCTTGCAGTAACAAGTGCATTTTCTGCTGGCGTCACGGCACAAACCCTGTGGGAACCACATGGCGCTGGAAGGTGGACGAGCCCGAACTGATCTTCAATGGTGTGAAGGAGGGCCATTATAAGAAGATTAAGATGCTGCGCGGTGTCCCCGGTGTTCGTGCGGAGCGCTTTGCCGAGGCGATGCGCATCCGACACTGCGCCCTGAGTCTTGTCGGTGAACCCATCTTCTATCCTCACATCAACCGCTTCCTTGAAATGCTGCACAATGAGCGCATCTCCAGTTTCCTTGTCTGCAATGCCCAGCACCCCGACCAACTGGAGGCACTGTACCGTGTCACCCAGCTTTACGTCTCGATCGACGCCAGCAACCGCGAGAGTCTACGCAAGATCGATCGCCCCCTGCACCGCGACTTTTGGGAGCGATTCCAACGCTGCATGGATATTCTTCGCGAAAAGCGAAGCTACCAGCGCACTGTTTTCCGACTTACTCTGGTCAATGGATTCAACGTTGATGATGAAGTGCAGGGATACGCGAACCTGGTTGAGAAAGCACTGCCGGGCCTGGTCGAGATCAAGGGTGTCACCTTTTGCGGAACCAGCACCAGCGCCGGAGCCGGTCTGACAATGAAGAACGTGCCTTTCTACGAAGAGGTCGCCGCGTTCTGTGTTGCGCTTAACGCGGAGCTAGAGCGTCGGGGTCTGCACTATGGCATTGCTGCGGAGCATGCCCACAGTTGCTGTATCCTGATCGCATCGGACAGATTCAAGGTAAACGGCAAGTGGCACACCCGCATTGACTACCAGCGCTTCTTTGAGCTGCTGGAGCGAGAGAAGGCCGATGGCACCCCTTTCATCCCAGAGGACTACATGATGGAGACCGAGGAGTGGGCATATTTCGGCAAAGGTGGATTTAACCCCGATGATGAACGTTGGTTCCGCAAGAACGCCAAGCCTAGACCAACTCATCTTATCCCCGCCGAGGCCCAAGCCCAAGTCGATGCCCACGTCCAGGCCCAGGACTCATGAAGTGTCAAGTTGTCAGGCCTCCACTATCCCGAACTTTCGGACGGCATTCCGAGTGGTTGATGAATGGCTATAAATCCATTCGAATGCTCAATACATTGAACACCCACTCCTCCTGTCCCCAAGGCGATTCTATCAGTTTCAAGCGTCGTCTCCCACCTGCCATGATTTTACGAATCTCTATAGCAGCATCTGCTGCAATTTTTATACCGGAAGCAGACTGCGCCATGCATTGGCTGGCCCGGATATCAAAAATCGGTTCATTCAAGTCTGCCTTATAGTACACTCTTCAATGAACTTGTTCAATAGTTACAGTTTATGTCACTTAAATCTATACGTTGTTTTAGAGACTCGGGTACATGGTTACCTACATGGGAAGCTAACAGCCTTCCGACTTGAATAAATACCAGTACTAGGAAATACCTTTAGGTTAAAGGGAGTTAGGGATCCCACTAGGAAGGTCTTCAAACTTATTACCAGACGTGCGAAAATAGATTGAGATCGCCCATGTATTTGACAATAGAGACGCCGTAACATGAATCAGAAATTGAAACCGCCCGCAATGGCTCACTCAAAGTCAAGTTGACATCTATGGCACCTGGGAGATCAGAATTACCCGTGCTGCCGATCCAACCCACTGTCTTTTCTGGGACCAGACCATACTAGCTAGGCCATTCACGCCAAAAGTCTTCGTGAGGGGTGGAGCAAGTGGAATTGGATGAATAGCCTTTCCGCCCCATCAACGTCAAAGTAAATGATACTGTGAGCCAGGAACCATATTAGTAGCATGGATATCCAGGTCTAAAGTATTGGATGTAATACATGAGCACTTAGTATCATCATGCTCATCAATAATCGGACAGCGGTTTCAGGATATTTTCTCATGAACCTCCCCGGTCAACGAAGCCTCATCCAAAAATCCGTGCAAAAGTTCCTTTCCATTTTTGGGGCTTGAGGTAGAGGTTTCTGAAAGCTCTCCGGATCTTAATCGATCGAAATACCAATTTCCCACGGGCTCAAGGTAGTTGAAAGACTCGAGTAATTTCCTTGAACTCTCTTTCATATATTTTCTGTCTTCATCCGTGAGTTCGACCTATCGATGGCTAGAACAGCACCAGCACTCAAGGGTGCAGTGACCGTGGCCTTTCTTAGTAGATTCGCTCGCAGCATCCACATTCCCGGGTGCAACATCCGCCTCATTGAGAACAATCCTTGACCATCCCCTCGCGCATGAACCATTTAGGATTCTGCCTCAGGCTATCATAGGCATCTTTGAGCTCTATTGGAATTGAAACTTCGCATCTGTAAAGATCGTATGCTTTTCTTGCGTACTTTGCTTGATTTTCCTCTAGCTGCTTTTCGATCTTTTCTAGCTGTGTCGCGTCTGGTTCAATATGAGAGACCTTCTTTAAGGCTAGAACCCTGTTGTGTTAAGTTTCCTCAAGTTGGACCAACTCTCGTAAATCCTGCTCAGCTCTGAGAATGTCGCGTACGATATCTTGGCAGTTCGAATATTTTGAGCTACGCAGCTGAAAACTGCAACCAGATCGGTTAACTCGAAAGGTCTTGCTGCCGTATACCATGGTGAAAGCCCTGGCGGAAAGCAGAGTATGTGGAATTAACTTGAATAACTTCTTGTTGATGGTAGGTGTGAGGTTTGAAAGGGAAATTCCAAGCCAGCTAGAAGTTGAAGGAAATGAAAATTCTTATGACCGCCGAATGATGCCTCGAATTTCCCAAACAGCGGGCCGATCCCAATGGGGATATTCAATTACGGGCCATCCATAACCGCAATTGACGTAACACCAGTGTCCCAGAATTACTAGTAGTAGTTCATAATTAGGGGCCCTGACGCCCCAGTATAATCGAAATTTACCCGATGTATGTTAAACAAGAGGCAGAAAATCAAGACCTGCTCAACTAAACCTGCTTTGTTTAACGTATATCGGCTGCGTTCACTCATAATGCAAGCCTGGCTATATACTAGTGTATATCTTTTTCTGTATAATATTACTGGCCACTTCTATCATTAGATTAAGTTTCTAACCTTTGAGGAGCAGATAGGCTCTTTGTTAGAAAAATAAGAATTAGCAGTTATATTGTTCTCAAACTAAACATACTCCTTAACCAAATCCTTAATCTCCGACTCAGACAGTTCTTTCACCCCAAGCAGCTCATTGTCGGTCTTCGAGAAATGACCTCCGAATTTGCCTCCAAAGATAGCTCGCAAGATGAGGTTGCGGGCGAATGTGGCACCGTCAGGCGTGGGCTGCTTGATAGCTTCATAGGCCTTCCGCTCCAACTCGTCGGTGGTGACAGGAATTTTCTCGATCTTATCGGCCTTGCCAGACCACTCCAACAGTTTGTTCTGTGTGAAGACTGTTTCTGCGACGTAGACGGGGCGATTCTTGGTTTCGTCGGGCTTTTGCAGAACGCCAGCGACAGCACGGCCGATTCCGGGAAGAGTTGTGGTGCTCACTGGGACGTCGCCACCATCGTAGATTTCTGTCGTTGGGCCAGCAAGGTTGAGGAAAAATTGCTTCTCAAGACCCCAGTCGAAGAAAGGGCCGTTGATAACTGCGGTGTAGCTGAACTCTTGATCCTGAGCTGAGATCTTCTTCAGTCTTTCCAGAACGGCAACCTTGTCGCCAAATACGGGCAGTTGTGCAGTCAAGTGGTGTACGGTATCGCTGCCAAATTCCGATGGGATGAATCTCTTGACCTTGGCGGCGTGGGCAGCTTCCACAAGGCGAAGGTGGATTTCACGAGCGACCACCCCGACTCCGAGGGCGTTAACGACCGCATCTTGGTTTGATAGTGCTGTGGTGAGAGAGTCTTGCGAGTTGTAGTCAACCTCCTGCACTTTGACGCGAGGATCCAGTTTGTGTGACGAGGATCGACTGAGGACGGTGACCTCAAAACCCGCAGTCAAGAGGGCGTTGACAATGGCTGGACCGAGGTTGCCAGTTCCCTATTCTGGTCAGCCATTTCCAAGGAACTGTGGAAAGGAACCATCTAATATTGACTTACTCCGGCAACTGCCACTTTAGAGATAGCCATAATTGTGTAGAAGTGGAAGATGAGCAATTAGGGTTCAGGTTCCGTAGGATAGTAGTGAACTACTAGTATTTAGTGAAACCTCCTCATGGCCGGACTGCATTGACACTTATATACACCATTTCCAACCAGGCCGATTCCTAATTTTGCGCACGTCATCAGCCATATTTCTTTTTTTGTATCACCTCATCTGCGATGGTGAATTTGATTCGAATGGCGCGACGTTGCTAGTGCGCGGAATGGCTCCGCTCGGTGTTTGTCAGCCTTTTAAAATCCATTCGGCCTCCAATCGCAGCCTCCGAAGCTGACTGGCGTGATTATGCAATTGGGAAAGTTCCGATGATTAAGCGGATTTTAAAGAGAGATAACCTTGCAAATGCAGCTTTTTTCAATTATTAACCGTATCTTTGTCAACTAGTTACTGGTTGCATGTCTGTGGGGGTATTTCGCCGATCGGATACGTTCACCTAGGGACCATTTAATTGGCGGTTAATTAAAGCTATGTACGGGCAATTAACTACGGGTACGGAGTAAATGTTTTCAATTTCATGATTGAAAGGTATCTTATCTTAAAACTAGTCGCAATAATGCATATGCTTATGTGAATTGTTACAATAATTCCCGCCATCACGCCATGGTTGTAAATTCTATATGGCCGCGTACTTCCACAATCACACTCTTTCTTATAGCCTACTCTCAACTAGAGAGGGACGGTTGAGAGTTATTCTCTTTCTCTCTATACCTTGATGTTATTCATACATTCTCGTCACATCCAGGGACTGCCAACCTACGTTTGACGCCGGAGAAATCCATTGAAGAAAGTGCCAATCTCGGCATAGTCGGTCAAATCCATCACGGCAGACACGTCTAGAATTACGTTTAGTTACGCTGCATAGCGTTGTGCTGTTCATAAGATGGTACTCACATTGGTCGGGGCGGACAATTATTAGAGCCCCCTGTTTCGGGTCAATGCCTAGGACTTCATATGCATGACCGTGCCCTTGATTGTGGCTCTCGTCATCGTAGTAGATCTTGTGCAAATCTGATGATTTTCAGTTTAGTTCATACTTCAAAGTTATCGCTGACGCTGTTATGGTGTATAGCTTACCCCGCGTTTGATTCTTGCCAGTCATTGGGTAGAAACACTCTGGGATTTGCTCGAGCTCGACATCGTATCGTCTACCGTGGCCGATTACGATATTGTCAATAAGACTGTCGAGATCATGCGAGCGTGGTGTAAAGGTGCGAATAGGTCCATCTGGAGAAGAAAGATATTCTCCGAGCTGTGCAAAATATTAGCTTGTGAATGCAAAGATTTTCTCCTCGCACCAACAAACATACCGTGTTCAATCTTGTGCGGTTCTCTGGGATAGAAATATCGCCTGTGAAAGCCATGATACGCCATCTGCCATCTGATTTGAGCGATGTCATGAGCTGCAGAGGCTTGGAGTCGCAGAATCGCACGACTTGTGCGCTGGGCAACCGCATGCCGACGACGACATTCGAGGCAAGCTCTGTCGATGCCAGGGAAGATGTGATTGAAGAAATATCGTACTTAGTGGTCATTCCAGCGGTATATTTACCAGACTCAATAAAACCCTTTTGAAACTCGGCGGGTGTGGTTTTGGCGCCGGAGGAAAACAGTTTGGAGAAGTATCGATCGAAATTGATGAGATCGAGAGCAACCTTTTGCCGCTCCAGGACGTATGTCTCCAATAGTGATGGATCAGCAAGGCCTGTCAAGACCTCTCCGAGCTTCCAGCCAATGTTGTACCCATCCTGCAGGCTGACATTCATGCCCTGGCCGGCCTTGGGCGAGTGGGTGTGGCACGCATCACCCGCCAGAAAGACGCGGTGGTCTTTGTGGAAAAGGTCTGCATGGCGCTGACCAATAGCATATGCCGACCACCAAACGGTCTCGGTGAACTGCACTTGGTAAGGTTGAAAGACGCTCTGGGCCTTGCGCTGCAGGTTCTCCAGTGTGACATCCTTCGGGTTCGTTCCCGGGGCTAGTTCGATATAAAATCGAGTGAGGTTGTTGTTGTCACCCTCTCGGGGAATGATCATGATATTTCCGGCTTTGGATCGAATGGTTGATTTTTTCCGGAAGTCAGGGAAGTTGGTTTGTGGAATCATATCCATCACACCCCAGATGGCATCGCTGCTGTCTCCAATCATCTTGTAACCCAGAGCTTTGCGCACGGTACTATGGGCACCATCGCAGGCCTATGCATTGAGTTAGAGATATTTTCCCCTATTGGAAAGCACCGAAAAGAGGATATCATACTCACCAATACATACTTCGCCGCGAAAGTCTCGGTCTTCCCATTTTTGTCGGCAGTCACGGTCACCGGGTAGGACTCAGGATCTGCTGCAGAGGCACTATCGACCTGGACGGAGTTAACATTGTACCCATAGTCAATCTCCTGGCCATTATATTTATGCATCAACTCAATCAAAAGTCCATTGATGCGGGCCTGGTTGAGAATGACATGAGGCTGATGCGATAGTCCTGGTTGAGTATCCGCGGTGCGTCCAGTCCGCTTGATAGCTCCATTACCATCGTCGGCCCAGAAGTTGACCTCGAGAACATGGAATGCCTCACGAAGAAGTTCCTCGCCGATTCCAAAGCTCTCAAAGATCTCGACGGTGCGACACTGCACTCCGTCCGCTTGGCCCATCACCATGGGGCCATCACGGCGCTCTAACACCTTACAGCGCACACCGTAACGGGCAAGCCAAGTGGCCGCGCAAAGACCAGCAGATCCACTACCGCAGATGAGCACGTCGACTTTTTCTTTGGGCTGCATGATTTCGATATGAAGTTATCTGTGCGTCGGATTCGTCCATTTTCCCGGGGGGTCATACCGTGACTTTTATGGCGGTGCTCCGGGATGCATTCCGGATGTTGCGGGATTCGTTCCGGTTGCCACTCCGGGGAAGACTCGGCAGACAACTTGCATATCAGCAAATCAATTCAACTGCACTGCCGTGATGTACTCCGGATTTCATCTGCCGTGTACTGAGTACCGAGTACCGTATATCTAGTATATCTAGTATATCTGGGGTGTGGTGGAACACCCCGGGGACAGACCTAAGCAAGTATACACACCTACATTCTACAGCTACGCCCAAACTACACCAACAGGTACACCAACAGTCAAAACAGAGAGTATAGACATGATTTCGTCTCTAGATCATTATGTATGCTCATCATTCCCAAAGGTCAACCCAACGCCTGCGCCCGTGCAATTTCAATTGCAATTGCAATTGAATCGATTCGAATCGAATTGCAAACATGTTACAAGAAGTACTCGCTGCGGCCCGGCCGCGACGTTGGCATGTGTCGTTGGTCATCACTCACGGCGCTGAACAGCTTAAAGGTGGGCTTGAGGTCGTCTCCGATCTCGCAGACGGACGCCAGGTTACCACACCGGTAGCAGTAGTTAGGCGCACTCCAGACGGTGACCACGTTCTGGTTGGTAAAATGATATTTATATCCCTCGTTCACGAGCTGATGAGCTCGTGCAATCAGCGACAGGTCGTTGACATGACAGAACTCATCGGCCACACGATCACCGAAAAGCCATCCTATAAAAGAGAAACGCACCACTCATTAGTATTCCAAACAAACCGACTAATGGTGTCTGTCACCAATAGAATAATGAACAGATCACTTCACTCACCTGCGCCTCGGGGGCTGACCGCCCACGTCTCAACATCATCCGGGTCTGACCAAACCAAATCGCAGAAAGCACCCTCGTGAGGAATCTCCTGGGCACGAGCCACCACGCGCACTTGATCGAGAGTGCGAATCTCGGGACTCAAACCACCGTGGACACACAGAACCTTGCCGTCGATGATGGCGCCCAGCGTCATGAAATCGAAAACCTGGCAACAGGCCTTCCACACGGATGCACTCCCGTACTTTTGGAAACATTCCTCGTAGAAACCGTATACCTGGGTGATCTGCCGGGATTCGTGGTTACCTCGCACCAATGTCACTCGATCGGGATATCTGTGAGTGGTGAGAGTTGTGTCAGCCTTCGTTTCACTCTGTAGCGATGCTTATGCCTTCTACTGAGCGGGCGGGGCACTCACTTTGCCTTCAGACACAGCAGCAATGTCAGAGTCTCCAGACTGAAATATCCGCGATCGACGTAATCTCCCAGGAAAACAAAGTTGCGGTTGAGCTTTAGGGCGGAGGAGGTCTCGCTGGCGGAGCGAGTGTGAGAGGGTTCGGGGTCTTCGCCTTCCTCGTCATCGTGCTGAGAACCGCGCATCTTATTTCGGACCTTGGGATCGGTGATGGAGGAGGGAGGCTCGATGTCGGCAGAGGTAATGACGGCGGGGGGGGTTTTGAGGGGCATCAAGCTCGGTGCCATCTGGCATTCCGCCCGAGACGCGGAAGAGCTCGAGAAGGTCGTAGAACTGGCCGTGGATATCACCGCAGATTGTGACGGGGGTAGCGACGGGTTGGATATTGGATTCTAGTGGAAGGAGGTGTCTGTGTGAGTGGTGGTGGTGGTGGAGGAGGAGGAGGAGGAGGAGGAAGGGTGGGTTGAGGGTCAGGTTCACTCACCTTCCATCATATATTCCTTCACCATTTCGCAGAGCTGTTTCATGTGGGCTTCGGACAGATACTTGCAGTCCTTTGCAGCTTCAAGCCACTCGTCGGGACCGGCATTGGGCTTGAATTTGGCTGGCCCCGGCTGGGGGGACCTTATTGTCGGTCATGGCGGGGATGTGGAGGGGAGAAGGAGGAGTGAAGTCGGAGTAGCTAGAGAAGTAGTTAGTAGGAGCAGTCCAGACCAGGTGATCCACCAACAGTCCAAGTGACGAGGGCACTTGAGCACCACAACTAAATAGAATAAATCAGAATAAATTAATAAAATCAAATAAAATGAGGCAGTAATAAATAACACAGCAAAAAATAAAACAAAAACAATGGATGACTGGAAATAGCAGCCGAACGCGGTAACCACTGCGCCACTCCGACCAATGTCGGAGCCAGGATTCGAACCTGGGCACCCGAAGGAATTCGGTGAGCTTAACCATTGCGCCATTCCATTGTTGAGTATTTTTAACTCCAATTATCATATATAGCCTGCCCTCCACAGTATACAACATAGTTATACCACACTTTAGGGTTTTAGGGGACAGTAGTAGTAGTACATATCAGGGTATTCACTATCACTCTTTCTTTTCCTTTCATTAACCCTAAAACCCTAATATATGGTACACTCAGTATAAAGTGCTGCTACTAGATATCGCTATATCACACTTTAGGGTTTTAGGGAACAGTAAAGAGTAGATAGTAGATAGTAGTGGTAGTGGTAGTGGTAGTATATATCAGAATATTCACTATCACTATCACTCTTTCTTTCTCTAACCCTAAAACCCTAAAGTATGGTATACTCAGTATAGAGTACTGGTACTAGGTAGTCATGCCATATATTAGGGTTTTAGGGAATAGTAATAAATAGTAGTATATACCAGTGAATTTACTACCATTATCTGGGTACTTTATTTTACTTTTGTTTTACCCTAAACCCCTAAAGTGTGGTTGACTACTAATAACTCAATAAGTATAAAGTACTGCTAGTGCTGGAGGACGGTGTAGTAAAGAAGAGTATATACTTCATGATCGTGATATATATTTACCAGTCTAGTAGCTCTGGGTACTACTAGTATACTCTAGGGTACTCTAATTACCATCAATCTTGCCCAAAAACTCACTCACAACCCCAGCAAATGCCTCGGGCTGCTCAACCATCGGCAAATGTCCTGCCTTCTCAATAATCTTCAACTCTGCACCTCCCTTCAGATCCGCCGCCATTTTCTGCATCGTCTGCGGCAACACTCCATCATTCGCTCCGGCAACAAACAATCCCGGTACTGTCGCACCACCCATGCGCTCCCGAATATCATAGGCGCAAAGTGCCTGCACACTGTGCGCGAAGCCCTTCAGACTATTGTTGCGAACCGCCTCCTTTACCGGCGCTAGCACCTCGGGCTGTGTCTCGTAGGACTCCGGGACGAACCAGCGTCGCGTGGTCACTTCGGCCAATTTCTCCCCGACGATAGGTTCCTGCTCGGCGTTGACCGATCCTTCTTCTTCGCAGATCGCGACACGGTCGCCCCAGGCTTTGCGGTTGGATTCGGGGGCGGATGAGTTTGTGTCGCAGGAGATGAAGGCGCCCACGCGCTCGGGGAAAAGGAGGGAGGTGTTGAGGACGGTGACACCGCCCAGACTGACGCCGATGAGGCGGGCGCCCTTGGGAGAGACGCGGAGGTGTTCGAGGAGGGTGTTGAGGTCGGAGGCAAGCACGTCGATGTTGACAGGTTGGGTGCCACTGGCGGAGTGACGGCCGCGAGTGAGATAGCGGACAACGCGGTATTTCTGGTTCTCCTGGCGAGAGAGGAAGGCGTCCACGAATCGATCCCAGATGTGCCAGTCAACGAGGATGGAGTTGCTCAGCACCACGACGGGTGCGTCCGGGTCGGTGCTGCCCTCCAGACGGTAGGGGATTTCGACGCCATCGGCGGTGGTTATGTAGGATTCGACGGCTGGGCGAGTGGTGGAGGGGAGAGTGCGAGTCTTACCGTCGTTGGAGGACCAGGGTCCGGCGCAGTCGGGGCTGGTGAGCGAGCTGAGCTCTCGCGGGGCAGGGCCGAAAGTGTAGTACCATTGGTAAACGCGGCGACGCTTCGAGGTCACGACATCCTGCTGGAGACGTTCGCGCCAAGGGGTGTTCATGGCCGCCTTGTGGGCATCACCACCCAGGCCGTTGACGGGCGCATACTCGTGCAGGGCGAGGGTCTCACGCGGGGCCTGGGCATCAATGGCAGCAGTCACGAAGACACGGCTACGGCGCCAACCGGGGACACGCGAGAGCATCTCCAGATGTTCCTCACGATACCAGCGGTCATGTTCAGCCTGCTTCTCGGGGTCTGGGTGGGTGGTTGTAGTGACGGCGATCATGACGCTGCCGCGGGTCTCGGCATCGGTGTCGGCTTGCGATTCCAGTGGGCGGTAATTGGGAATGCTGCGCTCATCCACGAGGTCATACAGCAACCGACCGACGTCAATCTGAGCCATGGTCTTTTTCTCACGCTCCGTCTTGATCAGATCCGTTCGCAGATCGAGGTAGGTCTTGCGGGTCAACTCGTCCATGTCGGTGATGTCGTAGAGGGCGACATACTCGGGCTTCTCGCCATCGGTGGCCCGGAATCGAAAGCCATTAGAAATGAAGGGAAGACGGAGACGCAGCGGACCATGCTCCGAGTTGTACCAATCGTGGAATTGAGCGTCAGGAAGCGAGCCCTTGGGCTGCATCGTGACGTAGAGGAGGCCAGAGGTAGGCATTGTGGGAGATGGGGAGATTGAATAGAGAATAGAGAACAGAGAACAGAGAACAGAGAACAGAGAACAGAAAGAATAGAAGTAAACAGGGAATAAATGATAATGAATACAAGATTACAAGAATAAAAAAGAACTTGAATATAGTAAATGCTTTGCAAATGTCTCCCCCACTGCCCCTCACTGCCGGAAGAAAGCAAATCGCAACCGAAGCCACTGCCGAGAGTCACTACGAGTATAAATTACAAGTATAAACTATGAGTTAGTGGTTACCACAGTATTTTGTACTAGTATATTCAATTATGTTCATTTTCTATCATTGGTCTATTCTCATTTTATCCATCTCATCCCATCTAATCATACCAGATCGCATTCATACCAAAGCCCTGCTCAGGAATGTCGACCCGTGCCACTCGAGCCAGCTTCTCATCACGCCAGCGATACATCTCTACAAATCCAAGCTGATCATCGCACAGGGCTACCCACTCATCACTGAAATCACACGGGCTGACCGCGTTGGAGTGGCCACCGCTGGTCGAAGTGGGGTTGATGAAGAGCTGACGCTCAATCTCACCAGAGGGACCCAGCTTGAACGCGGTGATGTAGCCAGTCACATCGAAATGGTTGGATCGAGTCGTCGCGAACAGGTACTCGCCACTCTGCGTTGTGAAAGTCACGTCGCCACGATACTTATTCCAGGGTGGCAGGCCTGGGGCAATCGTTAGTCTTTGGTAAACCTTAACCTTAACCGTCGATCTGGATCCCCGGAAAAGCGATTTCGAGGAGGAGGGGGAGGGGGAGGGGAGAGGGGGGTTAACTCACCGGATGGAAGTAGTGGGTAGGTAATGTGAGTAAAGACGGGCTTGTGAGTGCGCTCGTCAATCACGTAGACAGCCAGACGGTTGCCCGCCTCCATCAGCGCATACAGATACTTGCCTGTGTGGTGCATCTCCACCCAGCGTGGGTGGTCGCCTGGGTGAGGAGCCTCCTGGCAGTCGAGCAGAGTCAATTGACCGGTCTCGGCATCCTTCTTGTGCGTCCAGATTTTGTTGGCCGAGAGATCGGCGGAGTAAAGGTAGGTCTCCGTGGGGTCAAAGACCATGCCGTGGATGCCCGTCTTGGGGTCATATTCGTAGTTTTGCACATTTTGATCAAGCTGGCCGTCCTTTGTGACCGAGAAGACGTTACCGTAACCAGCGTGGTTGTAGAATGGATTGCCGTAGACGTTGTAGGGGGGGGTTGGTGGGCGGCCAGAACGAAGATGGCGCGGGTGTTGGTGTCGGCGTTAGCAGCGAGAGCTGAAAAAAAAAGATAAGTATGGATGGGCGAAAGGAGAGTAAAGGAGAGTCAATTGAATTTCTCCAATTGATCTCATGCAGCCTTTCAATAGGGGAGAAGCTTACGGTGACCGGCGACAGGGTGGGAAGCTTGGTGAACAATTTCAGTTGGGCTGTTGACGGCGAAACTATTCCACTTCTTCATGGCAGCACCATAGATGGCCTTCTTGTCGTGAGAAAAGGTCATCCATGAGATGGGTTCGGCCTCTGGAATATCTGTTTTCTTGACAAGATCTAAGGTGAGAGCTTCATCATCAAATTGGACGGTGTAGATGCGCCCGGGGGCGGTCCACGTCCCGACCATCAGGTGGTGCTTCATGGTGGTGATAGGAGATTGCGAAAAGGGTCGTGAGCTAGAGCTGGATTTGGAGCTGGAGATACAGCCCGGGATGTTCCTGGACAAGAAAGGGGAAGAACGTAGAATTCGAATCATACGATACGATATACGGATAGAATGGGATGCAGCTCTCTCAGCCGAGTCGAGGATACAGAATATAGGCGGCGGGGATAAGATTTTGGCGGGGCCGGGGGAGTCGGCAGCGAGGGCGGCAGCGATTATCCAGATGATATGGATGGAGTATGGCACTAACCTTTCCTAGAGGTTAGGAAACGGAATAATTGAGTTGATGTGACTGGTTCAACCAGAAGAGAAAACGCATTCCCGCCGGGAGTTGCGGAGTCGCCGATGCCGAGGAAGTCCTCCAACTCCGGATTCTCTGCCGATTAACCAAGTGACCACTGAGGGACCTCTGTCGAGTCGATGACACTGACGAGATCCTTATAAAAAGGTCTCCTCCACTGATCTTTTCAATTATTCATTCATCTCATTCATCTCATTCATCATTGCACTTGCACTTGCACTTGCACTTACTATCCTATATCCCATAACCCTATATCCCCATCTCTATACCCCACACCACCACCATGTCGACTAACTCCCGCTTCGACCCCAACTTCACCCCCTATGTGGTTAACGCCATGGGTCCCAACACTCCCGAGCGTGCTCGCGTGATCCTGGGTTCCCTCATTACTCACATTCACGACTTCGCTCGTGAGGTCGAGTTGACTCCCGCTGAGTGGATGATGGGTGTTGAGTTCATCAACTCCATTGGCAAGATCAGCACCCCCATTCGCAACGAGTGCCACCGTATCTGCGATGTGATCGGTCTCGAGTCACTGGTCGATGAGATCGCCAACAAGATCGTCACCGAGAAGGGCGAGTCCCCCACCTCCAACGTTATTCTGGGCCCCTTCTGGTCCCCCAACGCTCCCTTCCGCGCTCTCGGCGACTCCATCATTCAGGACCCCAAGCCCAACGGTCAGGTCACCTACATGCACGGTGTTCTCACCGATATGGAGACCGGTGCTCCCATCGTCGGCGCTGTTCTGGATATCTGGCAAGCTTCCGCCAACGGCCAGTACGATTTCCAGGACCCCACTCAGTCCGAGAACAACCTTCGCGGCAAGTTCCGTTCCAACGAGAAGGGCGAGTTCTACTGGTACTGCTACCACCCTACCCCTTACTCCCTGCCTACCGATGGCCCCGCCGGTGTCCTCCTCAATATCATGGACCGCTCCCCCATGCGTCCCGCCCACATCCACCTGATGGTCACCCATCCCGACTACGCCACTGTCATCAACCAGATCTACCCCTCCGATGACCCTCACCTGGACATCGACTCCGTCTTCGCTGTCAAGGATGACCTCGTTGTTGACTTCAATCCCAAGACCGATGACCCCAAGGCCACTCTGGATATGAACTACCCCATCACCATGGCCCTGAAGAAGCACCACCCCAACCCCAACTCGGCCCCTCCCGTCTCCTCCTTCGAGCGCTTCAACAAGGCCGGTTCCCAGCAGAAGCTGTAAGCGATAAGCTTTAAGCTTTAAGCTCGTGAGCTCGTGCACGATTAAGTGGGGTTGAAAAGCTGGCATTGCATTTTTGGACTTAGCGATTGATATACTTTTTGTATTTTCTTGCCAGTGTATTTTGACACAATATCAAGATGAGATGAATTACCATTACATGTTTACACTATACTTTGCACATCTTCGACCGTACCTGGGTAACAAAGATAATCGTAGCTCGCAACTCACCAAAGTATAAAAAAGAAAACATGGAAGATCCGAACGAACTATGCAGCTGCCCCTCGCTATACTCGATACTCTCTAGGCTTGAATATCTGGTCTCCACTCGCTAACCAGTTATATCGTCGTGATTGACGATCCGAGCCGCCATTGAGAACCAGGCTGCTGTGATGCATCTGTACCTGCACCTGGTCCAATCATTGGGGAGGCAGAGATGCTTATCTGGGGTACTGCATACATACTAGTATTTTCTACTGCATACTTTAAAGAGGGTAGGTACAATCTAGGCAGTGTGGGATTTACTCAAATACGATGTACAATAATTTCAAGTTAACTCGGTGAATAGTAAATGTCATGAATGCATTAAATAATAAAGGTCACGGTATCTGTACAGAGTGCTGTGTTTGTAGAATGCTGTATAATGCCTTGCCCCACCAATCCTGGCTTCACCTCCAACTTCAATTCCAACTCCAACTTCTACGAGTACTCTACTCTCACTCACCGGATCCCAAAAGGAAAGCTTTCCCCACGGGAACACAATGCAATGGCAATTCGCTTTTACCTTACCCCGTACAGACCAAAAGTTATCGGCTGTGGCGACTGCCGGAGAAAGGCTTCCCCACCCAGCGGCAAAGAGATTAACCGGCCGTTCCCCGCGCTTCGGCAGCGACGCGATCCGTTTTCGGTTGTGGCGATCGCCACGATGCCGGTGGCTTTGTTTTCGGCTGATCGTGGGGGAGGGATGCGAGTGATCGAGAGTCGCATACAAGAATCCAATCACTTGATGTATGCTCCGAGACGTCCGGCTCTACCTTTTTTAAAACTGAGACTTTTTCCAGCCAAGCAGCACGCCCGCACCATGCGTCTCCCCTACGCCCCCAACACTCCGCCCGCTGATGCCCCCGCCGACACGGCGGACATCTATGCCCGTATCGCGGCCCGAAGGAATCCGCGTCCCCTGATCCCTCTGGATTTGTCCCTGCTGCACAGCCCGCCCGTCGCGGATGGCTGGAACAGCTTCTTGGGTGCTATCCGCACGCGTACCGTTGTCGATCTGGGCATCCTCGAGCTTGCGGTCTGCCGTGTTGCCGTGCTGAATGATGCTGTATATGAGTGGAATGCTCATGCGCCCCTCGCATTGAAGGGTGGCATTAAGCCAGAAGAGCTACAAGTGGCTCGCACATTGCCTTGCACTGCGGATGGAAACCTGACCGAGCTCGGGAGCAGTGTGCTGTCTCCCAAGCAGCGCGCCGTCTTGCGCTATACCGACCAGATGACCAAAACCGTCAAGGTCCAGGATGAGGTCTTTGCGGAGCTGCAGACGGTCGGATTCGATGATCGTGAAATCGTCGAGCTTACCACTGGCATTGCGGGCTACAACTGTGTTAGTCGGTTCCTGGTTGCTCTCGATGTGGGTGAGAACAACGCCCGTGAGATGAAGAGTGTTGATGAGCTGGTTGCTGCTCTGCAGTAGAGGCAGAGCCAGATTTAAACCAAAGAAGGGGCGTTTGCCCTCTTATATGCTTTGCATCGAGGAGTGGGACTTGCGTGGAGAATCTCCAGTGGCTGGAGTTGGGGCAGAAAGTAAAGGGGGGACTACATCATCCCCACAAACCTCTTTTTGTATATAGTGGAGCCTCAGTGCTTCCATGGAATGAATTACGAAGTACGCATTGAATGGCGCTGGTAATCCTAGACTGCTAGTGTAGAAATTGGTCAATGGGTTTGCTAACTAGTTTAAAGTCTGGAGATGTTCCTGGAAAATTTAGTGTCGAGACTGTCAAACTCCGAATAAACTTAGAAAAGCGAGACGGTGCCTAGCTGGCCAATGTGGAAGTGCGAGGAAGGAAGCCAGAAAGCAACCCGATTTCCCGCCAGGCCCTGGGAGTGATCATTGGTGATCCTGATCGGTGCCCAATAAATATGTCCAGGGTCATAGCGTGGACATTCGCATATAGTGGGTGGCAGCATCGAATGCACCCTGCTAAATTGCATCTTTGTCCTCTTGAATGTTAATTGGAGAAAATCGCGAGAAAGCAACCCCAAAGTATCCGGGGTAGGCTTGCACATGCAGGACGCCAAGTTGAACCATCTATCTAGTCACAAAGGAAATTCGTCAGGGTCATGCAAGTGCCAATTTCCCGAAAGCCACAAGGAATACGGGGAATAATTTGACTAGATTGGAGACGCGGGGAAAAGAAGTCAATATCCATTCGACCGATGGAAACGAGGTGGCTTGTCTAGTCGGAGGGGCCTCCGCATGGCGTTGCTGCAGAATCCTGCAGTCTGCATGAGCGACACGCTATTCCATATATTATGAATAAATCTCGCTTCCCTGCAGCAACTATTTACAGTCGGCTGACTTCTCTGTCTGCAGGCGCTACCACTAGCGCTGACATGCAGGGGTAGCGGAAGTCAATTGGCAAGGTTTGCGGGGGGGCTTTAAATCACCGAGGATCAAAAAGGTTAAGCACGGGCACTTGAATGACAAGGTTGAGAATCTTAATTAATGAAGTCATCTGATGTTACCTTTAGCATACATTCGTCACCGTGCTCGAGCACTCTAACTACACTAACGAGTCGGTTGACGGTTGATGATTACGTCCCAGGAAAATTAAGAAGTTATGATAAATTGCAAAGTGTTCATCCAAAAGAAGGTCTTATATCGCATTATCCTAACTATCAGCTAAACAAAATTCACCGGGACATTCTGGTTTCCAACTTTCAAGTTCCATCTCTGCTGCAACTTCCCCTACAGGCACTGGGAGTAATAGTCGTTCTGCTTGGTGCAGGTGTATGGACTAGCGCAGGTGGTCGCACCAGTCCAGCCAATTCCACCGCATTGGGCATAGTGAGCCGCTCCAGTAGTGCTCGAGCCGGTTGAGGAAGTGGTCGAGGATGTTTTGGTGGTGGTGGACGTTTTGCTAGTGGTGGATGTTTTACTAGTAGTGGACGTTTTGCTGGTTGTGGTGCTCGAGCTTGATCCACCGGAGGAACCACCAGAGTTATAAGTTGAGCCAATTGGGCCGACCTTTATGTTCGAGTAGACAACGTATGAGTTAGCATCCGCAGTCTCCACAGTTTCGGGATCACCCGAAGAGATATCGCAGGAACCGCGCGCAGCTCCGGGCGTAGTGGAAGAGGCTGTGGTCGGATAAGTGCTGTCGAGCCAGAGCATGTTGGAGTTGTGGTCATCCCACAGACTCATCACGAGGACCATTCCTTCGGCCATGGCAGCGCCCATACCCGCAAGGCCACCATGCTCAGTAAAGCTATCGGTATCTCCAAAGGCCTTCTTCTGAGCCGTGCAGAAATCTGTGGTGATGGAGTTGCCGGTCACACCGCTGACCTTGGAGTCGGACTGGCCGATTACCTCCCCATCTTGCACGTAAAAGCGTTTAATCTCGCTCAGAGTGCCCGAAGAAGTGCCATCGTTGGTGATGAACTGCGTCACAACGGTGAAGGGAGAACTGGTGTCCACAGTCTTGCCCGGTCCATAGAACGAGGTGTTGCCCATACGGTATGGGTTGAAATCACATCCATCAGGATCGCAAGTGCCTGCATATCGGTCAGAGCTGTAGGTACCACCACAGGCATCTGTGGTACATTCAGTCTGAGTAGGGGTGTCGCAAGGGTGGGGAGTGACAGCATTGGAAATTGAATTGGCTTCCCAGACATCCATCTCAGCACAGCAGGAGCCGTGGTTTCCAAGGCCAGAATTCACGTCATTGGCGGATGGTTCCCAGCCCTCAACATTGGCTTCGCCAGAGATGAACTTGAGATCGCGCGGGCACTGCGAATCACAATAACCAGTGCCGTATTTTGCGCCAGCCTTGTTCGTAGGGAATCGAGAAGTGCCACCATCGGCATCCATTGAGACGAAGTAGAGTGCTCCATTGAGACCACAGGGGAGATTGGAGACATCAACATCGAAGGTGAACTCCTGGTTCAGCAGTTGGAACATTTCGTATGTACTATCGTCCTCCAAGAGATAAAGACGAGAGCCGATATTCTTCTGCGATGCGGTGGTGACAAAGTTGAGACGCAGCTCATCACCGCTGGTAGTCACGCCGTAGGTGCTTGAATATGAAGCACCATCGACCGCACAGGAAGATGCACAGGTCACATCGTCGGGACAGAGGGTTGCATCCCAAGTATTGCCTGTATAGCAATTGGTGGATGAGCTAGTGCTGTGAACCCAGCGCCAGTTGGCATCGATGACAACGCTGCCGGTAGTCGATGTGCAACTGCCACTGCTGGTGCACTTGGACCAGGTCAGAGAAGGATGGGTTTCAGTCTGATAAGTGCCAACCTGTTGTGCCTGAGCGGCAACGAGAAAGGCAGACAAGACCAAGGCATTCTTGTAAATGCGGTAAGAGATAGCGGCAGCCATTTTTAATAGATATGATGGAAACTGGAACTGAACTCCAAGTCAATTGTGTCGTTGCAAGAGTTCGTTGGAGTTGGTCACAGATCCCTTTTATATCTACTCGCAATGATGCAGCGAGTAAATAGATGGAATATAGAGCCATTCATCCCGGGAGCCCGGTCCGTTGCACCGCAGTCTCCAAAGTATGATTCTAGGAACTCGATTTCCAAAAGGAGAAGCCAGACCAGTACTCCGCGGACACGGAGACAGCTCCCATACCTTCTAGGCTGCTTGTAGGCTCAATGAGATCATGTTTGTGCTAGGAACTAATCTCCCCACCATGCTTTGAAGAGCCGTGGCGAGATAGCGTCCGTGTCTAGATGAGAGTGAGACAATTTAATAGAGCTCTAGCGTCATGGCGATCATGCTGTTTTGGTCAAAATTGGGCCTAAAATGGATTGAAGCTGCCCTGGGGGTCCCGGATCAGACGGGCTCGCTTGATTCGTGACGGGACTGTTTCTGCACGGATTCTTCAGGGTTCCGTCGGTAATTGTACCCCAGCGGATTTAATCTGCCGGGAGGGGCTTTCCTAGTTTAGCCGCCGCCACTTTGGTGATGCGCTCAGACTCATTGGCAGCCCATTGGGTGTCGTCCGATGGTAGCCTAGGCATGCTGTGAATAACGGACAGCCTACGATCGACTGAGCTGCGGGACTGACCAAAACCAGTCTCCACAGTGGTTTATTGCTAGTGGGACTCTCGGGGTTGCCTAGTGATATTATTGATGATGTCGTATACTAGAGTTACTACTACTATGCAAAGCCTTGAAAAGCACTACGATTTCAAGCTTTCAAGTTCATAATGCATGAACTTAGGCTGAATTATACAAAGCCCTTCTATCAATTTGATAGAAGTTTCGGGGAAGCTTTAGGCTCCGCAATATATATTTAACAAAAAGATATCACCAAATAGGTTAGAATTTCCGGCATCTTATTGGTACTAGTATGCGGGTGGAAACACGCAGAAGCCCGAGTCTTCTTGTTGAGTGATTATTGCCGCGGTTCAAGTTGCATGGCAAAATATTGATCATGGAACTTGAAGTCAAGGGATGAATGAAAAGGGTCGAGGTGGAGTGAGGGTTGAGATGAAAGGTCTCGATAAAACAAAGTCTCTTTGATCTGGGGTATACCTACGCATTGTCAATTTTAATCAACCGGCCATGTGGAGGATGGGGTTGGTTACTTTGTGCACGCTTCCAAATTATTGGGATATGTTAAACTATTCAAAAATCCAACTAAGCTGCACTATCTCCGGACAAAGAGAACAAAAAGAACCACCTCCAATGCCATCGGGTATGAGAACCAAAATAGACTACCTCGATAATAACACAGGATTGGTTGAACAAAAAAGCCCGAAATAATCGATACAAAGAACAACAGCTTTGTTTATTAAGCTATCTTAGGCATTCTTTGTGAACTTGAAAAAGATTGAATATGGTGAGAATGAGACATTGTTTTCGAATAATAGACAAAGACTCCAGATAATGCGGGAGTATGAATGCCATGGAGGCTCGAGGAGCAATGTAAGAATAGTTTATTAGATCGTCGAGTATATTAAGATCAACTTATCCCCGAGATTCAAGAATTAGTTATCAACAATAAGGTAGTCAGCTCCAGCGCCTACTCCGTTCAAACATTATTCAGTGATATTTTCATCATTGTCGCATTCATCATCAGCATCATTAGTCCCATCTTACAGTATGGAATCCCACTTTACCACAGATCAGGGCTATACTGACCCGGATAGACGCCACATGAGCCAGGAGACTGATCCTGAGATCTGTGAGATTTCGCATGAAGAGTGGGCCAGCCAAGAGTTTGATCCAGCGATGTCTGCAATATCGTATGAGGATTGGGTAGAATATGCGCAGATAATCAAGCAGGAAGGGGCCGGCCCAGTGGATCACCAGGTAGACGAGGATGATGCCATTGAGATGCTTTTGCACAGGATGTGCCAAGAGCAGGAGTCTCCAGGGCCGGGACCGAGTTATGATGACCTCGGAGATTTCTCAGTAGGTGAGTATCATTATCCAGAAATGGTGGATTTTACAGTAGGTGAAAATTATTATCTCGAGATGCTCGCAATCTCACAGGAAGATGAAGAGTGGGCCGAGCAGCGCCGACGACTGATGGAATATGAGGCGTGGGACTTGCTATTGCAGAGTCAGACCGAGGTGGCACCAGAAATGCTCATGGAATCAGCATTCCCATTGCCTCAGTCCGAAGTGGTACTTCCGTCGGTGCATCGGATACTCTCGGGCTCGCGGGGGGGCTCCAGTTTGGGGACCATCGCCTTGACTTTGGTCTTGATAACTGACCATTTCTAGCATTGGTAATACAGGAATATCAGCGAGAGACAGAAGAAGAAACGTTGGAATAAAGTGAAGGAATATTTGAAAAAAAAAAGAAGTTACCTACCACCGTACTAGTAGAACCTGTAAGAATTGAAATGTAGTCAGGGGGTGTTATGCAGATGCAGATAGATGTATACGCAATGTATACTTTGGGGCTTTGTTGTATCCAACAATGCAAGCAATCAATGCAAGCAATCAATGCAAGCAATCAATGCAAGCAATCAATGCAAGCAATCAATGCAAATGGGAGGCAAAACAAAGTGTTCAGACGTTTCAAATGTTTCATATAAATCACCAAGCCCCTAGAAGTATAAAGAAGATGATGAAGCAGGGTAATAGTAATAGGCAAAATAGGGTTAATTGAGGTTAAGTTGACTAGTTCAGGCAGTGGGGCCGATCGAATGAGTCAGCGCCGCGATCGGCGGGGGAATTTTGGAATTTGGAGATTTCGACTTCACTTGATCTTCCATTCCTCCCACTTTGCACTTTGCACTTTGCATTGCCTAGCTATATCAAACGGATTCAACACCGTCAAGATGGCCTCCAGCTTTATTCTCACCCTTTCTGGCCCCGATCGCCCCGGCATTGTCCACGCCGTGACCGCGTTCCTGGTCCAGCACAACCTCAACATTGTGGACTCCTCGCAGTTTGGCGACCCCACCTCCCAGCGCTTCTTCATGCGTGTGCGGTTTGCGCCCGCTGGCGATGAGGAACCTACCCTCGATAGCCTGAACAATGCCTTCCAGGCTACCGCGAAGAGCTTCTCTATGGACTTCGAGATCCACCCCACCACCCAGAAGCCCCGCGTGCTGATCATGGTCTCCAAGATCGGCCACTGCCTCAATGACCTCCTCTTCCGCCAGTCGACCGGCCAGCTGAGCATTGAAATCCCCTTGATCGTCTCCAACCATCCGGAATTCGCCGCGCTCGCCGCCACCTACAAAATCCCTTTCTTCCACCTCCCCGTCACGGCCGATACCAAGTCTCAGCAGGAGTCGCAGGTGCTGGAGCTTGTCAGCCAGCATAACATTGATCTGATTGTTCTGGCCCGCTATATGCAGGTTCTTTCCCCGACCCTGTGTGAGGCCATGTCCGGCCGTATCATCAACATCCACCACAGTTTCTTGCCTTCCTTCAAGGGTGCCAAGCCCTACCACCAGGCCTATGACCGCGGCGTGAAGATCATTGGTGCCACTGCTCACTTTGTCACCAGCGACCTCGACGAGGGTCCCATCATTGAGCAGAACGTTGTTCGCGTTGGCCACGGAATGAGCCCCAAGGAGCTGACCCACGCTGGCAGCAATGTCGAGAGCAACGTACTCGCCACCGCTGTCAAGTACTTCGCCGAGCGCCGTGTACTTCTGAACGGACACAAGACTGTTGTTTTCGACTAAATGTCGAGCAATCTATATATTAAGAATACATATTTTCGAATTTCTTGTGTGCCGGCAGAGTAATGTACAGCAATTTGTGATAGCCCATTGGCGATGCCAGCAGAGAAGAACAAGAAAAGAAAAGCAAAACCCACCCTCTAGAATTGAGTCTCAAATTATAAATACCCAATGGCCTGACCATGAACTGAAGCTTGATAGTTTGATTACTAGTATTAATAGACTCCATTGGCTGTGACTTCTTGACGGTGGATTGACTCCGAAAATTGCCGGAAACGGCGACAGGCGGGAGATCCGTGCGAAGCTTGTTTCGATGATGTCAAAGTCTTGCAGTGACAAGTTAATTTGTACTTGTAAGACTTTAGATTAGTTTGACTAACATATAGCTCCTTAGGTTCTCGCTGAAAAAAAAAGCATCAAGCTGCGGTTACCCCGGTCAATGCTGGGTCTTGACGTTCTCTTCTCTTGGTGGCCGATGACCTGATTATATCGCAATTATCATAAAACTAGATGGTAAGCTAATTCGGGAGGCTGAGAACTATTTGCCAAAAGGGAAAAATTACTACTAATAAAGCTCCCCTTCCCCCACAGCCCCAGCAATGAATAGCCGAGGTCATCCACCGGGAAAGCCGGGGTGGAGAGAGTGGGAGGTGGAGAGGCCGTGGACCCCAGTTTGCCCTACGTAACCCCTCGTTCTCCCTAGCAAAGCAGGATAGAAGACTGAAAACTTACATCTCCTGTCACTTATCATGGAGACTATTGCACCCCCTCCCAAGCTAAGCCATTTGTTTACCCTCCGTTGTGCGGTTGACCCGCCCATGGAGATTGGCAAAGGTCCTTATGGGCGACGTCGATGCGTACCGATTGTGTCAGGCTCAGTAAGCGGGCCACATTTCAAGGGTGAAGTTGTGCCTGGTGGGGCTGATTTCATGTATGTGCGACTTGTTCACTAGTATGTGAACTCAATCGCTCATCAATATCTATACGAGTCTAGGCTGGTGGAGGATAATCAGACAACACACGTCAACACCAGTTATGTGATCAAGAGCGACGACGGCGCATTCCTTTATATTCGGTAAGTCTATTCTAGTTCTCATAGGAATGGGTTTAAGGGAGATGACGAGCTAGCTCCCATGGAAGATACTGATATCAAGCAGGACCGAGGGCACCCGCGCAGGGGCGCCCGAAGTGCTGCAGGCGCTCATGGAAGGTGGCCCCGTTGATCCCAGCAAGTATTGGTTTCACCTCCACGTGAAGATCGAGACGGGTGATGAGAAATATAAGTGGATGAACGATCGGGTCATCATTGGAAGGGCAACTCGAGCAAAAGGTGAAGTGGCATATGATGCATACTTCTTGGAGAACTCTCCGTGAAGAGGAAGACGACGGGGAGGCATCAACACATTAGTGGTCTATAGACATTATTAGATATACAAAAATCCACCCTCACATCATTGCACATGCAGGCGCTGCAACAGCAGCTCCGCCAGATTGGCATAACATCCTTGGCCAACGTCCTGCTGAGCTAGAATTTGATCTGCAATCTCATTGGCCCACATGCATTCACAGTGAAACCCGCGTAGTTCGAAGAGGCGCTGCCTTAACCACGCCCGTTGGTTCGGGTCTTCGGTTTCAATGATGGCCATCATCAGAGGCCAGTGCAGTCGTCGCAAGGGTCGACTATCGGGGGCGAACTGCTTGTGGAGAATGTCGATAATTCCGTGGGTGGCTTGGCGGTGCATGGCCGTGGGTGGCTTGTCGACAGACAGCAGCCGGCGGTGGAAGAGAATCTGAGCGTAAAATGTACAGACGGCCATGTATATTGTGTTGAGTGTACGTCGGGCTGAGACTGCACCGGCGAATTTCGCAGTGATAAAGAGGTCGGAGAATTTCTAATCAATGATATACGTCAGTTGGTGTTGGCTAGTGGAGATGCGATATTTGGAATGAATGAAGCTCACATCACGCGTGGCAAGGATGTCTTGCAAGAGTGTATCGGCGGATTCCTTGGCAGCCTCGGGATCCACGAGCATCTTCCACGTCCGGTGGCGCATAGTAAAGCCTGCATGGAGTAGCTCTAAGGCACGATAATTTTCGATATCATCGAGGACCTCCTGGTCAGGGTATTGTTCACCCCAGAAGCATCGCCCCCAGAGGCGAGCACAGCGATGGAGGTGATCCGGCTGAAGGGCTGGGTTTTTTGATTCCAGAACATAATCATTTAGGGATTCGGTTAAGCCCATGGGGCGAGAGCTCGCATCAATATATCTAGGATTGAATTAGTGATCGGTACTATCAGAGGCGGACGGAGGCTGCGCACAAGATCCACAGAAGGAATTGCTCTGGGATGAAGGAAAGCTTGGAGACTGCATTGTTATCTGGAGTTGGAGATCCGCGCTCCAAGGAGAAAAAGACGTCATTGATGTCCTTGAGACGAAAAAGTTGCGGATGGGATTCCAGCAGGGAACGCACCCCGTGGAGATGTAACTGCAGATGCCGCACCGAGTGGCCAAACTGCCATTCGTATGTGACCATGAGAAACATGGTTGCGAAAATGATTTCCAGCTCTTCCACGGAAACGTTCCGCCGCGGGGTCTCGAGAAGTTGCCGGAACTCCTTGACAGCGAGGCTGTAGTGGTAACGTCCGTGATCTTCCGCGGTGGGACGACCGGGAGATCTGACCACCAATCCATCACGATGCATGTCACTTGCGGAAAGGGCCAGGATCATGCGCATGATGACTTTGTTTGTAGCGGCGGGACCTTCGTAAAGGTAGCAGAAGCTGCTCCAATTCCACCCTTTCATATAATAGTAGACGATGGACGAGGAAGGGAAGTATTGAAAGTATTTATGATCGTGTTCCGTGAGGGTTAAGGAATTGGCGCAGGCGATTTTGTTGGTGTTTAGCGGTGGGTAGAGGGGAGTCGGGATTCGCGCCTGGGCGGCGGCAGGTGGGAAGAAGGCTGGTAAATGGGGGGCGACATCCAGCGTCACCGGATCCCCAGGCCAGGAGACTGGCGAGAGGCCATTGGGCAAGGAATTTGGGCGGAGATCAAGATCAAGATCAAGATCGAGGTCGAGGTCCAGGTCCAGGTCCGTAAGATCACCGGCCTCCGAGGTTGGCCAAGGAGCTTCTAATGAAATCTCGTCGGTGGTCGGAGCGGGTTGAAGATGGCGGATTTGGGCACTGCGACCGCGTTTGACGGGGACCCCCCCATTCGCAACTGAGTCGCAAGTTGAGGCAGCGCTTGCAAATGGGTTGCTCTTCGCCACATTTTACCTTCCGTCGGCGACAGGTACTGCAGCCTATGAAGAAATTGTTAGAATTGATAGATCAGATCAGATCAAATCGGAGGTGGAGGGGGAGGGGGAGATCGAGTCAAAATCGGGACTAAAGCCGCATGAGGGATGCAGATGCGAGAACGAACCATTCTTTGAGCGCGGCGCGTTGCGACCGGACATGAATATGCAATCCCCCGCCACGTCGAAAAGGCAAGAGCCGGCCGCATGAATGGTAGGGGGAGGGGGGAGTGGGAGAGGAGGAGGAGGCCGGGGGGGGGGGGTGTCGAGATATAGAGTATTGAATGTGAGTTGGAGTAGATGTGGAGAAGAGAAGTGAGGTCAGTTCTGGGTTTGGCAGTCACAGGCAGTCGCAGTCACGGGAGTCACTCAGTGAATCTGCAGTGGTTGAATCATCGAAGGAAGGTGCGCGGGTGTGGCGAGTGGCCTCAGGCAGGACGGCAGTTGCGACTGACGTGCGGAGAAGATCAAATGCCGAAGTATAGCCGAAGTATACAGCATAGCATAGTATAACATAGCATAACATAGAACATTATAGCACTATAGTATAGAATATAATATAGAGTAGGGTAGGGCATAGTACAGATAAGTATTTTATGATAAGTATTTCATATTGCATTCCCATTCTACCCCTCGATCTCCTCCCTCCACTGCTGATGCGCCCTCGCAAACAATCCATCATCACTAAGCATCTCCCACCCGATTAACGCCAGCGACTTGCCCACCACAATAGCCTCCGGATGTGCCTCGTCAGTCCCAGCAGAGGCTGCAAAGGACGGATGATGAGGGAATGTATTTTCCGGTGTCGGAATTCCAAACATCGTATGCAATGTGGGCGTCACATAGCTAACATTGCCTATTACAAAATCACAAAATCACCCCAGTTAGCATACGAGTAGTAAGTATTCGGAATACCCAGCTATCAATTGATCCATAACAGAACATACCAATATCAGAAGATGCGGTGAGCACCTTATCATGCCGTTTCAGCACCTTGCGACCGTACTGATCCATGTGCGCCTGATATCGTTCGCACAGAGTATCGTTCAATCGCACATCGGTATAGAGTTCGTCCCTGCATGCCGCTCTTCCGTTAGTCATCGCCTCTATATTGCATCGATATTATCTCGATATCACTTACTCTTTAATCCGAACTTCACAACCTGTAGCCAAAGCCCCCGCTTGAATACAATTGCGCACTTTCGACACCAAACTGTTCAGTCCCTTGAGTGACGGACTTCGAACTTGCCAGATCGCTTCGGTGTGTTCGGGGATCACATTCGCCACCGTGGGAACATCGGTGAAGGCACAGTGAATACGTTGTTCGGGAAGAATCTGCTGGCGTAATACCGACACATTGTTATATGCAGAGACCAGGGCATCGAGGGCATTGATGCCATCCCACGGGTTACCTCCGGCGTGAGCGCTCTTGCCGGTGAACTCGCAGGTGATCTTTTTACGTGCATTCATCAGTGTTCCCGCGATTCCCTCGGCATCTCCTTGATCTGCAAATAGCTTTTTTGGTCCGGAGTGACTGTATATCTTCTACGTCAGAGATGCAAGCTCAGAACTGGGGTAGGTGCAACACCTACGCCATGAGGGAAATATCCACGCCCTTGTAGGCCCCGGCTTCGATCAGGTCAGCCTTGCCTCCGCCATTTTCTTCGGCAGGAGTTCCAAGTAATTGTGTCCGGCCAGGAATGCCATACTTTTTCAACACAAAGGAGAGGGCAAGAAAGGCAGCGATACTGCTAGTGGCGATGAGATTGTGACCGCAGGCGTGACCGATGTCAGGGAGAGCATCGTATTCCGCATTGAAATTGATCAATCGTCCACCCGAACCACTCAGAGCTTCAAAGGAAGTATCGAGACCATAGGCATGACGGGTCACTGAAAATCCCTGCTTCTCGAGGAAATCGCAGATTGTATCATGCGCGCGATGTTCGTTGAATGCTAGTTCAGGGTTCGACCAGATCTAAGGAGCGATCACCAGTCAGATATTGTGTACCCTTAAACCTGGGCTGGTATGCAGTTTCCTTAAAGACTAAGCCAGTCCGTAATGGGGGAAAATCTCCACTTACCTCATGATTGACCTTGCGCAGAGAATTATGCAGTTCCTCGAGGGCTAGGTCTACGGACGCCCGAACGTCATCAATACCTAGAGCCGAGATAGTCATGTTGGGATATTATGATAAATGCACAGAGATAGTGAAGGAGATGGAGAATAGGCGTGGATATATGAAAAATGACAAAAAAAAAGGGAATGAATATGCATGTAATAGTTACAGGAGAGGGGCAGTGAAGAAACCCCTCCGTGGGGTCACATCCGAGCCTTCGTCCAAGCGTGAGACAAACAGATCCCCACTGTTTGCCGATACCCAAGTTATCGCTGATAATGAATCATATCTGTGTTTTGATAGCAAGGAGCGGAATAAGATCCTCGACTTTCCGGCTTTGGCGAGCTGATCAGTCATCCATAAGAGGTCCAGCCGCCGGTCGGCAACGTGGTGGATCTTCCCCGCGGAGTAAATCTGTGGGGTAAAGACTAAATATGTACAGCGAACCCCTGGTGACGACGGAGTTGCTAATCACGCCAAGTAAACATCAAATATCATCCATGCGAATGGCGATGTAAGGATAGGCAAGTGGGTTGCCGACCAGAGGAGACCGGGACTGATTGCCGACGTCGTTCGCGTATTATTGGTGGAACAGCCGAGAAGAAGTCCTAATCTCGGGTCCCCAGGTCCAGCCGATATCGAGTCTGGGGCAAAAAGGTGATCATAAGCATACTGACACAGAAAGGATGCTGTGGACGGCACTTGTTAGCACCTAGAGTCGCTGACGATTGCCGATTTTCCTGCCCGTCTAGAGTGGTCTAATTATCTGGTGGCGCTCATCATTATCATATCGAAACTGACCTTGAACGATACAGAAAGCTGCCCGGATTCGCCAAGCGACTGCGGCGGCCCAGGCACGATAATCAAAGCTGTCTCTGATATTCGTCAGGTCCTATCGCCACCAAGCCATGAGGGGTTTGGCGTGCGAGTAGATCACCAATCCTTCTGTAAGTTTATAACCCTGGCCTGATCACACAATGGAAGAATTTGAATCACTCTATATATACGCGAATTAATCTCTTTTGCGGGGCAATCAGTGATCTGCCTGCTCCCATTCCCAATACTATTCTTCCTCTGTGGCATCCACCCCTGAACATTTGTTGACCTACCATCCGGTTTCATCCATTAAAAATGGAGAAAAAGGACATGCCGCCAGATCAAGACACACCGGGTCTTGACATGGTGAAGATGGGCTCTACCCCTGCCGCTCGTGATGTCGACTTTGGCCAAGTGCTAGAGACCACATCCACACCAGAGCTTGAGAGAAAGGTCCTGTGGAAATTAGATCTATAGTGAGTCAACATGATCATTCAAAAATAATCTCTCTAACATAGTCCTTCCAGCTTGATTCCGTTAATGGGATTCTGTTACATGCTACAATACATGGACAAGTTGGCTTTAAGTCAAGCGACATTATTTAACCTGGCAGAAGACTTGGTACTCAACCTTCCTTTGTTCTGATGTTTTGCTGTTTGGCATGAGACTAACATTACCTGTTTGAGTCATAGAACCTCCAAGGTACTGAATACAACTGGTCCTCCGCCATCTTCTACTTTGGCTACTTTGCCTGGAGCTGGCCGAGTAGTTACCTCGTCGTTCGTCTGCCTTTAGGAAAATATTTGGGGATGGCCGTTTTTGTATGGGGGGGGTGTCTTGATGTGCCACGCTGCATGCACCAATGCTGCCGGGCTTATGGCCGCGCGTTTCTTCCTTGGTGTTGGAGAGGCATCCATTGCCCCTGGATTTGCCTTGATTACTGGCATGTTCTACAAGCGAGAAGAGCAACCTGCCCGACAAGCTGCTTGGTTCATTGGAAACTCAATCGCCACAGTAATCGGAGGTCTCGTCGCTTATGGTATTGGATTGATCCATAACAACACAGTCAATAACTGGCAGCTACTCTTCCTGATTCTCGGTGCGATTACTTCCGGATATGGGTTTATCCTCATTGCGTTCCTCCCTGATTCGCCTGCCAAAAGCATTTTCCTCGACAAGACCGAGAAAGCGGTTGCGATACAGCGTACCCTTAGCAACAAGACTGGCGTCCTAGACACAGGAAAGTTCAGATGGGGCCAAGTATGGATGGCCGTCAAGGACCCTCAGACATGGCTCCTGGTGTTGTATACGCTCTGCGTAAACTTCTGCAATGGGGGCATAACCAGCTTCTCCTCCATCATCATAAATGGATTCGGATTCTCAAAACTTCAGTCCCTTCTGATCCAGATGCCAATCGGCGCAGCACAGCTAGTCTTTCTCGTTTTGACATCTGGATTCGCCACACTGGTTCGCCAGACCCGTATCTTCATGATGATTCTCAACACAACTGTTTCTATGATCGGCATGATTCTCATCTGGAAATTGGGTGCAGACAACCAGGCAGGAAAGATGACAGGGCTTTGCTTGGGTGCCGTTTTTGCCGCAAATATTCCTCTGTCACTTAGCCTCATCAGTTCGAATGTGGCCGGATTTACCAAAAAGAGCACCGTCAGCGCCTTGATGTTCGCAGCCTACTGTATTGGCAACATAGTCGGTCCCCAATTCTTCCTCCCCAAAGAAAAGCCAGTTTACGCGGTAAGTTGTCACCTTTATAAATTTTGCTCTCAGTCGCGGCTAATCGATAATAGACCGGAATTAAAGCCGCCATGTCTGGCCTCATCTTCGGAATATTCTTTCTTATTTGTTTGTACGTATACTATGTATACGAGAACAATCGACGAGACAGAGTCTACGGCTCGACGGCAGAATTGACTGAAAGAGAGGAATTACAGGACGAATTCTCCAACAAGACAGATCATGAGATAGAAAGTTTCAGATATGTACTTTGATTAACCAGATGGAGACTTAAATAGTACTTCCGCTGTGTATATATGATAATGAAGAGACCCCAACTATGTTTGCTTTGCCTTTCCTTTCTTGTATCGCGTACCATGGCAGACAAGTAGGTACTTGGCAAAAAAGTCTTCCGCGAAATCATCAAATGGCTCGTATGCGGCACCTAGCTGGTAGGCTGCCGCAATTCCTGAAATACAGGCAATTTCATGCATATTCTATAATATATTGTTAGCGTAGTACAGGAAGCGCATTGCGATTTTGCAGTACTCACCACCATTGTCCAGCTACCAGCATACAAAGTCCGATTCTGCCCGTTGATAAACATCATACCTGGCACAACTCGTAGATAATGCTGCCAGCGGTGACCAAACTGATGCCACCATTTGCGTGCAATAACCTTGGATGGTTCAATCTCATTCCACGTCCACAGATCCTTTTGTTGATCGTTGAGATAAATGGTTTGAAAGATATGCTTTTCCAGGGGTGATGGTGGGAGACCTTCTCCCAATCGTTCACGAAACTGGTGCTGGTAATTCGTACAGTCAAAGCCCATCTCAATCTTATCGGGATCCGACACAAATGAGTGAGTAAAATACATCGGTCGGAAACCCAGCCACCCGTCCTTTTGGCAAACGGGCTGTTGCTCGGCAAATGAAATTTGATCCTCTCGCTTCTTGGTCGAGGGCTGTGCACACAGGGCCGGATCATACTGAGCTTCAAAGATAGATTGAAAGTAGTTCGCGTCGGAATGAGTGATGGTGATATCGTTGAAAAATTTCACCCCTTCTAGAACGTACTTTTCGCGCCAGGTCGCGTGGCGATCCAAGAGCTTCTTTGCTTCGTCGGCTGGGCAGCAGAATACCAATTCATCGAATGTTTCGGTCGGGTTATCCCCTTGCGAGGAGATATAAGTATTTTCAGACTTTGAATGAATCACAACACCTTTCTTGCCCCTTTCCAATATTGCGACTGAGGTATTCATGCGGATGTCAACCCCTTTAGAGCGCAGGTCTGCCGCCCAATCGCCATAAAAGTTGCTCAGGTTTGGAAATGTATACATCAGTGGAAGATTGGGAAGAAGAGTATCAGAGTCGTAATCCCATAGTCTCATCTGCGGGTCATCGAAGAGACGCTCGAGTAGCACACTCGACACATTGGGTGTCTGGTTCCCCGTGCCGAGAAATAATGCCAGTAAAGGTAGGACCATTTTGTTGCTGAAGTCATTACTAAAGCGAAATATCTTGAGAATTGCCTTGACTGGCATGATACCAAGCAGGGGCATCAAGTATTTGATGAATTTCAGGACGCGGCCCAGCTTCTTGATCTCCCGCGAGTGATGGTCGACCAAGGCGCTCGGGAACACGTTGGTCCAAAAGTTGTTGCGTCCCTTACCAAAGGATACCTGCAGTTTAACCGGCTGCGGTTCGTAGCCATAGCTTCGAAAAAATCGAAATGTATGTCGAAAAATCGCCGAGCCACCCTGAACACCGTCGTTCAGCCAGCTAGCACCATGTTGGGACTCATCCAGAGCAATCGAAGTGGCTTGACCACCCGTATGAGAATCAGTGTCAATGATCGTCACATCAAAAATCTCTGGGTGGTTGGCCAAAGTAGACGCGCAGGACTAGATGTATGTTGTTAGCATCGACTGGAGATTTAATGTGGTCGAGGGTAGTCACCATCCCGGCAGCACCAGCTCCAATAATCAGCACTTTCTTCTTGCCTGTCATAATTAATAAAGCCGACTGTTGGGATTATATTATAAATTGAGAGATATCGTCAGACGTAAATTGAGTCTTTCTGAGAAATATTTTCGGTATTTAGCAGCAAGGGAAAAAAAAGCAGGGCGACGCGGTGGTGATGTCAGGCCGGCGCATTCCTGACGATGCGCCAATCAACGAGTGGAACCGGGTTAGGGCTGGTTTGGCCAGGTGAAGATGACCATGGGGAGATATAAAGGCTGGGGGCAAATGGAAATAGTAGAATAAAGTGGCTGCAATACCAACGGTGTAGAATCTTGAAATTGGAAAAAAAAGAACCGATAGTGAAGGTTCGTGGGTAAAGAGAATGATCATGATCGTGCCGATCGATCGTACGGCATACCACAGTACGGCGCGCCTTGATCCGAGTAGGAACTTTAGAAGTCTGGCCAGAGGTGCTGCCAAAAAGAATGAGCAGAATCTCCCAAAAGCAAAATCAAAGAAACGTATACGGGCGCATGCCAGGTGAGATTCAGGGGTTGAGGGTAAAATCACAGGCAGAACATGATAGGCATGATATGTACAATGATATGTTAAAAGATATGTACAATGATATCATGATGCACGCCGAGCAATTGTAATTCAACTTGAACTCCAATGTTATTCCATGCACTTACTCACCAGGTGGCCAAAGATAAGGGGAACAAGTAACGACAACTATTTCTTCTCAGTCTCTTTCCCCCTTCCTGTCGTCTCGTTCGGCAAGGGCTTGCGAGCCCAGACTCGTCGTCTGTTGAGGTCAGTCATAGCTCGTAAAAATTGACATACTTCATTCGATGGTGTGATCACTTACGCGCGCTGGTAGGCATGATAGCGGGGCGTCCTGAGCTCTTTGCGCATATTGGCCACATAGACCTGAACTTCCTCCTTAGTCCACGGGACGGGCGATCCAAACTTAGTGAGGAGCCACATGCACCAGCCCTCCATACCGGAAAGCCAATGCTGAGCGTTCAAGGTGCCAGCCTCCTTGTATTTCTTGTCGCGTGGCCAGGGCCCAATAGGCCATTTGTAATCCTTTTCCTGAATATCGACGAAACCAGCCTTGCGAATTGAGTCGGTCATTTTGTCAATGGCATCGAGATCGCGACCACTCTTCTTCGCTGCCTCCCTGGTGTTGATACCCCATGAATGAAGGATACTGTCCTCAGGGATACTTCCATCGTCAGTCGTAATGACGGGACTAGCCTCTACCTGCTCAATCCAACCACCGGGACGCAGGTTGCTATGATTGAGATTTGAATTAGCATCGTGATGGCTGAATGACCCGGACATGATAATCGAGAGATACCCACTCGTAGCACCGCCTATAAATCTGATTCCATTCCGGATCGCTGAAGGAGCCTATCATGATTCGCATGTAGATCAGATCAAATGGTTCACGCCAAGTCCAGGGCTGGAGAGCATCGTCAACTTCCAGAACGCAGTTAGGGGGCATCCACGCAACAGGGGTGGGAAAAGATCGACCCCGCGAACGGTTGCTGGATGACTCAATATTCAGTAGGGAGATACAGAAGACCCACGGGGTAATATATTCCACTCACCGTCCGGAAACATGTCGGCTACATCGCTATTATTGCCATCAGCAAAAGTGCGCAATTACGTAAGGTTGTGATTTTCGCTGGAAAACCTACATGGCCCAGACACCTTTGCCAGTGCCAAGATCGAGAATGTGCTTCGGACTTTTGACGATAGGCGACCGAAAGAGAGGATTATTCCTCTCCGAGTCGAGGACGAGGGTGAGTAGGTGGCTGTGACCAACTTTAGCAAAATGTTCGGTGATCGCCTATTAATTGGAATAGCGGATAACCATACCCGGCCTCATAGGTTTCGAACATTTGATCGTCGGATGGTAGGCTGCATGCATTCTTTGTCAGGGACCGAAAGTAAACAAAGAAAAGAAAGAAGGAGAGGAGTTTAATTTGCAGATGTGTACATGTATTCCTCACTGCGAAGCGATTGATACCTGGTCGATCGCTCGGATTAGCCCGAATCATCCAACTTGAGGGTAGTGGCCATTTAGTTTGCAAAACTTACCGACGACCATTTTCTAGCAGCCCACGATAGATCGAAGAGCCGATGGAAGTGGTTTCCCTAGAATAGTTAGTCCGATTGTGATAGATCTACTCCAATTACTCGGAGAGAGGATGCACGTGGTGCACGGAGACGCACGACTGCCAATCATCTGGGTAGGAGTTGTCATCATTTTCATATAGGTCCGGATCCTGCAAGCTTGGTCAGGAACTTGGTTGATGTAGTGACTGGAAACCCAGGGGGAAACACACGACGGCAATGGATTGGTCGGCCATTGTAGTTGTTGGTCTCCCAAAAACCCAGGGTTGTAGAGTTTTAAAAGGATGGTAAAAGAGGAGGAATAATGACAGAACTGAAGCGAATAACCCCCGCCTGAGCGTGGCCTGTTAGAATTGCTGGATTCAGTTTAGCAGCGGTGGAGATGTATCTCTATTGGGGATTAGCGCAGTCGCAGGATTGCAGTCGCAGGGCACTAGCAGGGGCATAGATGCATGTGTCTCTACTACGGAGGACGCAGCCAGGAAAGCGTTTAACGGTCGGAGAAAATTCCATCAAATCATTAAATTGCAGAGAAAGTCCAGCAGGTGACGGTTCACGGTATGCAGCGCGGGGTGTAGCCCTGCATTTCTACATCCAGTTGAGGAGACGATAAAGTTTTATGTCCAACCTTACTAGGTTTCATGCGAGCTCGCCGTTACGGTGGATCCCGGGAGGATCACTTGGAATCCGTCGATTCCTATTAGTGGAAATCAATTCGACTAGTACTCCGAGTCCATTAGGGAATTCCTCGGCGGATACTGACCCCGGGGAAGCTGAGATAAACTTTGAATGCTGTGGTTGCTTATCTTGAAAGGTTTGCAAGCGACGAGGTTCGATCGCGAGAACAAACCTGAATGTTCATTGGATATCTCAAGAAGACCAACGCCTTAACCACTCGCCAGTATTACGGGAAACAGAAAGGTAAATATACTAGTTATATTCAACCTCATCCTACCTAGGAGTGTCGACGGTGTTGAATAGTATGAATAGTATGAATAGTGTAAATAAACATATAATTCACAGAGATCCAATGCCAATAGCGTTCCTGATTTTGGATGTGACTAGCAGGACGCGCCCGAAGGAACATTCTCGCAATCGTCGCTGGTAGAGCCGCCGGTCAGACTGACATCGCCCCAAGTCCAGTCGGTACAGCTGTCCTCGGCGCACATGATGTACACCTCCACCGCATCATCCTCGAGCGAACCGATGATGCCATCCACGGTGAGACCGGTGATTGGAACACCATCCGTTGGCGTACCGGTAGGCGAGCCATTCTCGTAGTCCTGCTCGATCACGACGCCGTAATCGGTGATACCCGAGAGAGTGATGTCCGAAAATGTCACATCGCTGACCGAACCAGTAGCATCATAGGTTGTCTTGATACGGATTCCATTGGCCGAGTCACTCACGGTGGAGTCGGTGATAGTGACATTCTTCACGGTGTTGTCATCGCGGTCGCCAACGGAGCCGATGGAGAGACCGTGGCCGCCAGAGCAAGTGGCCCCACTCCAGTAGATGTTCTATTATAATGAACAATACAGTTAGCAAATTCCATCCGCGGTTTGAACTGTGTTACACGCTGAAGGGAAGAACGCGCTCACCTCGCCAGAGTTGATGGCTAGACAATCATCCTGGTTCTTGACAGTCGGGTTCGTGATGGTGATATAGGTGGACTCGCTGATATCAAAGCCGTCGGTGTTGTGGCCACCATTGTCGTCGCCGTCCGAATTATCGATGGTCACATCCTCAATGACGAGGTTGTTCGACTGGACACTGATGGCTTGCACGGGAGTATTTTTGATGGTCAAGCCGGAGATGGTCGAGTCATCGAGGGAGTGAGCATAAAAGAACTTGGGCTTGGTTTTCCCGCCATTGGTTCCCTCACTGTCCCACCAGCGAGAGCCGTCACCGTTGATCACGGCTCCGTCATTGGCCGTCACGGTGATACTGGAGCCGGAGATACGAATCAGAGGACCCTTCCATTCTTCGTATCCAAAGGTTGTGGTGCCGTCAAAGATCACCTGAGTGCCATCGCTCAGATCCGACAAATCGAGCGTCTCCCCAGCTGGGACCTCGATATCGCTCAGGACGATCGTAGAGCAGTCAGACTTACTGGCCGAGGCGCTAGCTGCCTCGGTGAACGTGCAGGTTGAGGAAGACCTTTTGGTGAAATCGGAAACACGCGAGGGGGCGGGAGCAGCGGCGGCCAGGCTGGCAGCGGCAGTGATCAGCAGCAGATGTGAAAGAAGGGAAGGCATTGTTCTGTTCAACAGAAGGAATAATCAAAAGAATGAGGCAATTCTGGTCAACAGAATAGGAATGAAAAACGAGTGAACGGAGAGACTCAAGCGGCTCAAGATAGGATCCCAGCCAAGTGTTCTCGTTCCGCCGAGCATTTTATAGCGTGAGTGGGCATACTGTGTAGTATACAGAGTATGCTAAACTTGATTGAGCACTGCGAAGCTTTCACACGACGCCAGGGGGCGTTGGATCCCGGAAGCTGGTCTTTGGGCGGGTACTCCTTAGCAATTTCCAAGTCGACAACAGGGGCGTGGGAGGAGCTTGATGGCTGGTGGGCCTGGATTAATCTCTGACAACCGTCCCTCTCTGAAACCGAAACGAGCAATGATAAACATTAGGCTGCATTAGGTGGACTCGGAAGAAATCTCCAGAAGATAAGCCGGACCTTGGGACATGGCGTGGGTGCTAGTCGCCAGAGCCACTCCTTTGTGAACGTGGTGGAAAATCCAGCTGAGCAGTGGTCGATATTAATGTCGGAAGCTCTGGTATTTAGTAGTAGTACTACTAGTAGTACTAGTAGTAAGTGAAAGTAAAGTGGAAGTGAAATGGAGCTTGAAGTAGGAGTGGGTAATCTTCGGGTAATATTTCGGACAACACAACCGGCTGGAGTATACTCGTATACTCGTAACTACTAGTAGTATAACCCACTCAATTTTACTTATTGCATTGGTACTAGTAGTACTCGTACTCAGATTATTGAATCATGCCATGCCAGTGGTAGTACTAGTTGTTCATTCCAAGGTTACTACTAGTAGTAGTTATACTATAGTTAGATATATTCATGGATTAACTAGCACTCCGAGTCCAGTACCACTTAGACCCTGCCCAGGTGCAATAATATCACTCCTACCTAGTAGAACTATCGTGATCGACCGGGTATTACTACCACCAAGCTCTTCTAGCATAAAACTACTACTCTACTAACTACTACCCGCTCGTAGGCTCGTACATACTACAGTTATGTACTGCTGACACTCACGTGACTACTTTCACCGCTGTACGCTTCCAGTCACATGACTGGTGTCTCCAATCTCCACTGGCATTTCTCCAATTCACCCCTCCTCCTTCTCTCTTCTCCCTTGCGAATGGCCCCTCATCGAACACACTACAAAACCACTGGAGCCCCGGACTACGATAGCCCTGAATTTTGGGATCATCGCTTTGCCACCGGCCGTGATGTGGGCGAGTGGTTGAATTCGGGCCATGTTTTAATCGACGCTGTCTTGTCCGACCTTCACCAACGAACTCATTTACATTCCCCAGGCCACTCCCCGCGCGTGTTGCATCTGGGTCCCGGCGTCTCACGCCTTGGTCAAAGACTGCGCGACGCCTTTCTCGAACAACGCTGGTCTGCCGATGGAATCTTGGTGAGTGTCAAGAGTTGAACCCCGCTCCTCCCCAACCATCATCCTTGAAATTCGTCCTGGTCGCTGATTGAGATCTACATAGAACGTCGACTTCTCCTCCGAGGCCGTGCGGATCGGTCAAAATGCAGAACGAGATATTCCCCCGGGACACGCCATGCACTGGCGCCGAGCCGACCTCCTTCTCTGGGACCATGTCGCAACCTTGACGCCCTTCGCCCCCTTTGATGTTATCCTTGACAAAAGCACCAGTGACGCGATCGCAACCTTTAGTGGTTGCGAAGTCTCGGCTTTCGACTTGCCCGAACTATGCCCAATCGTACGAGAGGTGGCTCAAGATGACGACAACGACAACGACAACGACAACGGCACGACAATATTGTCTCCAGTGGAGCTGCTCGCCTTGAACCTCATTCCATTGACTCGAAAGGATACTACTTGGATTACACTTTCGTATTCTACTCTGCGGTTTGATCGCCTTCCAGCCCTCGATAAATATTGGACGTTGCGATCCCGCACTTCTCTGAAGGCCCCCGCTGGCCCGGTCTCGTCTTCCGCACATACCCCCGACGTGTTTCATTGGGTCTATATCTTGGATCGCAAGTGATGGGTTGGTGGTTGGTCACTCACCACAATAATATCTCGCCGCGACACCGGCATATGCAGCGACCAAGTTCTACATTCAATCATTCGATCAATCTACGACTACCCCTTTCTCAAATGTGCCAACCGCGAGTAGCAATCGCGACATCGAGATCATCAAACATATCTTGAAGCATAATCTCCATTCCAGCTACTAGTAGCGTCTTCGACCCCTACACGGATCTATGTACATCTACTACTTTCCCTAGACTTTCCACCTCAACCCCTTCGTCCACCGAGCACTTCGGACCGCGGTACGACCGATCGAAATAGATCAGCAGCCAAGGTTGATTGCTGCGTCGTCTCTTGATCAGTCTACTGCACTTCTCAATGGAATAAACCAGGACAGGGAACATACCGTTGGCGTACAGGGCGTACGAGTCTGCATTCAGCACAGCCTGGGCACTGCTGAGAGAGGTGGCAGCCGAGTAGCCGTATCCCAGGTCGTCAGTACCGGGGCTGTACACACCCGGTGCGTGGGTGAACTCATGCAGGGCGGTGGTGGCCTGGTCCTGCTGGTGGCAGGTACTGGCCAGAGCCGGCAAGTAAGAGTAAAAGATGTCGCAGTTGGCGATCACATTGCGGGAGGGCAGCGTGTATGCCAGAACGTTGGTCTCGCAGTACCCATAGGGATCACTGCAGTAGTAAGTAGTCGATCCAGAGCTGGTCGATGCCGCTTCATTGGCCACGGCGGTCAGTCGGGCCGCAACCACTGAGCGAGTCGAGCTGGAGGTGGTTTTGAAGTATTCACTGAATTTGGAGGCTGATCCGGACTTCGCCGCGGTTGCGGCGGCCTTGGCCAACTTGACCGTGTTAGCCAGACTTGTCTCGAAGGCCGACTTACGGCTGGCATTGCTGCAGCTCTCCTTGGTGCGGCGGTCGAGCGGCTTCAGCGCCTTGGTCACCTGGGAAGCCTTAGATCCATCCACGTCGATTTTCAGATCGTTCGAGCTGTATGGCAGATACCCAGTCACTGATCCTTCGCTGACCACCGGAACTAGGCCGCTGGAACGTAGGGTAACGGCGCCTCCGTTGGACAGATCAGTCGTCTCGGCAATGTCAAACTCATCTTCCAAAACTTCTCCGGCACCCAGAGTTGTGAGGGAATCCGACTCGAGCCCCTTAAGCTGGAAGCGACGCTTGATTCCGTCGAAAACGACCTCATCATCTGCACGGATGGTCAGCTTATGTAAATCACCCATATTGGCAGAGCTCCGCTAACTTACCATTCTGGTAGACCGCAACCTTCTTGACGGGAGCGCTGTCACGGAAGAAATTGAGGTGCACAAAGGTGACGTTCTCGGCACCGGTGTTTTTCACGACAGCCTTGATGCGAGTATCGCTCACCCGGCTCAAGGTGACATCCAGGGCGGATGCTTGATCGGCCTCGATGGGAAACGCATACACATTCTGTGCGATAGCCAGGAAGGCCGCGGACAAGACAGTAAGACGCATGGTGTAGAGTGATACACTGATGGGTGAAAGATCGAGAAGATCGAGTTGGCAAGGTGATGTGATGTGAGTTTGAGCTCCGATGTACGCTTGAGTAGGTTGAGATGAGAACACCTAGAAATTGCGCGGCCGGGTGGCTCGATTTATAGTTCCCCGAGAGAAAGATTCATGTCGATATCAAGGCATTGGATTCCGTCTTCAACTACCCCAAGGTGAAGACTAACAAGGCTAGTTCGTGATGCGAGAGACACACACACAGAGAGAGAAAAGGAGTGTGTGTGTGATTTCCCCACCTGCAGTCCTGGAAGAGGGGAGATTGAATGGTCATCTGCCGTTTCGACTCGCCATCCTGAAGGAGAGAATGCAAAGCCCGTCCACTACTTGGCTGTTGATGTCTCGAGAGGCCTTGATTTTGCCGGACCTCGACCTTGATGGAAAATGAGAACTGCTCCCACTTCTTGGCCCGCCGGAGACCCGTTTCACTCAGCAAAGTTTGCAAAACAGATCATGGCCGGAGAGAGTCCTGAAAGAGGACTGGTGAGAATTTGGGATAATATAGATGATGGCCTTATCTGTGTGTCGATTGGGCCGGGGAAGGCAAGCCATCATCTCCAAGACTCGACGATGTAACCGCCATTAACTCACAGGAGTGAACTAAGATGTTTTGTACATGATGTAGATGATACAGGGGCGCACTTCTGGTATTCCAATGAGCCTTCGTAGCACACTAGCCTCCCTCACCCCTCGAGAGATTGGACTCGAGATTCACAAGAGGCTTAATTCCCCCCTCATCTCTCCTTGAAGGTGAAGTATGATAATGATTGTTCTTGGCTTGCCAAGATGCCGAGTCTTGCATTGGCACCGCGGAGTCCGTGAAGCCAAGCAAATCAAGATACCACCCAAGACACGCCCAACTCTTATATTTGCACGATAAGGGGCTGAAGGTGATTTAAGTGGTCTTGTGGCAACCCTTTATTAACGTTCCCTTCAGCTGCCAGTGCCGATAGACTCCCGATAGGAGGAATCTTTAAGAAATCCTGAAGATGACAAGATAACCGCCAAGTAAGCGTGGAGGGGAGGGTTACACGCCACCAGACCCTGTGGCACAGCTTGGCCCGGCAACGAGAGGAGTTGTGGGGAGTCCTATTGGCCCTGAAGACAATCAGAAGCGGACAACTGGCCAGAAATTGTTCCTTCCGTCATTTATCTCATGCCTTTGGTGATATGTAGCAAGTTCCTGGGCGGCTGCGAGAACCTGCAACTAACATACACAGGCTAAACTACGGCTTTCGTTCCCCTCAACTCCTCCAAGTGAAATCAGATCTTCATCGTTCCCTTACTTTACTCCCCAACCTTCGAATTCGAAGTCTCATTCACTCAGCAATTCTCAACTTTTCCCTGCCACCAAGATATTAGGAACGATGGACCATGCTTTGAGTTTGCAGGTCACCCTGGCCTCTGATGTTTCAAACCTCCAAGCATCATCATCTTTTCCTGTACCAATCACCATCTCTATTCACAACCACGCGGAAGCTCCAGTAACCCTCTTAACATGGAACTCACCCCTGGACTTCCAAGCCGGCGTTCTGGGGGTTTTTGAAGTCTGCGATACCGGAAATGGACAAGCCATTCCCATAGACACGATCAAGGTGTCCAGAAAGCTCCCGGCAACCCCCGCAGATTTGGTCGAAATACCAGCCGGTCAGGCCATCGATCGAACTGTCAAGCTTCCCGCATTTGAATGTGAAGAGGGGCATGAATATTCCATTCGAGCCCAGGGAATATGGCATGCAGTGTGGGAGATGCCGTTGACAGACGTGACGGAATATCACCTCGCGGATTTAACTGGAGCTACACGCGGAGAATTCCAGTCGAATTTTGCTCGTGTGAAATTCAATTGAGCGGGGTATTTTGAAACATTTGGCTGGATCCTCCCGGGGGGGGGCCGCCGCAACGCCCTGCTAGAGGGTTCGGCTTAGTCTATAATCATCTAGCGAAGTCAAACTTTCTGCGGCATGTATTTGTGGCTTAATTTTTTAAAATCCTACATGACCCTCATTTATGGTTGGGTATCGAAATGTGCCGAGCTTTCGGACAACATATTTCTTCCCTCTGAGCCGAGAGTTCCATCGACCCTGGACAGTATCTGTCGTGACTTGACGACTAAGAAATTCTACCATTTGAAAATTTCGAATTCTTGTTCTGACTTGCATTTTAGGTCTGCATGAAAATTGTTCATCCTCTCAAATATGACCTTCAACTGAATACTTTCCATAAAAGAAGACGCCCAGAGAGTCTTCCGAGTGCTTCTAAACAGGGGCGTGGCTATTATCCCATCTAATGTTGGATATGCGGTTATTGCTACCGACCCCCAAGCTTTGAATCGTATTTTCGCTGCAAAAAGGCGACAACCGCACAAAAAGCATGCCATGATTGGGTCGTACGCCCTCCACCTTGAGGTTCAAAGTCTCCCCCCATACGAAGAGGATATGGTCAGGCTCCTGACGGTGGATTTGGACCTCCCTCTCGGGGTTGTTGCCTCATACCATGTTGATCATCCCATGATAAAAATGTTTTCGCCGACTACATTGCAGCAGAGTTCTATCGAGGGAACGTTGGCTATGCTTGTCAATGGTGGTCAATTGCAAGATGAAATATCTCGCCTGGTTACGCAAGAAGGAATTCCTCTCTTGGGGTCCTCTGCTAACTTAACGGGAACTGGAACAAAAGTCACCGTCGAGGATATAGATTCCGAGATAAGAGGCATCTCGGATATCATTATCGACCACGGGCGACAAAAATATAGCCATCCGCGGCCGTCATCCACCATGATAGATTTCAAGAACCGCCGGCTTCTGAGGTATGGCGCATGCTATGATGTAGTACAAGATGCAATGTCGCGATTCTATGGAATAGACCTTCCCAATGATCCCGGCAGGACTACTTTATTTTCGGGCCATATATCGCCTACTAGACAACACTGGCAGTGACGATAATTAAGTCGTATCTTTTCAAAAACAAAGAATCACGCAACTTCAAAGGATAAAACTATATTAAGACATTGCACAGTTCTCGCCCGAGACTTCATGAATCCGAGTAAACCGTCAGCGGCGATTTATCTAGCCATAGAGGATGTGTGTAACACTCTAGACCAGAGGCTACTTCCCTTTTGGGCTTAGCGTGGTCCTCGCAGCCTATCTGCGAGGCCTCACTCACTCTTTTCATCTCTTCTTCAAACTTAGTATCGCGTACTCAATGCGCTTGTTCCTTACAACCTGGCCTCTGTTACAATGTGGTTAAGATCATTTATTTTATTAGCGGTGAGCTAGTCACAATTTGGTGCAGAGCTGGGTATACCCGCATGTCCGGACGGTATGGAAATATTATAAGGCCCATGCCAAAATTATTTCACGCAGCAACCTGTCCCACACTGTGATTTCTTTCGCCCCAAAATTGAACTTGAAGAACGATCATGTCAATCCTTTTTTGAGACCGAGAACATTTTGTGGATAGATTAAATTGTGATTTTTGCAGATCGATCAATAGTACATGAAATTTAGAATACATCATGATTTGTTGGACTGGCACAACATCGCGAAAGATATCGAAGTAAACTTGGTAGACTTGGACCTGTAGTACTAGTATTCAAATTTCAAGCTTACTATAATGACAGCGAATTAGAATATTCGAGTTATTTCTGATGGATACCTAGTAGCGTAGTAAGGAAATCGCGGTGTGAAAATCAACATCTTATAGTATATAAGGCATCTCAGGCCTACCCTAGCAATATATATTCTCAGCTACCCTAGGTCTCCACCCTAGGTATCATATCAGCGGTTTATTCGACCCGCACGTTCTGATCGTGCCGCCCCGAGCATCCTCCCTGGATCACTAGGTAGTGATGACAAAGTATAGTATTCATTGCTATCAAAAATAGGAGAAAAAAACTTGGGTTCAAAAGCTGAAGAACAAAAAAGAAGATGGCGAAGGAACTAAAGGCGAAGGAACCGAGAGACGTGCATGCTGAGCTGCAAGGTGAACTATTGCCGATTTATTACTTGAGGCTTAAAGATCCAGGGATCTGGAAATGATTAGTTTTCAATTGTGATTCACCTGTCAGGCAATACGGAATTGTGGACCCCAGGCAGTGGGTTTTTCTAGCCAGAAATAGCACGGGTCAACATCTTCAAGCTATTTGTTTGAGGGACGGAAAAGCTGTGTCAAGTCCACCCAACGATATAGGCATCTAAAAAGTCCTCACTAGCCTGAATATCTGCGTCTTCTGTACTTGAATGAGTGAAGTTACGCGGGGTCAAAGGCTCACTAGTATGACACCAAGCATTTGAAAGGTACTTTGACGCTTCAACGTTGGAGTTATTCCATGACTGGAGGCTTTCTGGGGTCGATATTGCCCTTGAAAAACACAAGCCTCCTCGGATGGTTTGAAATCCATAGACTTGTATTTTATGTTGTCTTCTGGGTCCCTTGTAATTGTAGGGATCTTGCTCAAAGAGTCTTCAGCGAGCTTAAACTTTGAAGTTTCATCCTCGCAGCGGATGGGTGGAAACTCTGACCGCGGAAACTGAAAAGAATCTTGTAGAGAAGCGTTCCCAGCGGGATCAGCGTCGTGAGATATTTGACCTTGGAACTGTCGCAAATCCGGCATTCGGGTGTTTGTAGGTAAACTTGGCAACGTTTCCTTGGAAACACTAGGGTGTGTGAAGCAGCTGGGTGGCGTCGCGAATTCGGCCGTTGATAGCTTCATTTGCATTGTGAGAGTGGCCATTGACTTAAGAGTGGCCATTGACCTTTTCGCGAAGTGACATTTATCTTCCAGTTTATCTAGAACTGAGACAGCAGCAAGAGTTGAATAGTCAAGGCTTCTCAATGTCTGAGGATCGTTAGCAATTAGATAAATATTCTGGGACTCATGACAAATTACCAATTTGTGTTGAACCAATTGCGAGTTCCACACTGTGAAGAGAAGCAGGCTACCTAATTAGGGAGTTCAGCAAGGTTTCTTTCGTTGGGATATTAATATTTGCAAATGTTTACCTGCAAGGAAAACCTCGTGGGTAATAATGTAAGGCGTAGTGCTACACCCGAGATTTTGCATCATGTGGTGTATATGAAGCGCGTTTGAAGTTGCCTCAGCAACTTTGAAACAAATCCAGTCTACCTCCTCTGGCGGTTCATTGGAAGGCTGCTGGATCGTGGGAGTGATTGTCACTGGGGAGTGAACTAAATCGGCTGGGATCTTTATACTCCAACGATAGAGGGCAATGATTGATTGCCAAAAGTCAAGTTCCATTTGAAACCTGTCCGAGGGAGGCCCCAGAGTGGGTATACAATTCCTCCACCTTTCCAGCCTGGAATGCATGTCTTGCCGCCAGGAGCTGAAAGAAGAGAACTCACAGAGAGATAATGGCATTCTCCGATTGAGATTTGAAAATGGCCCACCCCTTTCCAACCGTGCGTGATGGTATTGGAGAACGGTGTGTATCTCAGATTGAAGAATCCGGAACCGAAAGCGATGCCGAACGGCATACTTATACCCGCTTTTGTTATCGACAGAGGCCAATATTCCACGTCGCGTGATGAATTGGTCGTCCAGTATAGAAGGAAATTGAGTCGTAATAACATCGTCCGGAATAAAAAATGGCCTTTCTAGATATGGTGCGACTAATCGATCCAGGCTGTAAACACACCACCATAGCCGTCGCCGTAGATCTTTGATCCAATCACGATGCGCTTCGTCAAATGGAGACTTTGAAGCGAGATTGAGCATATTGGAAGGGCTATCCTGTTCATTGTATAGCCGAAGATCTATTGCTGAGCGTATGGCGATGTCGAGAAGATTTGCAAGCCCCGGAGCGGTTGACTTGAAAAGAGCGAAGCTGCAGAGAAGGATGAGGGCTTGAAGGCCCTCAAAATCACCAAATAGATTGAAGTTCCCACATGAGTCAAGGCAGTGCCCTAGGCAGGTTATTGCGGAAGCGTGGTATTCCTCTGCAGCTAGGATTTGCATTGATGGTCTTTTCCGCTTTCTTGATCTGGTGCGAAAGTGCAGCTCAGGGCCCGGGGTAGCTTCATGAGACCTCGTGACAGAGGCAGCACCAATTGCAAACACAATGAAGACAAAGTAGAGTTGATCTTTGGGGTGGTCGGAACTTTCGCTATAGTATATCTGATCGAAGACCTTTTCGAAGTCAGGTCGATTTAACACGGGCACATGGAGGTTAGTGTGAATGAAATACTCATCCACGAGCTTCTCTGCTGTCTCGCGCTCTGGAAGCTCCATAGAGCCTTTGACGCTGCTTTGAAATCCGAAGCGGAACAAAGACGGTTGAGCCGAAGTTTGTTGGTTGCCAGCACGACGGTCGACCTCATTTATCCTTGTGATTTCTAGTTTCGTGTCTTTACCAGAAAGAAGATCGAGAATCACAGAATGGAAGGAATTGGAGAGCTCAGGTATTTCTGTATCAAGTGGTATTTCATCGGAGATTTTTCCACTTGAAGCCACTGCTTCAACCTTTGCGGATGATGTTGAGATGGATGTTGCAGCAGTGTTGCAGTTTGCTCCATCGTCGTTCAAAGGAATTGCGGATTGGAAATTGATATTGTGCTTTAACAAGATTTCCTTCAGATAGTCCACCCTATTCTCTAAAAAATATACGTAACTGCGAGGTATCTCTTGTTTGGTGATCGGATCGTAGCCGACACATCGAACCTGGGCTTTTTCGCAGGATCGACACTTTGGTAATTGTTGGTCACACCTGTGTTTTCGCATTCGACATCGATGACAGGCTGATACGTTTCGGAAAGATGAGCTTTGAGTGAATGCGGAAGGTTTAATAAATTGAGGATCAGGGATATCTCCAAAGACATCCCCTTGGGGGCCATCGTGCGATTGTGATGATTGTGGCGAAGGGAGGATAGTGTTAGAGACATGGCCTTCAGGAAGAGGAGCATCAATACTGCTTCCCGGCAGAAAGAGCGCAGTAGCAGCCATACCCAGAAAACACGTCAAAAGGACGAGCTGAAGATTCGCCTGGATAAGTGCGTGATAATTCTGGGCTGTTATTTCTCATGAGCGATGGCCCTGCCGAAAGCAAGTCTATATGATTTGAAGCCCAACCACGCTTGGTACAACTTTGACTTTGCCCGGAAATCTTAATAATCGCTAATGCGCCCGTGATCGGTGCAATGGCAAACCTTCTTTGAATGTTTGAAATGAACGTAGGAGCCAATTTTATTATGAAGAACATTCCTTGGAGACACTCCGTTGTGACATACTAGTACCTACGGAGTAGCTTGAATCCCATCTCCTGGTAGTTGATTGATTGGTGCAATTGGGCGAAGTTGCCCAACTCTAGGGGTGGATATTACTCGATCATAATTGGAAAGTTTTTAACCGGCGGGCTGGGCAAATCAGCTAAAGAGGTGCTATCTACCCATTACTCGATCCCAATATGTTAAGATGCGACCGATAAGGGCATGAAGTCAGGAAAGGCTTGGATTACTCCATAGAAATATAGACATACCATCGTGTATCGCCCGAGAAGGGCAGAGGGGATGTTTCCCGCGGAAAGTTTATCCAGTTACGATGCTAGCGCAAAAATGGACAGGCTATGAAGTAAGAGGCTGTAGAAGCCCAGGAGATCGACCCCAAAAGTGGCTTGACCGGAGAATAGGACCAATGAATGACTCGAATTCGGGATTAAGGGAAAAAGCCCGAGGCCCGTGTCAATGGACTGCCGAGGAGATGTGAGCAGCGACTATCGGCAATTGGGGTATACACCGGGATTCCGAACATGAACGACTTACAACCTTAGTTTACTACTGTTGCTGGGAAACCATTTAGCACGAGAGAAAGCACAAGACCAGGGGGAAAACACAACTTGTGTCTGAGAATGTGAAAGATGCATGGCATAATTCTACTAGTACATATCTTCTTTGTTTAAAGATCCGCACGTACCGATATCGGCACCATGGGAGGTCCTCACTGTTTCCCTGAGGTTGACAACCCCATGTACTCCGGACCCCTAAGTTTTCTTTGCTCGACTCACTTAGACTTCTTCAACCTTCTTTTCATCCAAATCTGGTACGGAGCTTATCTCATACGGAATCTCATTCCATGTGACGCTTGTCCCTGAGATTGGGACCAGCCAAGCCAGGAGCCAATATACCGCGCCCGACACGAGAAACCCAGAGAAATAATTCACATTGTAGATGTAGAGGGCCCCAACTAGAATATCAACCCCAACAGCACCGGCGAAGCCAACGATATTAATGAGTAAGCCGCAGAAATAGGCGGCATAACCGTGCCAAGAAATACTATGAATTCCATAGTAGAGGTTGTTTTTTCGGGCGGAATAGAGATCTTCGATATCAAGATACCCCTTGCGTACAAGGTAGTAGTCACTGGCCATGATACCTGCAATGGCGGAAAGAAAGACAGAATATGCAGAAAGACAAAGAGTAATGTTGCTAGAGGAGGAGACAAGGGTCCACTGTTGAAAATAGTAAGAATAAGAAACTCACAAGACACATAGCGAGGCCAATTGCAGCACATAGGTATCCACCCCGTCGGATAGTGCAAAATCGTGGAAGAAGTGCAGTAAGATTAGTCCCTGCAGATACAGAATTTGCGGCAATGTTGGTTCCAAGCTATGCTAGAGCGAATCCAGTAGAGATAACGAAAATCCCAAATCTCTCAGCAGAACTTGCATCCTAAAGGAACATACCCAAAAGGATCGATGGATTCCACACGGCTTGCCCAAAAATGACACTCGAGGAGGGTGAGACAATAATGCCGATGAACGAGGTAATAGCGAAGCCCACTGGAATAGTTAAAAGCTGAGGCCATAGTGCGTCCTGAGGTTTGCGAGAATATCTGGTAAAATCTTGGTTGTTGACGATCAAGGCAGCAAATTTTGCGATGCAGTTCATGATACTCTTTACAGAGGCTAAGGCCAAAGGCACTACCGTGAGCGGTGCTGGACTGCGTCACTATGGGACCGAGCCCATGCGCCCGGGCGATTGCCCAAGCAAAGAATGCGATTGCACATGATGGAGAAAAGTATGCCTTCACCGTAAAGAGGTGTCGGATCTTGTAGATTGGGAACCACAAAGCAGGAAGTGATCCAAGCCAGAACAGGAAGAAGCTTACAAATTGTTTTGTGGTAATCCCTGCTCCTTCTGGGATTGTGTTTGGAAGGTTCCCATAACTTGGCCAAATTGATTGTATCATCAAGGTCAGACACTCACCTATAGATAGAATCAGTAGATGTAAGAGTAAGATGCGAGGACTCTAACAACTTAAATAACTCTCCCCCAAATAAATTTGATAAAGTTTGTCAGAAAAGGCAACTCATAATGTAGCTACCAGAAGGGTAACCTACTTGTACACCATGCCAACTAACAGCCATCGCCGCACGATTGAAGATAGGCCAGAATGAGCCCCAAATGCCGGAAGAGGCTCGATGAGTCACAGTAAATGGTATGCGGTATATAGATGTAATGCGGCCCATCAAGAATACAAAAAGAGCTGCGATTGTATAGCCAATCCAAACACACAACCAGAATTGCCACTAGGAGAGCCTGTCGACAATCATGGACGAGGATGTCGTCCATGTATTCTTTGAAAATTCGAGGAGTTAGTGGTTTTATCCTGGAATCGTACTGAATGGTGCGCACGAGATATGGCCCACAAGAATAGATTATTCTCAATAACCTACCACATTCAATGAATCAGCAATCCAAAAGGCAACAAAGTTGAGCCACCCCCATTGTCTTCACTCTGGTTCAACTTGGGGGGGAAAAAGGCAATTTAACATGGAACTCGATTTCACATGAGACCTCTGATTCCGCAGAGCGAAGGAAGATCGAAACTGCTATATATCTACTTACCTGGCTTAGGATCATCATTCGTGAGCATTAACTGTACCGTAGAAAGTCCGGGATCTGTAGGTGCTTGAAGCTTCCCAAACCAACGTTTCTACTGTCCTATTTTATTTCGGAAGTACTCGTAGAATGCGTAAAAGAGGGAGTATTAAAATACAACTCAGAAATGCACTTAATTGACTTGCCGAAATATAAGAATCACTCTGATTGGGAGTTCAAACTTATCTCATAATGCAGGAAACTGTGACAGTGCTTTATATGGTAGAATAGGGGCGACCGACAGAGCAATATGCAGTTTTTGGAGAAAAACCGCGGCATATCGCGTATTTTACCTAGGAACAAACCACGCCTTCTTGGTGTCCAATCCAGTCTCATGTGGACCTCGACCCCGCATTTGCCTTGAATAATGAACGCAAACCCCACTTTCTGCTATGTAGTAGTAGTAGTAGCAAGGCCTGCTGTCTTCAGTGCCCACAAGTCCCCACGGGGGAGGTTTCAATTAGGTAATGCTTTAGCTTTGACGACGCGATCGGCCATTGTACTGATCATGCGCCCAGTCTCGATTATGCCGTTATTTACTACTAACCGATTCTTCTGTTTTATTTCCCTTGTGAATTTTAATTGGCTCTTGCATGTCTAATTTTGGGTATAAGGGCATGCGCAAGGGAATTTGAAATGATCAGTCCGACCGCATATGAGCTTAATCGCTGGAAATGGTAAAAACCAAAATAACCTAATACCTAAGGACTCAGCTTTTCCCCAGTCACTTACTAAATTTATTGATGAATGATAGATAGCTGTCCCCTAGAGATAATCCAGTTATATATGACCTTTCATTTTGAGGACCGAGCGGAGAAAATGCAGACTGCTAAGATAACCTTCCAGAGCAGACAATACAATACATGGTATAAAGATTTCAAGAAGATGCAGGCATAAAGCTTTCCATCTAAGAGCTATTCGAACTTTTAAAACATTATAGAAGCCCAGATAGGAATATAAGATCAATAAGAACATCAGAAGTTTAAGATCAATGATTAGAATAACTAAATGACCTCATATCGCACTCTCTTTCTTGAATCGATCCATAGATAACAGGTCAATAAGAAAAAGCATTTCAGATTTTTCTTCGTAGAATATGTGCGTAAATCAGTTCAATACTAATCTCGTATTAAACTCAATTTTTAGTTACTGAAGTTCAATTAGACCTTGTACTAGTGGCATTTTAAGATATTAGATTTGAAAAGCATCCATGGATCACTTATAACCTTGAAAGGACGCATAAGATACATTTCCAACTATTCGCATTGAAGCTATTTACTTTCATCCATAGCACCTTAGTTCGTACTGCTTTAGTCCGTACTGCTCTTATACCTATTTTGTTATTCACTTAGCAATCTTTTCTAGCCGAACAGAGAAAAGGAGATAATTTAGGAGAACTCACGATTGCCCGCATATTGAATCCCTGATATGGATGTGTGCATACCGTAATATATGTCGTTAAAAGCCGCGTAGCTAACATTAACGTCACGTCGTTGATTTATTCCAGGGCCATAGTTGTCGTTAAAGCTCGCATAGATCGCTGGGTCGACTGTAAAAATCCTAGATTCATTGAGTCAGTATATATACTACGACCTATGTCCATAATTTTATGAGTAAGTAATAGATGGGAGTTAATAAAATGATTGAAAGACTCACACGAAATCTTTACAGCCAACTACTGAGAGTTCTTCTGTATTGAAGTGGCACGGGATAAGGCTGTTTTTGTCTATAACTTCGAGGAAGTCTTTAACCCGTCTGATACATCTTCCGTAGTGAATAGAAATATCGATGGCCTTCACTGCAAACCGATGGTGATTATTATTATCGGCCGTCTTGATTCTAGGTTGTCCAGGCTCGGCGGGTCTCGAGTAGATCGGGTCATGTCGAAGATCAAGTATGATTGATGCTGTACCCGGAGGTGCGTGTCCTGTATCAACATCTTGTGGTATCTTAAATACCAATCTAACAATGCAGTGATTTGTTCGCAGACCGTCTTTGTTGGGGTAATTCATAGAATTGTGATTCTGTAGATCTACATCCAAAAATTCGACAAAAAATCGCGTGATTCATTTTCTCGCAGCGCCTGGGGGATATCCTTTTTCGAAGTTGTGATAGTCCACTGTTTGCTTTTCTTGGCAGCCATGTTCTTTGAAGGCGGTTTTTTGTTGATTAACGCAAAGGTAGCACGTCTCTTGGCACCAATATCCGGTGGATGAACTTAATAGAGAATAGGACTAAATATAAAATGTCAGAGATCAAGATAAATACCTCGAACCTTGTCATCTACGCAAGAAGTTATCAGGATATCTGTCAAACTATATACCCCGGAGGCCTCGACTCGACAAGTTGAAAGCAATCGTTGAAATAGACATTAGCCCCTTTCAAAAACATCCTTCCAAAGCGATCACAAAGAAAAGGAAATACGAAATATCATATGAGTCCCCCATTAAATTTCAGAACCTCGGCTTATTGTTCTACCCGTCCCTCATCAGTATTATGAGCATAATGCTATGAAACATTCAGATTCTGAACTCCTGCGGCTTTCAGAATAATGAAAGCTGGATAATAATATATTGAAATCGAGAATGATTTAACGCAGCCCCTTTAGTTGAACGTATTTATAACTGTGTTACTGAAAGTTCTGAAAGAAATGAGGAGCAAAGGAGGAATTTATGAATAGACAAAGAGGATATTATATTATTAGTAGCGAAGTCTTCTTATGTAAGCGTGGAAAGCAGTCTGATTATTTACAGGAAGCCTTGCAAAGAGCCTCATGACTTGACTCAATTTTAGATACTGTCAGATGATTCAAGTCGTGAAACGAGGCATGAAAAACATAGAAGGTCTTGGGCACATGGTAAAAAGAGCAATCCAGCTTTGACTAGGATTGTGAAAAGACAAGCAAACAAAATTAAAAAAGAATCAAGAGCAAAGGGCAATAAAGGTTGAGAAAATCTGCTCAAACTTTTGCCGATATCTAAGCCCTTTGATTTTAAAATAATCTGTGATGACATCTCGCAGAAGTTTCTTTGTTGAGGGTTCGAAAGTATATCAATGCGAACCAGGAAATTAAGCTGTGGATCAATGTGGCTTATAATGAAAGCAAAAACCGATATTTTGATCCCCACGCAATAGAAAAAAGAACTAGTCAGCGAGTTGAAGAAAAAAGAAAATTAACGACTACCAATTGTGATGGTTACTCTTAAAGTTACAGGGAGAGCTGATGCCGAACGGCCTCTGGTATTCATTATCCCATGCCTTAGATAGACTGCTTGCTCTCTCTATTATTCAAAACTAACTCTGTTTCGTTCTTCAAGTTATGTAACTCCAACAAGAACTTTTGAATACCCTTGAAAGAGGGAATATTCTCTAGGATCATTGGCATATCAGTACTGAGGGCGCTAAGTGAACCGTGGGACCAAATAGCTACCAATAGCCTTTAATGTGTATCGATATGGTGCCGTGCTCGAAACGCCACCTTCATGTAACATTTCCCTGGTGAGAAAACTAAACTGGACCCCTTAGACCCCTCGGATAGTTGATTATAGGAAATATGCGCTCGAGTACGACTGCATAAACAGCCTCGGGCCTACCTCGAGTATGCCATGTTGACTATGAGCCTTCCACTTGAGCATGAATTGCTATTTTACAGAAAGAAGGTTTAAAGTACAATCGCTTCAAATTGTCTGATACTAATTATCTACTAGGTCTTGTGTAGTTCTATATTTGTATGCTGACAAGTTTACGCTACCATACTAACTAGTTCATGTAAAAGACAGCCCACGACCCCGCAGAACGGCGCGACCTTGATCCCTAATGCAGCCATCTCTCAGCAGAGGATGGTTCTAACGATCGCTCTTTCATGCTTCCTTGTTATTCAAGCTGGGTCATTTGACATCGGGATCAACTGAGGAGTGAGATTTGGGGCATGCGGAAACTTCCGATCAAACGGCCACATAGGTCGACAAATTCGCCGGTGGCCTAAGCGAGCTAAATCCTGGTCCACACCTCCTGGGGTTAGGGCCAGCATCCAGTTAGCCGCCATATCAAATAACTCTGGCTCCAAGTATCCAATCTTGACCACCACTATATCTGCGGACCGAGGGTCTAGATTGAGTTCGGTGAAATCACTCTCGTGGTGGTAAGGTTTACGTTGCTTTGTAATGATTGCAAAAACCGACCCAATTCGAAGCACACCTTCCACAAGAGCATCTCTATCGCCGAATTTGATGGCATGGACGTTTCCCGTCAGCCTCAATGGACCGTGGTGGATGTTGTCAATCTCAGCCCCTGCCGTGACGGTAACAGTCGCACCAATCCCGGCCGCTGCCATACAGTCAACAGCCCCAGGGCCCGGAATGCTAGCATAAATCATCATCGGGCCGGTGTTATGGCGAAATTCCGGACGACTAAGAACAACAGATAGTCCCCAGGTAACATCCCCAGAGCCCCCTGCAGTCGGATTGTCGCCTGAGTCCGAGATAAAGAAGGGCCGATCGCGAGAAAGAAAAGCCTGATCAAGACAGTCGCCCATCGACCCAGTGGGTGCAACAAAGTGGAAATCATGACGAACTTTCCAAAAATATTCGGCAAGTCGCTTTGCATTTGTAGCAACTGTGTCGATTTCCCAACCTGTTACAACCACTACCGCGTGATTCCGGGGTTCATCTGCCCATACATATCCAACCCAAATAGCAGCATCCAGCACACCGGGAACAGCTTCAACTTCTGGGACAAGTTGGTAAAGTCCCTTTGCAGGTTCTAAGCGAGTAGAAGTTTGCTCTCCTGGAAGCAAGATGGGAACTTGTACCCAGGCTTTTAGCGGGCGTTTTCTCTCTCTTGATTCTGATGTCAAAATTTCAACAAGGTGCCTACAAGCCCGTTCTTTTGTTTCCATGGTATCCTCGTGGGGAGCCATACGATAACAAGTTATGAGATCGGTCTGATGGGCTAGCTGTTGGGAAACATTCCCGTGTAGATCCATTGAGGCAGATACTATAGTTTCTGCTCCCACGATAACTCGTATGCGCCGCAGGAGCTCTGCTTCGGCATCTTCAATACCTTCAACACACATCGCCCCATGTATGTCAAACCACAATCCATCAATTCCCGTCTCGGAGTTTGAGCTAATATCTGAAAGACGGGAGAGAATTTCGGCGGTAAGTTCCTCAAATGCATCCCGGGTGACTACTCCACCAGGGAGAGCGTGGCCGATCAGTGAACCTTGCCAGCAAACAGCGTCACCTAGAGCTGTTCCAGCCTGGATAAATGAATACTTCTCAATAATCTCACTCCCGCGGCGTGGGTGGAACGCTGGTGCCAGTGTACGGGCTGGAGAGAAACTGGACGTTTCGCAGGCGAGCCCAGCAACGGCGATAACTGGTCGGCGGGGCATGATTTGTCATGTGTTGTATCAGAAGAATGATATCGGGGGTAGTTTTCCTAAAAAAGGGATCGGAGTATATAAATCAAGGTTGCAACAGGTCAAGCTTTTGGTTTTCAAAGACATTCATCCCCGCGCTTCCCATGCAACGTCGCTTAGAACCGCCCTGTCAACCCCGCTCATTACCATTGGCCGTTCCCGCCATGCTCAAATTGCGATCTCTGTTCATCTATCCTTGTTAAGCAAATTTACAGAGACGAATCCTGGAGAAGAAATAAAGAAGAAATAGAAAACTAAACCCTCCAGGGTCTTGCATGATATGTAGGCCGCCGAGTGCCACATTCTCCTCATATCCCTGCATTCTCTCGGTACCGCCATCAATTGTCGGCAAGGGTACATAGGGACACGCAGTATTTCAATTAGAACCCCGCACTTCAGTCAACGAGTTACCTAGTGGTACACCGGCAGCACTTAAGCGACATTTCCCCTTCTTATCATGCTGAGGAGGTACCTAACAAGCACTATTCGGCATGTCTGCATTTGTCATGCTAGTAGTTATCTCCGAGTCTGCAGGAACTCCGTGAAGTTTATGTATTAGATCAAATATCTTGCTTTTGGGAAGCATTCCAAATGAAAACGAAAAGTCACCCGAGCTACTCAAGGTGACGACCCCTCTTCATTATCCTCTCTCCTCAAAAGTTCCTCATATTTCTCCGACTTCGTCTATCTGTGTTTTTCTTCAACTTTGGAACACTTTTAAGTTGTTCTTTCGCTAGTTCAGTTTAAATCGATATGCTTAAAAGAACAGCAACTGGCACATGGATGCCCGCATGGGTTCCTGAATCTACAATAACTGTTTCGATACTTCTCATAATGTGTTCTATCGTGCAGTCGGCAGTCAGTGAATGCCTTGGGTACCTATTACCAAGGTAGAAATATATCGGTGTGACTTAGGCTAACATCAACTTTGGAAGTAGACAGGTGGTTACGACGGATCGATGCTCAATGGCCTCAATATCCTTCCCTTATATACCGATTATTTTGAATTGAACAACGTCACAAAAGGTTTAAATACTGCCTCTGTGTCAATCGGCGGGTTTATAGGTCCTTTGGTATCTGGTATTGCAGCTGACCGACTTGGTCGACGGCCAGCTATTTTTTGGGGCTCATGTTTAACGATCCTTGGAATCATAGTCCAGACTGCAGCACAGAATATTGCCATGTTCGTTGTAGGGAGGATCATAATAGGGCTTGGAAGTGCTATAACCGGGGTTTCAGGAGGGGTATATTTGACCGAGGCGTTTCCTAGTCGCTGGCGGGCGTGGGGCGTGGGCCTCCTTAATGACTTCTACTAGTGAGTATTCCGAATATGAGGAACCGGAACCGCGATTTAACTTGGGATATAGTATTGGGGCCTTGATTGCAGCAGGGGTTACTCTCGGTACTGGCCAGTGGCTTTCGACTTGGGCATGGAGAGCTCCATCTCTCTTCCAGGCAATATTCTCATTGCTCTGCATACTAACTCTCCCATTCATGTGAGTTGTGTCAGAAATCATCCTTCCAACGTGCATATTCTAAACGGATAAAGCCCCGAGTCACCGCGCTGGCTAGTACAACAAGGACATTACGAAGAAGCAAGACTTTCTGTTGCCCAGACAAATTCCCACAGTGAAATTTCGGATCCCGTTGTCGTTGCAATATTCAAAGAAATTGTCGATACTTTGAAATGGGAACGTGAAGAAGGTCATGGTATAAGCCCGATCGAGATTCTCAAGAGGCCGGTGATCAGAAAACGACTACTTGTTGGAATATCAGCAGGCCCGTTTTCCTGCATTGCAGGAAATGTAATTGCATCCTACTATTTAGGCTCTGAGCTTGACACTGCCGGGATTACAGATACTAAAGATCAACTCAAGGCGGTAGGTTATCCCCCCAAAGAACTGCAATTGTTTGGCTAATCAATGCAAGAATGTCGTTTTAAATACCTGGTGTCTTTTATGCAGCCTTATAGGTACGCACCTAGCAGCTAAATGGGGGGAGAAAATCGACGGCAATGCTGTCCCAGATGCTTCTGCTTTTTTGTCTCTTTGTGATAGGGGGCCTTTCAAAGATGTATGCATCAGACCCTGCTGGCGCGTCCAATGCCTTGGTATATGGGAACGTTGCTGTGATGTTTCTTTTTCAAGGATTTTACTCCATGGCGTGGACGCCGCTCTTGTATCTCTACCCGTCAGAGGTCATGAACTATACCATTCGTGCGAATGGCGTTGCTCTTTCATCATTTTCTTTGAATGCATTTGCGTAAGTTCATGAAACATGCCCTTGCGATTGTTACTAATATTTGACAGTCTCATCTTCACATTCATCATGCCAATTGAATTGGGTAACATCGGATGGAAGATGTACATTATTAATGCATCTTGGGATATCATTGTATTGGTCCTCATTGTATGTTTCTTGTTGCATCGAGTTATAAACTATACTAATCGCACAAGGCTATTTATTGGGTTGAAACTAAAGGCAAGACATTGGAAGAAATTGACGCCTTATTCGAGGGTGAAAAGCATTCATCAGTCCCTGATATTGAGGTTATTCGCAAAGGAAAGAAAGAAATCAACACAGAAGCTATTGAGGAGCAACTCACGACGGAACTGCATCAAAATAAATGACATTCATATCTCGGTACAAAATACTTTATCGCTCCGACTTTATCTGCTGCAGTTGGAGGTCTCCGCGCGGATTTTATGTGGGCGTGGACTAAGAAATTACCGCCGCTATTCGGCTACAAAATAGTTGAAGAAAGTCAAGAAAGTCAAGAAACCACATAGTTCCCGCACAAGATGTAACCTTGTCGCCCATCACTCCCCAGCGCCCCAAGTCTTGGATTCGTCTCGTTCTAGATGCATACACTAGTGTTGTATAATTGCAATTGAACCACGTCCTTGAATTGTTGCTATTGTGCCCATCTTATCTTATTAAATTTCCCTTTGATTTACTCCAACCTCTTCACAGCGTCAAGTTATATATCCACCTCATCTCTCCTGTAAGAAACATAATCGATAGTAGAGAGGGGACATGTTCATGTAGCTCCGATTATTACGTTTGAAAAACCATCCATGATTTAGTGGAATTACCTGGCAGTTTTTATCGATTCAAAACTTTCTTAACCTGATGCAGCCTAGTTGATTTTTTACTGGATAGTGGATGATTAATACCCGCCTTCCCACACACATCTCCCCCCCTTTCATGCGGGTCCTTTGTTCTGCCACACCTCCAGACTCCTTCGAATTCTCTGTCCGATCGCCAGTTTGATTCGCCACTGCTGAGTCTCATATTTCAATTCATTCGCAATGGAGAAAATCGAAGTATTTCGGAAGCCTTTCCTGGAAATCGCTTGTTTCGATCACGACTCCGCTGTAAACGCGGCAAAGGGAGGGGCAAGTAGGATCGAGTAAGTTCCTCTTGCCAGGCTGTTATCTCATCTAGATTAGAAGGGCTGTTGAATTCAATTTCATAATTCCTTTTACTCACCGCACGGCAGACTTTGTCAAGACTACGCTTCTGGTGGGCTGTCTGCCGACGCCACGACATTGGCGACTCTGAAATCCCGGCTATCCATCCCGATTTTTGTAATGATACGACCGCATTCGAGGAACTTTTATTATAGTGACCTGGAATTTCAACAGATGAAGGATACTTTGGAAAAATTGAAGAGCCTTGGCGCTGACGGATTTGTTTTTGGAATCCTCCAGCGTCCTGAAATGCGCACCAAATGGGGATGGATTGACATCGAAAGAAACAGAGAACTTGTACGGCTCGCGGAGGGAAGGCCATGTACTTTCCATCGTGCATTTGACTTGATTCCTGAGTTCTGCTGGGATAGAACTCTGGCGGGACTGGCAGCCTGTGGATTCAGCTCTATCCTAACCAGCGGTGGTTCGCTGGGAAACCAGGCAACCGATCATGCAAGCGCACTAGCAAGGCTTTTTCGTCGCAAGGATGCTCTCAATACCCGTCAATATATTGAAATAATCATTGGTGGTGGAGTCAGATCAATGAATATACAATCTTTATCGCAGGTGACAGGTGGGAGGAGCTTTCACTCAAGTGCCCTAGTAGATAGCGCAACTGTCGTCTCTACGGAAGAAACAAGAAAAATGTGTGAAATGTTAGATATAAAATATCCATGGGAAAGAGAGACGAATAAATAGAAACTTTCTAGTGGGTGCAAGCACTCGAGCCTTTAGGGTAGCCCTTGCGCCTCACTTTCTGCATTAAGGCCCTCTCCATCTTGTATCGAGGTTGCAAGTAACTCTGATCAATATTTTCTCTAATGTTTACCACTTCCTATCAATCAATCAATCAATCAACTCTTTAATGATCCAGTACCTAAGATCACTAAGTCTAAAGCTGCTATACTGGGGCAGTAACTAGCCTGCCAGTTGATAAAAGCGTGTTCCTGGACTATATAGGGTTGTGTAACGAACTGGTGTTGTTACCATTCGTAGATGCCTCTGCCTACAGCAAAAAACAACTATCTCTTAGTAGAATTGATAGACTACTCTATCTCAACAATCAGAGGTCCTACAGACTTCTAGATACGTTCATTCGATCTGTTGCATCCGTAGCTATATTTTAATATAGGCTTTGCCTAGTTAAAATAGCAGCTATTAATATAGTGTAGCTAGAAGGCGTATTCGTACATTCTGATTATCAAAATCTTCAAAATTCATAGACCACCGCTCAGCTATCTAAGCAGTTAATATCAATACTACAAAGCCTAAGAAGACCTAAAAGACTATATTTACCATAGAGAAAATCGTCTTATGTACTTAAATAATCCTTAAGTATATCTATAACAATATAGAAGATTCTCTAAGCAATAAAGTACTTAAGTTCATCTATAACGTTAAGCACTTTATAACTAATACTAATAATAATATCCTTATCTATAGATAATAGTAGATTACTATAATTACTACTACTATAAAATCAAGTAAATAAATCAGATATATTAATTCCTTAGTATTATTATTATTATTTTTTCTCTATCTCTAAGAGTACTACCATAGTAAATATCCTATAATACTACAATACTCTTACCTATACTACCTTTATCTCTTCTCTCTTCTACAATATATATTTATTATTTAGTTCCTCTTCTAGAGTTAGTAAAATAGTGTGAAGGGCTACGGCCGAATTGATTCAATTGAGCGGTGCCTGCATGCTGTTTATCTAAAGCTTAGAGAAGTATAAGAAAAACAGGGGACCCACGGCGAGTAAATATCCTAGTGAACTGAAAGATCACATCGCACAGGCCAAGCCTGGGCCATATATCAAGATCTGGCCCGTTAGACGCAGACTGCCATCAAGCATTTCCATCTTACACTAGCTAATAGTTTAATCCCTAAAGTAATCAGAAAGATTCTTAAAAGAATAAGAGAGTCTAACGAAAGAAATACCTAGGTATAATGACTTCTTATCTCTGTACTACTAATAATAGTTATTCCTTAGGGTTTTACTAATGTAACGGCATGAGGCTTCTCGGAGTTGTGTCACGTGTCATAGCACGTAACCCAGGCACCCATTCATGTATGATAGCTACGATAAGAGCTTCCCTCTCTTCTTTCTTTCCTTAGCTTATTACTTTCGTTCAATACTACCGCTTCATTTTCTGATCCATCCGAGTTCTTACAACTAAAGCAACTTAGACTTCTTTATTCTAGAATACTTTTTGGAGGTTTATCAAGATTAACTATAGCTATCCTATTAAGAGACTAGAGAAGAATATTAGTAATATTCTTAAATTTAACAGTATAGTATAGAAAAAAGATTAATTATATAACCAGATCTTCTTCAATTTATAGCCCTGTATATATAGTATTAACACCTGTAAAGGTACAGTATATCAGAGTAATACTAGCCTCTATACTAAAAGGTTAATAGGGAAACTAGGATCATTTAAAGTATACTAAAACAAGGCTAGAGCTATATAACATATACTGTCTGAGCAGAAACAGAAAAAATCAGATCTGTATTTCTAAATCTTTATATAATATAGTTAGACCTTGCCAAAGCTAAGTTTCTATAAGCCCTTAAGGTTATACCCTAATAAATTCCTATTACATTATAGTGTATCAATTCCTTCTATAATACATTGCCTATTGGAAAACTAAATATCACATAGCCACAAATCCGAGACTTACCCAACGAGACATTGTTCCTGATCACCATGTACCTCTACGGTAACACAAAAGTTACCTTTATAAGTTTTATACGGAGCTCTATATCACTAATTACAGCCAGTTATTCTCTAGTTTAATATTAAATATCAGAATAGTAATCTTCTTAGCCTAGCTACTAAAGATATTAATGCTGATCCTACACTACTGTTGCTTAATTATGGAGCAAACGTTAATATCTTCTTCTGTAGAAAGATTCTGGTGATAAGGGCTCTTAAATATTTTTTTCTTCTGTAGTGCTTAACCTCTTGCTGGAAGCTCTGGGCTGGATATAAGCATCTAGAACTGAGAGCAGGAAAGTGCCTTGCAGTGTACGGTTATATATGGATTATGCTTAACACTGTAGGCCGGGCCCTTTTAGAATTATCTAACTGTATAGTCAACCTCTGGTATTGATAAGGCTAAACTACACTCTATCTTACAGTGTAATAGGGTAGAATTCAATTAGTATAGCTGCTGTTCTCTAAGGGCAGTAACCCCTATATATATAATAACTCTGGGAGCTTGCTATAGGCTTGGGCATACTAATATAGTAGGCCCTCTAAAAGCTGTCTTTTTGAAGGGGTATAAATCTGTTCTGCTAATATAAACTTCTTCTGATATACCGGTACTATACTAGATAGTTCTCTATAGCTTAGTGGATACTGTAAAGCTGCTTTTGGGATAAAAAGAGTTTAATCTGGCGGTAATCAACTAAAGTAGTGCTACAGCCCTTTATTTAGCTGTTTATAGTTGATACCTGGAGATAGTCAACCTTATTCTCTGGTATCCTTATGCTGATATAAACCGTATAGATAATAATAGTAATACCCTGCTCCGGTGCTTAGTGTTTTCATTATATAATAAGATTACTGAAAAGCTACTGGCTATAAAGAACATTAATACTAACTTAATCAACTAACTTAATCAGCGGCTTTGGTTGACTTGATATACCCTAGTACTGCTGTACTATACGGTGACTTACTCAGATACTATTATCTTGAAATAGCTACTTATAGATCTAGAAACTAATTTGAACATTATTCTAGAAGACAAACCTCTTCTCTGCTGCTGCTACTGTAGACAGAGTTAATATATTAATAATACTTTTAAGTATGAGGGCTATATAAAACAATACCGATAGAGGGTTAATTGATCTACCTCTATATCAAACAGCAGCAGAAGGCTATATAGAGACTATTAGACTATTATTAAAGTAAGAAGAACAGCTCAGAACTAACTAGGGCACACTGGTAATGTATAATACAGCCCTAGGGATTGCTGCTTATGCTGGTAGCCTAGAAATGGTCCGGACTCTGTTATACACATACACACATAATTTATAAACACCCGGCGGTGAAGCCAAAAGGACAACTATCACTAATCTACTAATACATTTCCTAAAACATGCCTTATCTCCTTAGAGCCCATATATTTTTCCTTTCTGTCATTATTATCTCAGCTGTTAATATCAATTATAGTAGATCCTTACAGGTTAGTAATTTATAAGTAGACTAGCTTAAAGACACTTCTCTAAGTATTTAACATCCTATTCTCAGCAGTTGAAGCATATTTACTGTCTGGGGCATAAGATAGTTGATGTAGGTTAGTTTAGGGGGGAGGGGTTCGTTTATATTGGTCAACGTGGTTAAGTAGCGTCCAGTCAGCCTATAGTAATTCCAAATTATATTAAGGCTTACACTACTTCCAGTTCTAATTATCAGAGGGTGATTTCCCGTTCAGAAAGAAGGATATATTACCTTAGTGAATATCGGTTCTCTGCATCACTTCCGTCCGGTATATGGTCTACCTCTGATATCGAAAGAGGAAGTGTTCTGTGATCTCTCTGGCTTGTCTATATGTATACTAATCTGTCTCCGCGACGTTGATTCGATAAATATATTCGTTGAGTCTACCCATGCCAGTCCGGAGTTGGGCCAGCCCGCCCGCTTCTTTCCACGATAATAGATCGTACAGCTTCTGGGTGTGTTTCCCTGGGAGTGCTGCATCTACTCGTTTGGCGTGTTTTGTTTGGCGTGTCTTGTTTGGCGTGTCTTGTTTGGCGTGTCTTCGTTGTTCTCTGGTAGGCGTTTGCAGGTGGTTGCTTGGGATTGTGCGATGTCCAGGGTGGTCGACTTCATTCGGGGGACCTGTGCTTGTGGGATAGCGTCCTGACTCGATCAGAGCTCTGCACCAGAGATGGCCAGTGAAGAAATTGCAAGCAAATTCATCAAACCAGTCAAAAGGGTCAGTTGGAGCGTACACTCTCCGGGGTTTCTCTCTTTTCCTGAATCAATCGCTGTGAGGATGCTCAGATGCTCACAGAGATCAACGTACGGCGTAGCATACGAAGCAAAGGAAACAGTAGCTGTTCGACGAAAGTAATGGCTTGAGGAGAAGAAGGAGGAAGCTGAGATAGAACTAAGTACATGTAGGCGTGGATGCCTAAGTGGATGCCATCTACGTCAGGCATCCGCGAATGGTAACAACCCCAGTTCGTTACAATCGCCTTCCTTCCCAAATCTTTTAGTTAACCATTACCGATATTTACCTGTGGACAGAAATTAGCTTAAAAAGGGGGTTTTTCAACTATCGAATATCCCACGTCAATGGCAATGAACACAATAAGAACTTGACAAGACGCTATTCACAATCACGATATAACTGTACATGGTATGCCTTAGCTTAATCTCTGAAGCATACCTAAAACTTCCATCCAATCGCAGGAATGTGCATAAATTAGAAAAAGTCACGGAGATTTATATAATGAGCTTTCGATGGCCCATGGGGATGCGGAACTCTATTTGGGGTTATGACGTCTACATATCTCAACCGGAACAACTAGTGTGGGGAAACGCAGGAGAATCCATCAATAAGCTTTCCGTATCTCATCAACCTTTCCATTTGGAATTTCACCAAGCTTTTAAGTTCTTGGAACATCGAAGGAAGCGGGGGTTGAGCGAATGGTCTGCTTTTTAGGTTCATCTACCCTCGCCCCCACGTGCCTTCCATCCACGTGAGATGTGGGAGAATTTTTCTCGAAGGCAGTCTACAAACCCCACTGAACACAAGTTGCACATCCCAAGAGTCATATACTCCATGTCGTTGACGGAAGAGCAACTTCGGGCTATCTCAATAGCAGAAAGAGTGGGGGGAAGCTCTTCTCTGCTGGGCTGTGCGTTTATTGTGACGACCTATTGCGCTTCGCCCGCTTTTCGCAAGCCCGTCAACCGACTGATCTTCTATGCTTCCTTCGGGAATGCTTTCGCGGGTGTTGCGACTATCATCAGCAGAGATGGTGTTTTAGCAGGTCCAAACTCCAGCCTATGCCAAGCACAGGCATTCTTTATTCAATAGTGTGTTGCCACTCTCCACTACATGACTTACAGGATTACAAACTCTAATATTATGGTTGGAGTTGGATGCCAACGGACTCGTTATGGTCATTTTGTATGGCGGTCAATATATACTTGACTTTTTACCGGAGATACTCAGCAGAAGATCTCAAGAAGCTTGAAAAGTGGTACTTTGCTCTTTGCTATGGGTTACCGTTGATCCTGGCAATTATACTGAGCGTCATAAAGACTGCCGAAAGAGGGAGGGTCTATGGGCCGGCTCTGGTAGGTACCGCGAATGCATATGGCTTATGCATAGCATAAGACTGACCCCTGCTTAGATATGGTGTTCGATCACGGAACCATGGCAATTCTTACGTTTGGTGTGCTTTTATGGTCCAGTGTGGTACGTCGTACTCTAGCTTCTCGCAACTTTAGAACTGACTTCCTTTTTACAGGGTGGTAAGTATCACAACTTTTGTGATATACGCTACAGCGGGCGTCCGCATCTATCGACAGCAAAAGGCTTTACGGATGACCAAAGATGCGCCACCTGCAAACAGAGTGATCAACGTGACTCGATCGGTCTCGTTCGATGTAACCGCCTGTGCAGACAAAGGGGCAACGACGGAGCCAGCCATGCCATATTCGACCTGTATCGAGTCCCAAAAGTGTCATTCTGGAAGTGGGTTGGACATTCAGGTCAAGAAGAATCACTCTATGTGGAGTTATTTCAGATACTCCTTTATTTTCTTCATAGCCATGGTCGCTACGTGGGTATGAATTCGCTCTGAGAATAAACAGACCTTACGAGTCTTTACTAACGCCGTGTCCAGTTGCCGTCATTCATCAATCGAATCTATGGAATTATCGATCCCGCGAAACCAAATTTTGGCTTGAATTTGGCGGGTGCATTTGTCCTCTCTCTCCAAGGGGTTTGGAACGCGATTATCTACACATCGACCACTCTTCCGGTTTTTAAAGCCAAGCGGGCTTCTATGGTCAAATCCAGATCACACGCAAGGCGGCCTGTTAAAACCGCTAGGGGGGGAATTGACGATATCTCGCTTGGGCATGTGGGATTTGATGAGAGGTCTAACGCAGGCAGTACATCCTCTTTGGCAATCCGTTCCCCGCCTGAAAACCCCATCGCCGACGTGTAGCTATTCTCTTCTACTGTTTACCTAGTCGTCATTTGAAGTTCGATACCAGGTCTTCGGAGTGAAACAGGAAGCGGACGGCAGCTCAGTCGGTCCAGCACGGAGGTAAATCGGGTCGACCAAAGAGGCTTACGACCGGAGGCAGGGGCGGCGAAGGATCGGGGGCCATGAGAAGGACTAGTGGCTGCTCGTAAGATGATACTTAACATCAGTTTGAAAAGGCCAGGGTAGGGGGGGACAAACACACCTTCGGCAATACCACCTCTTGCCCACAGCCGGAGGGTACCAAGCCCTCGCGAGCTGAGGCCCATGGATATGTTGAGCGAAGCGGCCATGTTCCTAACAGATGCCTTGAGCGATGGGAGCATGACTGTATTATGTGTCAAGAGTCAGCACCATCAGGCTCGTCCAGCACGAGAGGCGGGTGCATGTCAATGCGTTGAGTCCACGCGACGTAGCGCGTCGGGCAGGCTCGGTCGTGTCGGGCGCAATATTGTCTTTGAACCTGGAAAGGAAAAGAAACATCAGCATTTTACCCAGGGTAATAATGGGCAAGTTCCCAACCGAGATCCTTATCCAACCTCATGGCCACGTAAGTAGGCAACAACAATGGCAATGCACCAGGGTGGACTTGACCGCGAGGGTCATTTCGCTGGTGACAGTGGGAAGGGATCGGCGAGCATTGACAACCGCAGCGAATCGTCAGCCCGGGATGATCGAACACGAAGCCCCACGGATAATATCCTACCAACTTGCTCTTGTTCGGAGAGCATTGGGTTATAGTGGTAGCATTGAGCCAACGTTCAGGGCTGCCTTCGGCGCGATCTATCTTAGATGGCCAGCAGAGAGCACAGGGGGGGTGTAAATCACTCACTATTTTCACAGCTTGAAAAAGAACTCTTAAGCCAGTCAAGGTACAGATGTCGATTGGTTTCGTGGGAATGCTAGCAATAGGGCTAATTCTCTAAAAATCTTCCAAGTCAGCATGGTGTCAAGTGCTGACATCGATGCACATACCTGCCATGAATGTAGTGCTCCATCGAGCATGGACAAGCTAGAGGCGGTGTTGTGAGCGTCGGTACAATCACAAGTATGAGAGATCAGGTTCGTACAGCACCACAGAAAGCAGGTCGAAGGCCCAGGCCATATTCCGCTGCAGACCTATACCAGTGGCTGCCATCTCATCCTGGCAATAGAAATAGGCCAGACTTAAAATGCTCAATCGTGCCAGTACGAAACATGGGCAATGTGGAAGAGGAAATCGTCCATGTCTAGGTTGGGCTGACTGGGGAATGTTTTCAAAGAGACCGTTGTGCTGGGGTCTGGGGGACATATTTATTGTGCTGCGGGCGCGTTGTCGCTCGCGCAGCTGGGATCGATGGATGGTCCGGCCGAGTTGGCCCTAATAGTGTCCCTCATATTACGGCCTGTTGAACTGTTTCACCATTTATTACATGCTACTTTAATTGAAGCCGCAGTTTCGTCTCGATAAAATCCTATTCTGAACTCTTATTCCAAGATTTCAACGTCGTTTCAAGTTTCGTGACGCAGCTACCACAGATCAGAACACCGACAACGCGTCGTGTCAACTTTCATAAACATGAGTTTCTACCAGCTAAAATACATTCTGGCTATTTTTCAACGTCTGGCCCGAGAAGGAATTCTGCGGCATCATTTAACTTGTTCTCAACGATGACAATTTGATGAATATTTGATGCCAACATTGACCAGGTTGATCTTAATATGATGTCGTTGGGATCTTAACTTTTCTGCTTCATGTCTAATATAATACTCTCAAAATGTTATGTTGCAAAAGAAAAATCGTATACCTGAGCCCTGCAAATGACGCTAGTTCCGGAGATATATTTCCCAGCGATTACCATTGTCGGGCCGACCTCAAATGGAGGGCGAGCAAGCAGGAAACGATGGACAGATGCCGCATTTTTGAGTGTAGATTATAAAACGCTGGACAGATATAGTAGCTTTTGCAGGTTCTTATGACTCAATAAGCCATACCTGTGGAGTGAAGTGATAAGAGTAATAAGGTCTGAAGCTAGGCAATAGTATGGTAGGTGGACAACATGGGAGGCTAGTATTGAGTATGATCAGAAGGTCCTGATCCCATAAGGCGAACTATTTTCACTAGATTGTTTAGAATCAAGAGCCAGACCGCTTTGAAGGTGATGTGATAGGGCCCCTTCGTTGAAGTAGCTTGACAATCACTTTATATCCTCCTGATAAGGCAGCCTGGAGAGCAATACCAAAGGCTGCTCCATAGCTTAAGAGTAGTTTAATGATTATTTGATGGCCTCCTAGTGAGGTAGCCTGGAGAGCATTGCCATGAAGGCCACCCTGGGTATTGATGTCTGCTCTCTGGTCTAAGAGTAGTTTGACAATCTCTTGATGACCTTCTGATGAGGCAGCCTGGATAGCACTGCCATCAGAGTTGTCTTGTATGTTGATGTCTGCTCCTTGGTCTAGCAGTAGTTGAACAATATCTTGATCCTATCATGATTCTCGAGATGTTATTGAATGGAGCGAAATTCTGACATGACTGCGGAGGTGACGGAAGGTTAGCGTCACAGACCTCAATAGCTACCCGAGATCTAGATCCCCGCTGACATCACCACTCCCCGGCCATCTCTTCCTTGTGTAGCAGATCTCTAGAATCTTGTGGCAATTAACCAACTAATAGTCAGTCAGAGGCTGCAAACCTGTTCTGATCGATAAAATACGGATTTCCCACCAATCAAGACCGTTCCTTTCTTGGCAAATCTCGGAGCGGAACATAGGTGACAAGTGAATCCCATGGAGTTCTCCTTTTATGGGGATCGAATCTCCTACCGTCAAAATTACCTCGAGTCAAAGAAAATGCCTGGTTGTAGAGGCTAACCCGTCATCGACTTCGACACGATTGATTTCTTCCTACATTATCTCGCTGAGTGTCTACGAGACAGTCTCAATAACAGCTCCTATCGGAAGATGAGAAGAGCTCAGGAGCCAGTGACGTTCTGTAATCCAGCAGATTGCCGATCACGATTTTGAATGTTGGTTAGAAGAGCTCAGACCGGTCAAGAAATACTCACGTGTGTCAAACTGCCTTCATTTCATTCACTATGTGCCCACACCGATGAAAGCATAGCAGAGATGTATGTTGAACAATGTGGACAAGGGACACAATTATTCTCTATTCTGAGTCTATTAATTTAATACGAATAGCAGATAACTCTGAAGCATGCCTGGCTCTGAGTCAGTTACCATAATTGTATGTCACTTCCTATTTCTTCTGTCCCAGGCTATCATTCAGGCTTCGGGCTGTATGCCTAAGGTTTTGAACTAATAATATATAGATAACAGACTGGATTCTGTTCTTCCTTGCCACCCTAGCTGTTACAGCCCGGTTATATGTCCGACTTTTCCTCCGAAAGACACCGAATGTGCTCGCAGAGGGCCTCGTTGTAATGGCTTGGTGTTCTATACTTGTAGCAACCATCCTGTACACTATTATAGTGAATGGTGGGCCTAGAACTGGCTTTATGAATGATCTCCAGACGCGGAGCAGTTTGCAAGAGGTGAGACCATTATATATAAGCTCCAAAAGACTCCCGACTAACCATGAATGCAGCTTCTTTATGTTAGCGCCTTCTTCTGGATCACCGGACTATATTTTACTAAACTCAGCATGGCGATTTTTTATTTTTACCTCTTTCCCCCAATTATGCCTCGGCTGCGCATCGCGTTATGGATGGTAACCATATACATTATATTTGCATTCATTACATCGCTTATCATCCTTCTTGCGTGGTGTATTCCGATTCGAATAAACTGGTTAGTTTGCTCTCCATTTGATTATGAAGCTGAAGGTACTTACCTTTTTTTTTCTTAGGAATCCACAGAACCCATGCAGCGCGCTTGCAAATAGAGAAACATTCAGTTTATTCTGGGCATTGAACCTTACGGGAGAGGCGTCACGTACGAGGCTCTCTCTAATTTTCTATCCTTGATTGCGTCTAATTGAGAAAATAGTCTTCGTCCTACCCTTCTTTCTCCTCCCTAACCTAAATGTAACACAACCTCAGCTCTATACGATATTAGGGATTTTCGCCATCGGGCTAATCACAATCATTGCGGGCCTTGCTCGGTTCATTGTTATCATGATCTCGGCTCAGAATGCTGTCACAGGATGTATGCCTCCTTCTCCCCCCATAAAACTATGTACCTAAGGGCCAACCTGACTGGAATGTAATTTCAAGTCATCCTAACCCAAACAGAACTCTGCTGTTCAGCGATCACAGTCTCCCTCCCCACGCTCAGGCCACTTGTTCGGCAGATACTTGGTGGTAGTTGGTTGAACAGTGGTTCCTTGAGTGATACCCATTCCCCACGGACGCCAGTTATAGCGTCAAGACCAGCCTATCATATTCCTCTGGATGCATTTGGGATCACGAGATGGGAGGAGCGAGATCATTATGAGCCCAGCCACCCGAGGTCCGACCGTGAAAGGGTTGAGCTAGGGAACAACACGAGATTCGCGGTGGAACCGCAATATGAGGGTACTAGTGGCCTGACGGATGAAGGTGATAGCTTGAGAATATAATTGAGGACTACTGCAAAATACTGCCATGATCGGATACATACAAACTCACTTTCGTCATGACGTTGGCAAAATTCAAAACCGAGGCTCTTCAAGGCCTATGCACTCAAGAGCAACTCGATCTCTTGGACTCCATCGACACACTCCGATCGCAGGGCATCAGCCTCAATGTCTCTCTCCCACAGATAATAGTCTGTGGAGACGAATTGTTCGGAAAGAGCTCTGTTCTCGAAACTATTTCTGTGTCTCTTTTCCCGTGAAAAGTAACCTATGCACTATATTCCCTACCGAACTGGTTCTGCGAAAGAACTCGCAGGTGGGAGTCCGAATTTGCATTGTTCCTCATCAAAATCGCAGCGAGGCGGAGCAGCATTCGCTTGGCAGCTTCTGTGAGCAACTCGACGGGTTTAATGGCCTTGCGGATTTGATAGATAATTCAAAGGCGGCAATGGGCATATCAATCTACGAAGAAAATTCTCAAATTATCTCTTGGGGGTTGAAGTCTCGGGCCCGGATAGGCCACATCTCACGATTGCCGATCTTCAGGGCCTCTTTCACTCTGAAACACGCCAACAGTCGGCAGCAGATGTTCAGTTGGTTCAGGACGTGATTCAGTCGTACATGAAAGAACCACGTGGTGTCATTCTTGCTGTTCTATCTGCAAAAAATGACTTTGCGAACCAGATCATCCTACGTTTAGCGCGGGATTCTGATCCATCCGGGGTCCGAACTCTCAGCGTTATCTGCAAGCCTGACGTACTGGTACCGAGATCTGAGAGTGAAGCTTTATTGGCTTTGCTTGCTAAGAATCAAGAGGTGGAGTTATGTCTAGTTGACTCATTGAGAACGTGTGTTAGCGGCCTGCTTCTTGGCCAGGTTGCAAGTGAGCTTCCTAGCTTCGTCGGCGAGATCAATGCGAAGGTCCGCTCCTGTCAGGTGCAGCTTCAGAAACTCGGCGACCCTCGGGCAACTGCGAATGAAAAAAGGTCATATCTTTTGCATGTCAGTCAAGGTTTTCAATCCCTCAATCCCTTACCAGAGCAGCCGTGGACGGCATTTACAACGAGCCTTTTTCCGGCGACCTGAGAACGAAAATTGGCCCTCAGAGACGTAGCCGAGCAGTCGCAGTCATTCAGAACCTGAATGAGCAATTTATAGATAAAATCTCTATTTGCGGCTATTTACGCATATTCTCGAAAACGAAAATGAAATATCTGTCCCCAAGAATCAAATTCCCATCACACGGGACAAATATATTCAAAATATAGAAGTGCTTCTCAAAAAGACAAGGAGTCGAGAATTACTTGGTATCTTTAATCCCATGATACTGAAAGATTTATTTCAAGAGCAGTGTACCAGTTGGGATGACATAACAGAAAACCATAATCAGAATTATCTTTAAGTTATAGTATATACTGAAAGATGGGAATGCTCAATGGCAATCTGCATACTGCAGACAAAGAGAGAGAAATAAGATAGACAACACTATACCTGCAGGGTACACATATTGTAGAGAGTAGGTAGAACTCTAGAGATAGAACATTCAGAGTATCCGAGCTCTGTCGCTACCAGTATACGCAAATTACAATAAGGAACGATTATATTGACCCGAACAGTGGGTAGTGGTAAGATAACTATCACTAAGGGCTTATATGCAAAATAGGAGCAAGGCCTGAGGCCTACAATGTCATATGATATCACCAGAGCGATTCCCCTACTACAATACTTAGTAAAGTTAATTAATTACTTTCAGGTCTTAAATTAAGCTTAGCTTCTGTATATAATCTAGCTAATAAACCACTGAATAATCTAGAAAGCTTTAAATATTTAAGTAGAAATATTTCTTTTTATCTTCTAGATCCTCTATTAATAGATATTATAAATAGATAATAGCTATTGTAATGAGGATTTCCGCTCTCAACATCGGTATCCTAGGGTCATGTGACAGAAGCCTTAGCAACAAGGCCCCCGTTTTGTTTCGGGAGAATAAGTAGCGTTCGTTCCATAGTATCAATTCAACACGCATGTTCCCCCTTATGAAATGATTCCCTGAGGTTGATGAGGTTGCGGTATCGGTATACCACTCATGAAAGGTTCTATTGTTTGTTCTATCAATCCTCTACAACGTCACGCTTTGCCTATCTCGTTCCTGCACTCTACGAGTGTGGTGGTGTTGTCTCTTCGTGATCGACCCGTCTGCTAACGCAGATAGCCTTCGAGCATTCCCATCTTACACTATCTAATACTTAGTTTCTGCTAGGATCTATAAGTATAAGTAGTTAATACTATTAGAACTACCCTTCTTTATAAGAAATTTCTTTACTATCTAATAAATTAAAAAGATCTTAGAGTTATTAATAAAGATAAAAAAGCTATACTAGGTCTTACTCTATACTTTTCTAGATAGATTTATTATTGTTAAGAGTTATCTTCTATATAATCAAATAGTAAATATAGATAGGTAGAAGCTTATCGTATAACTGTCCTTCTTCCTACTCACCTAGCTAAAGTAATAGATACTATTTTATTTACAGCGATCGGTACTACAGAGAAAAGTCATCATCTAGGCAGTCTTCCAGGCTAATAATAATCATCACAGAGGGTCTCTGACAAATGCCATATCCGGGGGTCAGGCATACTCTAGGGTGGGAGCAAAGAGCGATGATTAGCCTGGGTTCGAAATCTTTTACAACGCGGTTCACTATGCTGCCACATTGTATCTGGATCTTTCCATGAGCGACTAGACTAGGAATATGGAAGGCTCGATGTCTGAAGGGTATGTGACTGTAATTTACGGGTTGAAACAGGGCAGTACTGCACAAACAGCACCCAACCTTTACCCTAGAGTCTTGGCAGTAGGGCTCAGAGCTAAGAGTAGAGTGTAAATTGGTGAAGCTGGTTTTGCAGTTCGCTGTATATATAGGGTCTCTTATTCCCTCTAAAACAAAAAAAAAATTATTCAACCATATGAACTACATCACTATGCCATATGCGATGTAGTTTATTAAAAGCATAACAATAAAGTATTGCTTTACAAAAGTAACAGGTAAGAACCATCATCTAGCAGTCGAAAAGAACTTTGCACTCCGAAGTTGATTCTATTCCGAGCCCATAATAGTCATTGCCATTCGAGGGACCCTCGCCGTCAATGTGGGTTTGGGTCGCGTAGGCACCGTGGCACTCGCTTTTAGAGCGTCCATTGTGTTAGTTATATCATTCATATCAGATTAAAAGTCAGAAATTGGTTTGGGGCTTTGACTTACGTGAAACCGTTCATGTTGCAAGTAGCACCCCACGAGAATGTGTCGTCCAAATAAGCAGACCTCCATGTGAGCAGATCGCTACAGGATGGATCATCACCATCGTAATCGCCAATGTCATTTCCATCAGGATCATAGAGTCTCACACCACTGGTAGCAGCAGAGGGACTGCCATCTGGCCCTCCCCAGATGTGGTTGTTGCTAATCCAACCGACGGCGGAGCACTTACCCGCCATAGCAGATGGTAGACTGGAAGCCACGAGCAATATAACGGGGATAGAAGCATGCATGATAATATCGGCCGAAATTTCTGAGTGACGTTATCCGGAAATTGGGATAGTATTGAGTGGTACTTGATGAAATGAAATGAATTAACGAACTAGAAAGCAGTTTGAATGTCTTTTATATAGTCATTCCTGTGCCTCTGTGGCCCCATTTGTCCTGACCTACTAGGAAACTATATGCGAGATCTCTAAAGATTTCCAAGTATGCCAAGGGCATTTTTCCCAAGTGCTAAAATTGTAACTTCCTTGTAGGTGCATTTCCTCAAGGTAACTATTTTTTAGAATTTCTTTCAATGACATCATAAGTCTCACACAAAGTCGAGAAAAAAACAATCGACAGAGGGTCTAAGCCAATTATAAGCCATTTCATTTAAAGATTCATTGGGGGCTAACTTGTTGATAGTCGATGGTTCTATCGAATCATCAGCTGACGCGGGATCTATTTCCCTCTAGACTTATAGTGTTACGTACGCTGATACCCGACAAATGTTGATTTTATGGAGGCAATCCTGCTTCTGGTCATTATGATGGCTGTGCTATTCTGTCGTCACTAGGACACTTCGTATTGACATCATAGCCTGCTTCTATCTTATTTTGGGGGCTTCGGAACTCGCCAATAGCTTGCCGGACAACTTAGAAGTTTCCGGAAGTCCTAGAATTCCTTTACAAGGGATTTGTAGATTAAAAGAGTACAATAATGATCGAATTCACAGCAATATTGATACATTTAAAAATTCTATATAAGATTTCCGTTGGGAAGTTTGTCTTACAGTATCCTCTTAAGTTTTATATTATCTCATATTTCGTAGAGAACCTCACGAAGCTAAGCCCCCGCCAAGTCAGCCCCCACAAATCCCCGCTCTAGGTTGATCCTTCAGATTATCACTCCTCGTCGATGACACATAGAAAAAGATATCTTGAAAAATGCCAAGTATGCTCTGTTACTGAATGACCTAACCTACTTCAATGACAGACGTAAAAATCCTAGGTTACCTAAGAGCTCTATCACATCGAACATATCTAGAAACTTACGTCTGCTAGTTCTGTCTTACGTCGCAGATGTAATAGACCCAGAGAAAAAGTCTGATAAATAATAAAGGTTCTTAATAATAATAAGGTACGTTTACTAACTGTCTAACCACTGACCGTAGCCGGCTAGCAAGACGTAACATTTTATAGAGGTCAGCACGAAAAACAGACAGAGTAGCATTCGCAGAAATTTTGCACTACTAAGTTGGATACTGGATCAATCTATGTGACGGTTAGCGTGGCGTCTGACCAAGCGTTCTTCCTACCATCACCTACACTTAGACCTCACCAAACGCGGGTTTGGGTTGGGTTTTCAATTTCTTTTCCTGTCTACAGATAACCCACCGCGGGTTTTGGCCTTGGTGTGCCCGCTTATTGAATATCTGTAACGAACCACGGCTCGGAATAAGGCCTGTCCTACGGGGATAAGGGGAACGCTATGCATTTGCTTTTAGGGGTTCTGCCCCTGTATGGCCCCACCCCGCCTATTTCCTATGCATTCGCTTTTTCTCTGCGATGCAGCCGTTCGCGCGTCCCCGGGGTATGGACGCTCCCGACCGTGGCGATCCGTACCCCAGTGGCCTGCCGACAATGGACTTCATTTTGACTGGATTCTATATCGTGGACCTGCGATCTTGGTGCGGCTGAAGTTGAGGATCATCTTTTAATGGGGTGTAACCGGAGAGGGGAGCGTAGGGAGGGGGAGGGGTCTGTATCGAGTAGGGTTTTCAGAGTACTACTACCACTACTGAAATCCGATATATTATATTTGCTACACGTGATCTGCATGTACAAAGTAAGCCGAAGTGTCGCAAGCAAGTGAAACAGCACAAGTCATAAACGATAGCGGCTCTAGCAACGACGAAGAATATAATTCCCGCTAAATAATCTGCTTCGCCAAGCATACTAACGAAAGTGAGCCGCATTCATCTCGTGGTGCGAAAGATCAGCTTCACCTCGATTATCAATCTTCTGGATTTGCATCTAGCATTGATGGCAAGGCCTGGTAGATTGAGGCCAGGGCTTCGATGCCTCAGGGAGCAAGTTGAAAGGGACGAAATGTTTTGGCGAAGAAATGGGCTCCAAGAGCTCGATAGCTGGGCCCGGAATTGCGAGGCTGTCGTTCGATGATCTCAACTAGACTGAAGTCTGGGCGGGTAGCCCCGGAATTTGTCTCTGCAGATTGTTCCCCAAGAAAGCCCTGCTCCACAGCCATGAGGAGCTTACGGACCGATCGTGCACTTTCAGGGAGATAGGCCCGGCTTGTCTCCCCACCCTCATGGCCATAAGAGGAAAAATAGGCCCTGGATCTCCGATAGAGATACTTGACCACTGCTCGGGCTAGAATTAATCCGCTGAAACACAGCCGAGCTGATCCAAACGGGTCTTCGCAGTAGGGATCATCTTTTGTATGGGCTTCATAGGCAAATAATACATGCTCTTTATCTCTATGGAGACTACGGGTCGTGGGAACACGATACTGCGGGCTGGGTGTGTAAGTCGAGGATATTTGGAAGCTTTGTGGAGAAGGGGTGCTTATGATCATCACTATGACGTTTATTTATAGATATTGGTGTATCGAGAGCGAAAGAATGTTGAGCGGTAGGTCACAAGAGGCCATGCGCCAAATCGTAAATCTAAGTCGATATTTTGATGCCAAGAATCTAAAATTATCCTCTCAGCCATACAATTCTCTATCACCGAGGCTTATATATTTCACTAAATAGATGTTGAGAGGGGTAGTCATTGGATCTCTAGTTCTGAAGACATTTAGCGCCGGCACTGGGCTTCGTTGCATTTAAATAGCGATTTTCGAGCCAGGATATATGGCCATGAAACTTCTGCGAAAACTAAAGAGTCTGTGGTCACACTGAATCTAGATATTCACTGGTGATTGTGTGAGTCTTAGAGTCAGCCTATCATAGTCTCATGATAGGCTCCACCTATGTTATTATGGTGTTCACTACAGTATGTTATCTATTTCTTACCTTCCCGATAGCTAAATTTTAAGACTTGATTTACGCAAGGCCATACTGTTTAAGTTGGCCAATGCTACTTTTGATATATGAGTAAAGGCTGCAAAAAGTCTTGGCTTTTAACTGCATTTTGCGGAAGCGCCCGAGACTTTTGATAACCAGCAACAAGATTCTGCAGGAAGAATGTCTTCAATAAGTGTTTGTTCAACTGAAGAATACTTTTGGCCATTCTGGGCTAAGGCAGAAGTTTGATGGATAGTAGATACAGAAAGGTAAAAAGATGAAGGTAGGTGCCAATATTCAGATCTTGAAAGCTATCATGGTTCGATCTTAAGTTGGGTACCGTCTAGAATGACCGTCTTGCCATTACTTCGGCTTTATACAATATAATCAAGTTAATGTTGATAAGGAATTCGAGTACCCAAAAGAATTATGAGAGAATTAATTAAACGACGGAATCATGATTTATGTTAACGAAGCATACAGCGATATCCGATTTAGGGGCATATATAACCTATGAGGCCTATATAAGAATTCGCTCAATCATTCGCCGCTGTAGGACATTGCACTGCGCGTCTCTACATTCTGATGGACACAAGTGTTTCCGTTAGCAATCGTGATGAGGATAGATGTATACCCGTCTCTTGGGCCACAGAGTCTTGTTCCTCTGCGCCGTTCCTGAAGAACAGAGCCAAAGTTAATTCTCGGGATGATTTGTATGCGTCGCCTCTATACTAGCTAGAAGAAATTGTTGACCGTGAAAATAAGAACTGCAAAGCTAAAATATCGTATCTCAAAAAAGGAATGACGCAACTAACAAAGCTTCGAAAAGAGCATAGATCCTGAAAAAGTTGCGACTCCTCTGAAGACAAGAAAGAAGCTAATAAGTAGATTTTCCTAAGAAAGCCAAATATGTCCTGATCGAAGCTAAGCTGATTTGAACAGCCTCAATGTTCGATATTCTAAATAATCGGAACGAGTTTTTTCCGAGAACTAAGGCAGTTTGTGCTGCCAATGAATTCTTCGTTGTTTCTTCCATTTAATGATGTCATGGTAGAAGACGGATAAGCTCATCGGTGAAGTCATAAAATCTCGCACTTTGGTCCCACCTTGGATAAAGCCAAAGGGATTTTTAATAGACCTGCCTTTTTTCAACCACCTGGCTAATGGTCGGGGAAGTTTGAACTAAGATAGCCTCGAACGCATCTCTCCTCATCACAGCACCGAACCTAATGCACCAAAGCAATCTCCCATCAGCAAGAAATAACGATTTGTCACCGTTGAATACACGTACCCATGGCAATTGATAAGCTTGGAAAGCGATGCAATCAAATCTCGGAGTATGGCTAGATCAAGCTTATTTGACCACGACTGTTGGACAATATAACACCAGGCTTGAGTCGGGCTAAGTTCATCATCGAGAACAAGCTCTTCAGACAGGGCTAGCAGTTTATCAAAGATAAAGCCTGGATTCTGAGGTGACGAGGCGTGTTTTGACAACGTGGACGGAGTGCGTAAGTGTTTATGCGGATGGACGAGGGTGGCGGATGCAAGCAGAGCATGGCCGTTTGATTTGTCTGGCTGACGCTCCAAGTGGGGCAGACAGGGTTGTTCGAGTCTATAATACTATTAAGTGACAAAAAGAGATGCATGGTGAAGGAATCCTACATACGCCAAGACAAACTCCATGCCCATGTCAGTCATACTTTGCTTAAAAGGGTGTTCAGCGCATCTTGACTGTGAATCGGTTTGCTGAGCGGGTGAAATAAGAGTAGGTGGACGGAAATATCGATCAGGCTGCTGACTGTTTGTTGACCCAATGAGCTGGCCATGGATATTAGGAGACTGGTCCGACATCATATGGTTGGAGATGGTTTCACTAGTCAGGTCCACCGACGGATCGGTCCCCTCAAAACCCATCTCCGCTTTGGGTCCCCAGGAACTAATCCCATCTTTGACATCGCCATGGGATTGAAACAGGGCATTGGCTGCAGTCGGGTCTGCTCCAATGTTTTCAATTTCCATTAAACCGCAAAATGGTACCGAGAGTACAGATTGCTCACGTTTATCAACAATATCCTGCAGTACGTTGACCTGAGTACGCAGTTTCTGAACTTGAATGACCAGATTCACTTCATTTTTCCGTAGACGCAATACTTCACTCTCTAGGTTCTTAAAGTACTGATCCTTGCGCAGACGGTGCGTGCTGTTGAAGATCAGCTTAGTTTGGTATTGCGAGAAACAGTTCCATACCGCTGAGCTTTTCGAAGTTGTTCTCGTCGCTTAAAGAGGGTTGAGCTAGTATCACCTGTGATCGGAAATGAGTGGCGCGTTCCAATCATGAAAGTGCTTCTCTGCTACAAGAAACACGATGTGACCTCTGTACCTGATTCGGAATCTGGCCTATTCGAGCGATGTCCAGGAAGGAAGGTGAAGGCTTTCTTCATGTTGAATTAAGTGGCCGAGGCAAGTCGATCCGGGATTCAAGGGTACATGTGGAGATGAAGATCAAATGGTCAGAAATATACAAAGGATGGGTACAAAAGGTACGGTTGGATGGAGGAGACAAAATAAGCGGACAATCAAGGAGGTGGTCATCGAGTAAGCTATCGCAGGGTATCCGTTTCAATATCGTAATCAAAGGATCCAGTAATTAGACTAGCGGCAATTTAACTCCGATGCTAGACCCGATTTGTTGAGGCGCCTAGCGAAGCATAGCCCAATTGTGTCACATAAGTGGATTGTTGACTTAATCGTTATTTCCTATTTGGGCTAGCGCGAACCTTGAGTGAAAACAGGTCCATTCGGCTAACTTTGAAGGGGTTCGTGGATTGTTGACTTAATCATGGTTTCCATTTGAGGGGAGCGCCAAATTGATTTGAATCAAAATTCGTGACGTTAACTTGATCATTCCTTCCTGAATCCATGTAGTTCGTACCATACCAACGGGCTGGAGTTCAAAGTCGGTCTTGACCCCCTTACCCTGTAGGGAGGTTGTTATATAAAGAGTACATTGGACAAATCTAAATAAGCATCTGCAAAATAATTTCAGTGGCCATTCGTTTTTTCTTTTCGCTCAAGGTTTCTTGCTCCATCCAGTTCTTTAACACAATGCGCTCTACTTTCACTCCTCTCTACCTATGGGTAGCGTTCCTCGCAGGGGGCGCATATGCCAACAGCCGGAATGCATGCCCCAAACACCCTCAAGAAGCATTTCGCGTTGGCAAAGCAGTGTACTTACAATCCAACAAGGAGCACAACTCGATTATTTCAATTCCCATCGGACAGGACGGTAAGCTCTATGGCGGTATGATCACAACAACGGGTGGAATGGGAGGCGACGGTATCGACGGAGCCACCAACAAACCTGCCGGTCCAGATGCGCTCTCATCCCAGGGTTCAGTGGCAGTAAGCGAGAATGCAAGTTTCAAAACATCCCATGGGGCTCTTTCTCGAGGAAAACCAGCTAATTGGTCCTTAATAGTATCTTTTCGCCGTGAACGCCGGTTCAAACACCGTCAGCATGTTCAGAATTGACGAAATTGATGCGACGCATTTGTGGATGGTCGGAAAGCCAGCTGCTATTCCTGGCGAATTTCCCGTCACTGTTGCAGTTTCGGTGAAGCGAAACGTGATATGTGTTGGATACACTGGAGCAAAAGCCGGTGCTTCCTGCGCTTCATTCACGCCCGAGGGACTTGGTCAAATGAATCAGGTCCTCGACTTTGATCTCGGTCAGACCACGCCTCCTACGGGACCCACAAACACAGTTGCGCAGGTATTCTTTACTGCAAATGATACTCGCCTGATCTCAACTGTCAAGGGGGACCCGAATACCAACAAGACGGGTTTCATCTCTGTTCTGGCATTCAAAGATTCACGCTCTTCTGCTTTTGAAAGCCATGATACTCGAAGCTCCCCATCTGGAACCGCTGTGTTGTTTGGCGGTGTTAATATCCCGGACACCTCTGATCTGTTCATAACGGACGCATCTTTCGGAGCCACGCTTCTCAACCTTCACGCAACTACAGACAAGGTGTCTCTTCAGCAAAAAGTTGTCATCGAAAGGCAACAAGCGACGTGCTGGGCTGCCTACTCCCAGGCAAGGGAGAGTGTCTTTGTAACTGATGCCGCGGCCAACCGACTAATTGAGATCAGTGATGACGGATCTGAAATAATGTCAATTCTTGACTTGGAAAACGGTGATCCTGGACTGATTGATCTTGAGACTTCCGGTCGCTTTGTTTATGCACTTTCCCCGGCAATGGCACTACATCTGCCGCAATCACAGTGGTGGATTCTTTCCAAGGTCGACAGATTCAGCATTTCAGGCTAGACAAGCTGGGAGCGAGTAAACGCTCCCAAGGTTTGGCTATTCTCCAATAAGCAAAATTCATGGAAGAGGCTTCGGTGGCACATGGTGCGATTTCTTGAATCTCGTGGCTTAAGTATGAGAAGTCTTTTGCGAATCTGGATTATTCTTGTTTGTACCGAGAAATGCAGTGTAGGGAAAACCTCTTGTCGCTTTGTCTTGATTCATCATTTCCCGGTTTTAATATCCCTCTGTTTGCTGTAGCTTTCTATCAGATATGGGACGGGAGAGGGGTGCCCCCGGTGAGCTCGCACTGGGCAGCAGTCCTAGCCAGGCTACTGGGAAAATGGATTCATACCTTCTCGTGGTGTCCGGTGTTAATCCTCATAGAGGAAACCAAATTGAATCCGCCGTGGTTATGCGGTTCGGCCCCGTGCAGGAAACGACCGTACAACCACACCCAAATCAGGGGACAACGGGATACGAAAACCATCCGACTTCCTTTTACCTAACTCGTAGGCCTGCTCACGATACGATATCGCAGGATTTTGGCCTATCGTTATCGTATATCGTCATCGCAGAATCCTTGCGATATTTATCGTATATCGTATCGTTTTTTCTAACACCTTGCGACACGATATACGATAAATATCGCAATAATTTTAAGCCTGCGATACGATATACTATACGATATTGCGATCGATAAACGATATCGTCAAATAGGATACATTGGGCTACGCGTCGGCCACAGTCGCGTGTCAGCCACGCTCACCACCACAATAGCTGTTCAATATCACTATAACGCGCTGAATTGCTCAAAAGTACAGTTAAAAAATAAAGAAGGCTTTGTTTCCTATCCAGGTCTAGTTCTAATGACCTCCGCGGCTATATATTAGCTACGGTCGTATAATGGCCACGAAGAATATAGTCTAATATCTATACTGGCTCGCATCAAAAATATATATATATTGATCATGGAGGTGTGTGGTACTACAAGTAGAGGTTTCTTATTGGCCAGGGCCTATAACAAAGGTCCTGTGACTAGGCTTGGCATTATCGTACGATAAAATCGTATCGCAGCACTACATCGTTATCGTATCGTTTTAACAGTGCTACTGACGATACGATTGCGATTGCGATAAAAACGATACGATATCACAAAATTGCGATATCGTGAGAAGCCCTACTAGCTCGCAGTCGGGCCCTGAAGCTGGTCTTGTATTATCAGTGGAAGTAGTATCGCCCTAGAAAGAAGACAGGAAACCTCTGAGCTTGTATACGGTCTGGGATAGTAGTGTAAGAGATACAGCGAGGCAGTCGTGAACCGGTGACACAGGCAGTCAAGCTAATATCAAACAGACCTTATTCAAGGCCTAGGATGTAACGAACCGGTGTTGTCGGAGTCACGGTCCCGATCACGTGACCATGACCGTCTGTTCCATCTGCACCATAACAATCGCGCTAGAGCTTACCTCTCTTTCCTTTCTTCAGCTTTATTACTTTTCGTCAATACTACATGAATGTTATTTCATCCCGAGTCCTTACAATCTTCCACCTACTATGCCTACACCACTTTGGCGCCTCTGACCTGGGGCCTCTGACCTGGGGCCATACATGCAATCTTAAATGGCTCCCGGGGCTGCTAGAAGCACTGCGTAACTGATTATAGCAATGAATACTATTCAATGATATCCGATACCTTGAAATGGCACATTTAAGGACCACGAGGTATTTGAATTTGCGGTTATACCATGGTTTCATATCATAGCGAGGAACACTTCACAGCTAGTCCTCGAAAGTTAGATCCTCAAACGGGGCCAAATCCCATAATCCGTGCTTTCAGTTCATTCCCTTGATTTACTCCGGTTTTTGGACCCCCCTGAAAAGTCCCTGGAATACCTTTTGCCCACGTGGTACTCGTATTCATAAGTCCTGGAAGCACGGCTTGCTCCCCACCCGAAATCCCGAGCACAGCGAAGTGGCTATATTCCACTTGACTTTCCGTTGAATGACACACCGAAGACGCTAGCTTTCTCACTGGGTCAATTTTGATGCAAGTTTCTTCGCCTTCTGAACCACCAATCCCAAATGGCTCATTGGACTCAAGGTCACCAGGAGAATTGGCATTAGACTCTCGAGATAATAGACTCTTCACATCCTTAGAGCCATCCCTGACCAGCATGCTTGTCAGTCCTTTGTGGTAGCTGGACCATCGATGGAGACGAAATTTCGGCTGCAACTCGAAAAAAAGACGCAGAGAGACTCCTTCCGAAAGTGCTGATGGTAGATAGATCCCTATTACTGTCGACTGGGAGGTCTTGGTATTTTTACCAGCAATTAGCATCAAACGGGGACGTGAATCACTGGCAAAGGCCTTAGCGATATCTGTCAATGTTGAACTGTCACCATTTAGAGATAGTTGAATCGGATCGACAGCGATTCGTTCATCCTCTTCCTCCATCGGGCCATTCACACTGGTAATAGGATGAGGCACAAATAGTGAAATAGCACCGATGATTTGACCCGAGATACCATTATATGCTTCAGACTGAGTCCCAAAGTCTGCGGGCATATGGGACTGGAAAAGGACTTTCCATATCTGAGAAAATCGAATGTACAGATTTGGCTATGTTATGTTAGCCAGATCTGATCGTCTTGAACCATACCCATTAACATTGGAAGATTAATACTGACGAGTAGGTATAGTATCGATGTGACTTGATCAAGCTCCAGGTACTCTTGGTCCTGGCCACCTAGTGAGTCCAAAAAGATGATTGGTAACTCGTCACTGGGGTCTTCTTTCTCGAATCTGCCGAACGGGGCAGACGCATTTAGTCTCAGCCGAATGAGAATACTCAGTAAGGTCACGAAATGTTTTCGAGCTACGCGTCGTCTGCTTTGAGTAGTATTCCCAGCAAATAGACGTTTTGCAGCAGGGACAACCTCTTCTTGCACGGGTGCATGAGGCGGAAAGAAAGGCTGCATCATGGCCACGACATCAGCAGTCTCTTCCACGGCAAAATTCGATTCATCTTCTATTAAAGCGATTGTCCGTTCAGGAACTGCGATGCTTCTGAAGATCCTTTTCACTTTGGCTTGATAAACAAGATTCTGGTCGTACTGAAACTGCCAGTACATATCGGCCTCTTCTAGCACGCCCAGGAGATCAGCGCCTTGCGCGACCTGGAACAAAAAGGCACGCTGAAAGGCCTCCCAGTCAATTCTCTCATCTGTCGAACTATCGGGGAAGGGGTGAAATGCGTGAAAATAAAAAGATCTCCATAGCAGTTGAATCACGGCCTGAGAACCCGCAAGGTCAGGATGCGTTTGCTTCATGTGCTCTCCGAAGCTTTCCTCGTTCCAATCTAAGATGTGTCAGCTTAATTTGAATACAAATGAAGTCGTTTTTCACATCGCTGCTTGTTGCCCTGGTCTTGAAAGGCGTATTTGTAGAAGGTTTTTTCCAATTCCGCAAGCTGCCCGGCCTTGAGTGTTCTTCGCTCCAATGTTCTTCGCTTCAAGGTTTCGAGGAGATCCCCGAGGATAGATTCTAGATTCGAGATTGCCAAGTCAGCAGGAAAAGCCTTTTCAAAATGATTAAATCCTGACCTTGTGTAGCATCGCGAAGATATTTTTTTGTATGCGCGCTCCCGCTCCAGGGGAACAGAAGATCCCGGAAGTCCCCCAAGACGGACAGGATAGCGTCACCACTGGACATCTTCTTGACACCGGCACAAAGAAAGCAAGGAAATAATATCAGAGTCTCAGGCCTGGGTCTTTAATCGAGTGAAAAATCAACAAATGTCGATGTCCAAGGTGTGACGTGTTTAGTTTGGGGATGAACAGAGAATGGTTCCGCGAGCGCCCCTCATCCCGGGGGCTGAAACCGTTACTAGCGTCCACTGGTTGGGGGCAGAACGTCACCACTGAGCTGCCCAGCTGAGCTAGGGGTGTTTCAACAAATAATAGCAACTTGTCGATCGGTCTTTGACGGTTGAAACCCCAACTAGGCTGTGTTATCGTATCGTATCGCAGCCGACTTCGATACGATAACGATATTTGAATTTTCCGTCCGATTGCTCAGCTTTTCTTATTTCTTGCCTGGCCGTTGCTTGCTTTGCCACGTCTAGGTTCCAGTTACACTGTATGTTTGCACCTATATACACAGGATAATGTCCGCCAGGGGGGGGGGGGGGGCTATCCTGTCTGGGCTGCCGCCGCTATTATGAGGTCGATCAGGCTCAGGCTCATTGGAGTAAATGTCAGCACGAACTCATGCTCAGTGATCTCGGCAGTCCAGTCATGTGATCGCTCAGTGGCCAATCATGGATGCTCTATCCCAAGCGACCTGGAGCAGTCTACATGACTGCTGGACGGTAAGGATTTCTTAAGTATAGGCAGAATTCGCCCTATAGAGTAGACTGCTCTCAGTTTTTATAACTAGACTGCTGAGGATTTTCTTCGTCTGATTACTATTAGATTTTTAGAAGTTCTAAGTTTATATCTAATCTATATACAGTTTTATTTTTAGATACTACTGTCTCCTATAATAATCATAGGAGTTAACCCTAAATTATCAAGGTCTCTAGCCTGATAACTTAGTAACCATTATAGTTGGGTTAGGTTGGGTTATCTACCCTATAATCCAAAACCTAGTAGGTTAGGTTTTAGGTCAGTATGTTCAACCTAAAATAGGTTATAGCGATGTCTACTAGAACCTAAGCCTCTTTTAAACTTTAGGCTTTCTATTAGTTCAGACAGCCTAAAATAGCGGCATAATCAATACTAGATAAGCTATAATTATCCTAATTTATCATTTGCATTATTGATTTTGCAGAAACTATAATCTGACAATGAATAGCAAGCTATATCACTATAAGAGAAGTATCTCTAGATTCTAGTATTACCCTTATCTTTTCTAGCTTATTAGTTTCTCTAAGAATACTAACGGCCTAAGCAGATAATCTTCAGTAATTCGGTCGAGACAAGGAGAGCAGATAAATCCTAAATCAAAATTCTCTTTTTCTTTTGATACAGAGTAGGTTTATCTTACTATCTAGGTATTGCAAGATGGGAATGCTCGTAGGGAGTCTGCGTTGGCAGACGGGTCGATCGCGAAAAGACAACACCACCACACTCGCAGAGTGCAAGGAGACGGTAGGCAAGCGTGACGCTATAGAGAATTAACAGAACGAACAACAGAATGAATAACAGAACCTTTCATAAGCAGTATACCGATACCGTAACCTCGGTAACCTCAGTAGAACATTTTCATAAGGGGGAACATGCATGTTGAATTGATAATCTAGAACGAAACTATTTATCCTCCTTGAACTAAACAGCAGCCTTGTTGCTAAGGCCCTAATCACATAACTCTGAGATACCGATGTTGAGAGCAGGAATCCCCACTACAGTATGTAATATTAGAATTTATACTTTTAAATATTTTCAGAGTAAGGTCTACAGACCTCAGTCTACCCTTCTCATTTATTACAGACAGTAGGCAAAAGAATAACACATCTAGATAAAGCTCGGCTTATGTAGTTATTCTCTCTAGGGCAAAGAGAGAAGGTCAACTTACTTATAACGTGTTTCATGGGTAGTCCGGCCACCCGAGCTATCCGGCCACCTATTTCCACTACCACAATGTTTTATATGAATATATCCACGAACGCCAATTAAATTGCAAAAACTAGGTACTATTAGCGGGCACCTATTGCGCTTATGCCCTTCCTTACGACAATTACTACAACGCTGTCACACCTTCTTATTAGCCGGTCTCGCTACGCGTAGAGGTGCCGATGGTGTAGCTATATTAGTATTATTTGCTAATTATAGAAGGATTTGCATGTCCTCCACTGTAATACCACCTTCGTAGGCTAATTAGATACTAGGCTGCGTATACTTACGTTGCTTTCTAGCATTTTCAGCCATTGCACGCTTATAATTAGCTGCTATAATAACGGCTTTATTTGCCACGCTTTAGGCCCCCCTGCTAAGTTGCTCTAATTATCGTTGTATAAATCCTGCTTAATTTGTCGTTGAATTAAAGATATCTAACGTCTAAAATAGACTGATTTACATAGCGTATATAGCACGAATTTGCGGCTACTAGCACTACTACAAGATAGTAGTGGTATAGGTATTAGAGGGCGTATATCAAGCTTTTGTAGTACTCTCTCTGGCGAATAGGGTATTATACCAGAGCCTATAAAGCTTGTAGTAATAACAGAGCTTCTGTAGGTTGCTGTACGCACTATAGGATAGATATTGAGGAAATTAAGCTTATTAATATAGGTAGTACCTACACAGGCTATATCTTATATATATTGGCCGTAGAAGTACTTTAATATACTAAATCAGCCTATATCTAGCGGCTACAATAGATATAATGAGTATATAGGTATACAAATTATAAAAATGTTGTTTGCTGTACAGATACTATCGAATTATAGGGTAAGTTAACTCCTATAGCTATCTATAACTAGTAGTAAGTAGGTACTGCGTTGCCTCTTAATAATATACAGAATAAAGTAATTCATAAGCTATAAGAGGCCTATAGAATCAGTTATCTATTTATTATTACTGACTTTAAAGCGCTAGTCTCTTAGTACAGTATTAAACTAGCCTAATATTAAGTTTTTAGCCTTAAAGATTATAGTCAGAGGTAGTACCTTAATTAGGTTAATATACTTAATTATAGATATCTACTTACAGTTACTAGGCTATAGGAGTTTTTGCTTCCTATAGAAGTCTCTGTCAGTAACAACCTTTAAAGTACTGATTATCCCTATTATAAAGCTAGTTTTATTAAAATTATAGATATCGTCGTTAAGGATGCTGTATTCTGTAATTTTGTTGCCTAAAAGTCGAAACCATTTCTTTATAACCTTTAGATCTTTATATAAGGTACGCTGTACATTATATCGATGTAAAAACCCTGATTTAAGCGCATCCAGACGCTTAATATATTAGTATACCTAGTTTTTGCCTACAGTTATAATATTACTATAGCGTAGCCGTTCAGCAAGCAATATATTAGCTATATCCTTTACTATAGTATACGAAGGGGCTTTGCTACGCAAACTAAGGTCTAGTATCTAATTTTCTAATAAATCCTCTTTAATTAGATTTAATTTTATATTGTTTAGGCGCTGAATTAGCTAATAAATTATACTCTTCAGCTAATCTTGCAACGTTGTACGCAGCACGTTAAACATACACGTAGCTTTACAAATAGAGCTAATTATACGGTTTTTTACCGCCTAGATAGCAAATTCTATTCTACCCTCTTGTTTAATCAATTTTTGACGCTTTACATTGCGATTTGGAGGCATAGCGATAGTTGCAAAAAGGAGGTTGCTAACGCGACGCGGTTGTAGAGACGCGTGGCCGGATAGCTCGGGTGGCCAGACTATCCATGAAACACGTTATATGTTGCAGCCCTACCAGACACGATAATAACACAACCCTGATAAGAAACATTAGGATACTCAATGATAGCCTACTATCCAGTCCACCCCATATAAAACTATTTGTCTGGTATGCACCGGCTGGCAGTTATCAAACTTTCGAGGAAGCGACCAATGCATCCAACAAGTATAAGGAAACAGTAACGGGGAATGAGTTTAAACCTTCATAGTCTACCCACTGGTTAAAATTTATTCTCAGCGAGAAAAACCTTATCAGGAGCACCATTTCTCTGTCAAGTGATTTAGAGTATAGCGAAACTCTTCTTGAAACCACGGCTGAGATAGACTGGCATGAAACCATGAAGTTCCTCAAGGTCAAGTTTCCCGTAAATGTTCGGAACACGGAGGCTTCCTATGAAACACAATACGGAATAAATAAGGGGCCAACCCATTACAACGCGTCATGGGATATGGCAAAGCTTGAAGTGTGCAGTCAAAAATTTGTAGATCTTTCAGAATATGGCTACGCCGTTTCGATTCTCAATAATGGCAAAGATGGATTCGCAACTGTCGGAAACGCGATGCGCCTCTCACTTCTACGATCGTCAAAGGCCCCAGATGATACGGCCGAAATGGGAAGGCATACAATTCGCTGGGCTATTATGCCCCATTCTGGTCAGTTAGGAGCCCGAACTGTGCGTGCGGCCTTTGACTTCAACAACCTCCTGAAGCTTATCAGAGCGATGTCAGAGAAGAGGTCTATTCTTAATGACTATCCGATATCACTGCAAGGCGACGACAGCCTTGTATTGGATACTATAAAGCGTAGCGAAGAGGATGAAGATATCAGTCTAGTGGAGCCAGCCGCCCGCAAAGGACGGAGTGTTATCCTCCGGATTTATGACTCTCTTGGGGGTAGGACAAGGGGAATTATTGCGGTTAATTGGCGGATCAGCAAAGTTTATCGAAAAAATATCTTGGAGGATAACATAGAAGAAGTTTCTTTCCAGAAGGGCAAGTTCTCTGTTGAGTTGTGGCCTTTCGAAGTCAGCACATATAGAATCTCTCTAGAGGGTTAACTGGAAGGCAAGCCTACGCAAACGAGTCATCATATAACATCATTCCAGCCATAGATATGAGTCTTTGTATTATTTCATTCAGATTCTGACGCGGAAATGCCTCAATGAGAAAATAGCATTCTGTGATACCTGTTCTACACCCAGCTACGAAGTGATTGATGATCTCGTCGCATGCCTCAACCGTCATTCTTTGCTTGTAATCATTGAATTTGATAGGGACGCTGAAGCAGGATTTGCCCCAGCTCTGTTTACCGCACAATGATTTTCCTTTGCAACATCTAGGTATAGTTGCTGAAACGGGAGTCCATATTCCATAAATATCACCCAGGAGAAGTATGAGAAAGAAAAACGTGATTAATTGAATCTTAGATAGAGCTAGTAAAATATCTAAATGCATTGAAGCCATATCATATACAGATGAGGGACCGGATTCCTCTAAGGACCAGACGCCAAGAAGGAAGGTAATGTGGCCTGCGGTCCGTCAAGTGCTTTGCATATGAACATGGAAATGGCCGAAGCGCATAACTGGCCATCTCCAAATGTTATATATTACCTATAAACCCTAGCCTATTCTAATCTGTCTCAACTAGTACCACTCGTATTAATATACATGGCGGTCAGGTTCGTACCTTTTACAGGAGAAACTTGAACCATTCAATTCCTTGCATCTACTCTCAAAATCTAAAACAGCAAAAGATAGAAGAGTGAGTGATATTTATGATCCATGTAACACTTTCTATATTCATGCCATTTGGCTTTTGACCCAATCTTCCACAGTAATAGGCTCCCTCTGTATCAGCCACCTCAGTACAGTGGGGTTTCCCCTTAACCCACGTCGATTATAGAAAAGCACCAATCTTTCTGCCTCATCCCGAGTAATATCAGGTCTGAGATCACCCTCCGCAGCCAGTCCACGCAAGTCACTTCCACTCCCAAACAAAAATTTTAGTGTGTTCTCCACGCCCTGCTCAAAGGTCGGCGTGTAAGTTTGAATCTTCTTCCCAATAACCTTCTCAATAACTTCAACGACCTCTGCGTCAGAGGTAGGCAAGGTTGAACAAAGAGGATATTGCGCAAAATAATGCTTCTCCCTCTCAATGAGGACCGTCGCTGCTGCCTTGGCCAGATCTTCCAGCGCAATCAGACTATTCGGAATATCGGCATTCCAAAGCCTCTCGAACACGGGAGATTCCTGCTCATCGAGGAATTTGACTGGATATCCAGCTAAGAAATTTGTGGGCTGGAGAATGGTAAAATTTAACGGACTAAGCAACAGTCGCTCTTCGACACGGCATTTCAGATCGTGCTGCATAAGGTTTCGATGCTGAGTGCTCAATACGCTTGAGAAAACAAAATGCTTGAATTCGCTGTGTTGTTTGCGGGTCTCTTCGACCGCGGCGTCAATTAGGTTCATTCCCATTTCCATTTCGCGAGAGTGAAAGGACGGTCCAATGTGGTAGACTGCGGTGGCGCCGCAAAGTAGACGTTGGCAGTCTGTAAGAGAGGAGAGGTCTGCTTGAATAACCTCCGCTTGTGGGTACATGGATCCTAAGCGGGATCTGGAGTTTGCGGAGTGAGCGGCGAGACGAAGGCGAAATTGATTCTGTTTGTAGAGAAGAGGGATCAAGTGGGCGCTTTGTTTGCCGCCTGGGCAGGTGAGGACTATAACCTCAGCCATGAGGATCGATTGTTGAGAGTGTAGAAGTTTCGATAAAGTCTAAGGACAAGATGATTTACTATTTTTCATAGTTCAAATTCCGAGTCTCGAGGTCGTCGAATATAGCTAGAACCAGTGGCAATGGCTACTCGTTCTTATGGCGGGCCAGATACTTATGTATCGGGCCCCAGAGGTCGCCCGGTCTCCGTTACTATCTCCGTGCGAGGCGGGGCTGGGGATCGACTCGGAGGCTCGGACTGACCTCACCGCACAGAAGTACTGTACCACAGTACTGTAGGATGCCGTGGCCCAATCAAATTAGCCATGCTAGCTTGATTACGCGTACTGTTACAGAGCCAGAAATGATAGGCGGAACAACCTTATTCCACCCGGGCAGGTCAGTCACTTTATCATCGAGACTGGTCTACCAGAGCCCCTACCAAAAACCCGCTTTGGATCTTGCTTGCAGGGACAGCATCAGCAGCACCATATTTAATGACTCCATAGGTCCGTGATGGCCTTTTCTAAATTTAGAATCAGCAAAGGTGGCCGACGTACCGGTCCGGTCCCTTTAGCCGCTGCTCCCCCATGGCCATCATCAACACAAAACCTAATAATTATGTACAGCGTGAATCTCCCCAGTATGGTCACGGCTATGATTTCTTGTCTTCCACCACAGTCGAAACAGTTCACTGCCGAAAAAAGATGTTGGCACCGTCCTCTGTTGTAATATCATACATAATGTCTAATGTTTGACAGAAAGCAAGATCCTGGAGTTCAAAGTAAGGCGATCTCTATCAGTTCCAAAGGTATATCTATGGAAATTTAATCGTCGAAGCTGCTAGTCACGGTTGAAGATAAAAGAAGTCGGATTATGGAGCAAAATCAGGAGATTTCAATCTGCGAATCACTACATACCGTTTCATCCGGGAGGCGTCTCTAGCCAGTACAGCCTCTGTGTATAAGCGCACGTTCACCCGCTAAAGAGGGAAGTTCTAGCTTACCTTCTCCAGGATCTATCCTAGAGAAATACCCTTATGTGGCCTTATTAACGGACCCTTGAGACAGTAGTATTTGTGAGTCTATTTGTTCAGCTTTTGTGCTTTACACCAGCTTTTTTTTCTTTTTCTGCAAGAGGACCAATCTTGAATTTTAAGTCATGGTTCGTTAATTAAGGCAGCTTATTCCCAGTTTGGCTCTTCTTGGGGGCATAGGCTAAATTATATTATCGATTATTTTTTTCGGTCTAAGTCTAGCAAACAGATATTCCACCACTATGTCGCTAAGTTAGTCCCTATATGTTCCGTTATTGTATTCCTGTCTGGAACCGAAGCGGCAAATGTGTGAAAGACTAAGCTATGGCTGTTTATGGCCATATTGAGTGCCGTCCCTGCTGGTGGATGTACCCCTGATCAACACAGACATTTTGCACTTAAAGCCAGAAATTTCCTTATAAAAGTTGCTATCTTTGAAGGAGAGAAGTCTTTAGAGCTGATTCAGGCCCTTCTTGTTGTGTTATTTTGGTATAGGGCACTAGACACTATGTACGAACAAATCAAAATCAACTTACTTCTGTTACTTTTTCTATGGCCATAGACCTTAGCTTGGATTGAGTGGCAGAACCACAGGCTTCACAAAGCATTGACGATAAGTGGAATCAGGCAGAGGCATATAGAACTTGGCTGGGCTGTTTCTCTTATGTACAAGGTATATGATATACCTTGACTGTTTGTCTGGAGACTCTGTTACTGACAAACCTTGTAGCCTTTCCTTGATAATGCGGCGTCCTAATCCTACTGTATGGACTCCTCGGCTGGACGAATACCTCAATAATTTGAGGAAATCCATGCTTACTCCAACTGACGATCTCTTTTGCAAACTTATAACAATAGAACATGTTTGTTATATCGCGGACAAAAAATTGTATTTGAGTGACCCTAATAAGCATGTCCTACCGAAGCCAAAATCTCCGAGCACTAGTTTTACGTGGTCTGCAAACACGTACGGACGGGCTCAGCTTTGGCGGGCATAACCCTTTTGAGGAATGTATGTGTATCCGAAAATCAGATCTGCGAAAACGTGGAATCTTTGTAGCTAATTGTAATAGCTCTTATCGGATTTGGCAGACTAAGCAGTGTGCTATATACCCATGAGGTAACTTTGCACGTCAATCACAAAATTGATGGATTTAAAGCTCTCTTCTCCGAGAGATCGCTCAAGTCATATTCTTCCATTGAGATGCAGACTCCAAATCCGCCTCATTTCTCAAATATTTGGACTATCATTTGGGCTGTGCAAGGGATGTTTGACGCCTTTTTCGGATTATCTATAACCAATATGCTTGCTTTCAATTCAATTCAATTCAATTCAATTCAAAATTCCATTAACCCAATGCAGCCTGGCTAGTGAGCGCCGTGGCTATGTAGGCGTTCCCTCCATCTGGAACCAGAACAATCCTAACGCCACGCCCGCAGTAACAAAAGACAAAGGAAATACGGCGTATTGCCATACAACAACAAATAATAACTCCCACAATATTCTTGCTTTACCACCGCACATTTATGCTGGCCGCGTAATATATGCAGCAATACTCCTGATGAAACTACACAAAGCACTCTCGGCGCGTGTCACGCTGTGCAAACTGAGAGAAGATACCCCAGTCGGCCAATTGTTCTTAAGAAGAGTACATTGAGCGACTTTTGCTCATTTCTGAGCGGCTCACCGCGGAGGATAGTTACAGCTCTCTAAGCCGGGATTTTTAATCATGTCATAATTGAAGAATTGGCTGCCCAGCGCCACACCAAAATTGATATCCGAGAACAACGAAGGCTCCCTAGGCAAAGGAAGTCACACTGAGCCTCGTGCCCCCCCCCTAGTGCCCGCAATTCCTAACCAGGTGCAGCGCGAACAGAGGCTAGCGATTCGATCGGATATGCAAGTTTACGCAACTGCAGGCTACTTCAGCTCCTTGGACGACCTTGAATCTCAATCTAATACCCCTTTGTCAAGATCTGGGACTTCTCTGAATCAAGGCGATACATTGAGCCGCGAAATCGCCTCAGATTCATGGTTTTGGGAATTCTTCAATGTTGATATGTTCAATTGAAATTCCTCACTGATTTATCCGGCGTCGAATAGAAATATGGGCAGAATAATTCCGTGTGGAAAGAGATTTTCTTTATCCAAAAGAACTGTACTGCACAAATTTTCTGCTTGAGCCGAGAAAGTGACTGGTAAACCCTTTGCATTGATTAGGCGTGCGCTCGCGATGCGCCGATTTAACAGAATATTCTCCTCGTAATCCGCTCCCTGCCAATGCTCTCATTGCTGAGGCGTAACACCTCAGGTATCCAGGATGTCGTGTCCTTTGTGTATCTGGGTAGCTTCGCTGTCTTTTCCTTAACCACCTTTTCGTGCTTCCACACCTTCACGCTCTATCACTTCACAAATCCGTCTCCGTAGGGATATTTTTGACTGTTCTCCATTCGACGCCCATTCCAGCCACAATTGATATGCAGGCCAAGGCCAAGGCAAGTACAAATGTTTGGATAATGCCATCGTTTTAGATCTCCATGACCACAGCTAATCCCTTGTCTTCACCTCCCAGGCCGAACTGATTCACTGCCTGCCGTATCTCAGCTACTCCGGTCTGTAGGATGATATATGGATCCAGCTCTGGGATCCGGGCAAAGACACCAGAGACGACCCGGTTCCTGAAAAGATTTTGTCCTGTCGATACAAAATAGCGCCCCCGAGGGAGCGAGTGAATACCACTAAACATGTGCCGATGGAGACGTCCTTCTCGGGGAGAGCCGTCTGGACAGCAATACTTGGGAGCTCGAGTCCCTTCCCAACCCCTGCGCCAAATACGACTTGAAAACCCAGCCTATATCATGTTAGCAGCAATGAATTAGCAGCTACCGTCTGAACATTACGCACCACATCGCAAGGGAGGTATTTGTTCTAGATAGCAGAAATAGTCCTGCACCAATCGCCATGCCCATCGATCCTGCTATCATGAACGGGGTGTAGTATCCAACAACAGTTCCGCTTAGTCCGCTAGCAATGGCAAAGACAACTGAGAATCTTTGTTAGTTGCTCCATCTTTCAGTGGATTGAAATTGTTCTACGTACCGACGCTTAAAACAATTGGTTGGCTATGAATGCCCGACTGATCTGCTGTGTCAAATTTTATTTCCTGAAACCTGTTTTATTCTAGATGTTAACGAGCAGTTTGACGGAAACTATAACAATCACAGACCGAAGCTTACCAAATTGGCAAATAGTATATCAGCAGAACGAATGATCCACTTCCAAGGAAGATGTAAAGTGTCGAAAACGTAATGGAGCGTTGCCGCAGAATGCGAAGCGGTACTGTGGCATTGTCGCCGCTACGCCATTGAACCATGATCCAAGCAACAAGAAGTACACTGAATGCAGTCAAAAAATCAATAGTGCGACCGTCACTCCAACGGTACTGGCTTCCTCCCCATTGAAGTGCCATCAGAAGACAGATAATGCTTGGTACGAAGAGTATCGTCCCAACGAGATCACATTGGGCCACTGTACCCCAGATATTTTGTTTGAATCTGATTCGAGGCTTCTGCGAGGGGAGGAAAAGGATAATGAGCGGGATAGCCGCAGCGACGACGGGGATATCAACTGTGAAGAGAAATTAACTTGAGACCAGCGAAGGGATGAGGAACTTCCTACTATCAAACACCAGCGCCAAGAGACGTGAGCTAGGGTAATCAGATACAGATTTTTTCAATATTCCGATCAAACAAGAACTCACTTGTAAAAGCGCCTCCTAATAAAGGGCCGGAAACACTGGCTATACCCCACACGGCCCCAACTACACCTGTGAAGGCTGGTCGCTTTGAGAGGGGTACTGATTTGTGATAACAATCAATGCACCGGAAAAGATGCCTGCGCCTCCAACACCGGCCACAGCTCGCCCAATGATGAGGGCAAGCGAATTAGGGCTGGCACCACAGATCGCCAAGCCGATTTGGAATATTAGAACGGCGCCAAAGAACGTCCATTTTATGGGTAACAGAGTGTAAAGCTTTCCGAAAAGCAGTTGGGAACTGCATGTGGTGAGGAGAAAAGCAGTTGGAAACTGCATGTGGTGAGGAGAAAATCACTACCGTACCATCCAATATCGTCCACACTCTGGAAATGAGAGGTGATCGTCGGGATGGCGGTTGCTATAATAGTTTGATCCTGGTTATAAGCTTTTATGATTATATGGCCTGTTGGGGTCAACATTGCTTCTAGAAGGAATGTTGAAAATTTGTTGTACGAACCAAGGCGACCAAAAAAACAGTCAAGCACAAAGCCACAAACAGAAGAACCAATCTCAGTCCTGATGGATCTTTGAACGTTGCGGGCTCTGAGTTTCCTCCAAACCTCATATTATCGCCATTCCCATTAATTTGATTTTGATGGTCAAGATACTGGTCCATGATAGGTCCGCGTGTAATTCAAGTTTGCTTCTGGTGTTTTATCTGGAGAGATCAGTCGTCTTTAAGTGCCAGTCTGGGAAGGAAACTTTTGAACAGAGATCGTCGAGGAAAAGATATATATTGTAGTGGGGAAATCGCTCTTGTGATATCAGGTAATTTTGTAGGCCTTAGGCCTCGCTCCCATTTTGTATATAAGCCCTTGGTGATAGTTATCTTACCACCACCCACCGTTCGGGTCAATGTTATCGTTCTTTATTGCGGATTGCGTGCGCCAGTAGCATCAGAGCTCGGATGCTCTGAATGTTCTATCTCTAGGGTCCTGCCTACTGTCTATGATACGTGCACCGGGTGTAGTGTTGTCTCTCTTATTTCTCTCCTCTTGTCTGCAGCGTGCAGACTGCCATTGAGCATCCCATCTTACAATATATACATATATCAATATAGAGACTGTGATGTATGAATATTGACAGTACCACTTAATAACAACATATATCTTACCTTTTAAATCAAATATAAAAGTTAAGCTTTAGTTGATTCTTATTAAAATTTTCGGCGGGTAGTGTAACAAACTGGGGTTATTACCATTCGCAGATGCCTGACGTAGATGGCATCCACTTGGGCATCCACGCCTATATATACTTAGTTCTATCTCAGCTTCCTCCTTCTCCTCAAGCTATTACTTTCATTAAACAGCTACTGTTTCGTTTGCTTCGTATGCTATACCGTACGTTGATCTCTGTGAGCATCTGAGCATCCTCACAGGTAGGACAACCAGACCTATGATGTGGGTGGGTAACCTCTTTAGGAAGGGTATTACGGAAAATCATTAGTTGATTGGCTAGATGATCTTCCAATCTAGAGACAGTAATCCACTGTCCTACTTATTGGGGGATAGCGTCATGGGTCGTCCAGTTACGCCCTACATCAATCGGATTATGTATTTCTGGAATAAATTGAATCAATCTGCCTTTGAATTATATTGATATCTTTGGATCGAAGCACACAAGAAGGCTCTGTTGACGGCTCTATCTATTTCATCATTTAAACTATACAAACCTTTGAAGTTTAAAAAGGTATTATAGGACAGCATCATTGAAAGGACTCTGAAAACAGCTTGACGTCTATGAGCTATAATTATAAACAGTCCAACTCAAAACCCTTTCATTCACAGCCGTGAATCCACATTCCTTCAAGTTTGTGACGATATGCATATCCTCGCACCCTTCACGTGCACCCCCTGACCCACAGCTGCCTATTCCTTCATGTAATATGTAGATAACTTCCTCTCTTTTCTTCCTTCTCTAGTTTTGTTACTTTCGTCTAATACTACATGATTCACGTCATCCGAGTTCTTTACAAAGTTCAGACCTTGCTTCGGTAGCAGATTTAACCCTCGCAACAGCGATTCTTCAAGATAAATTTGAAGATCTAATAATACTGGTATATATTTTGGATTCTCCATGTATCCATCGCTAACAATGTCTAGATTGAGCTCCCTTCGCATGCTTGGGCTGGAGCCTCTGAGGAATAATACATCGTCTAGTTGGGGTTTTTTTGACGGTAGAAGAGCCGGAGACGATAGAAGAACAGGATTAAGTGTGATAAGTATGTCTGTGTGTCTGTGTGGTCCGGCACCTTTTGTATTTTCTTATGGCAACGTTTTCTCTAAGTTAGTAAGCAATACTGGATGATAAAGCTAGCTGGCTAATTCATAGCTTATAACCTTCAATTTTGTAATTGCTCCCTGTCATATTTTCTGCCTGAAAGTCCACGTGGAGAGGACCATGGAGCAATTGTGGCCAATTGTATGAGTGAAAGGATACTTGAGTCTTGCTTCTCACGATCTCTTACCTGGCGAATACTTAAAACAAATATTGCTGATTAACAGAGATGGAACTATAAATTATATTACCAGTAGAAAAAGAGGGTCCCGTCAATGCTTCTGTTTCCTCTTTTGCTCTCAACTATTACATTTGGAGATGTAACGAACTGGTGTTGTTACCATTCGTGGATGCCTCATGCCTACGGCACCACTCTAGGCATCCACGCCTACACCTGTGTATCTAGCTTTCTATCTTAGCTTCCTTCTTATTCTCCTCAAGCTATTACTTTCGTCGAACAGCTACTGTTTCCTTTGCTTCGTATGCTACGCCGTATGTTGATCCCTCTTAGCATCTGAGCATCCCCACAGGAGATTCGATGCATATAATGAACGAATATCCCCAGGCTCTAATTGCTCAATCGTAGAATATGAAAGGGGGCAGTTAGCACCTCGTACAGAATAGGTGTAAGTCACTACCACAAATGGTGCTGCCTGTCACCTTAAGTATAACATCGCCTTCATCTGTAATCGTTAGGTAAGCTATTTTCACTATAACGAAGTATATAAGCAAGAAAAGCTAATTATATCAAGAGATTAAAATGAAGGTTGTGATGAGCAGAATGATTGACCAACTTTAACCGAATTCTTCCCTTGCAATGCCAAGGCTTTCATCCTATAGCTTAGGTCGCCATATCCCTAAACCCCATAGTTGCTGACGTTTGTAGTGACAGAGGTAGACATTGTGTATGTACGCGGAGGATTTCAACTCAACCAGATTTCGTAAATGTGATTATTTATTTTTACTTTGATTAATTGGTTTTCGGCTGAGCACCCGCACATTTCAATTGCATGAAGGAGGGATATATATTTGTTTTACTGGACAGCCAGGGGTCTTGGTTTCTTGACATCATTCTTATGTCTCCGTGTTTATAGCACCATGGTTGTATCTCAGCAAGCCCGTGAAGCGATGGAGTGAGTTGAGATTGTGATTCATCTTGGCGTCATACTTCTCGTTGACATTGAGATGTAAGTGGAGACGCCTCGCCTTTACGTGGTTCTAGGCTGCTTACGTTCAACTGATTTCCATGTTTCAAACTCATCCTTGGAACTAGGCCTCCGAAGGGCCAATCGGACTAAAAAGCTCATGGTCTTCTGATGGGGCCACTTATGATTTTCAAAGTGTCGAAGGTATTGAATTTTATAAGCAAATACATACTTGACAGTAATATGTAATCTATTGTAACAAGCAATACGTGCCCTGAAACGAACGAAATGAGAGAAAGGGTTGTTGCCACTATGTGTAGAGTCACATGATCTCCACCTTCGCTGACTCAGTTCTCGCGAGCACAAGGAACTTTCGGGAATGCCGCGTCTCCTTAACACTGATGATTACCTTGAGATCATCAAGTGCCGATTCTCAAACGGCTCATACGACGAGCTTCTGTCCTATTTCTCGGACTTAACTTCCACCACGATTCTCCTGCTCGGGGTCATCTGCACCAAGCGGACCACACTATCAAGCTCTGTGCAACCTGCCAAAGCTCCAAGCCTTAGCTCATATACCACGCTCTACCTCAGCTGGGTTGATCTTATAAATATATGTCGCAGAAACCGCGAAAGCTTCAGCGCATCTCAAGAGCCTGTAGGTCCTCTGACCTGCTATTTGAACCTGGAGGTCTCCACACTTAACCTTGAGGGGCTCAACCCAAGGGACGTGGGCCCTGCATTCGCTAATGTATGTAAATCAATACAGGCGACTTTTGCAACAGACGCAGCATCAAATGCCGCCAAAACGAGGACCCGCTAGGTCGCTGTCAGAATTGTGCGGACTTCGATGTGCCATGCACCTTTGATCGCCCCGCAAAACGCCGGGGCGTCAAGGCTGGGTCCCTAGTGAGTAGCCGCGATACTCAGTATGCGAGTATATCAGGTGACCATGGTATCCCCGCGCCTGCAGCGACTGCGAGTGGCGAAAGAGCCTCTGGCTCATCGATTTCTCGCAGTTCGTATCGTCCATCGATCTCCGGCGATCCCTGGTCTACCTTTGGCCATGGCTGGTCCACAGCCGAGAGTGATGATGGCGATGTGACGCTGCACAATTCTTGGAAAGCATTTGCCATTACCTGTGACCGGCAAATAAAAAATTTAGTCCAGGTGTACTTCGAGACCGTCTATCCAATGTATGATCGATCCCTGGTATCTCTGGGTGACTGTTTGACTTAAATTACCATGTCTAGATTTCCCTTGTTCCACATGCCGTCATTCATTGAGCAGATCAACAGCAAGGAGCACCTCCGCAATCAAGGGCTCTTTGCGTCTACGATGGCTGTTTGCTCTTTGGCCTCCGGTCGTGCCCGTGACGGCGCGTTGTACTCTAATCGGTGGCACCGAGAAGATCTAATAGATCCACCCTCTGAGGTTTTCTTTGCTGCTGCTCGAGACTCGATTCCTCGGGACCTTCTCGCAGCCAAAGGTATTCACTATATGCGCGCGTGTGCCATACTTGCTTTAGCCAGCATCCAAAACGGCCAGATCAAAAATATGCAGAAGTATTCCGGCTTATACCACACCTTGACTTCGATGGATGGCCTCTATGATGAAAAGCTTTGGCCAAAGGTCTTGAGTCCGATTGAGACGGAGGAGCGGCGGCGGCTTGTACGGAATATACCCTTGATCTATTACCGCCTGACTGACTATATCCTTAGTTCTGGTCTATCTACACGCTGGACATATATTCGACTGTTGTGTGGGGTGGCGTTATTCGATATCGTGAGGCCCATTCCTTGGTGCGCTATCCTGCCGAAGTAGACGACGAATTTATCACAATTCACGGCTATGGCGTGCCGATTTTATCACCGAAAACGAATTCGCTTTCCCCGGCAACATGACCATCGTTTATCGACCGCCCGTGGCCTGGCTGCGTGGTTGGAACTTCACCACTGACCTCTACCGTATTCTTGAGTATGTGGTCGATGGCAATAGGCGTCGCTTCTCGTCAGCTAACGGGACGACACAAATGTGGTCACTATTTGATCCATTATCCATATCAGAGCCGGCGGTCATGGATCGAGTCATGACTATGTACTCCGCACTCCCATCGCAGTTTCACGAAACGCCGCCAATCACAGGAGACATGTCTAAGGACTTATTCGGGTTCCAGTCAGCCAACATTCAGGCGACCCTACAACTCCTTCGAATGGTGCTTTTGTCTGCTGAGGAAGTTGGGGTGGAGCGAAAATGTGATGTCGCGGGTGAAGTGCTTCAAGTGTTTTCAAATGTGCCCATCGAGTACTTGAAAGCGATCAGCTCCCCTTTGGTATGTGAAGTATCTATGCTTCTCTTGGTACATGTACTTATCAGCCCCAGCTCCATCACCTTGGCGGAATTGGCTACATCCTCGGCTCTGTCATAGATGGGAGTTTGTCTGAAGCATCCTACACACGAGTTCGCACGTTACTGTACGTTAAAAACGATGTAGCGGAAGTCAGATGATATCGTGAGTCCTAGCTGATTTCTTCTTTCAACTATAGTCTTAAAATAGCCGATCTCTTACAACATCTTGAAACGGGCTCACAAAGTGCCTCCGACGCCGGTGAACGACTGCGGACCCAGGTTGATCGAATAGACGGTTACATGCGTACCTCACTTCTGCTAGACATTTCCTCACCAAGTAACGCGATGCCAGTCATCAACGGAATTTCAGAAGCTGCTGTCCCGTCAGTGTATGCACAGAACGCCTCCGCAGCCGGGACCACGCCTAGCGCCGGCGTCGATCAGATGTCACAGTTTCAGCTACCACCAGAACTGCTCACAGATTGGCCATGGCCGTTGGATTCTTATAATACGGAGGGATTTCTGCCTTTTGCCTTCGACTAGTTTCATTCTGGGCGGCGAAGGGTGACCGGCTTAGGCACATCGTGAAAGGTTATTCCCTATGCAATACCTGCCCCCAAAAGAACGATTGTCCCCTGTACTTGGTGACAGACACAGCCCTCCCCGGATCATTCTCTTTTTGACTTTGAGACCTCCAATGAATCCGCCAGTATCATATCCCAATCGATCATTTCCAGGAGCGGGGTAAGAAACACCCAGAATAACTGGTACGAACCACCGAATAATTGGCCCGGTGGTATACCTAAATTACTCTTGTAAAGCAGAAGGAAAAGGAGATTGATGTACACCGCAGGCCGCGTTATGAGTTGCTCCAGACCAGGCTCCAGACCACAGCTTCATCATCTTCGATGAAGGCAATATCCTGCAATATCCTGGAAGGACACACACATCCCGGCGGTAGGTTCAACATTGTCTACTGTTCTCCGATTGCCAACACAGCTGATGGCAAAAGAGGCTGTTCGGATTCAATGAGGGGAGCAGAGCATTGCTTCGACTAGAATACGAATCTAAATGTCCTAAACTTTATTTGGGAGGAATCTGTCGTTATTACGATGGATAGACGAGACTTGCAAAAGCATCCAATGGCTCGTGTATCCATAAATGTGATATGTAGCCTATGCAAACTCTCAATGCAATGTGTCTTGCCTTCCCGTGCACGGAAATAGCAGTGATTATTGGTGAATCTCTCTCCCACAAGAGATCTATATTTACCACTTGTTGTTGAAGACCTTGCCATCGACATAGTTGACCAGCTCATTCACCGGGGAGAGATGATCGCGACCTGCACCGAAAAGCATACCTTGTCGCATGACCTTGCGATAGTTCTTGCCCGGAGCCACCTTTCCGAGCACATACTCTTGACGATTCTCGACGCGCGTGGGAACAGGAATGGAGCGGCCCACCACAGCTTCCATACCCTGCCAGGCGAAGGTAATAGCCTCTTTGGCACCAGCGGGAATCCCGGCATCATCCAGCATCATGATGCGAGTGTTGGGATAGTGCTTCTGGATAAATGACCTGATGTTAGGGTTATAAGCGCCCCCGCCGCACATGAAGATCTCGGCAATCTCCAGGTCCTTCGGGGCATAGCGACGGTAGTGATACACAATAGCCTGGCTTGTGACACGGGTGATAGTGGCAACAACGTCGTCAGGACTAAGAACCCCTACACTCCGCTTTGGTGATAAATTCATGCGCGAGCGTGTCCCGGAAAACCTCGCGGCCCGTAGTTTTGGGCGGATCTAGGGCAAAGTACGGGTGACGTAAGAAGTCGTCCACGAGCTCCTGGTCAACAATACCACGCGCGCCCATCTCTCCGTCTTTATCATATTCACGTTCCCCGTTGGTGTAATAGCGCACCACGGCATCGATGAAGACATTGCCTGGGCCAGTATCAAAGTCGTAGCATTCGTTCACGCCGCCGTGGGTGTCTGGCGGGATAAAGCACACGTTCGCGATGCCACCGATGTTCTGGCAGGCACGTAACTTGGTCGGGTGGTGCAGCACTAACGCGTCAAAAAACGCAATCAGTGGAGCACCCTGGCGCCCGGCAGCTTGATCGCTCACGCGGAAGTCTGTCACTGAGGTGATACCCGTGCGCGAGGCCAGGAATGTTCCCTCGGCCATAGTCAATGCGCTTCGAGTCTCGCCTGGCTCGGGCATGGAGAGCAGCCAGATCGTCTGGCCGTGGGAGCCCAAGAGATCAATCGAGTCAATCTCGACATTGAAGTCCTTGCAGAACTGGTGCACTGCCGACGCAAACGTCTCGCCAAGGATGACGTTGACTTCTGACAACTCAGACGGAGAGGTTTTGTTGTGCAGGATCATGTTCATAACGCGTTTCTTGATTTTCGCCTCCAGCGGGATCTCTCCATACTATATACAGCGTCAGTTGTGTTTCTTATGAATGATGAGAGTATCAGTATCTATATACCTTCAGCAGCTCAAAGTGCATAGGCGACTCGGGGGTCTCCTGCCAAAAATGGCAAAGGGCACAGTCGATGCCATCCTTCGTTAACCGTGAGTTTCGTCTTCTTATAATAATCAGGCTAGAGCACTCACCATCGACGTCCCGCTGTTGAGACCGAGGACAGTCAGATCTAAGGCATGGCTAGCATTGCCGTTGACCACATTCGAGCCCATGGTTTTGATTCACGCAGGAGTGTCTGATACCTCCGTGGGATCGTACGCAAAGAGTAGTTTACGAGGACTAGGCCGTATTTAACGACAGCTTAAGGCCTATAGGCACATTGTGGAGAAAAAATGGCTAGCACTATTAACCTTAGATTTCTAATTAACCTTAACGGCAACAATGCTAAATGGTTGTTGCATCGGTTAAATGTTAAACGGCAAAACGGTTATTGACCCATTTGCATTGCCACTGCCATCTGCCAAGGCCATCTATAGAGTATAGAGAAACAAGCTCCCAAAACTTCAGCAGATGCTGATAAACGGCTACGCGTCTAAACGAGAGCCGAATATTCGTCACCCCCGGGCTTCTCCAGAATAAAATCCATTCCGATCATCCGGGGAAGACCATGGGGGCGGATGCTCCACCTTATAAGGGCTCGTGAGCCCTCGATAATTCAAATATCTGAACTAAGGCAGAGAGACAACGGAAAAAGATGGGCTATACGACGCTTTGGAGGCGGCTCTCGCCGCGGCAGCTTAATATCACTATCCAGTTTTTCTCTCTTATCTCCATCTTCTTCGAAGGCTATGACCAGGGCGTCATGGGTGGCGTCAATGCCTCACCCAAGTACGTGACTGAAGTCGGTATTGGGAAGCCGGACGGCACTGTGACAGACATGACGCACCAGGGTGGAATCGTTAGCGTCTACTATCTGGGTGCTATCTTCGGCTGCTTTGCTGGAGGGTGGTTGGCTGACCGAGTGGGACGAATCAATGGTCTGCTGATGGGAGCATTGTTTGCCTTGGTCGGCGGCGCGTTACAGGCTGCCGCTCAGAATTCGGACTTCATGATCTGTGCTCGAGTAATAACGGGCATTGGTACCGGAGGTGAGTTTTTATGTAGCAGCAGACTGTTCAATCTTGTTCTGACTCATGATGATGCAGCCTTGACCGGCATCACCCCTGTTTTAGTGTCGGAAACCTCCTCTGCGAGTCACCGTGGCGGATTTCTGGGATACGTGTTTATTGCCAACTGTAGGAGACCTCCGAATTATTCTTATATGACGTGCTAACGGATAACTTCCAGATCTCGGGATATCAATCGCTTATTGGATCTCATTCGGTCTCGCCTTCATCGATAACGGATTCTCGGACGTGCGATGGCGGTTCTTACTTGCCTTCCAATGTTTCCCAGCCTTGATTCTCGTCTGCTGCATCAAGATGCTGCCAGATAGTCCCAGGTATCTCGCTTCAGTTGGTCGGAATGAAGAGGCACGTGAGCTGTTGGAGCGCCTTCGTAAGTATAGGGACAGCCCAGACGAAATTGACCGGGAGTACTTGGAGATTGTTACACTTTCGGAGGGAAGCCAGACCAGCTCTCCAATCCAATTTGCAAAAATCTTACTCGGGAAAGGTGGAAAGCGGCATCCGAATTTAGGCAGACGAGCTTGGCTGTGTGTCTGGCTTCAGATCATGGCCTCCTGGACAGGAATTACAGTATATACATCCCAGTCAGCGTTGTCTTGCTATTGTTTCTAACTTTTGGAGACAGGCTGTCACTGCGTATTCTCCAGTTCTCTTGCACGAGGCCGGATACAGCACCATCAAGCAAAACGGCCTAGCCGGGGGACTCAACACGGTTGGCATCATCGGTACCATAATAAGCACCCAGGTTGTTGATCGCCTAGGTCGCCGTGTCTGTCTAATAGGTGGTTCTGCGATGTTATTTGCTGTCAATATAATTGTATGTCTCTACTCATTTGGCAATTGTGATACCTATCTCTAACTGTCGGCCAGGCTGGAGCTATCTACGAGGGCTCTTTGAATAATCCTAATAAGGCTGCGCAGTATGCGCCCGGGGCCATTACCATGTTATTCTTGTTTAATATTGCGTAAGGTGTCCAGTTCAACTTTGGCTGTCCAGCTATGCTAACCTTGGGTCTCTTTAGGTACGCTGCAACGTGGGGTACTGTCGCATTCCTGTTGCCTACGGAGATATTCCCTAGCGACTTGCGAGCTCAGGGTAATGGATTTGGTATTACTGGGTGGGCTATCGGTGTGGGCATGACTACCCTAGTCAATCCTATTATGTTCGCAACCATGACGGTAAGCTACATAAGTGATCATGTAATAGAAGAAGCTGACCTGTATCACACAGAGCCGCACCTACTTCCTCTTCGCCGCTCTCAACTTGATTTGGATTCCCATCATTTACCTCTGTACGTTGATGCTACGACAAAGGATATATATGAACCAGAGCTAATCATGGTTAGTCTACCCCGAAACCCGCAACCGCTCCTTGGAATCCATCGAAGCACTGTTTTCCATACCGAGTCCCTTCTATTGGAAGATGGAGCAGGCGTATAAACTGCATGGTGATGTCTTGGTGGCACACAAAGTCAACAAGAGCGATGGGCTTGATGCAGGCCAGAACGAGTCGACATCATACGAGAAACCAGAGGTGCAGACAATCGCCTAATGTTCTGGGTCTCTTGTACAAATTTATGGGATTGGATATGGTTGATTTAGCAATCTCTTTCACGTGGGTGACATTTTGTCTATCCCAAGGGACCTGGTGCAGTCAGGCTGACTGCACGGCAGTGAGAAATCCTATACTCTATTGACAATTCCACTGGGGGGGCTCAGTGGAATTGCACGCACGCTCATTGGGCCGTGGTGCGTGCTCCCGCAGGCTCTAGTGCGTATCCGCTGAGGGGAAACCCTATCGAAAAACCTTAATTGTCATACGCATACGGGTTAGGGTATATGCATAAGAGGAGAGTAAACCCTGTAGATCTCTAGGCTGAGCCTGATGAGTGGTGATTTCCCTCAATAAATTATAAATTCCCTTAGCTTATAGAAAGGGCCTATCCTAGACGACCACTATAATCCTAGAGACCAGTTGAATACCATAGTATTATATAAACTATCCCAAAAGGCTTAGAGCAGTGAGCCTGACTGCTGGGCGGTCAGGATTTCTTAAGTATAGGGAGAATTCGCCCCACTACCCTCACTGCTCTTCGATTTCAGACCCTGACTGTGGTCAGCTTCTGTCGTATGATTTCTCTGAAAATTTAACAAGTTCTAAGTTTATATCTAATCTATACCTAGCTTGATTTCTAGATCCTACCGTCTTCTGTAGTAGTTGTACGAGCTAACTCTAAATCTTCAAAACTCTAAATATTCTTTAATGGGGTACGACCGGGAGGGCCTACTCTAGGGTTTTAGACCTACTTTACATATCTAGATCTAGTACGTTGTATTATATATAAAGAGATCTATCTTAAGATAGTAAACAGTCAGACGTAAGAGTTAAAGGAAAGTAAATAATTTGTCTAGGGCTGCAGCAGACGAATAGGTAAAGTAAAAGAACGCAATCACGACCATAGATACAAAAAGGATACAGGATCACAGACGCGGCCGTGTATACGGTCGTGTACGCGGTCACAGACCTAGTAGAGAACGCGTGTTGTGTCAGGAGGGCATACCCGCCTATTCCTAGATACGGCCATCAAAGAAGCCATTATAATATGATAGAGAAGATGGGAGGTAGGGTCGGGCCGGCCGACTCGACCAATCAGGGGCGGAGTAGATGCACTGAGGGCTGGGTGCATCACGTCCTAGAGTATAGGAGCAGCGCTCTGGTTGAGACGTAGAACTTAAATTTCCCTTCTGAAGCACTCATTGTCAGCCCTGGAGAAACTGAGATAATGGCTCTGAAGACGCTTTGTCTGCATGTTATGATGGATGGCAGAGATCGGAGATCAGATAGAAGATGTGTATTGGGATGAATCTATCTAGTGTAATGGGGATTTCCGCTCTCAACATCGGTACCATGGGGTCATGTGACAGAAACCTTCGCAACAGGCTCCTGTTTGTTTCAGGAGAATAAGTAACGTTCATTCTAGATTATCAATTCAACACGCATGTTCCCCCTTTTTATGAAATGATTCCCTGAGGCTACTGAGGTCGCGGTATCGGTATAGTGCTTATGAAAGGTTCTGTTATTCGTTCTATTGTTCGTTCTGTTAATTCTCTATAACAGCACGCTTGCCTATCGTCTCCTTGCACTCTGCGAGTGTAGTGGTGTTGTCTCTTCGCGATCGACCCGTCTGCCAACGCAGACTGCCTACGAGCATTCCCATCTTACACTAGGTAGAAAGCATCCTAATGTATGGGGCGTATCCTGGATGCCTGCGGCCCTAGGGCCTCAACATGTTACATACGTACTAGTAACTAGGTAATGAATTGAAGGTCAACTGGTCAATTTCAAGGTCTTAGATTAAGGAGCGGAAGTAGAGTCAGAAACAAAAGAGACTCTTTTAAGAGTCCTCCAATAGGTCAAAAAAGCAAGCAACAAAGCAATATGAGGTTGTTACTATTGTATTTCAAGCAGGTTGAAAACGTTGCAAATCTGACAATAAAGGTGACCAGGCCCATCTTTGTTACAGAATAATGCAAAATTAGTCCGAAAGTACGTTTTCTTCGTAGCAAGTAATCCAAGAGCCGCTACTTTTCTGAGCTGTGAGAGGGCGGTCTTGAAGTCGCTTGGGTTAGGTACCCAATCATATCCCGACTATCACTCGTAGGGAAATCCGATGTAAATGATCAGACTTTTCACCTTATCTCACTGCAATGTGGGCACCAGTTTTCGGGGTGTAACCGGTTTGTGTGGTATACATCAAGCAGTTGTTTCTGGCTTGAGGTAAGAAAGCAGCCACCTTGCAAGTTGGGACTTGGGCACATATGTCGACACAATCGGGTAAACTGGCCACTGTGTCAGCTGGCCTTTTGATAAGTCCCGACCCTCCACCTGAAAGAAAAGGGAGTTAGCAATCTTAGACAGACCTCTGGTGGCTCTGTAGGATAAACTTACTGAAATTACAGTTGACAGACCAACTAGAACCCCCTTGGTTCGTGCTGCCAGCACCTGTGCTGGTGGTCACCCCTCTGCCTGTGGGAAATGTTAGTTTCTCTGGGTAACCAATTGCACTAAGGGTCTAGAGATTAGGACTACTTACAGTCAGAAACTCTGCCACCTCCAGCAGAGGGACCGCCGGTTCCAGGAGCGGGACCACTTGCTCCCGCCTGGCAAGTATCACGTTCGCTCTTGAATTGATCTCGGGCTGTCTCACATGCTTGAAGCTTGGTTCGACAATCGTCTCGCTCCTGACAACAAGTTGAAGGGAAGCCACCCCCGGAAGCTACCACCTTTTCAAAGAAAATATAACCATTGTCGGGGTATGGAGGTCCCGCAGTTGCCAAAGCGCATCTGCCATCCTGAAGCCAAGTTACCCCCACTGATGCGGGGGCTCCAGCTGTTCGGGCGGCACAGGTAGCCGGATCATCATGACCACTTGTGAGGCCAGACAGGTCGCTGTCGGTCGCACGATGGTTGCAATAATAAGTGTATTGCTCGCCATTAAAGGTTTTAGTTCCGGTGGCTTGACCGCTCCCACATAGGTTTGCGAATGACTGTTGGGAGGTGCTCTGGCCGACAGCCAGAATTGGCAACACTGAGAGCAAGAGAGGAAGCTTCATTTTGTTTTGAAGGAGAGACTGGGAGCGGAAGTCCAGGGCTCTTAAGCAGAAATATGGGAATATGATAGAGGAAGCCTTGAAACAGCTTGGAACCTTGGAAATAGAAGTTGGAAGCTCTGGGGCCAAGCAGAATATATAACTACCTAGGTACTGCCTAGTAGGTACGTACTCTCGCTTTCAGCCATGGATCCTTCATCCATGGGATCATCTTGCACCCGGGCAGGGTAGCCACTGGCAGCCCTGGCGAAGTGCAGGAGACTATCCCCAGCAATGTTAGCTACTATGGGGATCACTGGCACATGCTGCATAATACTCACAGAAGGTATCCACCCCCTCGCTACGTACTTCATGCAGACAAATTGTCTGCGTGTATCTTTCTTTGTTTATTCCCAACTTGCATCTTCTATTTGTAAATTGCTTGTTTCAGATTTTCTCCACTATCTAGGTACTAACGTGTTTTGTTGGTAGCGAAATTACCGCCTAGACTAGTATTCAAGCGATCCACAGTCCTGTGCTACGTATCTGCACTTGTCCTCACATCTGCATCTGTTGTATCGATGATGCTGTACTTTCCAAGGTTCGCTTGCGAAGTCGGAAGCCTGATTTAAGAAAAATGACATATGCTTCAACGGTTCAACGCCAAGCGAGACGATAAAATTCAGTACGATTCACCGCCACGTCAACGCTGACAGTATGATACCATTAGTATAACTACCGTGTACATGTATGATGCCAGAATTACAGCATAGAAAGCTAATTGAAGCACTCCCATTCTATTTCGGTCCTTATTCTCCAGGCGCATATACGCACAACTGGTTTCTCTTTGATAACTACATCGACTGTCCCGGGGATCTCCGTCTGGAAACACCCAGCTCCAAATATTCAACCCAATCTTCGTCCCACTAAGCACTGGTAGTCCTGCGTGCACGGTTTCTTCGTACGGACTTCCATCTGGTCTGATATTCTCCCAGAAAAGGGCATTCCCAGCCAGAGGTTTGAATACCGTACCATTCTCCGTCGAGTAGCAATCGAGAAAGGCGCAGAGGGCCGAGTCCTCCCACCGTGGAATCATTGGGAAATGGGTACCCCCCCCCGTACATTTCCCTTCCAGCCAAACATTGAATGTAGACTTGCGGTCTGGAAGAATCGATCCGCCAATTGCGTCCAAATGATGTAGGAAGTAACCGTCCTTTTGATAGCGTTGAATTGCGAGGGGTTCAAGAGCCATGTTGGTCCACTGTTGTAGGGACTGCGCACGCTTCTCAATGCACTTAACCACTGGATCGCGCGTGAGAATAGCAGTTTCACTGCGTCGGTATTCCCCACCGTCCGTCGCTTCTTTGGTGGTGGGGTTGTATACCGAGGCAGGGACATACTCTAGCTTGCTAGGTTGATTATTTTGTCAGCAATTAACTCACTACCATGAAATGCTCCAACGTGATATGCTCACCTTGTCTCGATTAAATGAAGTCTCTCCTGCTCACTGAGGAAGGATTCGATATACATCATTCGCGGATTCTCCCCAAGCAGGTAGGCCTGGAAATCATGATGAGGGCACTCGATTGGGTCATCCAGCTGTATGAATTCCAGAAGGTTGGACGGGTGATCCTGAGGTGGTGGGGTCCACGGCGGTGGCTGGAAGAACTCGGCTGTTGATGCACCTGGAACACCGTTTTCTAAGGAGAAAACTTGACTGTTTTCTCCCAGAGAAACCCCATTTATATTCGCACCCGAAAAATGAAGATACAAAGGGATAGTTAGCTGCCCCTGAATGACCAACGACATTTTCCGCAGATTCCTGTTGGAGAGAAGGACAAACAGGGTGACAAAACAAGAACATGTAGAAACAGAAAGTTGACAGGCTCGGAAGTCAAGAAACAGCGAGAGCTCAGGGACCCTGAAATTTCCAATAATTCCAGACAGTGTTTTAGTTAATTTGCCATTGCCCATTAATCTTTCTGATGCATGGCATTCAGCCCTGGCAAGTTGAATGTCTCATTCTGTGACCGGCCATGACAGTTACACGCGAAGTATCCATCCGGATGCTTCACTCCCTTTGGCCCTTTCAGCTGATCAACTTGGTCTACCGCCGTAGGCTGGCTGAGCAGTGAGGTCCTTGCATAGTGAGTAAAATTATCAATTTATCCTTGCAGAGATCATCAGATCTGTAAAGGCACGAACACGTCTTGTCTCGCCCTCGAGTAACACGAAGATGGGGCAAAGTGGGTATTTGCCCCTATAGCTTCCCCATCTGCAGCACCTATCTCATAAGCTAAGAGCGCGATACCTAGGTATATTTGTACCTCATATTATAAGTGAGCTTGGTGGCGCATTCATAGACACCTACAGATGTAATGTAGTGTTACTAGGCGAGCTATTACATAGACGGGCCTTATGCACTATCATGTGGGTTTGGTCCTCTTCTCTATGTATAGTAACTGACCGCTGTATCCCAGGCGGTAACTGTATAATACAAATCTAGGTTACTGTATACAATACTGTTCAATATAACCATCTTCTACTAGTTAGTATCTGCGACGTACGTGCTGTTACAAAGGTTTGAGATTGGCCCAAGGAAGTCAATGCCTAGCTATTCTGAAAAGGCATGAGAACTAGGTAGTTCTAATTTTCTGGCTTACGAGTCTTCTTTTTACATAGATGTCAAACAAAACTCATCCCGACCGATATTCTTTTGCCTAGGATAGTTTATAACACCAGAAGAAGAAAAACAGGCGGGAAACTTGGGTGAAATTCTGACAACACTACAATCTAAACCCAGGGGAACTTAAAAGCACAAAGGACAATATTATGATCGTAGAAACGGACTCGAAGTTCTCAGTTCTTCTAGTATTGGATATATCCCCCCGCTCTTTCAATAACACCCCTGGAAGGCTCCATTTGAATCGAAGCCTGGGAACAATCCTCCCATAGCCGCGCAACTGGCAAAGTTCGGATCATTCTTGTTGACCGCACATGGAGTAGACCCTCCACCTGTTTTGATGGGAGGACCAATTGGAATCCATGGCATTCTAAAGAAGAAAGCGGAAGCTCCTGGAGACAGAGCAAAAATTGCCACGGAAACCGCAGTCAAGCGCATCGTGAGGTACTCGGAGGTATTTTAGTCTTTCTAAGAGCTTGATAAAGAAATAAGTGTCAGAATGGTTCAAATAATAAACAGAGGGAGAAGGTGATGATACCTAGGTGATCGAGGGTGGCGAGACCTAGGGGACTCGAGGAAAGCTAGTGGAAGGATGGAAGGAAATGGCAAAGCTTTGAGATCGATGAAGATAGAGAAGTAAGACAACAAAAAGACTATCCTTATATAGATCGGGGGTATTTAAAAGTGTTGAACTCATAAGTCAGCATTACTCACGTGGTCTTATGACCCTAGATGTATCGAAGCCTGTATCCAGCGGTCAAAGTACATGTTTACCTAAAAGGGTACGGAAGTGATCAACCTCATTCTCTGTTGAATCATTTTAAAAATAGCTTCTACTACATGCCTCGAGTATTCGGTTAGTTTTGCGATACCTCGGTATTTTGCTAACTAATAGACTCGTAGAAAAAGAAAATAAGCAAAACACACGAAAAACCAATACCGAAAGAAAGACGTAACATTGGTATTACGGACGTATGGTTTAACCCACATTACTAGTACATTATTGAGATGGTGATCGACGGACTTGCATTATTCTATTCAGGGAACCTTGCGGTGAAATTGGAGGAAATTTGTCTAAGCGTGCAGAAAAATTACATGACGAATACCTATGGAAGTCCCAACGTCTTGCAGTAGGTAAGGTGGCCTTCGGGCTCATTTTATTGATAAAATCTTCCTTGGTAGGTCTTCCTCTTCTCATCTATACATATCCTTCGTGACCAACATCAATCCTAGACTGAAGATTCCCCGTCTACTTGTTGACTACATTTCTATCTCTGTTGATTACGACTTTAAGTCGTTCTACAATTGCCATAATGAAGACAGGGATATCGCTTGGAAAGACCATCGTGGTCTTAGGCGTCTTGATGCCTCAAATGATGTTAGTTACTGCACAGAATAGTGGCGGATTCCCCCCCGAGTGGCTCTGGCAGCGGAGGCTCTGGTGGATTCCCTCCCAGTGGCTCTGGCAGTGGAGGCTCTGGTGGATTCCCTCCCAGCGGCTCTGGCAGTGGAGGCTCTGGCGGATCCCCCCCCCGAGCGGCTCTGGCAGTGGAAGCTCTGGCGGATTCCCCCCCGAGCGGCTCTGGCGGCGGAGGATCTGGTGGATTCCCTCCCAGCGGCTCGGGTGGTTCGGGTGGCTCTGGCGGTGGAGGCGGTGGTGGCTTCCCCCCCCAGCTCGGGTGGCACCTGCCCTGTCTCTCGGGAGACAGCCCAAAACATGCTTCCGCTCGTAGGAAAGCAATATGGCTGTTCCACAAGTCAGTCTTATTTCTTTCGATCATATAACCTCATCTTGGCATTCAAAGCTAACTTGCCAAAATCACAGACAATGGACAACTCTATGAATCGTCCGACGGTCACCATTTCTACATGCAATGCTGCACTACTATCCCAGCTGTCACGCCAATCTTTGGTTTTTCGGCTGTTGACTTCGGGGCTTGTATGGATGCATGTGCTCAGGAGCCTTCGGGTGATTGCAGGAGGTTAGCCCCCATTACTACCATACATAGCTACTGCATTAAACATGAAGACCATACTAATCACAAAGACGACATGGATCAGCGTTGGATTCGACTCGAAGCCGGCCCCTGGGGATACCGAGAATTGTGTTCTGTTCAAAACCGGGGATTTCTTAACAACAGACCACCCGAAGTATCACTATGCGTTCCTCGCTGAAGCCCCAACTGCGGAGTACCCTGATGATGACATCAAACTCTGCACCACAGAATGTCCCGGCTCCAATAATCAGGTTTACACTACGCCCTATGGAAAGGTATGGTAGTTCTGATAAACCCTGAGTCTGACATTCTTTACCTGATTGACTAATTGGAAAATCTTAGACTATGCGCATGGTTTGTGGTAAGAGACACGGCGTTCAGGCTGTGGTTGAACAGGTCGAATCTTGGGAGAAGTGTATGGATCTTTGCGGTAAACTAGTGCCATGCCAAAGCGTTGACTATCACCGCCGTACTAAACGCTGCTACTTTGGTGATCACGCTGGCGAGCCCACTATCGATGCCCCGGGCTACAGCGCTGCCTACTCCATGGGATGTGCAGGGGCCTGCTGTAGCTATCCCAAGTCCGATCTCTAGGTCAGTCGTCACCTCCAAAGCGTCCACCTCCTTCGATGGCCCCGCCCACCCCCGTCGGATGACACCGAACTGACTTTTAATGATGAGAAGTGGCAAATTAAGTGTGCCAGTTTTGATGGGTACGCAAATGGCGGATATAACTTCCCAAAGGAACCTGCCACAACACTTGAGGACTGTATTCAGAATTTTCAAGACGAAGTCAAATGTGAGTGGGCGGAGTATCGTCCAAGCGATGGATACTGTGGTGCACAAGTCAACGACCATTCGCAAGCAACTCTCAAAACGACCGTCGGGCTCAGGCGCATTTTAATTCGAGGCCAGTCTAGTTAGATGGGATAGTCACTTAGTGGGAGAAATACATGAGAGATTTCTATCTCAAGGCCGGCTTCTGTCTCTTTTTCGGGTCTTCCAGTTATTACGCATTGCTACTTTTCTACCTAAGAATGAACCTCTCTACTGCCTAATTTACTAAATTTCAACAAAGCATTATGATCTTGGTTGTTTGCGGAAGGGCTCTCTAACCTTTTAATGTTCAATTTGCACACTTGAGGATCCCTTGAGCACTAATTTATTTAAAAATTAATGCATATATCATCCAAGCTATGATCACTCCAGGTCAAGTTTCAACATCATGACGAATACTAAGTTGATCTACTATTGAATAGTGCAAGTCCCCGGTGAAAGCAACATAGGATACTTTTGCTGCATTTAATTTTGATGCAGCTCAAACCCCGGTGAGGGAAAAGCGAGCTATTACCTCCCGGTCACCGTAGCCAATGTAATACAGCAGGATTTGGAATATAATAGCTATTCTGTAATAATTACAGTACGTCTTCGGTATCTTACTAGTCATAGGATATTACATGAAAAGTTGGGTGTGTACAGTATGTAAATTTCCAAATACTATGGTACGTGCCCCATACACTCAGACAGCCTCGAAACAATGAGAGATGTCTGTGTCTCGCCTGCATTTGATACATCACAACCCCTTGTCTGCATCGAGCCGAGCCGAGCGGTAACCAAACTAGAGACACTAACTAAATCTTGGCCGCATCTGTGGGGTAAGAAATGATCTACAGGCGCTATTTCAACCACTGAGAACACCATGCGAGCCAGTTACACGACATTGCAAACATTTTTCTCACATTAAAGGGGTCCTGACAAATTACACTGTCTGGCCAGTATATTGGAGACGCATTAGCGTGCATTGGCGTAAGATATTGTAACTTACGGTATCATTGCGGCTGAGTGCTCATACAGCCAGGTGTCCTAGCGAGAAGCAATCTTGGCTGAGTATTTGAAATACGAGATCAGAATTGTGATCTCGACGACAGACTCTTCAATATACTGGCCAGACAGTGTAGACTGTCCAAGAAACTGTCTGCAATATGGTGAAGTACGTGAATTTGGCGCATGCTGCTACATACAGTACCTTGCTTGTCGATCCATGCATCCAAGAGATTAGCAGAAATTGGCGGCAACGGAAGATCCCTTTCTGAACAGCATTCATTTGGGGCAGGCAGCTCATCGTAGGTTTATGCGAGTCGATCAATGAATTTGTCATTTTCCACTCAATATAGAATACCTTCTAGTCGTTTTGATGTGGCTGGCTGAGCATAGAGGATGTCCTGCTAGTCCGTGCATTAAAACTAGGTCTTTCTGCACGTAACTATGTATTGGACCTCTGTTCTGAAGCTTTTAGACGGTAAATGGAATCCTCAAATTACCCCGATACCTACCATACAATGGGCTTCTTGAAAATTCCTACAAAATATGTAGGGGACAAATGGTTACACAAGTCTATGTATAGGAATTTCAAGTTCTAGCTATTCAGAGCTTCACCGATAGTTTCTTGAATCGAGTTGCCTAGCTTTTTAGTGTCTTTAATTTCTTAGCTATCACGAAACTCCTTGCCTCCCTGTTCTTGAGTTTGATTTAAATACGGATGGCCCCCCTGGTTTAATCTCAATTTCCGTTCCTCTGTTGACACAGAAACGTACCTTTCCGATAAGCTTTCTCCATCGGAATGATTCTCAAGTCCACTTTTTTCTTCTTCTCGTTTGTGGTGAGCTTGGTTGAAGGCCAGAGTCGTTGTTCCAGGCCCCTCTTTCCCGAGGAACCTAATATTGACGTGATCGTCGACAATCCATCATGCCCTGGTGGTTAGTCTCAGTTCAATTACTACAATCATAGATTGACCACTAATTTCTCACTCCATGCTTCAGACTACGGGAAGCTCATTCAAACTAGTGATGGAGGTTACTTCAGGTTGATGTGTTGCACACATCAACCCAGTGGAATCACCAGTGTGGGCTCCAAGGGCAGTGTGGCGTCGTACAAAGACTGTCTGGATTTGTGTTTGAGTGATGCGAATCCAGAGTGCGATAGGTGAGAGGCCTTTTCGAAACAAGAAAAAATGCTCGTATTTGTTAACACCTTCATTTTCCCTATGCCAATAGTGTCACCTACGATGTGGGTAGAACTTGTGGGTTCTACAAGAACGGCGGGTTTTCTAATGAACCCTGTGGAAATGATGAGCATGACTGGCTTTACTACATCGATCCCCCACCACAGCCGGCAGCAAATGACCAAATCGTCTCCTGCTCAACTGAGTGCCCTACCGCCCATGGCCAGAAATATGTCTCTGAGTTTGGCGAGGTATGTTTATTCCTTGTGTTGCTGCGTTTCAGTGTTAACATTCTATGACTCCTAGCTATTCCACATGGAGTGTGGCAAGCGCCATGGTACCATTCCCTTTCACCAAGAGCACCAAGATACCTACCGTGACTGCATCGACGCTTGTGCCAACGTTCCAAAATGTTCTAGTGTCGATTATTCGAACCGCACACTAACTTGCTATTATGGTACCCACTCTGGAGGACCTCCAGTTGATGCGCCGGGCTATTACAGCGCCTACTCGCTCGGATGTGCAGGGGCTTGTGAAAAGGGTGATGATGGTTGCGACTGTGGTGGGACGAAGAAATGCCGAGGCCGGGGAGCAGGGGATAACTCTCATGATGAGCTCTAGACAATCCTATGAGTTTCTGGTATGAGGTGATGGACCTCAATCGCCAAATTGCAGCTCTTTCCACTGAATCGTTACTAGCTATTCTCAGACTCTGCTCCAAGCTGTTAGCGATAGTCAAAGGATATATTCTCGGACTAATTTTCACATGAAAGTACCCTTTCTAGACAGGGTTTCCCGCTAAAAGAACATGCTATTATATTGACTTAGGTTGGGTCCGCAGCATCCTCGTAGATATGGAAAACTAATTAAGTCAAATAAGTAACACTCTGTTCTCTTACAGTATTAACTATTAAGCCCTCTATAATCGTTTTATATGTGGTACTTCTATTTCCACTTCTGTAATATAAGGCTATCTGTAGATATCCTCTCCTAGCCTAGATATAACTGAATAAGTTACTTGGGGTTCCCGCTGCTCTTTTCGGTTTAATTCTGATCCTGCCTTTCTACGGAATGTGGAACTCAACTTAAGGCGTAGTTCGGACTGGACCTTTACTAGAGGTACCTATAACTATTCTACGTTGAACTACAGTATAATTCTGAACCCCTCCATAGTTAAGAGAGCGGGAGCTAGGCTGAAAATCGACTAGCGTACACAGTTATTCAGGAAAACGGACACTGTTATTCAGAACTCTCCTCCCACTACTAATATACCGGTTTTTTATCTTCTGAAAGCTGTAAGGAAATTATAATAATATTAATCATAGTTCTGCAAATTTTTAGTCACCTTATCCAAGTTTTAGTAGTTTTATTCAAGATTGTTATTTCCGACCGTAGAATATATAGCCGTTTGATTATACTTTAAAGCTCTCTAATGACTAAATATATTTCTGACCTTAACATCCGTAAAATATTAAGTAATTATATTAACTAGTTATAAGTAATTATACTTATTACTAGGACGTCCTAAATTTAAAACTCCTCAGAAAACTTACCCTTATAGACTAGCCCTTTAATCTATCTACTAAATATAGACTATAGTAAATGTCACAGGATTCCGAGTATACAACACCTCCGACACTTGACGCCGATCCGAAACCGAATCCCCTTCGAGTTACCTGCATATCGAGGCCTACCCAAACCCTAATGTATTTAAGATCCCACAAGTATTCAGGATTCTTGATCTCTTTAAGAATCAGTCTGTATATTAACTGTCTAATCTAATCTCTACTATCCGATATCCTTGCCTAGTTACAGGTCTCTAGCCTAATAACTTAGTAACTATTATAATTCTAATTCTTCTTTATTGACTACCTAAGGATTAAAGATAGTGCCCTCTACGCATCGAAACCCCGTATCCTCTTACGATAGCGCTTATTCTAAACCCGCTACGCCTCCTCTGGCTATTTGACAGCCCGAAGTTAAATTAATCCCGGATCAACCTAGAACCCCTATCGAACCCGAACCGGACCAGATATCTATCTATAAGACTGCCGAACGCATTGTTAATATATCGTTACCCTCTCCCCTATACAGGATGTAGATCTGAGGAATTATAAGTAAACCTACAACTAGAAGCGTTACAGAACTTAATCAAGAGGGCCTGAAGGAAAAGAAGCGTAAAATTAAGCGCCTTAAAGAGTTCCTAGCAGTTTATATATATCTTAAGGAACTTACTGCTTAAGTCTCTGAAATTTATACAGAAGACTTCTTAAATAACCTGCCTACGAATTACAGGCAAATTAAAGCTAAGAAATATAAGAAAGTAGAGGGTTTCGAGGTCGATAAGTTTAAGAGATTATTTAGTATTTAAGAGTAAGGAAATTAGCTCTTCTAACTTAGTTACGTCTTCTAAGGTAATCCTAGGGTTTATAAGGATAAGGAGATAAAGATCCTTATAGAAGTTAAGTACCTTAATTCTAATTGTAAAAATAATTAGACTGCAGAAGAGAGATACCTTAAGGATAATAATAATAAATACCTTAGTAACTAGGAGTACTTTAAAGAATAGACTCTTACTCTAATATATAACAAAAATACCTTTACCAGAGAAGTTAGCGATAAGATAAAGTACTATTGCCAACGAATCAACGAAGAACCGAAGATTTTTTCTATTGCCTTACAGATCTAGAGTATTATCTACCCTAGGTATTCTAAGATAAATAAGCTTACTGTTATATATCGAAGCTATAACAGTAGTTAACCCTATATATCCGATAATATACAAAGAATATACCTATTACCTGTGCAGAATAGGTAGAAGAAGTACAGAGTATATAGGAATTTAATAAAGCAAAGGTACAAAAGCGTAATCTATTTAATAATAATTCGAATTTAAGCTCGAAATACCTACAACTTAATAACTTATTTCTAAACCGGTCTAATAGTAAAGAATAAGATTAAAAGGGTCCTGAGTATTTATGCCTAAAAAGCTTTTATAGTCCTAGATTAAACCTAAATCAAAATAACTTTAATTTAAACCTAAATTAAAACAACTTTAATTTAAATCTAAATTAAAATAACTTTAATTTAAATCCGAACCTCTCTTATTTCAGAAACAGACCTTACCCGTTTCTCTCTTAAAACAAAGATAATTCTAATTATACCTCTGTTATTAGAACTAGTCTATCTAGTTTCTTTAATAAAATACCCTCTAGCTCTTATTTTAACTATAGTAAGCTAGGTTACTAAGTAAGCGAATATTATTTGCTGCTAAAAGCTCTAGGAGCTAGGATCTAGGAAACCTACTTAAGGCCCTAGTACTATTATAACAATACTTAGTCGAAAAGCTTAGAAAAAGTACTAGAGTTAAACTAACTCCTATAAGTTCTAACTCCTAGTCTTAAGTAGGAACAGTTGTCCGTCTCTATATTCTGATTTATATCTGAAACAATATCGAAACGTATACAGATATTAATATCTATATAGAGGTAGATCTTATCAGCTATAAATTTGTCTAGAAATATTACTTTAATTAAGTAAAGTATAATACTCTTCTTTTAGAAGTAGTAGGTTAATAAGATACCCCTACCTACAGTATATAGACTATTCTAATTATTATATACAACTCTTAAGAAACCAAACGAGAGTTCTTACGTCCTTATATTATAGTTAACAGAGATCCCTGTCTATCTAGGTCCCCTGTACTGTTATTAAATATAACTATTCAGAAAATACAAATTATATTAGTCCTATAGCAAAAATAGTAGTAGTTTAAATATAAGAAGGAGATAATAGAGTAGTTAGAACCTTACTAGTTAAAAAAGGATACAGAAACTAAGCTTATATATTTATAGTTATTAAAATATCTAAAGAAGTCTAGCTTCCTCTAGAAGAAGAAGAAGAATTAACTACAAATCAGAATTAAATTTCCCCTAAGTTATTAGCGTTTTAGGATATATTTAAGGCGTAAAACTCTAAGATTATACTGCTATAGAAAGAAACTAATTATTCGATTAACCTTAAAGAAGATATATTACCTCTGTACGGCCTAATCTACCCCCTCTTATAAGCAGAACTTATAGAGTTACGGAAGTATCTTAACGAAAATCTAGAGAACAGTTAAATCTGACCCTCTAAGAGCCCTGTAGGTATACTTATTTTATTTATACCTAAGAAGGATAGAGGACTATACCTCTACGTTGATTATTAAGGATTAAATAAAGTTTCTGTTAAAAACCGGTACCCTCTGCCCCTTATCTCTAAGATTCTTAACCGTCTTTCTAGGGCCAGATTCCTTAGTAAAATAGACGTATAGGATATATACTATCAGATTTGTATTCGAAAAGAAGAAGAATAGAAGATAGTTTTCTGTATAAGATATAGCTATTTTAAATATATAGTTATACCCTTTAGCCTTACTAGACATCGCCATAACCCATAGGCCTTGCCAAAGCCCGCGGGCTTTTGGGCTCGGGCCTATCCGGGCCGCTAATTTGGCGGGCCGGATAGCCCGGCCCACGGGCTCAGGCCTATACCTAAGGCCCACGGGCCGCTAGTAACGGGCTTCGGGCCGCTAGTAAAGCCCGGCCCACGGGCTCGGGCCTCAATCTAAGGCCTGCGGGCTTTCGGGCCCGGCCTACGGGCCTGTAAACAGGACAAACACTAGAAAATTTGATAGTGCATAAGTTATTCATATTTCTAAGGTATTGTATTGTAATGATTAAAGCTCAAAGATATATATTATAGTTTCAAAAAGAGAATTTCATTAAAGTCTAACTAGTACGGTTCAAACATATCATAGCGTCTTGCCCGTTTGCGGCTCCTGCCTGATACTCGAAGCTGAGTCTCTGGTGGAGGAAGTAATCCTGAGTCAGAATAATTATCTTGATCAGGCTCAGATCCACAAGCAATAGTCCTCTGTATACTAAGTGATTAATCTGCTACAGCTACTACTGAGGCTTGTTCAACCTAAGCTGTATCCTCCTCCTCATTATCACTAATAGGCTCTAGCTTATCTTTCTCTCCTGATACTCTTCTTTCCTCTCGCTCTGCTTCTATATCTTGTTGTAAGAGATATGCTTCTTGAATCATCAAATCTGCAGTTTTATTCTCAAAATCAGAGGTGCAATTCAGCATTATAAGATCCTGAATTGTTGTAGGATTCAGTGAGCTACGTCGATAATGGCAAATATTACGAGCTGAGTTGAATAGGCACTTAACACCTGTACCAGTTGCAGGGGCAGCAAGAAAGTCCTTTGCAAGACATGCAAGTAAAGGATATTCTTGTTGATAATCCTTCCAGTAAGTTAGAATACTCTTCGCTTTTTGTATTCCTATAAATACTTAGTAACAGCTTTTCTCATATTGAATAATTAGAGACAGACCTGCGTTAAGATACCGACTGACTTCATCCTGATCGTTTTGCTGTAGATCTCCTACTACTGAGCTTTCAACTAAATACTCAATATTATCAAAGCTTTCATGATCAGAGCTATTCTTATATAGATCATCAGTCTGGACATTAAGTTGTCGGTTTTTGTAGGTCTTAAAATACCGCTGTAGACATTGTCGATATCTGTGGTCCTAGGGCATAGGATTATTTTTGCCTTGTACCTATTCGCGGGTAGTAAAGAATCTTAATTTTTTCTGAGGATGAAGGATTGTTGCAATAGCAAAAAGATCACTATAAGAGTCATAAGTCTGAGAATAGTATTTATCAAGCTTTTCCTGTACAGCCTCAAGAGCAGTAAGCATTAGCTTCTTCCAAGAAACCCTTTTCCTGCTAAGTTAATTGATAGATTTCTCCAGATGATCAAATAGCTGATTATAAATTGTAAAGACCAAATAAATTATAATATCCTTTGTTCTGGAGAGGGCTATTGTATATTTAAAGAAAGGATCTGTAATCTAAAGAAGATAATCTACTTAGCGCTATTGCTCTTGATTAAGCATAAGGTATAAGGTATTCTTTTTAAGACAGAATTAATCAAAGAAAAGCCGTAGACGTTTTGCTCGGCGAAGCATCAGAAAGGTAGAGTTCCAGTGTATTCTAATATCTTAAATTAGAAGAATCCTGTGTTAATCAGGCTGGAGATTCAGAAAGCTCTTACAACGTTTAGAGCTCGCATTAATATAGATTACAAGACTGCAAACCTAGAAATATAGTATATTAGTATTTAGTCTTTCTCTAATATAAGGAAAGGATTAATACTTACTTTCTTAAGAGTATAGGTAATCTCTCTTTTCCTCTGATTTTTACGTATTGCTTAGTCCTTCTTATTCGACCAGTACTCAGTTGTATCATTTTTTGGCGATGCTTTTATACGGCCAAGAAGCTGATTCAACGCAAGCTGTATAACATATGTAAGACATAGAATCCAGACGATTTGTATCTGCTTACGAAAAGGCTCTAGCTCCTCAGATTCGTGAAGACTTTGTATTAATGTTTTATTATTAGATATATTGTCAGTAGTAACCGTAAGGACCCGGTCTAATAGCTTATGCTTCTGCAGAATTATAATTAGGACCTTTGCAAGGTTAGGACCTAAATATTCCCCGGAAAGAGGCTCAAAGCTAAGTAAGAGCTCTCGATAGTTCTAATCAGCGTTAATAAAATAGGCAGTAATTACTATAAAGGCCTGCTGGAATAGAGAGGTCCAGCAGTTAAGGGTAATTAAAAGCTTATTTTCCCTAGGAAGTAACTCTAGCATCTTCTCCTGGCGCTGTGTTACTGTAAGGCTAAGCTTAAGCTTTGTAGCCTTAGGGCTTAGAATCAGAAGCCTTAAAGATATCTGTTGTGCTATTTGTATTAACTTAATGAAGTCAGGATATGTAAGTAGTTAAAATAGGAGATAGGATTAAGAGATGAGACGTAGTTGAGCAGCGTTCTATGAAGCAGTAGTAATCTGGGTAGTATGATTGGCAACCTATAAATAATATCTTGATTAGTAAACTAGAGATATTTATTAGAATAGTATATAGATAGGGTAGCTTACCGGTTTTGTAAACTTCTTAATCTTATTCTGTTTATGAGAAGTCTTACAACTTAGGCCTTTAAAATAGCGGCTTATTGTAGTCAAACTACCACTACCTTTAGGGTGCTTTAGGATAGTCTGACAAGCCTGACAGAGTACTCTTGGTATACCTAAATCTGCCTCTGCCACTTGTTGAAATCCCTGCTATAAGCTAGAGCTCTGTTCAGCATCCTAGCGTATCCTGTTTGTACGTCTATAGTCGGTTCGAAGCTACTAAGATAAAAAAAGCTCTGAATCCTTTGTTATGTTGTAGATAGCGTAGGTGCGATAGCGATGTTTGTAGTAGAGGGTAACTTATTGAATTTTCTGTGGGATAGGGTTTGGGCCTCCTAGCTAATTCAGAAGATATAAAGTACTGGCTGAAGGGGCGACTAAGTATGTATCGGATAGCGTGTCAGAGGGTAGAAGTAGGTAGGAAGCCTTGCTAGGTAAGGGGTCGATAGGAATTATAAGAGGTGTATCTGACAAAGAGTCTGGTAGGGTATCTTTATCAAAAACAGATGTCTGGTCTGCTGAAAGCTGAGAGAATTAAGACATAAGTAAGAGTAGGAACTGGCCGCTGGTAGCTTAGATGTCTTAAAAGCCTTATATCTATTTATAAAAGTATGAAATATTTAGAAGATAGTAGCTTAAGATCCATAATTAATTAGAAAGAAAGGATGTAGCAGATTTTGTAGGCTGTCTAAAAGCCTATAGGCCAGTAAAAAGCCTGCTGACCTCTAAAAACTCTCTTTGTCTAGTAGGTCTTTCGGCGGAAAGATTATGGGTGCTTATCTCTGGGTAGAAAGATAGGGGTAGCTTTGCTTTCAGCAGAATAATTAGGGTAGTATCTTATGATACTTTAAGGCTGTCTAGTTTATATATCTGATTAATATATTCAGGGATGCAGGGAAGTGGATAATAGGGTATAGCTAGTGCCAAACCTAGCGTACGTCTAGTAGCAAGCCTAGTAATTATATTGTCAGTATTTAAATTAGCAGGGATTTAAGTAAGGGCTGTTAGGCAGAAGGGTAGAGAGACTACGTATCAGAAAATAAGAAGATCACAGAGCGGATATACAAACTAGGTTTAGGCAGCAGAAACTCTTAGATACTGATTAACTCCTGGCTTAAGATAAAGCGGGTACCTAGGGTTAATCTGTATAGGGACGGCCCGCGGGCCTGCTGGCCTGCGGGCCTATTGACTACACTCGGCCTAAAATCGACATTCGACCAGTACTTAATGATAACTTCTGGTAAAAAGAACTCCCTAGAGATAAAAGTTACCCTGGAACAAATAATATTTTTAAAATCCTGTAAATTATCTTATCGTAACAGTATTTTTGATTTTGTTAAATATCTATATTAAGCTAATTTAGTCTTGTAGTATAGGCCCTGCTAGAAATTAGATATAGATACATCAGTGAAAGATATATATCTTTGACTTAGGAGCAAAATTACTACTAGCTTAGCCTGAGGTATGATTAACGTAATTATGTTATATAACTATATAGGCGGTTGCTAGGCCAAGGTTCTGTTTTACACTTCGAGCCTATCTCTTATTCTTTAATAAGTCCCCTTCTGCCTCAACAAGATATGACATCCCTATAAAGCATAGGTTTCAGCTAAAATATTAGCACTGCAGCCTTAAAAGGTCTGTTATTAAATCGATAAATAATCCTTACCTTACTAAATATAAAAATAAGCAGGTATACGTCGATCGGTACGTATTGCAAAAGACGCGTTTTCCGCAAAAGACGCGTTCTCTGTAAGAACTTCTAAAGATTATAAGTTTGCTACTGATAACTATAGTATCCAGGACTGATACTAGCAAAGCAACCTTGCTGGCGTTATTAAATATTATCTTTTTGATAAATGTACTATAATCTGGTTAGTATAGCTTATATCTTGAAGGCCTCCTTATTAGTTTATATCTGATAATTCCCAGCGCTACTAGTATAGCCAGTACTTCCTAGATATCTCTTACTGCAGACGCTGCCTAGAGGATTATCTTTCGGCGGAAAGATATAGCTTGGCCTGGTTTACAAGGTATCTTCCCTCCTGTCCTAGGTTATGTCTTAGCTAGTACTTCCTGGATATCTCTTTCCGTAGCCGCTGCCTAGAGGATTATCTTTCGGCAGAAAGATATAGCCTGGCCTGGTTAGTAAGGCTTATATCTTTAAGGCCTCCTTATTAATTTATATCTAATAATTCCCAGCGCTACCAGTATAGCCAGTACTTTCTAGATATCTCTTACTGCGGCTGCTGCCTAGAGGATTATCTTTCGGCGGAAAGATATAGCCTGGCCTGGTTTACAAGGCATCTTCCCCTCCCGTTATAGGTCGTGCCTTCCTTCTATAGAAGACTTCCCCTTTAGGCGTACCTTCCTTGATTACTAACTTCCCTTTTTGGCCGTCGAAAGCTGGCTAATCAAAAGCCTGCAAAGTATATATAAGCTTCTTTTAATATTATTTAAAACTTAACTTCTTTAAACTTCTCCCTTTTATCTCGTTTCCTTTCACCCTTTTACTTCGAAACCTTTGATTCTTTAACAAAACCAAGACCTAGACTACCTTCTGCTCTATCCTTTGTTCGCAAAAAGGGTATTTCTTTATGTCCTAGGACGTAATCAAGCCGGATATTTCGTTCCTAAGTCCCTAAGAGACCTTCGCTAATCGAAACTGTCAACAATACCGACAACAGCCATACCGACAACAGCCACACCGACAACAGCCACAGCCACGAAAGCCTCAGCTACAAGATGTCTCTAGCCCTCCGCCAAACCACCAAGGCCCCGTTGCCTCTGATCTCTGATTCAGCAGAGATCCTTAGTAGCCTTACTATCGGCAATAAGTACTTTAAGACTACCGAAGAGCTTCTGCAGTGGCTAAGCTCTATTCTAAAGACAGATGCCTATCGCATTATCAATAATTATCATGATGTTGTATTTAAGTAACTTAATACGATTGAGCAGGTTCTTTGTGATATTCATACCTAGGCTCAGAACTACAAGGTCTACGAAGGTACTTATAATATTTATCAATTCGAAGAGAAATAGAAGGAGGTGGCTAAGATCGCCTAGCGCTGCGCTGCTTAACGGAAGACTATAGATTCCCTTCGCCAGAGAGCAATCCGCAAATAGGGTAACCGTGCTCAGTCCCTTCTGATTTACCTTCGCACGAAATCAATATTTGATGTTCTCAGCAAGATACTCAACGCTAAGCTTCTATTCGATAACGTCCGGAATACTGTGAACAATACCATAATTAAGCGAATTAGTGGCGGAAAGCAGGGTAATTACAGCCAGAAGCAAATCACCTAGGGGGATCTTAAAAAGGTTGTTAATCAACGTTAATTTAAAAAACCTAGAGCCAGAAAGATCTGCTCCTGCAACTTACAGATTAGCTAAGACGGCTTCTGTTGTAAGTATAGTAAGGGTAATGATCCTAATAACCAAGACGACGATCCCGGTGCCGGCAGTGATAACGATAGTAACGTTACCATTGCTTCGCCTCGCATTCGTACTGTTTCGAATACACCTGTGCCAGCTCTGAACCCTGATATCAACATAGAAGATGTAGGTAACTCTTAGATTCCTCCTCTGCCAGAGGATACCACAATAGAAGATATGTTATCTATTCCTCCTCTAGCAATAACTGTACAACTAGATCCTGCAACAGCAGTCTAATCAGGCCCTGTAGCAGCAGTTGTCCTACGAAAGCTACCTACTGATTGTATGTATACTGTTCAATGCAGTAGTATAAATCGGATTATCAATACTGCCGTTAAGGCAGGGACTCTGCGTACGAAGCTAGTGATGTTGCAGACTATTAGGAAGATAATCTATTTAGTTGGTTTTATTAATAAGCAGTTAATTTGCCGTGAACATACATTTAAGCTCTTTGAGCTATTTGATATAAATACTAATAGCAAAGGCTACAAGAACATGACTATGCGTATTAGCTATCTGTATCAGTACTTAGATTTGTTTGACTATGTTGTGAAAACAAAGCCTTGGTTTCAGCCGAAACCTGATCTAACCTCTGATGGCAACCGTAGCTTTTACCGATAGGCCTACGCAATAACTCAGCCTTTGATCGCTGACTTTGCCAAATGTGACTGGCTTACTTCTCTTGAGCTGATTTACCGTATTTTTCCTAAAAAGACCCTAAGGTCTTAGAGTATACTGGCTAAGCAGCTGCCAGATGAGATAGAGCGCAACGGATCGATTATTATTCCTGGTCTGTTCAGCTATCTCTCTGAGGATTAGGATAGAGAGCACCCTGGGGGTATTATGCCTCTAATCCAGGATAAGATCGAAATGTACGAATATTACTTTCGCTAGCAACCAAACCGTCCTCGTCTTAGATAGAACCGGGTGATGTAGTACGCTCTTGGCCAGCAGCTTATTCGCTAAGATATTATATACTATCTCTGCTATGTCTACTTTAGGCCTGATCATGCCTACCGTTTGATCTCTTTTCTATACTATATGAAGAGTACGCAGGCAGGAGAGAAGACGTTCTTTCGGCACATCGATATTAATATCGATGATTTTGTGCAGACAGGCCGTAGCGGGAATATTCTACAAGGCTCTGTTTCGCTCTGTGATGAAGATAACCTCAACTGCATAGAGGTCTTGCCTAAGATGTACCGTTATATCGCTGATTAGTAGAAGGACGTTAAACAACGTTGTGCCGCACAGGGCAAGAAGCAAAAGAATAGATTAGTACAGGGAATCGATGCTACAATGTGGACTGCGGAGGATGCTGCCAAGTA